AAAATTGAATCTCGCAAAATTTTCTCTGCTCTAAAAATGAATTTCGGTTCCTAATTAATTCAAATTAGGACCCGTCGTGTCGCTAATTTCTCCTCAAAAATTTCAACCCCGGCGCGCTCCTGCGCTCAGCGCCTTATTAATAAAATTCCAAAAATGTACACTCGTGGTTGACTGGAGGCACGAAAGGCAGAGGGGTTGAACGCGCGCGACACGGTAGGAAAAGGAAGAACGAGATCGACCACCTGGAAGAAGGCCACGTTAGAAAGAGAACGACAAAGTTGATTGAACAGGTGGGATAGAGGGAACGAAGAGAGAACGTAGATAACGTAGAATTATATGGTGTCATACACACACAGATAGGTTGCAAAATGTGTCGATCGGTGTACGGAGTGCAAGTTTGCATGTAACGTGTACGTGTTTAGACGTCGTGTTATCCCGTGGGACAGGTGAAAGATCGTGACAAAGTGAGATATAGATATCGGATTTTATCGATTGGTGAATCGTGTGAAGGGGTTTTCGCTACGTAATGGTTCACAAGGTTCCTAATGTAGTAGAGAACAATCGAGCACACGATTCCAACGCAAGTGTGTTGCACGCGTTACGATGCGGGAGAAAATCAAAGAGTACCACACTGCAACTAGAGATGTGAGTTTAGTTTCATCGCGTCTCCGATGCTTGAAACGTTTATCGAAAGATTTTTCCCCGAACCTAACGGAGGCGCGTCGACGTCTCGCAAACAAAAATTCACATCTCTGCGCAAAATACAGAGGGGAATCGAAACGGTCCAAACTAGAGTGGCAAACTAATTTTGGCTGGCGCGTGGTAAGTGAAAAAACGGGGGCAGAGGATTCTCGATGCAATTTACAGGGACTAAAGAAACGAACGGGCTCGCTATGGTATTCGCGTCGGGGGTGGAAGAAAGAACGGAGACCGTCTGTACAGCTTCGAGGGGTGAGAATCGGGAGGATCGAAGGGGATCAAACTAACGTTCTTCTATCTTCTATGGGTGCAAGTGCATGCGTGAGAGGCATCGTGAACATGGTGAGAAACGAACGTTCTAATCAGAGCTGGGTGAATAGATGGAGGATCTGGAGGATGGGTGGCTAAACGGAAGAGAAATAAAGCTTCGGCCGCGAGACGACGGCACGCGACTGAACGCGGCAAGAAAGAACGATTCGTGCCGAGAGAAATTCGAAAGGTCGATTTATATCCAACGAAAGTTTTCGTCTGAAGGCTACCGATTAGGACCAGATTAAAATTTCTAGGACCTTGCTTCCCTTAATTCGGCCCTGCTATTCTATTCGATAAAAATCGACCCTTACGTGTTCGCTCATGGAACAAGTACCGGCGAAATTTCTCTGGACAATGTCGCTTTCTCGGCGCCTACGATCCTAATCGGTCCAGTCGGGTAAGATAAATCGGTGGCGGACCATGGAGAGAGACGCGCTACTCGCGTCCCCGTTCTTCTCCGCGGTCCACGAGACAGGCCTCACGGGGATTCGCATAAACGTGAACGAATCATCGAAGATGTTAGATCGAAGATGGCGTATCTTCTCTCGGTCCGGTTTCGTGTGTGTCTACCGTGTGATAAGGAAGGCCCCCGATTTCTCTCTCAGAGCTGTAGCGTGGTACTTCTTTATTTGTTTCTTTGGCCCGGGGTGTTCTCAATGTGGGTATGCCGGTAGGAATCGATTGGTCAGGGTGCGTGGCGTTGCGTGAACCATTACGTTACGAATCTGTGCCACGCGAAGTGGCACGTGCCAAGCCGGCGAGTTCACGTAGCCGTTCGCGTAGCTCCAACGATTGTTCGGATCACCACCTGTCGAAAAGCACACGTAGAGTATAACGTAAGAACCGTTTCCAGCCGTCGCGTCGTTACAAACCGACTTCCGGTCTCGGTACGGGAAGACGAAAAGGAAAAAACCCTCTATCCCGGATTGTATCGTTCGAGCGTCGTGCCGTACGCGCGTGAAACGCGAGATAATTGGGTAAGGGTTCCTTTTAGCACCCCCCTCCAATTGACTTAAAAATTACCAGGCAAACTTCTCATGTGTTGTAAGTCAGAAAAACATTAATGTGAAGGTGCAGAAATTATTTGGGGGGGGGATTCTGCAGTAAAATGAACAAAAACAAACCTAACACCTAATAGGATTTTTTGCCATTGATTATGGCGAGATGATATTGGTTCGTAGAGTTGCGAAATGAGATGGCGACCGAAAAAATGCACTCTCGAATTAAAAATCTCGTTGTGGTCTAGAAGAGTAAGATGGGGGTGATGAGAATTTCCGCGCTACGTGACTCTATTATGCATGAGATGTTTGCCTGAGGATTTTGAAGTCAATTAAAAGGGGGTGCTAAAAGGAACTTCATCCGAAAATTGGTAAAAGAAACCGTAACGTGTTCGTGCTGCAACCGGGAACTCGCATAACCGTACAAGTTATCCGCACATGTTTTACGTCTAATACCTTGATCCCTATTGCAGGTATCACGACCCTTGCATACTATATCTCTTATGTCTATAATTAAATATAAATATATATATATATATATATATATAAGTATGTATGTATACATATATTATATGCAAATACATATACACCCTTAGCGTATACAACTGGCATATAATACACGTATCGTTCATATCGTAACGAATCAAATGTTCTCAGTCGTTTTGCTAACTTCGATACAAAACCGATCAACTCTATCAGCCTCGCGTCGAGCTCGAGGTTTTCGATTGTTAAAACAGTCTCTTTCTCGTTGAACGATGAGGATATATTCGCAGGTTGCATATGGACGAGAAACGATGGAAGCATCCGATCCGCGTTACACCTCCTAGACGAGTAGAAGCTGATCGAACGCGGATCGAACGGCTGAAATTTTAGCTGGCTCGGTTTGATAAACGGGCCATTTTTATTTGGGCTCTGTTCGATTCAGACAGATCCGAAAACTTCGAGCGCAACGATATCACGAGGCTGCACATACGCGTTGCATAATCAAGCAACACGCACGCGTACGAAACAGATAACGAACAATAAGAAGAAATAAAAAGGAAAGCGAGAAAACAAATAGAAGAGAAGAGAAATGAATGAGCGAAGGTGATCGGGGGGACAGTTGATACGATGATACGATGACACACGAAGAAACAGAGAAACCAAGAACGTAAGGGATACAAAAAGAACAGTGCTCGAGGAGACGCGTGCGTGTGTAGTAATATCGATGGCAGGACAGGACTGACAATGCACAAATGCAAGACGAGGATAAGTCAAGAATTAAACCGATACAGGAACTCGTTACGGATAGATCGAGGATACGACGATACTCTTTTCTTTTCCTATTTCGCTTCGTATTTTCTTTTAGAAAGGCCTTTCGATTGGAGACGATCGGCAGAACCGTACCTCTGGATCTTTCCCCGGGGGAAAGTAATAATAATAGTGATAAATTTGATCGTTTTATGCTCGTTCAATCGTATCGTGATCCCTGCCGATCAGTGATCCGCATGCAAAACCGAAGAGATCCAGAGAAGCTAATTACGGTTTCGCGGATCGAATCCGATGCAAACGAAATTCGAACGATATAATCGTTTGAGAGTTCGTCGTCGATCTATCGGAATGAAATGAATGTCGTTTACTCGCCGGTGAAAAAACCGACTTGAACCCTCGGCATCGTGCGATCGGTACTCGCCAGTCGCCCTTCTAATTTCATATATTAATATTTATTCTCTCTTCTTCGTTACCTACTACTATAACTTTCGATACGTAGTTTAGTTTCATTTCTTCTCATTTCGTATAACCTTAACTGCGCTCCTCTACGGATGTAGTAACGGTAACCTTGTAATCGATTAAGTGTAGCGTTAATAGCGTAACAATGACTAATGGATTGGGGGGGGGAGCGATTAATGGGTCACGGTGGTGATTAACGATTAGTTTTTTTTCAACGATAACGTGATTATCAACGATCGTCCGTCCGTGATTGCAACGGCGGACAGCATCGAACACGACGCGCTTCGTTCCTCATCTTTGCAGGAAATCCAGCCGCGCGCCCCAACTTTCGTCTCGATTATGTATGTACACGCGCTTCCTGTCTCGACTTTTGCGCTTTTCATCTACGATCGATCACGGAACGATTCGAGACGAGAATCCCTTAACTCAACCATTTCCCTTGTATTCAATATTTTATATTCGCCATGTTAAATTTTGAAAATCTAATTACAGATTCGCAATCAGCGACCCCGAAAACCCTTTACACGAGTGGAATTAAAAAGAATTGTTTAAACAGAAAAATTCGTGCATGAAAGGGTTAAATTGAATCGGTGACCCGTGAGAGTCGAGCCCCTGGAATCGAGTAACGAGGAAATTATTCATCGATCAATCTCCGAGTATACGCCGCAGGGAAAGGGTTGAACTCAGTCTCCACCCCCTGACCGGCACGCTTTCTTCGTCAAATATTCAAACGTCGCGTCGTTGTAAGGGAAAAATCTTTCTCAACTATATATACACCATCGTGTGTGTGTCTGTGTGTGTCGCTAGTTTGTAAACCAGAGTGATACGTTAAGCGTAAAATCGGAGGGACGAGTGAGAGGAAGCGTGACGGTCGGACAGTGAAATCGTCTCGTTTCGAAAAATCCCAACGATTCGTCTTTCTTTCGCGATTCTATCCACTGTCTCGCGCAATTTTGTAGCTTTTTCTAAGTTTCGTAGCGTTTCGAAGTACACTAGCCTTGCCTCCGTCGACCGTTCAATCGCAGCCTATCAGCGTCTTACGGATATATACGTTTTAATTATTATTGCTTTCGATGGTGCGTCTCTCGACGGTGCCGTCGGAAATGAAAATTCGACGAAAACGAAGAAATTCGTTTCCACGGAGGAGAAAACGAGCTGGCGTAATCAAGGTTCTCGACGAGGTTTCAAACGCGAGCAACGAGGAAAATTATTTTTAATCGAACCCCCTTACGCTTCGACTAACGAACGCGCGCTTTAACGTCGCTTTAACCCAACCCTCCGTTTTATTTTTTTTTTTTTTTTTTTTCTCTCTCGTAAACTCGTTGTTATATTAACAACGATCGATCGACAAATTTAGCCGGGATCGATTTTATCGGGTAACCCTTGTCGGAACTGATGGATAGAAGGCACGAAAATGAAGTGACAGCTAACGCGATGCGCGCGGAAAGCACGGAGACTCGAAACCAATCGCAATTTCATTGTTTCTCGTCGAGTCGCGTGTTTGTCCTTCGATCACCGCGAATAAATTCGCTTTGAAAGATGCGGAGAAAAAGTAGATGCCAACGGGAATTAGTAACGTCGAGGCCGGGCTCCTTCGTTTGTTTCAAGGTAATCGGTATTTTTAAAGCAAGCAGCGTCTGGGATTACTTTCATCGATCGACGAAACTTTATAATTGACTTGACTATCGTAACAACAACCCTGCCCCGTTACGATGATGGAAACCTTGAGAAAGGTCTGACCTCGATCGTCCAGGAAGACATCTCCTCGCTTCGATACGTTCTCCAGGGACGCGGATTTATTCGCGATCATCGTCGATTAAAAACCGCTATTCGTTGAATAATTCACGAAATATTCGTGAACGAGTAGAAGAAGACTGAAAATCGAGGAGACAAAGATGAAGATAACGAATCTTTTCCTCGTTCGGACGACGGACCGCGTAGAGAGCCCCTTCTCGTCGGGAGAAAAAGCGAAGAAGACGAACGCTGCGGATCGATCGCGATTCGATCTTTCGATAAACGAACGTTTCATTAAACCTACCGTGATATATTCCGCGCGTTCCGTTTCGACCGCAACTCGCACCATGATTCGCAATTCCACAACGATATACCCGCGCGTATATTCAACAAAATCGCGCGGCAATCGTCTTTAATTAAGTACCTACGTTGAGCAACTTGTCCTCCGTCCTAAAACACGAGACCACGAACTAAACTATGACGAAATCATACCCGACCGCCTATCAACCGTTCGATTCTCGAATCAGAAAACAGACAATTCCTCTTTTCCACCCTGTTCGCATTTTCTTTCCTTCGACCCCACGATGCTATCGCTTACTTCCAACAATGATTGTCCTTCTCATGAAATTCAAGCAGCATCCCTTTTCACCGCCTTCTCCCTTTCCCTCTCCCCAGAGGTAAATCGATCTCGAGATCTTTTTTTTTCTTTTTCATCGTTACGGCTATCTTCCTATATTCCCTAGACTCTATTTATCGTTAACGAGTGTAGCCGTCGCTTCCTTCTTTCCTATTGACGCGTGTTGCCGGATCCCAGCAATCGTATATGAAATTCGATCGAATATTCTAAAACGAGTAACAAACGTACTAATTATATATCGGCTGGCGCGACAGGTTCGATAAGTTTTTTGATATCTCCTCTTTTCCGTCGAACGACGCGTGGATGTCACGCGTTTCGCTGGTCGACGCGAAAGTCGCGTCAACGCTGCTGTTGGCGTCGATTCTGTTCCTCTTTCGTTTCCGAGTACTCCTCCTCGTCGTCCTCGTCGTCGTCGACGTCGGGACTCGGCCGTTCGACGAGCAAAGGCGGTGGTATGGTGGCCACGTCGAAGCTCGAATCGGTGCTAGATATGATCTGACCGTCCTTCACCTCGAGATCGACCATCACTCGATGGCGTCTCTTCAGGTTCTCCCGCCTTCGTCGTCGAACCGCGATTTGACCGCGAACCGGCGTGTGAACCGGACTGTCCATGCTCGACGAGGTGTCCCCCTCGCTCTGGGGGCTTCTACTCGACGAGTACGGCATCGTTTTCGTTCGTATCTGCGTTCTGATTTGCATCGGGGGGCTGGAGGTGGTGGACTCGCCGCTGAGACTTGTGGTCGAATAGTACGGGGTGGATTTAGCTCGGATGGGGACGATCACGGGTCGCTCGGTGGACCTGGTCTCGTGGTACCTGACCGTCTCCATCGGCTCGGAGAAACCTCGCTCGAACTTCGAGCTCGAACGAGGTTTCTCCTTCTCTAACATCGTTTCCCGTTCCTCCTCGAACGACCAATCGTCGTCGCCTGTCGTTCGAGAGGTCAACGCCAGATCGGCGTACTTTTCGTGCATGTCCTCGGAACTGTCTCCTCGCGCCACCTCCATGCGAATCTGATCGCTGCTCGAGTACTTCATCGCCGGCACGTTGTCGTACAAACGATCCTCCTCCTCTCGCGCGCGTTCCTCTTGCTCGTCGAGCTCCTCCTCTTCCTGCAGGATCGGTAGGGGCGCGTCTCCGTCGTCGGACATCGTCCGAAAATCGTCGTCGATCGCTTCGTCGAATTCGTTCCGTAGAGTGATCCGTGGAGGCGACACGTCGGTGTAAGATTTCGCGGTAACTTCCTGGTCTGGCTCGCTGCGTCGCGACACCGCGCGACGCTGTTCGTCGAACTGGCTCTCGATGAACCTCCTTGCTTCGTCCAATTGTTCGTCCCGGGACGACTGATCCTCCCTCGACGACGGTTCGTCGTCTAATGCTTCCTGCTGGTCGGGAAGCGTGGGAGGCGGTGGAGGTGGTAAGGGGGGCGACGAAGAAGTCGGAGGAGAGACGTCGGTTGTTCTGCGTTTTGAATTCGACCTGGTGCTGGTGACGCTCTTGTCCGAGGTAGTGGTCGTGTCGCTTTGGCTCTTGTCCCCGGCCACCGAAGAGTAATACTGTTGAGGCACGACGGTGGTGCTGCCCGACCAGTCCGATATCGAGGCACCCAGCTCCGCCAGAGAATTGTCGTCGGACTTGGTGCCGGAGTACTGGCAAAATTGGCGCACCGTGTTGTTCGAACTGGACCATTCGGACATAGACAAGCCCATAGATGTGTCCTCGCTGTGCGACGAACCGGTGATGTAAGAGTTCGACTTTGGTTTCACCGCTATTTTCACGGTACCGTCGACGGTGGTCGCGGAGGTAGAACTTTGCCCGTCTTCCAGGAAGGTGGAGTGCAAATCGTCGTGAAGCGTTCTGTTCTCGTCGCTAGAGTCGCTGTCGTGATCGAATCGACCAGGTGTCTCCGTGCTATCGGTCACCGTCACTTTCACCGCTTCCTCGGGCTTGATCTCCATGTAGAAGGTCTCCACGTGGCTAACCACGGGTGGGTCGAAGACCGGCGAACTAGGAGGCGACGGCCAATCTTCTGAGCTCTGAGTCTGTAGCTTCGATCTTCCAGGTGATTTCGGAGATCTCAAATCTTCTTCCTGTCCCATGCCTACCACGTCGATCGGAATGTCTGGGAGTTCGGAGGAGGTGCGCCGATCGTCCGAAACGGAAGGGATAGCGGTACCGGACGGCGGGTCGGAAGATAGAGAGGGTTGATGGTCGCTGGACATCAACGACTCGTCGTCCAAGCTCGGAGACCTCGAGCTGGGCTTGAACGAGTCCTCGAGGTCGCTCTTGTCTTGCTCCGAAGTGGTGGACCTCTCGGATATCCTCGAGAGGGTTCGCGTCAACGCGAACGTGCCGCAACTGGTTAAAATATCCGGGCCGGTTGGGTAGATAAAACTGCCAGGGAAATCGGCGAGATCCTCTTGAAAGCTATCCTCGTTCTGTCCGTTGCTGTCCTCCGACTGCGACTGAGCGGCGTTGTTCTCGTCCTGCGCCGGCCAACCGTCCTCCGTGCTCGAACTACCGGAACTCTCCAAGGGAAAGGGTTTCCAGGTCGAACTCGACTCTGGTTTGCTTGCAACTTGAGAACCACCCTCCTCTTCCAACGAACCCCGACCACTCTTCGCCCTAGCGATTTCTCGACGATCCACTATCGGCTGAATCTGCCCTATACCAAGCGGCCGAGCAATCGAACAGGAACTCGACTCTGGATCTTCGCGATCCGGCGTCCAAGTACTGGTCTCTTCGCTTCTCGAACGTTCGCTGCTTAACCTGAGCTTCTTCTCGATGGACAAACGATTTCCACTCCCCTCCGGCGACTCCTTCGTCCTCGTTTCTCTTTCGGGCTCCTCGTCCTCTGGTAACTCTTCGGCACCGTCCTCGTCCTCTCTTCTCATCTCCAAATACTCGGGCGTCAATTCGACCTCTACCAAAGTTTTCTCGTCCATTTTGTCGACGCCATAATCCGGCGAACTGAGCTCGCTATCGATGCCTCTCATATGGACTTGGGTGTCGAGAGCGTCTAAGGTGTCCTCGCTAGTGTCTGCGGAGTCCAGAGGACGATTGTCGTCGCCATCTTGCTCCTGCGTCCCTTGATCGTCTTCCTGATCGTCACTGTGAACCATCTCGCCCTCCTCCTCCTCCTCCTCCTCCTCCTCTTCTTCTTCTTCATCGCCGTCGTCCTCGATGTCGGAACATTCCTCGATGGAAATTTGGATCGGTGATTTCACCATTTCTTGACCCTCGTCAAAATCGATCGGCCTAGGCGGTTGATCCTCTTCCCGAGCTACGTTCACGCTGGTTACCGTCACATCCGGTAGATCATCCCTCTCTATGGACATTCTTCCAGTCGTATCCGTCGCGCTCACGACGCGTTCCGGCGATGCCTCCTTCGCGACCGAAAAAGTTTCGACGTTGGTACGCGGTAGGGAACCTTCTATGGTCTTCGAAATACTAAGCAGATCGATCTTCTCTGCTCTGACCGTTTTATCGAGCGGGACCTCTTGATCGGCACCGGACTCCACGGAACTCTGATCGATGAATTTCGTTCTCTCGTCCACCCTCACCGTCTCCAGCATCGTCTTATGCTCCTTCTCGTCCGATTCCGGCTGCACGATGTCCCTTTCGTAGGGAATAAGATCCGCGCTCGCGGTGATCTCGTTGCACTCGGTGAGAGGCGACTCCAAATACTGTGCCGAGGTTTCCGTCACTGACAGAGAGTCGGTGAAGATCTCCGGTACGGTGGTGTGATCGGTACTGTCCGATCTGTGATTCGGCGACACCTCCGTCTGAATGGAGTGCACCTTCGCCGATACAACTGCACCCTCCTGTTGCTCCCTACCTTCTTCCTGTTCCTCGGCATTCTCCGAAACGTCGACGGTGTCGTCTTTGCTGGAGAACGCGTTCGTCGGCGGAAGTCTGTGCACCGCGATCACCGGCGCGTCCAAGGATTTCGCTCTCCTCTGAGCGGTCGGCGACTGGGTCGCACCCTGTCTCTGCAACGCTCCGATTCCACTCCCTTCCGACAGACCCAGACGAGCACGAGCGAACAGCACCGGCGTCTGACCTGCTTTACGCAGAACCACCGGTGTTTCCGATAGTTCCTGCGCGATCGAACTCTTCTTCGCGTCTTTCGCCGTCGTTTCTTCGTTCGCTTCTTCGCGTTCTCGCGCCTCGAAAATCTCCTCCGCGTCCGTGTCTGTTTTTACCTCGGTTTTCGAGCGCGTTATCCTAGGATCTCGCTGTCTAGGCGGCTCCTTGCACGAAGTCGGAGATCTTGCCTCGCTTCTAGAAGAGGAAGCTTTCGAGACGATTGTTCTCTTCGGCGAGATCTTCTCCACGGAATCCTTCTTCTCGGTACTGCCCAGACTCTTAGAAATGCCCAACGATTTCGGCCTAGACTTCTCGGTCTTCGTGGCGACCGTGGCTGTCTTTATCGTATCGTCGTCGACCGAGGCAGACTTTGCCCGACCACTCTTGCTCTCCTCTTTCTCTTCCTTGGACGGCGTCGAGTACGCCTTCTCCGACAGTCTACCGACAGACTTCGACCTACCCTTCTGAACTATGCTCACTTCCGGCGCCACGTCCGTCGAGTCGATTATAATGATCTCCTGCGGCATCTCTCCCAGCTTCAATTTGGATTTGTCGATCTTCGAACTGGCCGTCGGTGTACGCGCCTCCTTCGAGCCGGCCTTCTTCAGGGGAGGCTTATCCCCTTCCAAAGATTTCGACTGCTTCTTGAAATCCTTCTTCGGCTCCGGCTTCGCCTTTTTCGCCCTTTTCGGCGAAACATCCGGGACGAAGTGCTTGTTCTCCACCTCCGGCGAGAGCAACGTGTCGATCGGTGCCTTCTCCTCGGCCAACGACAATGACTTGGAGCGCAACGGCTCGCCGTGCGGCCTCGACATGAAAGGAACGAATTCGGGAACCTTCAAGCTGTCCAGTTCCAACACAGGCTTCACGGGAACTTCGTCCAACGGCAGATCAGCCACCGGGTCGACGAAATCGTCGAAGCCCGTGTCGATGATCTTCGGCCCAGCCATCTTCATCGCCGAGAATTTCGATTCCATCTTCTCCAAGATCCGTTTCGTCTTCTCCGGAATGCTCGGCTTTTCCAGAGTCTTTGGTTTCTCGGGAATCTTTGGTTTCTCGGGAATCTTTGGTTTCTCGGGAACCTTTGGTTTCTCCAAACTCGCACCAGGAGATCCTGAGCTACTCTTGCCTTCCTTTATTTCCTCTTCTTTTTGCTTCTCCGAAGAGTCAGCCACGGTCGAAGCCTCTTCGTCGGATTTTCCTATAACCGGCTTAGGGATCTCCGGCAATGGTATCTTCTCGATGCTGTCCTGCTTCTCCAGACTGTCGTCCGGCGTTTTCAAACTGTCTTTCTCGACCTCGGACTTCGCTTTACGCTCCAGCTTCAGCTTCATCTCCATTCCGACCACGTCGGCGAAGTTGAACGCTTTCATCCTTGAGTCGAACGATCTCTGCGTTCCTATCGCGCTGCTCTTCGACGCATCCGGAGAACGTTTCTTCTGCAACATCGACACGATCGTGACGTTCGGATCCGTGGGGGAGACCTTCGGCGACCGTTTCTCCAACGGCGAAACGATCGTCACGTTCGGCTCGATCGGGGAGAGTTTCGACGATTTCTTGTCCAAGCTGGACGACTTGACGCAACTTCGCTCCTCGATCACGATCTCCGCGGTCGTCGTGTGTTTGTCGAACGAAGCGGATCTGATCGACTGTTTATCTCCCTTCGAAGGACTTCTGTTACTGGGCGAGAAACTGCAGATCACGTTCTTCGCGTCGGTCGGTGACAATTTCGACGTAGGGCTCAATATACTCTTCGGCTTGTCGGATGGACTCAAGATTGATTTCGGCCTGGTCGGCGTGATCGTCGCGCTTTTCGCTTTGTCCGGTGACACTTTGCTGCCGGTCTTGTCTATCGAGGACAACTTGGACAAATCGAAACAGGAAATGTCGGTGATCATCTTCAGTGGTAGTTTAGGTAAATCGCGAACGGAGCCGGTGACTTTCTTCGAGGTTTTCCCGCTGTCCGATTCCGACTTGTCGTCGGACGCGGTACCGTTCATCACGTGTCGCTTGTGCAGCGTGTAAGGTATCTCTATGTTGGTCTTTTGCATAGCTGCGCTGTCGGAGAACGGATCCTCGTCACCGGAATCGGCCGGCGTTAAGTCGATCGACTTTTGATGCATCAATATGTGTCGCTTGCTGTTGGAGCCGAGGCGCTGTCGCGCGGGATTCGGGTCGCTCTTGGTGCGCTCGACGGGGGTGTGACCCGGTATCGTGTCGTCGAAGCCCAGCACCACGCCTCCGACGATCTTCGGCTCGTACTCGGTGAACACCGTCTTCGATTTGAAGCTCTCCATCTCCATAGGCACTCCGATCACCGTGTCCGTCCTCGACTCGATCGACAGCCTCGCCTGTCGTTCTCGTTCCCGTTCCCGCTCACGTTTCTCCTCGTCCTTCCGCGCTTTCTCTAAACTCCTCCAGTCATCCCTCTCCCGAGGCTTCTCCTCCGACTTGCCCCGTTCCGCTCGTGCCTTGCCACTCTTCCTCGAATCCTTGTACTCGATCCTTTCGATGCTGCTTCGCCTCCACTCGGATATCTCCTGCTCGATACACTCGAGACTCCTGCCGCTCGACCTCGAGTCGAATCGGTCCAGGTATTTTCTTTCCCGCGAATCAGCCCGCTCCGTGTGTCTCCGCTCGTTTCTCGACTCCGACTTTCGATCGTGTCCTCTGTTGTCCTTCGAGTTGCTACGCTCCAAACCCTTCAGACGCTCGATCGTCACAGGGTCGAAGTCGAAGGTGGGCTTCTCCTGCGAGTCCAATCTCTCCACGCTCTTCCCTCGGTGTTTCTTCACGGAGATACGCTCGAACGGACTCCTGTTGCCGGAGTCGAAACGCTCCAAGGTGTGCCTTTGATTGTAGTCGATCGTGGTGTTGCTCTTGCTTCCAGGACTCTTCCTCTTCTCTCTCGAGTCTAATCGTTCCACGCTTCTCTCTCGACGTTCCTTCGACTCGGAACGCCGATGACCGCTCTTCTCTTTCGGACTTCTGTTCAAGTATTCCGTGCTACCTCGAAGCGTCTGACAATCTAAACGCTCCACGCTCTTCCCTCGCCACTCGTAACGATCCGCGTAACGGAACGACTTCTCCTTCGAGTCTAATCGTTCGTAACTCCTCTCGCGTACGTCCAGCCTCTCGATGCTTCGTCGCAGTTCCCGGATGTCTATTCGATCCACGCTACGACGACCGTGTCCGTCCGATTTACGATCCCTCGAATCCATTTTCTCCAACTTTTTCCCGTGACCCTCCCCACCTCCTTTAGCTCTCTCTTGCGACTTGGACGACGTCTTCTCGTTGACGGCCTTCGCGTCGTTTTCGCGATTCGATTTTCTTTCCCTAGCCTTGTTGTGTCCCCCGCGCCCTAAGCTACCAGTTTCCACGTACACCCTCGACACGTGATCCTCCAAACTCGCTATGCTACGCGCCCTAACCGTCCTGGCTCTCTGATGATCTACGATCGATTTGCCGGTACCGTCGACCGGGCTCAAATCATCGTCTATCCTAGATTTTGGACGCATGATACCCTCGTCTCGCAATACCTCCGAATCTACGTGAGTGATCTTATATTTAGGCTTGAAATTTTTCAACTCGTTAAGCACCGACATCTTTTGTTTCTGTACCTGTAACACGACCGGATCTTTCTTCGCGGAATCCTGGTGCGAAACAGGAAGATATTTACTTTGCTGTTGTTGTTGTTGTTGGGGCTGTGATTGTTGCGGCTGCGTTTGATCTACCGAATTAACGTGTCGCGTCTCGAATTTTCGTTCGATCTGAGTGCTAGATCGTTGTATTCTAGATTCTACGGTCACGTAATCACCGTCTACGGATTTGTTGGCAGCGGTGACCGACGAGTACCGATCGATTGACTTTGCCCTCGCGTTCTTTAGATCGACGAGCACGGATTTGAAGTGTTGCTTGTCCGACGATTTGATCGATCTGTGCTTGACGAAGGAATCGGTCTCGGAGTCCATTTGGAACATCTCGTGCTCGATTCCTTGGTCGCTACGGTCCGATATCGCGCCACCGTTCTCTTCTTCCTCCTCGTCGTCGTCCCGTGGGCTCGAGTACGATTCAGGATATTCAAATTCGTGCTCGCGTTCAAGCAGCTCGTACGAATCGTGCGAGAGATCGTCGTGCGAAAGATCCGCCGCCGGGCCAGACTCCTCGTGGCCTGACTCGGTGGAGAGCGATGACGTACCCGGGTACGAGCTACTGTATACCCGATCGGGCACCGAGTCGTGATCGAGCGAGGGTAATTTCGAGCTAGCCGCGCTGTACGAACGATTACTCTCCTCGCCGTAACGCGTCACCGGATTGTCTAGCTCGCCTTGAGAAGGCAAACGGAACGGTTCGAAGGAATTCTGTTCGCCGGACGCTTTCTCGTCCTTTGATCGTGCTTTCCCTGAATCCTCGAAGCTAGAAGCGTACAGTTCGCGGCAACTGGCCGATCGCTGCCAGGGATGTCTGGGCATGGGTCGCGGCGGGGGGAATTCGGGAGGACTGCTGTTAGAGGGGCTGATACGACCTGCTGATGAAATCCGTTGCTGGCTGGTAAGAAGCATCTGCCGCGGTGCTGGGACCTGGCTGGGTGTGGCCGGGGAATGGACGTCGATGGACGTAAGTGTCCGAAACGACGTAGCTGTGTCTTCGCGACGGTGAATCGTCCCTCCCATCGAGACACTCGTCACAGTCGTCGGAGAATCCAGTGTCATCGAGCCGCATGATAGAGACAGAGCTGGGGTTTCCAGTGCTGAAATACATTCCATTATTCGTTTTAATTACATTTTTCTCCTCCATTCTCGATCACACTCTTCGTTATTATTTTCTTCTTTCTCTTTCTATCTGTATGTGTATGTATATTACATATGATTATCTACTTATACATCCATCTAGTTACCTATCTGTTTGTTTTATCGTATTTCGTTCGTTCGTTCGATCCGATCCTCGTGTCTGTCGAGAGATCTCCGAGTTAACGAATTACCACTCGCAGATCTTCTCACGAACTCTGCTCGTGCACTCTGACAATGTTGCGGAAATAACGTTCTTACGAGACACGTGGACAAGCTGAACTCCGGGTAAACTCGGTATAGAAGCGTTCTAATTCGTAATACGCCAACTCTACTTGCTCTACCATTACGATACTCTGCACGTACGATTACTCGGAGAACGGAAAAAACGGGGGATGAACGAAAAAGAGAAGAAAGAACGATGATGAACGATGAAATAAAAACGTAGGAGAGGTGAGAGAAAAAAGATGAAGAAAAAGTAGAAGTAGAAGAGAAAAGAAGGAAATCGTAGATACTTGAATCGTTTGATAGGTAAATTAAAAGAAAAAAGAAAAAAGAAAAAAAGAGAAAAAGAAACGAAAATGAAAGAGAGGCAAAGAAAGCGTTTCTCGTGGAGGTTGGTGTCGGTCATGGTACATACCAGGATCGCCGAGGGGCAGGAGGGGGTGGGCAGAGATGCTGGAGCTGCCCATAAGGGAGCTGCTTGGAGTGGCCCCACGATAACCTCCCCCCTCCAAGCCCTGCAATGCCCTACCACTGCTAGTCTGCCGGAACGAATTGGACCTGCGAGCAAGAGAGAGTCAAGTTCAGCATCAGACTTAGGCTACCAAATGCCAAGCCTGTCCAGAACTAACTTATATATTTTCTCCTTTTATTTCTCTACCACCTCTTCGCGAGACGGTAGCCTACGTCTATTTTCATAGATCGCTTACTATTCGATCGATAGTTATCGTTTCAAGGGTCTCTCTCTCTCTCTCCCGGAAATTTCACTATTTCACCAACTTTTTCTCACGCGTTGTTCACGTTTCAACGAGCAAAAAACTGACGATTAAAAGGCTATAATCGATTATGCCCTCAAAACGATAAAGATAAAAAGCGTCGGCAAAAACTGTACGAAAAGTATACACGCTGTCACGAAACAGATGTACATCACGAAACGGTGATGATTCTTTGTAGCAAAATAAATGAAAAAGGAATTTTTTCGGTTCTTTCGCCACGAACAATTTTCAGCCGCAACAGTGCGGTACATCTCTTCTAAAACAGCTTGTATATTCTTTAGACTTTTGTTTCCTTCCCTTTTTTGTTTGCCTCATAAATTTTGCATGAAATTGAAATCCCGGTGTCTACAGAAGACTAGTAGTTTTTTTTTAGAAGAATAATCGTTTCGCATGCTCGTTTCAGCCACGCATACGGAACGTTTCTTCGCTATTATTAGTAACGTTGTCCGACTGAGAGTTACACCGACAATGCACAGTGAACAATTGTGTATATCGCACCTGTTAACTGTATATATGTATGTACAAGGAACATAACGAAGTATAATTATAAAGAAAATTGATCTATTCTCTATTGTAGAGCAGGCTACTGCTATGTATGGACAAGTAATATAATATCTCGTTGGTAAAGAAAACACGTCGGGACAGTGAAGTAAAATGGTACTTTGCGGTGTATTATTAGGTGTTACAACGACGAGAATTAGTGATGACACTATCAAAAAATAGGGTACATTGATCATTCGGGTTATCGTGCCTGATGGTGAGCCTGACTCCCCGCCACCCCTGTCCGAGCAGGCAACACTGACACACGTAAGTACAAAACGAACATAGTAAACATTTCATTCTACGGAAATTAGAGCAACGATAAACATGATAAATACCAATTAATGTCCCGGCAAAAGCAAGACCGTGCCACCTCCCGTCTTACCCACGCAAGATCAGTGCGCTTGTTAATTAAAATATACAGTCTCAATGGTGTAAAAACCAGCATTAAAAGGGGGGGGACAAGTACATAACGGTGTGCATGCACTATCTACACAATACTGATATGTTCAAGAATATTTCTTGATCGGCCAATCACTGAATCGCATTTCATACCCCCGTTCATCGAACTTACCTTTGAAACGTCTGCCTCTTCACGTAATTGTCTCGTACGAATTCAACGATTTGCTTCTGAGTTTTGCCGCTGTACCTGTGTTCACGCGACAACGAGAAAATTTTCTTAATATACTTCCATGTTTTCCCGTTTAATTTCCTGTTAATCGAATCGTTACGTACCTAAACGACGAGCCGCGGCTGAGAACACGGGTTTTCTGCCGTACCACTCGTTTTACCACCGAGCAACGGAAAAATCCATGATTCTCTACGCATTTTTTCCAGAAATTTTTACACTCGTTACGACCCTCGAAAAAGAACTCCACCGTATCTTTATAATAACCCTGCGAAAAAAAATAGATTCTTCAACGTGAGGTATTCGTATTTATTCCACGATTGCTTCGTCGAAATTTCTATACTCACGTAACCCTCTGGATGAAGTTTGATCAAAAATCGTTTCCTTTTAAAACTGATCTTCCTAATCTTCGCCCAACTGAACGTATTTATCTTGGTGTAATTTTGAAAGACTACAATTCCCATGTGTGCCACTGCCAGATTCAGAGGTACACTTTCGTGATCCTTCAATTATAATTTTTTTAATTAATTTAAATTTATATGATATAAAATTTTTAATTTGAAAAAATTTCTTCCTAATGCTTTTGCCTAAATTTCGTAATACGTACTTTTGCCGGATGCATTTTCATTCCGTACAACTCGCAGCGACGCGCCGTTTCTAACAGATTCAGATCCGCTTCTGCCGGAGATTGACCGCTGTTTAAAATATACAACACTTTCAACATTGCAATTGATTGAAATTTTCTTTCAAGTTGAATTAATCTTACGCGTGTTTCTTATGATTCTCCATTATGCGACGTTCCAATTCTTGATCTTGATGAGGCACAAATTTGTACGTTGACAAATATGTGTGATCCGGATAATCCTCTATTACGTAATCTCCACATTCGGCTGAAAAGATTAATCGTTTTCTGTTCGAAAAATATACCTCACAACACAATAAGTACAGAATTATAAATTTCTATGAAAATTATGTTTGGATACGCATAAGCGTCGATCGTCATCAAAGGGTTAAAGAAACAAACATTACCTTGAACGATATAACTGGCCATCAAAGCTGCTGTATTATCATTGCACTGTAATAAACCTTGAGCTAAATCTCGTTTGATTTGAAGGCAAAATAAATATCTTGTAAACTCCTCTTCCAATTGTGCTGGGTCTGGCGTATAAAATTTCACGCAAAATCTCAAAAGAGGATCGATTAAAGACAATCCTACTTGCCTACAAACAGGCTTCTCTAAATCTAACCAGTACTGCAATCAAACAATTACAAATTAGTATCAATTAGCTCAACTTTTTGTGTCAGGAAACATTTGGCTGTTGCTTACTTTTGTTCCATTAGGTTCCTGATACTCGAGACCGAAATAATCAGCTTCCAAAAGATGTAGCTGCTTGCAAACCTGATCGAATAACACTCTTCCTAATGCTTTTGCCTAAAATTTAAATACACAGAAAATAACGTTAATTCGTTTATCGTTTTTATTTAATGAAAAATCAATTTTCTATTTTCTTATCAATTGTTTGGTAACTTGCTAAGTGGAAATAGGTTTTAGATGCTTCAAGTAAAGTTTTATGAATAATCAATACATCAATACACGTACTTCATGAGGCACAGTATAACCAATTATATGCTCCAATAGTTCATTTAAGAGTGTTATGCGCATAGACAATACATGGTAAATGATTTTTCAATGTATGTATAAAGCATAGGGATATATAGACAACTTCTCTTTCAAATGGATAAACAATGATTCTTGTAATTCTTTTTATTTTTGCATTGATTCTGCCACACAGTAAAAATACAAACCTGAACTTGAAACATTGTAATTGTATCATCCAACATTTGTACACGAACAGCAAGCATCTTCCCGGCTTTTCTAGGTGTTGTAGGAGGAGTTCTACTACCTCCATCTACACCTGCCGGAGTCGAATGACTATGAGGCATCTTGGATCCTCCACTGCCCTTCATGCTTATACTTTCTATATCGTTCATCATCTCTTGACCACCTCTATTTATTTCCTTATGGAAAATTTAATTTATAATTTTCTATTATGTTGTCATCTGCAACAAAATATTAAACACACCTATGTCTATGAGAAAACCCTTTACATTCCACATTTGAAAAAAAAAAATAATGAAACTTTTTTTTTGAAAAAAAAAGCTGCTTAAAAATTACAAATAATCTGATAAAATTATCGATACAAGCAAAGCGCCTTCGACGAACATTAAAAATAAATTGATAGTAAAAGATTACGCAGGAAATAATTAATAAAGTTTTTTCTGCTTTGCCGCACATCGAGAAAAACATTACTTACGTTTGTTTACATCATTCATAGTGATATTATATACAGGATATTTATTTATTTATTTATCGCTTGATGATCCAGCCTTAGAGTATCCGAACGAGAAGACTTGACGATGTTACGTCAAGACCGTGATTATACCGATTACGCTACTAATCGAACAGCACTAATGGAATACGTAAAGAGATTGGCTGCGGTCTAAAGGGTTGAAAGTGTTGATTTGTCGATTAACGAACGATTTTATAATTCGAATAACGTGACAGTATATCATAAAATATCGATTCGATAACTACGCTAAGCAACGAAAGTTTTCTTTATTTTAAAATTACAATTCAAAAAATTCGATATAGAAACAAATTATTTGAATGAAACTTAAAAAAAATTCGAACGCTCCTGATAGCAACTCGAGTATCAGAAATGAACGGAAGATCGAGCGTAGAAAGGTGGGGCTTTAAACTATAACTTCTGAAGTAAGAAATCAATCAGAGTATAGGTACGAGATACTTAAAAATAATGTTTTCTGTTTTACGTACATCTGCCGGCTTAATAGGTACCACTGGCAGCACGCCCCAATATACAGCACCGCAGAGTTCATTGATCACTAAACCACTCATGCACCGGCACTCCCGTTGTAAAATCGTTTTCGCGATACTTGCGATGTTAATAAGTCGTTTACCCCACCACGTCTACCACCGACATAGATTTCACGTACGATCTCTAGATATCCCCGAGCAACAATCGAGGAAGTCTTCGAATTGAACCACATAACACATCTACGGAGTGCTCGTCTCCGCCTTGGCATGAATTATACGAAATGTCAGTGGTTCTCAGCATGGGAGAAATAGCTGAATTATTCATTGATAAAGTACCAGATACGGCAATGCCCGAACGTGACGGACGTGTAACCACCGAAAGAAGCGGAAAACATTCGACTTTTCTTTAGATACCTTGAACGACTCGAGTCCGATAGCCGACTAACTACTATGATATTCGACATGCAGCGCGCGATGCACTCAAAGGGCGGAGCCACGCGAAAAGATACAAACAGCGACATCCACGAGAAAATTCGAGAACTTGAATCGCTCAAAAGTACTATTTCGATCTAAACTTAATTCCATATTCATTTGTTCACTTTTACGTATTCTTCGAATTTTCGTTCGATTCTTTCGTCAACGAAAGTGAACAAGTATTTCAAGGTTCCCTTTAATTTTATACGCTTATTCGTATTTAGCATTACTTTTTATTCAGATTTCCGATAGATGCGGTCTGACGCCGAAAGGGAAAGTGAGGCTGTGCCTCGCGTCTGCGCACAGCGTCGCGTCTTCTTGTTTGTAAGTCTTCGCAAGATGGCGTTACGAGGTTAAATGTCACGAGAACTGTCAATTCCTATATCTACGTACAAATCCAAACCGCAAATGTCAAATCGACTGAAGTAAACAGCAATCCTGTTTTACATTCTTGTTCCGCGTAATTGGTGAGTATTCTATTAAAATGATTTCCTATAATACAAGCTGATCGTATAAACGCGCAAAACAATTCCTTTTTGTCATAATTCGTACCGAAAAAGACCACAAACTTATCGCTTGCTTATTTTGAAATTAACTGTCTTTTTACATATCGTTTGTTATACAACGTATTCCTAACTTTTCAGGATGTAAAAGCAATAGCTATCGATTATTGTATTCAAGAATCATGTCAGACGAAGAAGATACAGCAATATTGTTAAACAGTGCGAACAAAACTGTCGAAACATCTATAAGTAAAGTACCAAATGAAAATTATCAATGTCTACCCACGAAAACTCTGAGAAAACCGCTTCCAAAGCAGAATGAAAATTTGACGCCGTTAACATCAGGGAATCAAAATGTGTTTGTCTCTACGGTTGCAATTCTGGCAGGTATTGCTTTTGGATGCGATATGGGTATTGCAAAACCTATAGCTCCTTTGATCAAGCACGAGTTTAACTTGAACTGCTTTGAAAAAGATTTTGTAATAAGCATTTGGTTCATTGGAGCTCTTCTTGGTGGTTTAACCGGTGGTACGTCTACAAAGATAGCTTATCGAAATTGTAAAACGAAAATATATCACGCTAACGATAATACATATTTTAGGTTTTCTAATCGATTCGTTTGGACGACGCTGGACGATGATATCGACGCTAATTTTCCTGACCTTCGGCGCAACATTGTCGGCACTGGCAAATCATTATATCTTATTACTTATCGCACGGATAATTTGCGGATATTCAGGATCCGTTTCAGCGGTAGCTCACTGCGTATATATGGCGGAGGTGTCCGATTCGAATAAACGCGGATACAATATAATGTTGTATCAACTAGGCACGGCTGCCGGATTTTTGATTTCCGTTATCGCTGCCGCTGTGAAAAACATAGATTATCAGTGGCGATTTTCCATTGGCATAACGGCTGTGCCTGCCCTGGCCGCGTGTATCGTCACCATCATATTTCTTCAACGATCTCCGCCGTTTCTACTTTACAAAAGAATGGCAAACGTTTCGAAGACGTCGTCGAAAAATGCTTGGTACACGGTATTCGAGACTCTGACAATTATGGCTTTCTTGCTGATACTGCAACAAAGCACCGGTAAACGGCAAGTTTTATATTACGCCCCAAGATTGTTCGCGCTATTAGGCATTTGTTCCAGTAAGTATTCCGGATTATAATCCTTTTGTTTGAAACGTGTTCATTTCCATCGTATTCCTTGTTTACAGACATCGCTGAAGTTACGGCATTAATATCACTTGGCATCGTCAAGGTTTTCAGCACGATGTTGTCTCTCGTCATCATTGAAAGATGCGGACGTCGAACAGCATTAATCACGTCGGCGACTATTTGCATGACAACGATATCATTGTTATCTTTACTCGCCACTATAGACAGAGGCGACGACAATTTAGACATTGTAAATACTCACTGCAAGAATCATCACACCGAGGATGTTAAAGTCCAAAATGTTTTACCTACCGGATCTCCGCCACCGTTTCCCTTACTGCCAACTCCGTTAGCCGTTATTGCCCCTAGTCCAGAAACGTGGACACAAATCAAAGCGTCTTGCGAAGTATAAGCCATTCTTTTTCGACTTCTTTGCGTCTCACTCGGTGAGATTCGTTTTAACGATAACTGTTTCATTGCAGACCCAGAATATCATTGTATCCGAGGGTCTCACCGGTGGTTTACGTATTTTAGCGGTAATAACGTTGCTCGTGTACGAAGCAGCGTACGCGTTAGGACTTGGTCCAGTGCCCCTGTTGAATCTCACCGAAGTTTTCCCTGCAGCGGTACGAGGAAGATGCATCAGTTTTATTTCCATCGTTATATGGATAACGTATATTATTGCCACAGAATCGGTTAGCGCGATGGCCAGTAAGTTTTTCTATTGAAATTTCTGTATCTTCCAAATGTATCATCAATCATGGGTCTTCTTAATACTTCATGGTTTTCTTCTTTCAGAGTCGTTAACGTTAGCCGGATCGTATCTGTTTTACAGTTTTATGTGCCTCATCACTATAGTTTACGTATTTCTACTTATCCCCGAGACAAAAGGCAAGTCTCTCCATCAAGTCGCTCAAGAGATACGAAAGAATTCTCTTGGAACACGTATATGCAATAACTTGCGTAGCTTACCGCTTATTTGTCACATCCAGTGGATAAAAAAGTATGACGGAAACGTAAGTAACGGGCAGAGTACGTTAATTTGAAAGCGAACATCTCTGCGTCGAAATAATCATATAGAATTGCAATGCGTCTGTAAAAGCATTTAAAATGTCTTCGGATTTCAATTTTTATTTTCATTACGCGACGAATTCATTTAAAGAAAAATTTACAAAATTCAGAACTTGTCAAATACGATACAGTGTTCATAAAGCATGGTACGTGAACGATACGTATAAAAATATGCTTTAATAAAATTCTCTTAACTGCCGATTATAGTACATATCACACAGTTAGGGGAAATACGAAAGATTCAACTGAAAAGACTGATTAGTTTTTTAATTTCATTCGTTCATTTCTTCTATTCGAGTAAGTTATTATACGTACTTCTCCATGATATTTTTCACTTTGCATTGTTAAACGACACGTTGCACGATACAATCACTTTTAATAAGAAATTTAGTTGAAGAAAGTGTAATTAAGAATCATGTAAACGATAGTGTAGCAAATGATACGTCTCTAAAAATGAGAATTTAAACGAACAAGTATATGTTGAACGTCACTTTACGATCAAAAATAGCACTATTTTTTTTATTGCAATATCGTACGATTTCGATAAGTAATATCTTTATACACTGACGTTATCGCATTCATTTAAATACCGTTTCTCTATGTATAACGAACACGTGCCATTTAAAGGAACGTAACAACATTATGTAAAAAGTCTTTTATTATATATAACATTGCTGTATATAAAAATAATTTTCGTATGTATAATTATTGCAGATTTACAATATTATATAGCGTAATATCGTACTTGGCAATGAGATGCAATTGATTTACATACGTAATAAAACTTAATAAAAGAAAGCATTATCTTCCTTCGTTACCTATGTAGAAAAAAAAAAAAAAAAACACAATACTAGTTTCAATTGAATTGTCTCGATAGTATAAAAAACGATTTATACACGTATGTATATTGAGAAATTTGTCATCGTGTCATGATCGATTTTAAGATAAATGTACAACATTATTTCCAACAGGAACAAAAGCTAATCGATAAAACACGGTAAAAAAATAGAAACTTTATAATGTAAAACTAAATATCACTTTCGTAAAAAAGTTTTACCCTACGAAACGAGTATATTCTGATACTTAAAACTATTAATCCTACAACTTTTTCACGCTGCTCCCGCCAAGGGATTTTCTTTTGTTCCAGGTCAAAAGTTTCGGTGGCGATAGAACCTGCTCCAAGAATATATGCCTTCTCTCTTTTAAATTTAAATCACTATTGCACAAAGACTTGTCGTTCTCGTAGATCAAGTCAGTATTCTCTCCGTTTACCTGAGATCTGTCGTTCGACGAGGTACGTTTGGCACGACCGATAGGAGCTAAATTTTCTTTATCGTGCCTCGTACAGTCGGACGTCTTCTTCAAGATCATCGATACGTTTCTCTTCGACGCCTCCGAGTCGGCGGAGACGGCTGGTTGTCCAATTTTAATAGCGTTGTTCGGCGTGACAACGTATACCAGCTGCGATTTCGACTCGAACTTTTCTTTCAACAGAGAAAACTTTCGTCTGGGAAAGTTGATAGCTTTTCTACGCTTCTCGCAGCTCGCTTCGAACCTCTCCCCGTCCCGATGATTCTTCGTCGACTGCGGGGAAATATTTGCCACGGTGTCCGGAGATTTATCTTCGACAGGCTTAGCGAGCGTTACGTTACAGGATACAGGGGGCTCGGATAAATTATTATGTACAACCTTAATGTTTTCAACAGGTACCAGAGGACTCATCTCAACGTACAGATCATTCTCCTTCGACTCCTCGTCTTTTCTATAAGCGATGGAAACCTGCTGCTTCTGCAGCTTCGCTTTGTTTCCTAGAATCGGCGAATCGGACAGTATCGCGTCAATCAACGGTGTCTTCCTGATCGATTCTATAGCACAATATCTTACTAAATCCTTAATAGCGTCTATCTCGCACTTCCCTCGGACTACAGCCTCCGAGTCGTCTAAACGATTAATATAATTCCCGTTACAGGGACCAGAATCCTTCAGATCGTTCTTGAACAACGCTCTGGTCAGCTGTGCCTTCTTGATTAAATTCTTCGGATCGAAATCCTCCCACTGCGTACCGGTTGTATGGTACACGTGTCTAGGTGAATTCTCAGCCGTATACTTCCTAATCTGATCTATCGTGTTCACCAGAGTGCTGACCGAATCGCAACCCGGTCGAGCGTACTCGTCCGTCGAGATTTCGTCGTGCTCCTCCAAGATTGTGTCCAACGCGAACATTCCGCCTTTCTCGTCGATCACCACCGGTTTAGCGATGTAAAGCATCGAGTTTTGTTCGTCCATGTCGGAGGCCCGTTTGCCAGGGACATCCTCGGTGTAGATGGTCTTCGATTCCCGAGGATCTATCAAATCGTACGCGAGCGTGTCCAGGTAGTCGTCTTGCTTCAGAATTCCTCGCAACAGCGAACTGGCGCACGTAGTGTCGGAAAACTCGGAACTGTAAGTGGTGCCGGTGGTGGTGCTCGTTAAAGTGTCTCTCCTTCTGTCCCTGACCACGCTGTCGTCGTGGATGTAGGTCTCTATGTCCGTGTAACCCTTCCAACTACGTATACACCAGGGCGGTCTGGCTACACCTAACGGGCAAACGTTCTCGTAATCGTGTATTGAGGTAACGCAGCTCATTGTCTCGTCTTTCGACAGCTTCTCCGTTTCGGAAATTTTCTCGCAAGCGTTGTTGAACATCGTCGGTGTTTTCAATCTGTCCCTCAGTACGGCGATACCGTTCAGATCGTCGCATACGTCGGCGAGAGAACGTTCCTTTAACTCGTCGCGTTTCTTATCCCCAGCAACCTTCTCCTCCGAGTTGTCCTCCATCTCCAGGATCAGCCGGGTCGAGAAACAGATCGCCCGTCTCTTTTGCAACGGGAGACAAGAGTCGTCTTCCGTGGATACATCTTTGTCTATGTCCAAACCGTGCGTCGTTGGTAAACAAATGCCTCTACGTTTTTGACGATGAACGTCCTCCTTGGCGTCGTTGCACTCATCGTCCTTTTCCGATACAGGAAAAGCGTTCTTCGCTAATGCGTTCGATGAAATGTTCTTGTCTTTTGAAAAGTTGCTGTGCGCCGACTCGCATTCGGACACAACGCAAACGGCAGTCTGCGATTCGTTCTCGGTGGTGCAGCTTTGATTCGCGACGCCGCTTTCCGCGCATTCCGAGTTCTGCACGATGTTTGTTAACAAAAATTGTTTGTCCGTCGTGGCTTCTTCCGAGGTGGCCACTTGAGAGCGATCGATAGAACAGGACGAGGATGCGAACGTGTTCGGATAATACTGTTTGAAAGATCTAGGAGTGGCGGCTTTGTTGGTTACCATCTCGGACCTCTTCTCGTCGTTCCTCTTAGACGCGTCTCCGAACTTCGACGGGTGAAATTTTCCGTAATAAACTAGCATACTCGACAAGCCGATCATCATCCCTCCGATTATCAAGCTCGTTATTATCGCTATCTCCTCAGACTTTATAGCATCTTTGAAACACAATACGTACACGATTAAGAACACCACGTTCTCTGTCACGATGATCGAATAAAAAACAAGTACTCTGTACCGAGACTTGCCTACGCGCAAATTGAAAAAGTCGAAGCAATAAATAAATCCTATGATACAATTATAAATACGTTCTTCCCAAACGGTAGGGCAAAAGTCTGTGTTCTGAAGAATCACCCAAATGGTCATTAACAGCCAATGGAGTCCTGTAATAATTAGAGAGGGAATGCACATTGTGATTGGCTGTATAAAATTATTTTGAATGGTGTTACAACGGTATGCTTACCAAGAAACAATAAAGACCATTCTCTTAGACAAAGGGCTGTTAGAACCAACACAGCTATCCTAGATATTAGCATTCCAGCTCGCCAGAGACCTTGTAGAGTTAATACAACCCATGTGGCTTCGTTATGACCTGGGTTTATTTTCTGCATTGCTCTTGTGTATGTACCGATAGCCCAGCTCAAAGAACAAAAGGACACCATGGCAGATAAACCTGTTCGATTATTCGTTTAAAAATTATAAAAATTCACACTTTGAATAACATTTAATTTCTCATGTGTCATTTAAGTTCTCATTTTGTCAAAACGATGGATTTTCTCAAATCCTCTGATAAGCAACAGTGACAGTGAAAGCCATTCTATTTTCAGCACCTGAAACACCCACCCTACTCAGGCAAGAGAACATTATTTTTAAAGTTATAGCCCTGCATGCTTTTCAAATAGAATGTTAAATTGAATCTTGATGTATTCTATCAAAGCAGATAGAAGGCTGTCAATGATATCTTTGCTCCTGTCTTTGTTATCTTTAGGGGGCGGACAAAAGGAAGTCAAACTATGGAGCCTCTGAATTTCAGTTTTTTCTTAAATTATAACATTATGAAAAGTGTTATAATCTTGTTATTGAAGGCTCTATGTATGTAAAGAAAGAATCAAATTCGTAAATTCAAAACTTAGCTCAATAATACGTTTGTTATTGTTAGAAACAAAGTATTTATACATTTCTAGTAACATGTTTTCAGGATTACAAGTAAGTACTCCTTTATTTACTGATAAATAATAGAATACTTTTATACTGAAAATGTGTTTTCTTTACAGAGGCAATTTACCTTACCGAAGTTAGTTATGATATTTACCATAATATTTATGTCATTTATACTTTTACTGAGTTTACTCTGCAACTCGTGTTTACATACAAGTAAACACTTGAAAATCATAAGTTATATTAATAGCCAAAATTACAAACACAGCAGTTTAATTAATAACAAATCTATTGTAACTACTCTATCAATGGAAGAAATGAAAAACGTAAGGGCTCAATTAAGTAACAGAAAAAATGAATTAGAACAGTATTGTCAAATCATTAGTAGAAGTGATTCAAATCTGGACAATGTACTGTCTAATATGATTATTGATACGTGAGTATGGAATGATCTACCATACTTGTTTTTTAAAATATATGTATTTATTCAAATTTAAAATTCTGTAGAGAACACGGGATATCATGGTGTCCCATCTATAAGGCAGCAAGTTCTACTTGGATGAAACATTTTGCTACACTTGGAGGTGTATTAACAGAAACAGCTATGGAATTAATTCGTCGAGATGTGCTACAGATAAATACCATTGTTAGAAAAGCATTTCCACGCGATCGAGATATCAAGAGGGCATATCAAGTATGTGATATATAAATAATCCATAATGTTAAAATTACATTTTTATCGCAGAGATATTTTTCAAAATCATATTTTTCATTACAGAAATTAAATAAAACGAAAAAATTTCTAATTGTACGCCACCCGTTTGAACGTCTTGTATCCGCATATAGGGACAAGTTAGAACACATCGAAGGAAGAGATTATTATTATAAAAGATTCGGACGTCACATTGCACACAAGTATCATCAATATAGAAAACCAAATGAAACCCAACTTGAACCAACATTTACAGAATTTCTTCAGTTCATAGCAGAAGAAAAATACTTTGACGAACATTGGGCACCGTTTGTCGATACATGTGAACCTTGTCTAATCAAGTATAACTACATTTTGAAATTTGATACTTTTGATAGGGATCAAAAGTTCTTAATACAAGAGTTAGGTTTAAATCAATATCTGTATGAAAAAAATGATTTGAAAAATATAAATCCACGTGGAGTTACAACAACTACTTTAGTTAAAGAATACATGCAAAACGTTCCTAGGTCACTGCTTGATAAAATTAATAAGGTTTACGAAAATGACTTTAAACTTTTCTCCTATTTACCCATTTAATAAGTACAAGTATTTAATAATAGAGATGAAACCATTAATGTGATAAATTTATGCATTTAACGCTTGGTAATGATACTTAAGCAATAGCGATTTTTACCATAGAGATAACAGCTGTAGGATTTTATAATTAAAATAACCATGTTAACTGTTCTTACTTGTGCATGGTGGTGTACGATGTAATACTGCCATGACATATAATTGCAATATTAATTGCGGAGCAGCTCCCATAAAAGACTCAAATAAGTGTAGCATGCATATGTCACTTTCCTGTCTATATACCCAATTTTTATCCTTCACAAATCGTTTGCTCCTTAACGAATATATTGTAGCGTAAAGTAAAATTAAATACCTAGAAATAAAATTGTTCTCTCTCAAAAAAAAAAGGAACAAAAAAGTAAATTATAAACTGATATAAATAAGTTTTAAAATAATACCTGTGTAATACTCCTAAGAACAAAAAATGTAATGCCCAATGTATACTTTTAATAGAACCATCACTGTGATACCATCTCAAGCTAAACATCTGAATAACACCTGCAGGTAGAATTGTAAAACTCAAAGCAAAGCATCCCCAAATAAACTGGCCTTGCAAAAAGTATTCCATAAATATAATACTATCTATAACAAAAGTATTTTATAGGCTTTTTACATGCATGCAATAAATACATTAATATTTTTTATTATTTTAAAAAGTTTGATTTTTTTTCATGTTACAATCTATGTTTACTGTTTATATAAAAGTTAAAAAGTTATCATTTGTGTATGAATGGTTTTAATAAAAAAAGGAAAAATGTTTAATCGAAGTCCATACTCCTTATATACGGTATTAAATATAAATAAATGATAATAAAAACTGAATAAAATTAGTGGCATAATTACAACAATACCATAACTGTCATTATATCACAAAAAGTATACAAGTATAAACAATGTATATAGAATTATAAAACCTTTTACATTTCACGTTATACATAGAATGTTGTGAACATAAATTGATTTGTCAATGATTCTTTATATTTATTAACACATATTCATTGATAAACTTCATTATCTTTCATTAAAACAAAGACAAGTATAGTAAACTTTTATTCTTCATTCACCTGTTGCTAAGTCCATGAAAAAAAAACTGACAGAAGTCAAATAGTAAAATAAGTCTAACAATCGGAATTGATAACATTCTATTTCTCTATGTAGTGTCACTGTCGATACATTTCTCTTCACAGTTTCATAAGATGAAACATTATCATGTTTTAACTCTGCCGCCGCCATCTTCCCGGCCATTTTTCATTTAATTTTACACAACAGATCAAAGAACGCGTTCTTAAATCAGCTGCATATTTTCAATTTCTTTTTTTTTATTCCTTTACAATCAATAAGAACATAAAAAAACATTTTTAATAAAAGTGTAAATGCATTTTCTTCTAGAAGTAAATTATTAACAAAATTGCAAAGTATTAACGTTATAATGATTACGATTATCAACAGTTTAAACCAATCCTAATTCGAATCATTATTTTCAAATCATTTTCTCCAATCCAAAACTACTCGCTTGTATTATATATTGAGCGGTTTTTATAAAATATCGTGCCATGTGCGACCGATACTTGCGTACTTTTCTTTCAAGTCGCATCGTATTTTTAAATAAATTTCTCAAAAATGCAACAGTGAGTGTAATTAAAGTGAGAAAGAACGTTCTTACAGTTTAAAATAAGTCAAAATGGTCATTTTTTTATTATTAGAACACATCACTATCATACATATGGGAACTGATAAATTGTTATAGAAACGGAAGAGATTGTAAAAGAATATGTTCGTTAATCATCATCCGGTTAAATTAATGTTATATTTATATGCATATACGCAATTATAGCGCGCCTGCGCATACTTATATGCATGTTTCAATTTGACTGTGAAATAAAATATGGCGAACATTTGATGACTAGACGTATACGTACGGTCTGGTGTTAATAGATAGTTGTTTTTTTGCTAACATACTTTCATTTTTGAGAGTATGCCCGTCATTCGATCATCGACATAAATCGTACCGAATTATAAATCAAGGGAAGCAGTAATTTGTTGTAGATGTTAACCTTGTAAAGGAAAAAAAAAAAAATTTGACTGCACGCAGAAGTAAATTAAAATTTTGAGCAAAATCAACGATGCCATTCATTTTGGAATCACGTTGAGTAATCTGCAGAATGTGAGGATAACCCGTGAAATATTTGTCAGATTTCACAGTTTTTAAGACATGACACTTTTCTGCAAAATATTTGTATTTAAGAGATATTAGTAAGACTTAGAAATCATCGGTTAAAGGTATCGTCATCGATTCTCCTGAGTGGTAAAGTATATAGAAATGTTCATTGTTCTTAAACACATTAATAGAAATATTAAAATACACACTACTAATTGTTATTAAAATATTTCTTGTAGAAAGAAGGATAGGATAGGCATGTTATGTTAGTGAAAAGAAGTCGGCACATCATGTACAGTTTTGAAGGAGATTACAGGCGCAAACCTCAACAAAATTTAGCAGGTGCAAGCAGAAGGGATGAGAAGTCTGTTCTGTTGCAGCACGCGCAATTAGAACGTTTGAAAAGGGAGCAACAGCGTAAAAGACATAATGCTGCATTAAAAATTCAAGCCCTTGCTCGTGGTTTCATCATAAGGAAACATAATAAGACAGCCAAGAGAAAAGAGTTTGATGAAGAGCAACAAATAAGTGGACGCAAAAATTTAAATCTAGATGAGTTAGCACTGTATTTTCGAAAATTACTATTCTTTTATGATCATAATTTGGATGCTAGCAGGCTAGTTTGGATATTACAACATTTTTTAAAACATCAGCAAGAAATTAAACAAAAATGTGTAACCTCTGCCAAATGGTTATGGAAATTAAGGTAAATTCCAAGAACAATATCATAAGTATATTCTTTCATTTCTTGTGTGATAATACGGATAAAATACATTATTCTTATAGATGGATTCTTCGTATGTGTATGCAACACAACTCTGAAGCCTTAATGAGTGGAGCTTATTCTTTGGCTATACCATTGAGATCATTAGAAACATTTACAAGCCGAGAAGATACGGAAAAAGTTCTACGTGAGAATAGTTATAAGTATTTAGAAAACATCTTTATCTATTTGATAAAACATAAATACTTTGATCAATTAAGAAAATTGATAGATGATAAAGTTCCGTGTATGTTGGAATCAACGCCTGTCGCACCAACTCCAATTTCGAAATGTTTGATGGATATGATAAAACGACCATTGGATTTAATTTCTTATCTAGAACAGGACGACGATTTTTCTATGCTTGTTCTGCAAGAATTTTGTAAAAGTATACTGTCACCCAGGCTGTCCGATCCAATTAGAATGTTCGTCATTCCATCGTTATCTGAATTCGTAGAATTTCCGTATACTCAATTAATCGAATGCATCAATAGAATCGAAATAGAGCCCACGTTAAGTTTACTTTATTCCATTTTGTCTTTGGAATCGAATCGATTTTGTAAGTATATATAAAATGAAATATCTAACGAAGAAGACATTATCTAACGAAGTTCATTCTTTCTATTACAGTTACATGCAAATCTAAAGATGTTCTCATCAATTATTTGCAAGTCCTCGCGTCCATGAGTTCGACGATAATACCTTTGGCTGTCGAAGAAAGCATGGAACAAGCGGATGATTCGGATTCGGAATCAAATACCAGCATGATCGATCAAGAACAAGCTGATATTTTGCATCAATGCATAGAAATGTTGAACGAACAGCAACGGGTTCAGGGAATACTCTTAGCCGTGGATCGTAGCGTAGACCCTGACGTGTTGCAACCGTTGTGCCAGCTCTGTCATCACTTGCTAATCACCAACAAATTAGCCATCCATAAGTATAAACTATTATATATGCTCGCTTTCAAGCCGGTCTTCTTAAAGAATTTATGGACCGCGCTGCTATCGGTTTGTCAAGTATCGTTGTTCGGAGGAGCAACGCCTCTTCTGCAGATTATCTCGCGAGGGATCAGTCTCTCTACCGAAGACACAAAGAAAATCGTACCACTGTTAGCCGTATTTTGTTCGCTATTTAGTCTGCTTATAGCAACGTTACACGATACGGAATTTTTTATTCAAGCAACCGAGCAACCGTTAGATACAAACGGACAACATACGATGCCGTTTACAACGTCGGAACTGGTAATGCTGTCGAGTCATTTGAAAGGAGTTTGCTTGGGTTTGGTCGAGCTTGCGTTTCCCGACAATCGACCGACCGTACGGGACGATTACAAGACCGCTGTTCTCGGTCCGTCCTGTCCAATACAGAGCCAACAGGATACCCAAATGTGGACGCATTTGTTTAAAGTCACGGTCGGTTTGCTACGGCAGTTGCACATGCGAGATTTACGGAGGCAATTTTGTCCTGACGGACACTGGATAGCATCGAATATCGCGATACCGATCGACAAACCTCAAGATTTCACGTTTCGCAGACGCAGGCTCAGGGGATACGTACCCTTCCAAGGTCTTCGGGTGTTCACGCGCGAAGAGCTAGAGGAAGGACCGCCGCTATCAGCAAAGGAAGTTCGAACATTGACGCTGCTACGCGAGATACCGTTTGTTGTGCCATTTAACGACCGAGTTGTGGTATTTCAGTCGCTGATTTATCGTGACAAAACGGAACAGCAAGGTGAATTGACCCACTTCATGCAAGGACCGTCGATACAAATATCGGTAAGAAGGAACTATCTGTACGAGGACGCGTTTGAAAAATTGTCACCGGAAAACGAGCCAGAATTACGATTAAAAATGCGCGTACAGCTGGTTAATACAGCCGGACTTGAAGAGGCCGGCGTAGACGGTGGTGGTCTGTTTAGAGAATTTTTATCGGAATTGTTAAAAACCAGCTTCGACCCTAACAGAGGCTTTTTCAGGCTCACCAAGGATAACATGCTGTATCCAAATCCTACGGTACAATTGTTGGTCGACGATTTCCCGAAACATTATTATTTTATCGGTAGAATTCTTGGAAAAGCTTTGTACGAGAATTTGTTGGTCGAACTACCGTTCGCCGAGTTTTTCCTCTCGAAAATCGTTGGTCGTCAATCGGACGTTGACGTTCATCATTTAGCTTCCTTAGATCCGATCATGTACAGGAATCTATTATATTTGAAAAGTTACAAAGGAGACGTTGCCGATCTCGGTTTGGATTTCACCGTATTGTCGGACGAGCTGGGCGAACGACGAATCGACGAGTTGAAGCCGAGCGGTGCGAATATACCCGTGACGAATCACAACCGGATCGAGTATATTCATTTGATGGCTGATTACAAACTGAACAAGCAGATCAGGGCGCAGTGTTACGCGTTCAAACAGGGCATCGGTAGCGTGATCCCTCTCGATTGGTTGCAAATGTTTAATAACAAAGAGCTGCAAGTATTGATATCAGGTGCACAGATTCCGGTCGACGTGAACGACTTAAAATTGCATACAAACTACACGGGAGGCTACGCCCCCGATCATCCGACGATCACTGCCTTTTGGAAAGTCGTCAACGAGTTCAGTGACCAACAGAAAGGACAGTTGCTCAAGTTTGTAACGAGTTGCAGTCGACCCCCTTTACTTGGATTCAAGGTACGAATCGATTAAACAATTCCTGGTGAACCGATACCTTCATCTATCTTTATTTCTTTTAGGAACTTGATCCACCGTTTTGCATCCAACACGCGGGCAGCGTCGATCGTTTACCAACTTCCAGTACCTGTATGAATCTACTAAAGCTCCCGGAGTTTCCGGACGAGAAAACGTTGCGCGAAAAACTTTTATACGCGATCCAAGCTGGTGCTGGTTTCGAATTGAGTTAAACTCGATAATACTTGACTGTACATAAATTGTAAGCGTAATCAAGTGAATGTTTAAGAACAATTATTCGCAGTTCCGTGAATGTTGTTTCGTTTACGTTTCGTGGACAAGCGATTTGATTCGATGTTAATTACTAAGCGCTTCGAAACACGCTACGCTCGTCTGATACGACACGATCACGAGTATCGTTTGAAACACTTACCCGCCGAAAGATCGACGTTTTAGTTATCATGGGTAGGGCAGAACGATTTAAGAAATCTTCGTCAATATGGCAATAAACAACGTAACATTGTCAGGAGGGGCCAATTAATTAGGTAGTATCTTCTAGAAAGGCTACCGATACTACAGTGAAGAGATGTGTATTATTTATAAGAGTACATTTAATTTACTTTAACCGACGCGTATGAACTTATACACATGCATATATACACATACACAGACAACATAAATATTTTGTTGGTTGTAACTTTCTGCCCTTGGCCTATAAACTGTAAATTGTGTATATTTTTTGTATTCATCATAAATGTCGACACTCTGCTACATAAACATTGAATGTATAGGAGAGAAATAGAATATATATATATATATACACGTATATCTATATCTATATATATATATATGTATTTATGAATTCGTTAGTGTAAATAAATGGAAATTCTGAAGTGTTATATACATTTATTACAAATACGTAATTTGAATTTAACAAACAGCACTTTTACATGCGTACAATAGTTATAAATAAATGGGAAGGGATTTCAGTTAAAACCATATAGAATTTCAAGTAGATCGTTTATGTTGTCATAACGTTACAATATGTTCACCGGGTCATGTTTTCACATGGCGATCATCCTTAGATAATGTATCTATAAAAATGGCACGCACATTTAGTGCTAAAGCTTATGTCATTTGTGTAACATGGCGGCCAACGAGAATAGCAACTTTCAGAAAGTTTTGGAGTTCAAAATTTACAAGTGCTCCAGCTTTTCTTCTTCTTACGTGCCAGAGTAAGGGTTTCTTAACGATTAAACAATTTTTTTTCGAATAGAAACATTGTAATTATGAATTGATATAGAGTTGTTACTAACTAACGATTCCCTAACCTAAATTAACGGTTATGATTAGGTACAAGACACTATATATTAGAATTATACAATAAATAATTGAACCAATTACGCCGGATTTCTTATAAACAATTAACTTAATATTTCCATTTTCTTTTTTTAGGAATATTCTTGTAGATAAACCATCGGATCAAACGTCGCGCTGGTCTTCTGATATTGACAATCACCCACAGGTAAACATTGTTCGAAAGTAATATGGTTTACGTTTAGAAAATCGAACAAAATTTATAACAACTTTTTTAAAGATATTCGAATCACGAATTTTCGATTAATTCGTTGAATAAGCTTAACGTTTTTTTGCCGTTCAAATTATTTAACCAAAGAAAAATGTATACAATGAAGGTCCTAATTTTTCAGTTTCTTATATTAAAATTACAATGTCCTTCGATCGTGAAAAAAATTACATTTGGTAAATATGAAAAAACACATGTATGTAACATAAAAAAGTTTAAAGTGTACGGTGGTTTAGAAGCAGAAAATATGATGGAACTTTTAGAAAGGTGAGTACAATGTTTATTGTTTAAACTGATAGATATTTGTGCTGATCAGCAATTTTCTTTTTTTTAGTGGACTAAAAAATGATTCTATACCAGAAACATTTGATTTAAAACACATATTAGGAAACGAGGAAAATTACTTTCCAGTTAGGTATATAAAGATTCTTCCATTGCAATCGTGGGGTCCTAGTTTTAATTTCTCTATCTGGCACGTACGCTTAACTGGCACAGATGATTACAAAATTGTGAGGCCCAGTATTGAATGGCTCAACGCGGTAAACATACTACGACAATTTTCAATAATTAATGCGTATATACACGGTAAAAACGACTTATTTCACGTTTCAGTATCGCCAAAAAGAGGTAATAAGGTTGTGTATGAAACACTTCAGAAAGCTTGAACAACCAGAGATTGTAGAGACTTTACAAAGAGTTACCGGTGTTCCACTGGAAGATTCTAGATTGACAGGGTTATACGATTTATTAGTTACAAAGGGTGATCATTTACAAGCCGAATGTTTTATAAGTAACGCCGTAATGAGTGAGTTCTTTCTGTTCAGTTTCTCCTAAAAAAAAATTGTTTTTATTAAAAATTTATACAATGTATTATGCTACAGTGGGTCTTTTAAACGATTACATCAACGCTCAGACGTATAGAGCAGTTTGGACAAAATTATCATCGAACGATATTAAGCCAGGAATGAGGGGTGGTCATCAAATGGTGCTTGATCCAACCGCGGAGCTTTTATACTTGTTCGGAGGTTGGGATGGAAATCAGGACCTCTCAGATTTGTGGTCCTATAGTATAGCTTCTAATAAGTGGACCCTTATATGTAAGGATACAGAAGCTGTGGTGAGTTATCAATAAAGGATCCATGTAAGCTTTGATAGAGAATTTAAAGATGAAATTGTAGGGTGGTCCGAGCGCAAGGTCTTGTCACAAAATGTGCCTTGATCCGAAACGTAGACAACTTTTTACGCTTGGTAGATATTTGGATGCCGGATATAGAACGCCGGATAACTTGAAGAGTGATTTTTACGTATACGATATCGAATCGAACAAATGGACACAAATATCGGAAGATACGGGAGCTGTAGGGGGTCCTCAATTAATTTTCGATCATCAGATGTCCATGGACATTGAGAAACGCACCATTTACATATTTGGCGGTCGAATTTTAGTCTCCCCGACGAAGTAAGTTTATCGATGCTATTATAACGATCAATATTTTAAACCATTTATTTAATTTCCAGTTCCGAAGAACACGGTATGATGTCGAGTTCAACCGAACCAATCTTTTCTGGATTGTATTCTTACCATGTACCGACCGGTACTTGGAACAGACTTGCCTGTGATATTGCCAGACCGTGTCCACCTAATGTACCAACAGTTATGTCCAGAGCCGGTCATTCTATGTTATTCCATTCGGTATATATCCGAACAATTGTATAATACGACGACGTTCAGTTTGAAATTGTAAAACTGTACTTTTCTTTTCTCCAGGGATCGCGAAAATTATACATTTTCGCGGGTCAAAGGGGTAAAGAAGATCTCAGCGATTTTTTTACCTACGAAGTTGACACAAACCATATCGAGCACATCTTCAACGATTTTGGTGCAAAAGACTCGAATCACGTTCCAACAGCAGGCTTCACGCAAAGAGCGACCATTGATCCTGAGTTGGGAGAGATATACGTTCTATCGGTTCGTTTGGTCAAACTTTTATCGTTATCGTTAGAAATAGATAGAAATGAAATAGAAACATCTTTCAATGTCTTTCGATTGCTTAGGGTTTAAGTAAGGACAAAGTAAAGAGGTCCGATAGCGTGCAGCATTCTTTTTGGGTGTACAATATTAAGAAGAACAGGTGGTCTTGCATCTATCGAAACGATAACATCGGAGAAAAATATTGGAATAGAATGCAAGATTTCGAACCGTGTCCACGATTCGCCCATCAATTAGTTTACGATCACGTGAAAAAGGTTTGTCTCTTCTTTTACCATATGTTCGCCAAGTTCTCCTGCTTGGTATGTAATTCTTTATACGTATCAGGTTCACTATTTGTTCGGAGGGAATCCCGGACGAGCTTGTCTTCCAAACTTACGGCTCGACGATTTTTGGCAATTGAAATTATGCAGACCGTCCCACGAGCAGATCCTAAAACGATGCAAGTTACTAATACGAAAGCACAAGTTTGAAGAGCTGGCTTTGAACAACAGCGTCGAAGCGTTGGAATACTTGCAGACAAAGGTATCGGAAATCATCGATCATAACGATGTGGAACAAACAAAAGAGGTACTAAACAATTATTCTTGTCAGCAAAAGGATTCAATACACATTGTTTTATACCGCATTCTGAAATTTATGCATTTCTTCGTTACAGTTTCAATTGTTAACGTCTATTTTATTCAGAGAACAAAACTCCTTACTAGGAGAAGCCGCAAATTCGAACAGTTCAGACGCCGTATTAGGAAATTTAGTTAACATGGATACAACGTCGTTGTATTGTCCGACGACGCGCGATATTCATACATTAAGGATCGAATTGTACGATAAACTGACGGAATTCTTTCCCGAGTCACTAACGCAACCTCGTGCTAATCTGATCGATCTTTTGCCATTATGATCAAACAGTGATTGAAATTCGATTACTCGGTACGTCTGTAAAATGTAAAGCAAAGAGATTCCTTTTGTTTCCTTGTACAAATATTTTCTACGATATCGAAACCAGTTTTAACTTCGAGAAGGGAAACGTTATTTTTTTAGTCTAATTCTTTGTATCGTTTGAAGAAAGGAATTTTCAGAGACACCGACATCCGCGTATATCATACATGCATATACATATATACATATACGCGTATACATAAATTCAGTTCGATTTATTTTGCATAAAAGATAGCTTGAGGTACACAGATACTAATATATATATTCTTTATTGTGATATGATTAAACAACGGATTATATTAAGAGACAAAGATGATAATACACTTACGTTAAATAGTGTCTTTTTGTATTGAGTTTTCGTTTTGCATTGGATTGTTATAGGCTGCTTTCGTAGTACGTAGATTTGTTAAATTTATTTGTAAATTTTATTTTATAAAGAAAAGCGTAACGAGAAAAGTATTATAATTATTCATACACTAGTACCGTTAGATCGTTCGTGCTTGAGCCGCATTACCAACAAACCGAATTACCGTACATATACGGGGATTAACACTTGTTCGTGATTTATTTTCAACGTATACATAGCTATCGGTGTTCACGCGATTAAGGAAAAGATAGCTCTTTCTTTGATCATCAACACCCTGTATAGTTAGAAGAATATTTCTCCGAGTTTCAGGAAACAAAAGCCCGTCAATCATTGTAAACGCTGTTATAAAACTAGATACGCGTTTCAAATCATATTATACATAATTCCTCTATTTTTTATGGCTTCGCTCTGTTTATTATTTCAAATATATTGTACAGTTTAACGGCCGCGAATCGTGGTGTACGGAATAGCTAGGACTACAGAGATAGTTATTTGTATTTCATGGTGTGAATCTACCATAAATGTTTCGCGATAAACTTAGATAGACGCTGCGAGATACACATGGCAATAATACGAAATTATTTTTTATCTTCCTCGGTCAAATTTGCTATACATATTATAGATAAGTCTACGTATATTGTATGTACAGGGTGTTTGAAAAAGAAAAGCTGGTGTCAAATCTAAAAAGGTGCATCGTACTCGTCGGACTTATATTAATTTGCTATTGCAAATATAATAGATTAGACGAATAGATGAATGTAGTGCTGGACATCTGAAACCAAAAACGGTGGGTTTACATCATTTCTATCGAACAGCCTGTACATAAAAGGTAGCTGGTTGCGCACTTTTGTTTCTACCATCTTGTACATATCCTATGATCGTTCTAAGATCATAGGGAGTGATAGCTAATGCCAGCGTTACTGTTAATCCCTTTGTACTATAAGCGTTATCTTATGATACACGTAAATGCGCTGTCAGGCATCGCGGAACATCTTTGTACATAGCCATCGCTTCGGTATCGTTGTAAGCATAAATCACAGATCTAGCATTGTAAAACATAAATGCCGAGATTGTGATCGAATCGCGTAGCTTGTTGACTGTTCGAGATGCATGGAAAGCGTGTTCAAGCGTGCCCTTTGTATATAACTGTAAACGCTAACGAACGGAACGATTGTGTAATTTGGTTCTAAGTTAAGATAACGAAGCATCGCGAACGAAGAAATTCGAGACAGCAAGCGAGAAACGTTTGAGGAAAGAAAGAAAATTAACGCCTGTCTTAACGAACGTCTTTACGATCTTTCTCCGATCATTTTCAAATTTATAGAAGGAAATACTCTATCGAAACGTGTTCGATAGTTAGAGATCCGTTTAATCCGTTTAATCGAGAGAGAAAGTGAGATAAAACATTATCTTCCACAATGTTATTCATGAAATGACGAAATATCAGATTTATCTCAGGATCTTATTCGATCGTTTTATTACCATACTCGACAAGAACGTTGAATAGAGTTCTAATGACGTGATATTCGAAGTTCTAGTCAACTAATACCTACGATTACGAGAAAAACAAAAGGGAAGGGAACGGTGTGATTTCTAGTACGATTAAGGATCATACTTGTACATTATAGCGCTCTATACTTCCATCCTGTTTGTACGACCTATTTGTTTTTACCGAACATCCTAGACTGTTGGTTTTCCAATTGTTTATCGCGATAATGCGTATAGGAAAAACGAAACGAATTGTTGTTTTCCAAACGATCGTTCTCTTTTTTCTTTTACCGCGAGATTTTTTTGCTATCGTATCGTTTACACGACTCTACGCGTTCAAACAATATAATCCCTTTCGTTAAGCATATAACCAGATGCATTTATTTTGAATCTTGTTATCGTTTGTTGACCGTCGTTTCAAATTGTACCGAGTTGAACACGAACGTGTGCGTCACGTATGTACATATGAAATAAAAAAAGGCGAATGTTTTGCAAGAATTACATATTTATTGTACTTGAATTTTCGTAGTTATCGATCTAATATCCCGCCATGCCGCCATATTTGATTACTTTCGATCGATCGATTCGCCAAAAACAATTGCCAATTCGCTCGGTCCGACTCCGTCTATCAACCGAAAAGTTTTGCGTTCGCGTTGAAACATAATTTACGTGCAATTAAAATAAAAGCAATTAACAAAAATGACGGATACGATGGAAAGTGGAACTATGTCCAGCGAAACGGTTTTGACCCATAATTTAAGCGGTCAATCGGAATTTAAAGAATTTCTTAAGAGGTCGAACGCTTTTAGGTTACAAACGGTATATTTTCACGGTTTATTTTTTTGTTGAATCGTTGTTAATTCCATTACGCGTATTGTATGTCAAAATATTTTTTTCAAGGTTGACACCGAAGAAATGCGCGACGTATTAAAATCAGTAATCGCTAGAACGAAGATCGAACACGAGAAAAAGGGGAACAAGTGTCAAACGACTCGCAAGTGTCGATTACAACAGCCTCAGAGTTTCTATTTCGAAAAGCTGAAAGAGTTTGCGAACAAATTACCCTCGAATACTCTTCTACTTGTATGCGAGATTTCAAAATGCGCGCGAATATTCGCAATCGAAATATTTCTACACGATTCGATATTACGTCGTTTAGGAGTGGGAGAACAACATACGCAATTTAGTGACGCCCAGTCTTCGAAACAAATATGCGGGTATTTTTGAGGAACAAATGGAAGAAACCAAAAGACGTTATTACGAAGCGATGCACGATGCAACTGTGAAACAAGTGGTAGCGATCGAATGTCAAGAAATGTGTAACGAGGATTTGAAAGGATTCCCGCCGTTTAAGCTAGCCGGCCGGACAGATCTGTATCCTAAGTATTTGAAAAATCGTTGCGCGGTAAAAAGACAATATTATCTACCCCATAGATTGATGAGGAATATTGTTGCTAAAACATACACCCTGATGCCACGATGGATTTGCGATTTCGGACGTTATCGGAAGCTTGGTTATCTTGATTTTAACAGGTTGTATATTTGAATTCCTACAAGCGTTGCGCATGCGCATGTGCAATCGCGATGTCGCGAATTTTCACATTCGCGCCATGTTTGCAATGAATTTTATCCATTCACTTATTACACAAGCGTACAAACGAAACGTACAATTAATGTTCAACACATTTAACATTTTCTGGAACGTTTAAGATTCTTGGATTTGGTGGAAACGGATACGAAAAAAGGCGCTCTCGCAGTGAGCAGTGGCTACTATGGTGACATCGTGCGACTTATCTCTCAACCGCGCTATCTTCACGACGTACCTCCACCCTCGATGCGACCGTTCCTCAACTGTGCAAATAATCTGCTCGGCCTTCAAGTGGAAACATGCATGATAAACACCATCGTATATCTACTTGAAATCTTAAATGACCCGCACACCGTACCATTACTAAAAGTATACAACTTACACGCTTTATTGATCAATATGAAAACTACCCAAAATTGAATTTTATCCATCGTTTAAAGAAATATTTTATCTTTGCAGGTGCAATTAAAATGCGAGAACAACGAGTTGTTTCTTAGCCCAACGTTGCATGAAATTTACATGGCATTCCGCACTATCGTTGGAAATATCGGTAACATTGGTCAACAATTACCGCCGTTAGATTCATGGGTAGGCGTGAAAATCGATCGCGCCTACATCAAAGTCGTTTTACCTGAATGGTATCTGGAAGAAACTCATCAACGGCTCGCTGAAGTTCTACAACATACTTTTCAACCCTTAAACGATTACGTCGACGAACTACGTGAGAAGTTCAAAGTTGTTTTCGATCCGGGAACACACAAAAACATTACCACTTACACAGTTGGTACAGGGCACACTTTCCAAGAATGCGTGGCCAAGGTGGAAGATTTTAATCGATTTATCCGAGATATAAACGGCATGGTAATTAATACGATCGAGTAATAAAATTATTGGAGCGAAGCTCCGCTATTAAACGATTGGTCGCGATTTTTGTGATTTTTTTGTGAGGGTAAACATTTTTCAAGCTCCCAAACTCTAATTAACTAATCGAGAAATACATTTTCCAGCTGGATCACGAGTACTTTCCCACGGGAACGATTTACCAGGTGGATGCGAAAGTAGGTCTTCTCCATTACACGGGACAGGTGCGCGAATTAATCATCGAGGAACTCATTAAAACTCATTGGAACTACAACACTGAAATTTGCAATGCGTTCGAAGACATAAGAGAACGAGCCTTGAACGTGCCCACTACTACCAAAGAATTACTAGAATTGGGTAAATTTTCTGTCGAATAATCTAGGGTTGAAACAAAAAAGAAACGCTTCCATTTTAGGCGAATACATGTTAATGGCTGCATCGACGTTGATGAAGGCGCTGGAAGAGAAAATCACTGTGTCGTTGCGCATGCTGGCTTCGTTGATCGAAATGACTGCATTGTCCAAAGATCACATAGAGTTAAATAATACCACTGTACATTGGCTAAAGCGGATAAGACCGATATTCGAACAAAACAGCGCGGTGTACGAACAAACGAAGTACGAGCTGGAGGAGAAGCTTCACAGAAAGGTCGAGAGCTTGAACGCGGACGTTGAAAGTATGTTTCCTAGGTGAGTTGTTCGGCTAGGAATTAACTGCTCTTTTCGGCCGATAGAACTAATCCTTTCCAATCCTTAGATTATCTAACTGTTAGAATGACTGTTACACAGATTAGAAATAATGAACGATATGAACGACGCGAATCGAATACACGAGTACATAGAATACATGCGAAAATTCGCGCGGGACTTGGATCGCGCGGACGAGAGGGTGACGTGGATCAACGAAGAGGAGAAGCTTTTCCAATACGCTGTCTCTCAGTATCCGCGCATCAAAGAGCTGAAAGAGAACATAATGCCGTATTACGATCTGATTTACCGCGGCTTTCAGTGGCAAAGACACCGCGACGTTTGGTTGGATGGGCCGTTCGAGTATCTCGACTCGAACGTGATCGAAAACAAAACCACCGAATACTTCACCGATTTCAATAAGATCAATAAACAGTACAAGACGAAAATCAAAATGGAACTCGCAATGAGTTATCCTTATTGGTAAGGTTGTATAAGATCGTATGCGTCGTGAGATAAGACAGTAATTATTTTTCTTAGTTTCATCGGATCGCCGGACGATCCGGATCCGTTTCAACAACCAGCGCCTCTGAACCTCTGTAATCAGCTTATCGAGAATGTGAAATGGTTCAAGGTAAATTGTCCGCATTGTTCCTTGGAATAATTTTTTATTCTTATTTCTTTATGCAGTATTATATACCGCTGTTGGCGGTGTTCCGGAATCCTGCTTTGCGGCAGACCCACTGGGACGATATGTCGGTTATAGCTGGCTTCGATCTTACCCCCGACGCTGGAACGACCTTTCGAAAGATTCTAAAAATGGACTTGATGGACGATTTAGAAAAGTAATTATAAGTTCACCATTATAATTTTAATTTAATTAATTTTTAATTATAAAACTATTATTTATTCAAAAGTAATTTTTACGCATGAAATTTTCCAAGACAGGAACATAACGCGTACAACGATCTCCTGCTCGTTTTAGGTACGAAATGATAAGTACAAGCGCAACGAAGCAACTGATGCTCGAAGAGTTGCTAGCGAAGTTGATCAGCGAATGGGACGACGTGATATTTACCACCGTACAGTACAAAGACTCCGGGGTAAACATTTTAACGCAACTGGACGATATTCAAGCCCTGTTGGAGGAGCAGATCGTAAAAGTCCAAGCGATGCGTGGATCAGCGTTCGTCAAACGTATCGAGGAAGAGGTGAAAGAATTCTACGCTCTCTTACTTCGGATGCGATCGACGATCGACGAATGGACCAAAGTACGCTCAAAGTCTTCCACAGAGGCGCCTAAACTCTAGCCACCTGTCTCGTTATTCAGGTACAAGTGCAATGGATGTATTTATTGCCGATCTTTTCGAGCAAAGATATCGTGGCGCAATTGCCCGAGGAGGAAATACTGTTCGTTCAAGTGGACAGAATATTTCGTAGCGCGATGACCGGCGTCTCCAGGGATCCTCGCGTCCGAGAAACAGCCGGCTCTGTAAGTGAACGCTTTCAACGCAGCGTCGAGATCGAGGCGTGCTTTTAGGTGGGTCTTTTAGAAATCATGACGGAAGCGAACATCTTAATGGAAAAAGTCAACGACGGGGTGTTGAATTACTTGGAGAAAAAGAGACTATACTTCCCGCGTTTCTTCTTCTTGAGCAACGACGATATGCTGGAAATACTCTCCGAAACGAAGGAACCCCTTCGCGTACAACCGCATCTTCGAAAATGCTTCGAAGGAATAAATAAATTGGGGTAAATTGTGTTAAATCATCAAAGCAGCAAGAACAATCTCGACGAATTTCTCTTTATAGATTCAACGACGAAATGGAGATATATTCGATGTTCAGCGAGGATGGCGAAGAAGTAAACGTGCAGGAGCAGATCTCGACCGCTGCAGCGAGAGGTTGCGTGGAACGCTGGCTCGTTCAAGTAAAAAATCACCACAATTTTACTTAGTTCCTTTTATTATCCCCTTGAGTGTTGAATATTTCTTGGCGAAGCTCTCCTAGTACTTTTTCGCTAGTGTGAACTACCCAAAAGTGAACGCCCTCTCCAACATCACAGCTAATATTAATATTACAGTAGACTCTCGTTATATTGCCGCGGTGAGGATAAACATTTTTCAAGCTTCCAAACTATTCATTGACAATTTTTACATTTATTATACATCGATAGCACTCAAAGGGTTATTACCGAGCATTATTCGTGTTTGTCAGGTCGAGGAACAAATGGTGAAATCTATACGACACGAAATCCTGATGAGCTACCTAGATTACGAGGTGAACAAACGAAACGTATGGGTGCTTATATGGCCCGGTATGGTCGTTCTATGCGTCGCGCAAATTTACTGGAGCATGCAAGTTCAAAACAGCCTTATGACTCGTATAGCTTCGACGATGGAAACGTTGCATTCGAAACTAAGAAATCAAATCTTAGACATGGTGGAGCTGGTTAAAGGTAGTATAACTTTGAAAATTCAGGTTTGGAATCGTTACACGCGAGTTTGATCTGTACGCAGGACAGTTGTCGAAACAAAATCGAACCACGTTAAACGCTCTAATCACGCTTGACGTTCACGCGATGGACGTGGTGAAAATGCTGATCGACAAAAAGATCAGAAGCGAACTGGATTTCGAATGGTTATCGCAGCTTCGCTACTACTGGGAAGACGACGTGTTTGTTAGAATTATTTACACGGCGGTGTCCTATGCGTACGAGTATCTTGGAAATTGTCCTCGACTCGTTATTACCCCTTTAACTGATAGGTATGGATTCGTACGATGTACGAATTTTCACTTCGCTTTCGTCGAATCTTCATCGTTTAAACTTTCTCGTAGATGTTATCGCACGTTAATCGGCGCGTACTCGTTGCACCTGAACGGAGCGCCGGAAGGTCCTGCCGGTACCGGAAAGACGGAAACGACGAAGGATCTGAGCAGAGCGATCGCCGTTCAGTGTGTAGTATTCAACTGCTCCGAGGGACTCGACTATAAGAACATGGGGAAATTCTTCAAAGGTCTCGCCTCGTGTGGCGCGTGGTCCTGCTTCGACGAGTTCAACAGAATCGAGCTCGAAGTGCTATCGGTAGTCGCGCAACAAATCCTCTGCATCATCCAAGCCGTACGCGGTAAACTGGAAACGTTCGTGTTCGAAGGTACCGAACTGAGATTAAATCCATCCGTTTACGTTTGCATCACGATGAATCCCGGCTACGCGGGTCGCACAGAGCTGCCCGATAATCTTAAAGTACTCTTCCGAACGGTGGCGATGATGGTGCCCGATTACGCCATGATTGCCGAGATATTCCTCTACTCGTCCGGCTTTGGCACCGCTCGAGAGCTCTCCACAAAAATCGTCACAACGTACAAGCTCTGCTCCGAGCAACTCTCCACGCAATCTCATTACGATTACGGTATGCGAGCTGTGAAGACTGTCTTAACGGCTGCTCAAAACATCAAGCTACAATTTCCCGAGGAGAACGAGTCTGTCTTGTTGCTTCGATCCGTCATCGACGTGAATCTACCGAAATTCTTGGCTCACGACGTTCCGCTCTTCCAAGGCATAGTCTCCGATTTGTTCCCCGGCCTGGAGCTTCCCTCGCCTAGTTACGACGTCCTGCTAAGAGCTGTTCGAGAGATAGCACGGAAACGGAATCTGCAACCGGTGGATGGTTTTCTATTGAAGATCATCCAGACGTTCGAGATGATGATCGTCCGACACGGATTCATGCTGGTCGGCGATCCTTTCGGCGGGAAAACTTCTGTCCTCTACACTCTGGCCGATGCTCTAACCTTGATGGACGAATGGGGCGAGAAGAATGGAGCAACGACCAAGTATTTCACTATCAATCCGAAATCTATAACCTTAGGACAATTGTACGGTTTCTTCGATCCGGTCTCCTCCGAGTGGACCGACGGTGTCTGCGCGGTTGCTTTCCGAAGGTACTGCACCGAGGATACTCCCGACAGGAAATGGATCATTTTCGACGGGCCGGTGGACGCCGTTTGGATCGAGAACCTCAACACCGTGCTCGACGATAACAAGAAACTCTGCTTAACCTCCGGCGAGATAATGCAAATGTCCGGCGTAATGTCGATGATCTTCGAAGCGATGGATCTTTTTCACGCCTCCCCCGCTACCGTCTCCCGTTGCGGCATGATTTACATAGAACCACGGGTCCTAGGCTGGAAGCCGTTCTTTCGATCCTGGATGAACAACTTAAACCCAGCTTGGTCGCAGGATAACAAAGAATACATCCAGCAATTGTTTTATTGGCTGATCGATCCTTGCTTGGAGTTCATCCGAAAGCAATGCCGCGTCACCATGAACGCCGGACAAATCCATCAAGTCGTATCAACCATGCATCTATTCGAGATGTTCATGGAGGACGCGGTCGAGCAGAATCCAAAGACTTTCGATCAATTCGTTTTACCTTGGTTACAGGCGACCATGTTGATGTCTATTGTCTGGGGTGCAGCCGGTACATTGAGCTACGATTCTCGCTTGAAATTCAACGATTATTATCTGACCTTCTGGAAGAACGAGCAGAAGGGACATCCGCTTCCAGAGTTTCTCGTCGATGCGTTAATTTCTATTCCAACCGAAGAGCCGATACACGATTGCTTTTACACGTATCGTGGTCGAGGTGCTTGGAGACGGTTCGCCGACGTGGCAAGGCAGCAAGAACTTCTGGAGACCGAGAGTATCGTTCAACTGATGGTCCCTACCATCGATACCGTCAAGTATCAAACGTTGTTCCTTATGCACGTGCAACACCGGAAACGTTTCCTTCTGTACGGTGAAACAGGCACTGGGAAAAGTTTCTACATAAAGGATCTGATCATGAACAGATTGAGCGAGAAGGAATACCTACCGAATTTCGTAACGTTCACGCCTAACATAACTGCCGCACAGACGCAGGAACTAATCGTCCTGAAACTGTACAAAAGACGGAGGAATCAGTTCGGTCCTCTGGCTGGCACACAGTGCATCGTCTTCATCGACGACGTGAACATGCCCGCGAAAGAGATGTACGGCTCCCAACCGCCCATCGAACTCCTTCGTCAGTTCTTCGATCACAAGGTTTGGTTCGATCTGAAGAAACCAGAGATTATACACATCTACGACACCATGTTCGTCTGCGCGATGGCACCTCCAGGTGGTAGCAGACAGGAAGTCTACCAAAGGTTCTTGCGACACTTCAATCTATACAGCATCAGCAATTTCTCCGAGGATACTGTTACTCGAATATTTACGAATATAGCGTTCGTAGGATTGCAAAGAAACGGTTTCACCACTGCGGTGATGGGGACCATCATGGACATCGTACGCGCCACGCAGAATATTTTTCAGAACGCTCGAGCGGAGCTCAGACCGACCCCGACGAAGTCTCACTATTTATTCAATCTCCGTGATTTCGCTCGCGTGATCACTGGGTGTACAATGATCAAAGAGGAATCCGTCGAATCCAAGACGGATTTCACGAGACTCTGGGTCCACGAGATTCTAAGGGTGTTCGGGGATCGACTGGTGGATCAAGACGACAGGCAGTGGCTCTTCTTGAAGATCAAGGAAGTAGTTAGCGGTAATCTGAAGGAGTCGTTCGACTCGGCGTTCGATTACCTGCCGAAATTCAAGGATCAATTAACGGAGGAAAGTCTACGGAGTCTGATATTCGGGAATTTCATGGACGTCGACACGATTCCCACCGATCGTCGTTACGAAGAGGTGAAGTCGATGGACGAGTACACCGAAGTGGCGATCTCCTATCTGGAAGACTATAATCTCACTCATAGACGCAAGATAGATATCGTTCTCTTCCGTTACGCTCTGGAACATCTCGCGAGGATTTGTCGTATACTGGTGATCCCTTGCGGGAGCTTGTTGATGGTCGGCGTGGGTGGATCCGGAAGACAGTCGTTGACCAAATTGGCGTCCAGCATGGTCGGTCACGGTCTGTTCCAGCCGGAGATCGGCAGCACCTATGGCGTGCAAGAATGGCGAGACGATATAAAGAAGGTTCTTTATTTAATTTTAATTAATCTCCAAGCTATTTCTTGCCTAACGCCTAAAAACCTATTCTTTTTCCAGGTCCTCACGAACTCCGGTGGCGCGGGCAAAGATCACGTGTTTCTCTTAACCGAAGGACAAATCAAAAGCGAGATCTTCCTGAACGACATAGACAGTTTGTTAAATTCCGGCGAAGTTCCGAATCTCTTCACCATCGAGGAGAGGCAAGAGCTCATCGAGGCGACGCGGCTAGCCGCTCAAGGCGGTAATCGTAACCTGGACATATCGGTCCTGTCGGTGCTGGCTTACTTCGTGAACCGATGCAAAGAGAAACTGCACATCATGCTCTGCTTCAGTCCCATCGGCGACAGTTTCCGAATCAGGCTTCGACTCTATCCTAGCTTGGTGAACTGTTGCACCATCGACTGGTTCGACGTATGGCCGGAGGATGCTCTGGAACAGGTGGCTCTACGCAGCACCACTGACATCAACATCGAGGAACAGGTGAAGATAAACGCGGTGGTTGCCTGCAAATACTTCCACGTTTGCGCGAAAGACGTGAGCACGAGATTTTATAACGCCACCGGTAGGAAAACATACGTCACCACCGCGGGATTTCTGGATCTTATACGAACGTACGCAGAATTGATGGAGGAGAAGCAGCAGGAACTCATACTTGCAAGGTACGACGATACTACGCGACGATAAAGAACGCGAATAAAGTGTAATTTTCTTTTTTTTGCACGATAGAGATCGATACATCAGCGGACTGGATAAACTGGAGTACGCGGCCCAACAAATTGGCCAAATGAAGATAACTCTTTCGCGGTTGAGACCTCAGCTCGAGGCGTCTGCTAAAGAGACGACTGAGACGATGAAGAAAATCGAGACCGAAAATGTGAGCGTGGCGAAAGCGAGGCTGTTGGTGAAGAGGGACGAAGACATGGCGAACGTTCAGGCTGAAGTCGCGAAGAAGTTGAAGACGGAATGCGAAGCTGATCTTGCGGAGGTTCTTCCTGCTTTGGACGACGCGATAGGTATACGAGCGTTTATCATCTCTCGTGATTCATTTTCATTAATCGTTATTCATTTTCGATTGTTAGCCGCTCTGAACACTTTAAAGCCAGCCGACATAGCCGTCGTAAGGACGATGAGAAGCCCTCCCGCCGGAGTGAAGCTCGTAATGGCCGCTGTGTGCGTGATGTTAGCTATACCTCCCGCTAGAGTCGAAGATCCTACAACTGGTAAAAAGTTCAACGACTACTGGGGACCTAGTAAACGTTTGTTAGGCGACATAAGGTTCTTGGAGACCTTACGGCAATACGACAAAGACAATATCCCCGCCAACATAATACACGTATCCGTCTTCTTCTTCTGTTGTCCGCTCGCTCGGGACAGTTCTTAACGAATTTGATGTATCCGCAGGAAATCAAGACGACCTACCTGACGAATAAAACCTTTGAACCAAAAGTGGTAGCGAGAGCGTCGTCAGCGGCCGAAGGGCTGTGCAAATGGGTGAGAGCGATGGTTTTGTACGACGAGGTAGCGAAAGTTGTAGGCCCGAAGAGGATGAAACTCGACGACGCGCAAAGGGACTACGAGAACACCATCAAGTTTCTCAACGAGAGACGCGAAATGCTCGCCAAGTTGACCGAGAGACTCGCTGTTCTTCATCAAAGTTTGCAAGCGATTCTCGAGAAGAAAATTCAACTGGAGAACGAGGTAATATGTCGCGATCGCTGCTTCTCTTTCTTGTTTCATGTTTACCTGAAAAATTATAGTTTATTCATTGAAACTATCATTTCTCTGTGCGTCGATTTAGGTAGCAAACTGCAGGAACAAGCTGATTCGAGCGGAGAAATTAATCAGCGGATTAGGAGGAGAAAAAGATCGTTGGATGACGGCCGCAGCGAATTTACAAAAGTCTTACGATTCTTTACCAGGCGACATTTTAATTTCCTGCGGTATGATCGCGTATTTAGGACCGTTCACCACCGCCTATCGCGAAGAGAGCCTGCTGAAATGGATGAGCCACGTTAAAAACTTGAAGATACCTTGCACCGATAATTACGACTTCGTCCAGGTACTTGGTACCGAGATAAAGATTAATTCTTGGAACATATTCGGTCTGCCGCGGGATTCCTTCTCCACCGAGAACGCCATCATCATGGACAATTCTAAACGCTGGAGTTTGTTCATCGATCCTCAGAGCCAAGCGAACAAATGGATTCGGAACATGGAGAAGCAGAACAAACTGGAAATTGTCAAATTAACAGACGCCAATTACATGAATGTTATAGAGCGTGCTTTGGAGTACGGTACTTGAAACTTTTTTCCTTAATCACAGTAGCAGTAGTAGTAGTAGTTTATTTATTTATTTCCCAATGGGATTACAATTTAATTCCTTAATCACAGGCAAACCGGTACTGATAGAAAACGTCGGGGAGGAGTTAACGCCACCCCTCGATCCGATATTGACCAAAGCGATATACAAATTGGGCCCCTTGTGGCACATCACCCTCGGCGAGAAGGTGATCGAATATAATTTGCGATTCAAATTGTACATCACGACGAAGCTGCGGAATCCGCACTATCTGCCGGAGGTCTTCAACAAGGTGACCATCATCAATTTCGCTTTAACCATCGACGCGTTGGAGGATCAACTGTTAGGTATCGTGGTGGCGAAGGAGAGGCCCGATTTACAAGAGAAACGAGAATACTTGATTATCCAAAATGCGGCGAATAAGAAAGCCTTGAAGCAAGTCGAGGACAATATACTGAAGACCCTGTCCGCGTCTGGTGCGAGTATCTTAGAAGACGAGGAAGCGATAGAGATTCTGGACTCGTCGAAACTCTTGTCGGCTGATATATTGAAGAAACAATCCAGCGCGAAGAAGACGGAAGTACAAATCGAAAGGTTCCGTTTGAGTTACAGGCCGATCGCTATACACAGCGCTGCTCTTTATTACACTATCACCGATCTACCCAACATCGATCCCATGTATCAGTATTCTTTGAGCTGGTTCATTAATTTGTACGTGACGTCGATCGACACCGCGAACAAAAGCAACATCCTCGAGAGGAGGCTCATGTTTCTGCGGGAAACTTTCACCTATAATTTGTACCAAAACGTTTGCAGATCGTTGTTCGAAAAAGATAAGGTAAATCGTAAGAAGAGTTATTCCATTTGAAATAACGAGTCAATTTTTTTCTCTTTAGCTCCTGTATTCGTTCGTCCTGTACGTGACGATTTTACTGTCGAAAAATGCGATCACGCAAGAAGAGATAATGTTCTTCTTAACCGGAGGTGTCGCCCTGGCTGCCATTCCGGGCAATCCAGCGCCAGCTTGGCTTCCAGATAAATCCTGGGCCGAGATTTGCAGATCCAACGTTTTATCGAGTTTCGCCAAGTTTCAGCAAAGTTTCCTTGACCATCTAAGCGACTGGAAAAATTATTATGATTTATTGAATCCAGAAGACTCGCCGTTACCACATCCTTGGGAGGCAGTTTTGACTCCCTTTCAGAAGCTGATCGTTACGAGAATAATCAGAACCGATAAAGTGATGATTATGGTAAGGATAAGGAGAAATATAGATTATTTTAGGATATGACCTGGGTGAGTAATTTATTACTAATTTTAATGATAAGATTATAATTGATGTGTAAGAGGGAAAAATAACCCTCTAGCTTCAAGGGCTAGGAAAATGTCCCTGCATTAGCCTTGAGTTCGGTCCCGGAAAATTCCTGGAATATTTTTCATCTTACAACGAAAATCATTGCAGATACAACGATTCGTGAAAGCTGGAATGGGTCTGAATTTCATCGTACCTCCACCGTTCGACATCTCCAAGTCCTTCGCCGATTCCAGCTTCCTGATACCGTTGATCTTCATCTTGTCACCTGGTTCCGACCCAATGGAAGCGCTAACGAAATACGCCGAGAGTACCAACTTCACCGACAGGTTTGAGTCGATCTCGCTGGGCCAAGGACAAGGGCCGATCGCTGAAAAATTGATAATAAAAGCGCAGAGCGACGGCGAGTGGGTGTGCTTGCAAAACTGTCACTTGGCGGCCTCTTGGATGGCAACTTTGGAGAGCATCTGCGAGAAACTTGACCCATCGAACACGCACTCCAACTTCCGCCTTTGGCTAACCAGTTATCCTTCGGAACACTTTCCGATCACCATCTTGCAAAACGGCGTTAAAATGACCAACGAACCGCCTACGGGGTTGCAAAATAACATCATGAGGTCGTACAAGGCCGAGGCAGCAAGGGATCCGGATTTTTTCGACACCGATCCAAGAAAGAAGCGTGCGTACTCCAAGTTGCTTTACGCTTTGTGCTTCTTCCATGCCGTGGTCCAGGAAAGACGGAATTATGGCGCGCAGGGATGGAACATCAGATATGGTTCGTTTCTTTAACCCTTTCGCTACTAGCAGCCTGTCTGCATGTCTTTCGCCCGTCGTAGCGAAAGGATTAATTATCCATATTTAAGTACACATGGTTCATCAGGTGACTCGATTTCTCGCAGGTTTCAATGAATCCGATCTTCAAATATCCGCCCAACAGCTTCAACTATACGTGAACGGTTACAAAGAGGTACCCTTCAAAGCGATCGTATATTTAACCGGCGAATGTAATTATGGCGGAAGGGTCACCGACGACAGAGATCGAAGATGTTTGAACACGATATTGCAAGATTTCTACAACCAAGATGTAATTACCGATGCTAATTATTCTTTCGCGGATACCGGACCCGAATATGCTCTACCAAAAAGGTATTTGTTTCTCTCTCTGTCCATCTGTTTCAGACAGAAAGATATTAATACGCATATTATAATACTTAGACACGAATACGAGGATTATATTAAACAAATTCAAGGAATTCCTCTGAATCCACCGCCAGAAGCACTGGGACTACATATGAACGCAGGCATTACGCGGGATCTTGAACTAGCAAATGATTTCTTTCAGTCCATGATGTTAATCCGAGGAACGGTCACGGTGGGTGATACTTCTAAGCAGGACGAAATGCTGTTGAGTATGAAGAAAGATATATATAAACGAATGCCTGAATTATTCGACATCGAGGAGGCGCAAAAACTGTATCCCGTTATGTACATGGAATCTATGAACACGGTTCTGATACAAGAACTGGAAAGATACAACACTCTTTTACGCGAAATACGACAGTCCCTCGTGTTGCTGGAGAAAGCGGTGAAAGGGTTGATAGTGATGACACCTGCGATAGAAGTAACATGAGAAACCTTGATTATTTACCAATATGTAGTTACAATATAATCTAATTTATGATTGTAGATTCTAGCCGTTCATATATTACACGCGAGGATACCACCATCTTGGGTAAAAGCGTGCGCCTATCCAACTTTAAAACCATTGCCAAACTTCATCAATGACTTTTTGCTTCGATTGAACTTCTTTCGGAAATGGTTGACGAATGGTATACCGCAGACGTTTTGGATATCCGGATTCTCGTTTGTCCATGCTTTTCTTACGGCAACGATGCAAAACTTTGCAAGAAAATACAAAATACCTATCGACAAAATTGATTTCGATTTTCAGGTTTTCATTATTTTTTAAATTATCTAACGTTATCGGTAGAGTAAAAGTTTCTTTGATTTTTAGGTACTTCCTATCCGCGATTCAGAGACTGCGCCCACGGATGGCGTTTACGTTTATGGAATGTATTTGGCGGGCGCGAGATGGGATCTAACAAGCATGTTACTTGCTGAAAGTCATCCAAAAATCCTCTGGGATCTCATTCCAATTATTTGGATGAAACCGTGCGAAGTAAATTTGCTTTATGTAAATGAACGCTACCAATGCCCCCTTTACATAACTTCGGCTCGTTATGGTGTTCTCAAAACAACTGGACACTCAACGAATTACGTGATATCCATTCTTTTGGATACCGACCGTCCTGTAAAACATTGGATTAAAAGAGGGCTGGCTCTACTTTGTCAACTCGACAATTAAATATTGCTTAGACTATTCGCTTTTTATATCTCAAATTAAAAGATATATACATGTATATATTATGAAAATCATACGGTGTAGGATTGCAATGATTATTCGCGATTTTCTGAGATAGAGTCTTTTATTGTAATAGAGCTTTGTAAAAAATAAAATCGCGTACCTTTAACCTTCCGGTCGCATGGGGGTGGAATGGATAGAATGGAGGTGCATCGAGGTGGGGGCGTCAGGCCTAGGGCACTATAATAGAGTATGGATCTGAAGGAATTGCTTCCTCCTGCTGCCGGTAGATGGCGCAAGAATCGAGGGCGCCATATTGAAGCCCTTTGAATCTGCCGGTAAGCGACATTTCTGTCAGTGCATGTATTAAAGAAATATATTCGATGAAACTGGATGACACTTTTACAACGTACCAGAGAAAAAGGAAAGCACAGTTGAACATTTTCTAATTGTTTAATCGTTTCTTTAATATGAGTAACTCCATTTTTGTTCTTGACAATGGCGCTTGCACGACAAAAGTAGGGTTAGCTTCTTCCGATAACCCCAAGTGAGTATCAACAATGAAACAAGGTTAGGTTCAAAATGTTTAAAAGGTTTAAAAATGACATGAATCTTAATGTTTTCACTTTTAGATTGGTTCCTAATTGTATAATGAAAGCGAAAAGCGAACGGCGAAGACCTTTTGTGGGAAATCAAATCGAAGAATGTCGAGACGCGTCAGGATTGTTTTACATTTTACCATTTCAAAAAGGGTATCTTGTCAATTGGGACGTCCAAAAAACTGTCTGGGACTACGTATTCTCGAAAGAATGTTGCCCGGTGAATTTAAATCAGCTTTCTGTAATTGTCACCGAGCCTTTGTTCAATTTTCCAACGGTTCAAGAAGCAACGACAGAAATATTTTTCGAAGAATACGAATGTCAAAGTCTCTTAAGAATTAATGCTTCTACTCTTTCTTGTTATCAGTATAGAACGGAAAATCCTAATACAAAGTGTTGCATAGTAGTTGATAGCGGTTATAGTTTTACTCACATAGTTCCTTATATAAATGATACCAAAGTTAAAGAAGGTATCAGACGCATCGACGTGGGTGGAAAGCTACTTACGAACCATCTTAAAGAAATAATATCTTACAGACAGCTTCATGTCATGGATGAAACTTATGTGATAAATCAGGTGAAGGAGGATTCCTGTTTCGTGTCTCAAGAATTTTTCAAAGATATGGAAATTGCCAAGAGTAAACTGGAAAACAATCCTATAATCAAAGATTATGTTTTGCCAGATTACACGACGTTGAGACGTGGTTACCTTAAAAATCCAGAACCTCCTAATGAACTACAAACTCTGCGTTTAAGTAACGAAAGATTTGCTATACCCGAAATTTTATTTTTTCCGTCGGACGTTGGCATCCGACAAATGGGTATTCCAGAAGCAATTATGGACTGTCTAAAAGGATGCGACGAAGAGACATGGCCACACCTTTTATCTAACATTATTCTTACCGGGGGTAATGCAAAGTTTCCAGGATTTCAGGAAAGAATATACAAAGAAGTTAGGAGTCTAGCCCCTGCTGAATACACGATAAATGTTTATTTACCCGAAAAGTATAAAAATATTTCAGTATTGTTAGAAATTTTCGACGGATACATTACTTATCATTACGTCATTTTCAGCCCCATCACGTACGCATGGCATGGTGGTAAAACATTATCCAAAGATCCAATACTTCCAACTCTTTTAGTAACTAGAGAAGATTACGAGGAAGAGGGACAAAATCTGTGTTTCGAACGTTTCGACGTCTAATTTTAATAGATTTGTATTTTTATTATACAAAGTCATATTGCACGTAAATAAGTTTTTAATTCTTTGATAAGTCCAACAGATAATAAATACGAAAAGGTAACAATTTGGAATATTATTTAGGAATTGTAAAAACGTTACAAAAGGTGCGAATGGAATGCATATATAATGTGCAAAAGCAACATTTAAATATATTTCATTTGTTGCATTAAATCTTCTAGACTAGCTTCAGATTCGGACAGAAATTGATTGGCTGACGGATCCGTCGTAGGCGTCGGTACGCTATACGCTTCTCTTACGCCTAATGACAATGGACGATCACTTTCATCTACCTGTCCATCTTGTTCATCGACGAGAGAAATTCCTAAGAATCGTATGAGAAATTTAATTATGCCTTCTAGTTTTTTGTATAGTATAGTATCATATTTTGTATGACACGTACCCCATTCATTATCTTCATGCAGGGGCTTATCGTCAACTATTTCTTCCTTTTTTTCTTCCGGTTTTGGTTTCAACGCATACTCCTGCTGACGTTCTCTACAATATCTATCCTCACAGTGTGGATTTGGTCTTAATATCATCTTAGGGAAGAAATCTTGCATTGCATTGTAACCTAAATAATAGGTCACATCTCCAAAATTTAAAAGGTATTTCAATGTATTCTGAACTAAAAACCCTGCCACAATGCCCATTGTTGTAGGTAATGATGCTGCGCATACGCCATCTCGTTTTAACGTTTTTTCATCTATGTTCTCTGCTACTACCAATGGAGGAGCGCACTAAAAGTGAAGTGAGGTAAAACTATCGACATTCAAATCTTAAGTAGTAATTTGTTGACTTTTAATCACCGCAAAACAAGCCGTTTCCCCGGGAATGATGAACTGAATGTGACCAGAAACAGCATTTTCAGAGACTCCACTTTCAAACCATTTCTGATTCAGTTCATTACAAGCAGCATTAATTGCCATCCTTGCTTCAAAATTGTCCACACAACTTAATACCAAATCTACCGGTCCCTTATTCAAACTCGACGTGCTAAAAATGAAATTTAATATCTACTACAGTGTCTTGTAATTCTAATCTATGAAAAATCATCTTATACCTTAAAGTGTTCATGAAATCTTCAAAATGATCTACTGTAGTAATGTTATAATTATGGGTATCAATATCTACATCAGGATTAATGTATTGCAATGTTTTTGCTGCTGCTTCTACTTTACTTTGACCAGCTTGGTGTGGTTGAAAGAAAAGTCTGTTCATATTTGCCATTTCTACCTTATCATAGTCGAAAAGAATTAACTGAAATTCAAATTGTTTATTATTTAAAGGATAAAAAATTCGTGATTTACAAGAGAATTACTACCTTTCCTATTCCACATCTTGTTAGCATTTCTGCAGTCACACTGCCAACTCCACCTATTCCAACTATAGCAATAGTTAATTCTCTTATCCTTTCATAGTTGTCTACTATACCCATGCGTTTCAATGCCATCAATCGACTACCCAAAAAATAGAATTCTTACATTAATATTATATACTTTGCATTTTCTGTATAAAAAAAGTCGGAGATAGATACAAAATATTTGTCATTACAAAAGAAGCTGGTAATTACCTGTAAGGATTAGAATCAACAACTTCGCTTGACATATGTTCTATCTTTTCTCTTGTTATAGACATATTTTTGCTCTGCTCTTCGAGTAACTTGCTTTCAAGTTCTTTAACTCGTTCTTGCAATTTCTCTACTTCGTTCATTGTTGAAAATGAAGCACTTTTACTAAAAAACAATGTCTACAGATCCAACAACATTGAATTTGACTGTAAAGGGGTAAAGAGTATATACTTTTTTTTTTTCGACCGTAGCACCATCTATACAAAAGTGGTTGAAACTATTCGACAACTTATTGACCGGTTTACCGACAAATTAGTTTCCGGGATTACCCGGTAGATGGCGCTAGTGGTCGTGTCAGTGTCGGTAAACCGGCCGATAAGTTGTCGAATAGTTTGCGCCGTTTTCGTATAGATGGCGCAACCACCGAAGTAGTTGCGCGTACTGCGTTCCCCCACTCCTGTTCGGCGCTCGGGAGGGGAGCTTAGCTCTCGGCGTTCAGTTCGTTGCCGACTTTGTCCATGCGTGGACTGTTCTCTGGTAAGAATTCGTCCCGAACGACGCTAAGCAAAATGAATTGTGGTTCAGTTATTTCTACACAGCGTGCGGCTCCCACGTCCCCATACTGCGGCTGTCCGGAAGGCCGACATTTGAAACTCCCTTTCTGGCGGAAAATTTAATTTTATGTTTTCCATATTATAGTTAAATTTTTGCAGATCTAACCTTGCCAAGGGAGTGTTTGCGACCCCCAAAATCATGGCCCTTCGAGAACAAAGCATGTCTAGTCTTTCTTTATCTGTAGTAAGTGGTATACGTATTGTTAACTTATTTAATTCCTTTGCGTATTTTCAAAATATAATATTAAAATAACGATACTTATATTTAGTAAAAAAATAGAAGATAAAGGAAAATAATATGCATACATACTTAAATTATACGAATCTTTACGTATGTATATTTAACAAAGAGTTTAAAGAAAAAACAATCATAGGTGTTTGATTTTAAAATTACAAAATGAATTGTAACGTTGTTTTTTTTTTTTAATACAAACGAAATTGTATTTGCTTCTTTTTTTTAAGTAGTTCTATACAGCACTGGTATTTTAGTATCGTTACAACGTTTCTTTTTGTTGCTGTAAATCATACATGTTATCGTTACATTATATGGTACGCACAAATGTCTCATGTCCGCACAAAACAAATCTGTAAACGTTTTGTCATTACTTTATTTTGCCATCGTATCAATAATTCCCCGAGTAAACATTGCAAAAACATGAAAAAACATATTGCATAATATAAAAATGGGTTATTTTTTTTTTCTTTTTCTTTTGTTATAATGCTTCAACGATCGATGACAGGTTCAAGTCAAAGCATTTTCGTGCACTTTGGCTAATTTTTATTGTCATACCTCAACCACGTCAAAATACTTTGTTTTACACTATCCCGCGTTTAAACAAACGAAGAATCTAAGTAATCTCTATGCAATCGAAGAGAAAAACAGGAAAATGTTGAAAAAGTCTGTAAACAAATTTTACTTTATCGCTTTGGCATTATAATGAAAGTATATAAAATTTGAATATACATTTGTGTACGATGAAACATTCAGTGCACTTTCTTCTCTCAGGATACAGCCGTTCTCGAAGGTAAATGTGAAAGAATTTTTAAGACTGGCCTATAAATGAACGATGACGATTGAACGGCGTTTCCAGTGATTTCCATTTGACATCACATTTTTGCTTTCAATGTATATGTACGTAATAAGAAAATTATGACGTTGCAAGTTAAAATTATCGAAGTTAAAATATCCAGCGTAATATATTAATTATATTAGTGACAATTCGTTATCTTAATTTTCTTCTTTCCGTTTTGAGTTCGTTTGCAGATTTAAATAGCAATTATTCAATAGTTTCTTTTTTTTTTTCTTCTATAAAACTAAACTAGATTATCGTAAACTTAACGCATGAACAGGGAAGGTTATCAAACTTGGATAAACAATTACATTTGCGCCGTTCTTGCCACGTGAAGATGACTTGAAATTAGATTATTTGTCGTGTACTAGCGATACGACAATTATTATAAGCATAATAAATAAAATTGTATTTATACTTTACTCGTACACGGAGTATTCCTTCATATTTTTTTTTTTTTTTTTTTTTTACATGTTTAACATCTATAGCGCAGTATTCCACCTCGCACATCTATGTACTCTCTCGCTTATTTTCGCTTATCTGCGTACACGTATATATATATGTATATATATTTTTTTTTTGTTAGCATTATTGAAAAATAAAATATACATATATACATGTGAAATCTTAAAATACATGAGAATAAGGCAAAAACGGCGCAGTGATCAGAATAAAAAGCGAACATTACTACTTAATATTCGATAATATTCGAGGGCACATAATGCTCGAATTTAAATTCACACTCCGCTTGGTAGGGTACGCATTTGTAATACGCTAGCGTATATACGTGTTTCCTATATACGTATATACGTATGTGTGCGTATGCGCACGCATACATATATACATTATACATATATATATATATATATCGAATTGACCGTACTTTATGCGCAATTTATACGTATAGGAACTGACGAATTCTTTCGAAATAATACGAAAGGACATGGTATACAAGTGGAGTGTGCTATAATTCCTATACATTCTTCAAAAGTACGTCATTTCTCTTTCCCTCTCCCTCGCACTTTCTCTCTTCCCCATCTTCTTCTAGTGGTGAACGTTTTTTTTTCTTTTCTTTTCTCTTCAAATGTACACAATAAATTGACTTAAATTCGTATATAAATAATTACTCGTTCAATTTATAAGAAACACATTGGTAATGCTGTATACGAAATAATTCGTGTAATTTCTTTGATCAGCGCATCAAGCGTACAAATGTACAGCAATACAAATGTTTCGGTTCGTTATCGGCGCGTGTATCGTTCGTGTGTAGGCTTTTGCTGACGCCAAGTGTTTTTTAACGTGCCTGTGAATTCTCGCTTCGATCGATGTTTGAATTGAATCGCGCGAATTATGGATTTCGATGCGAACTACGCGCGTCGGAATAACCGAGAAACGTAGATGAGCATTGAAGTTAACAAGAGGGGGACTAGCGTTTGAAAAATCGCATTCTCGTTTCTCGATTAACGATGCCTTTTTCTTTTTTTTTCTTTTAACCAACGCGTTGGTAACGTGTCTATTACTGGATACATAGGTATTCACAGAGCACAAAGAGTACTTGGCTATAACAAACATTTTATTCAACTATCATTGTATCAGATATAAACGAACATTTTTATCATCGTTAAAAGTACTAAACCGAGCGGCCTAAAGGTACATGTATAAGTGTGAGCACGTGCTTTATGTATGTATGTATGTGTGTGTGTGCGCGTGTGTGTGTGTGTATGTATGTGTGGATGCAAATACACGTGGCTTTTGCTTCGTATATCGTCTTAATTACGATGGCTTGTATAGTAACGGACGATCTTCCAAATGGCATAACATGATCTAATCGTATCTTTACGCGTTTACGAATTTCCCGTGACCATGGCGTTTGGTAGTAGCGTCAATGAAACACGGTTAATCATAAATCACAAGATGGAAAAAAGGCAACATACAAATATTTCAATGGCACACGTACACCGGCCAATATGGACGGAGCACGTACTCTGATCTGATAGATTATTTCATTCTGCCATTCTACACAGCTTCGTTTCTAAACCATTCGCAGTTATACTACAGTCAACGAACACATAAATTAATTTTTTTTTTCCGTCTATAGCCGTTCGACTTGAATCATATACACAGCGGATCGCTTCCGTTACAAGAAAAAAAAAAAAATAAGTTCGTTCAAGTGATTCCCGGATTAAAGAACAAGGAATGTCTAAAATGTAGAACTTTATATACCATGTCAGAATATAATCGCCATTTACATAAAGAATGGTCCACCGTCATACGAATTAGTACTTTTCTTCTTGATTTCGCAAGTTCAGGTGGAATGAATAGATCAGCCGTTAGTACATAACGAGCGAATAGTCGAATATCGTATGTAAAAGACGCAACGGATGTGATGAATACTTTAGAGTTTTCCGAGTCCCATTTGTAACTCTTCCCACCACATATTTCAGTCCGTCTGTTCCATGAACCGGCACGCTGCTCACAGTCACGCCTAAGGTTTCGATTAAGCCCCTCGCGCCAACAAGTATCGATACCTAAACGAAAATGTTTGATTCTTCGCACGCTCCTCTCATAAATACGTATACTGACTAAAAACAGAAGAAAAAAAAAGAAAAGAAATGTCTGCTTTGAAACGACCGAGCAATTCAAGTCCAGTTGTCGTTTAATACGGACCAAACTTAATATTATAATACAAATCCTTCCTAACCTATTATTGAGAAACTTCCAACGAAAGTAACACGCGTATCACGCTCCTTTCTTTTTCCCTCGAAATTAAACTTGTACAATATCAATTATAGTGTATTTTGTAATTTCAAATAAATTATTGAAATTCTAAATTATTGAATATTCTAAAGCTTTTATCAGATGATTATGTTAATCATTTTAACACTTTTATTAAACAATTAAATTTATGATATTTGTTGCGGTTAAACTTGCGACTCCAAGGTCAGTGCTTTTTCACTAGACGAACGGATACTATGATTGATATTGTACAGAGAGATTATAACATTTTCCCCGCGAATAGTGAAATTTCGACAGTTTAAATAAATTATTTCTGTAATGTGTATCAACCATCGTTTCGTTAAGGAGGAATCAAACATTTTCTCTCAGGTGTTATTTTATCACCGCAGCGCGTGCGACTTCATCCTGTTACTAGTATCGAGAAGAAATGCATTCATCGCATAATTGGCGAGGCATCACGATAACCGATTCTCGATGCGACAATAGAAGAAAGGATAGCAATTTTTTTTTTTTTTTAAATACATTTTACTCTAGCTTTAGATCGATCGACACTAAACGACATACAGACTTGAATCGTTTGAATATTTCAAATCAAACATTTGTTTAGTCGCATCTCTAGTTACACTATAACCATCTGAAACGATCTTCTTGTTAAAATCGAAAAGGAAGATATCTATAAAAAAGAAAAGAAAGAAAAAAAAAGACGTGGTGGTCGTTAAAAATTTTTGAAATCTAAAAGTACCACGTACTATGAAAAATTAAATATGCATTGAGAGTTGCAAAAAGAAGATCGCTTTATGTGTTGTTGAGAACCGATATTACTTTATTTCGTACGTTTTCAATATAATATGACTATAAATCGCATCGGTCATTCCACACTCCTGAATCCTGTTAATCAAGTATCACCGACAAGATGTTTTACATTTTGACAAAAATGCAGAGACTTAATTGTTCGTTACTTAGGTGTCTGGAACGACCTTGCGTAAAGCGTACCGTAGTGTGTGTGTGTGTGGTTTTTCTTTTTTTCTTTTTAATGCTTCAATCTAATCCGCAATGGGAACGATTCTCGACAGATACTTAATATTAAGGATTCACTTTAACATAAATGTGTTTTACGTTCAACGTTTCGAACACTTTACGCGACAACGATTGCCATTGCGAATTAGCTAAACTGTATATGCCGGACGATATCTAATAATCATGTAATAGAACTGCGTGTATTCGTACATTGTTATACTGACACGACCTGTTCGTATTTCCGGCAATCTTTTTTCCTTCATATTTTTTTTTTCGTTTTTTTTCATTATAAATATCATAAAATAGAAATTGCGAATTCGAATCAATTACGAACTTTACGGATGTTCAACTGATACCACGCATCGTATTCGGTGATGCGCGAATGGAAAGTTCGGGGGGCGTTCTCATGGTCGATTCAACAATACGTGAATGATATGATTAAATAATTATAAATTGGAAATTGAGGTGATGACATTACCTGGGCCGTTACTCACCTACAGGCAACGAACCTGTTACGGGAGTAGGTGACGATGATACCATGTTTAATCGACCTTGTTCTTTCGCTATTGGATCTAGAATAATTGAAAGGAAATAGAGAGATCATTTCTTTTCCTTTGAAATTATTCAACTAGTTTATGTTTCTTTTTACTTACAAAAATAGGGATGCTCCATAGCTTCGCGTGCGGTGAGTCTCTCATAATGATCGTAGCGCAAAAGTTTGTCAAGAAAATCAAGACTTTCGTGTGATACCAAATGCTGATTCTCCGAATGCATGAAACGTTCCCAACGTTTACGCGAATGTCGTCCTAGGATGTCGTTGAAACGAGGATCCAATTCGATATGGTACTTCTCAAGGTATTCGAACAGTTCCTCGGTTCCAAGAACCTTTGCAATTCTAACTAGTTGGTCATAATTATCGTGTCCATGAAAGAACGGTTCTTTCCTGAATATCATACTGGCAAGCATGCATCCGAGTGACCACATATCTAACGAATAATCATACATCTGGAATAAAAATTGAACAATGTATTTATCTATTGAAATATCAATCAATTTTCAACTTACGAACCTGAAAATCTACGAGTAATTCTGGACCTTTGAAATAACGCGAGGCTACTCGTACGTTATATTCTTGACCAGGATGATAGAACTCTGCTAGACCCCAATCGATTAACCGCAACTTTCGATTTTCATGATCTATCATTACGTTGTGCGGTTTCACATCCCTGTGCATTATTCCCATACTATGACAGTAATCCAATGCCTAAACAGAAAAACAATATCACACGTTACGTATCGTTAATGCGTTATTTTCATTTCTTTTTTTCATAAATCCATTACACAGTTACATTTATAACTACGAAATGAATTGAACGCTATCGACGTTACTTACTTAATGTAAGATTCACGAGTCCGAAAATTTAAACAATTTCTCGATCTCTAAGAATGTTTTCTATCATGTTATGAAAAACGAAAGAGAAATTTCTTTCTTCTAATGGAAAAATAGTAAATTACTTTTTACAAATATACAATACTATGCCAACTACAATAAATATTGTTATTAATGTAAAGAAAATTTGTACAAACTGAGCATTTAAGAACTCTTTCTTCGACCTACGATATACACCTACGTCTATCGAAACAATAATATCGAAGATTCGCATTGGAGTGATACTTGAACTTCATTGCATTTAACAATACACGCACTTTTAATAATTCGTAGAGGTAGTATCTTATGTCGTAGTCTGTTAGCGTCTGGTATAATTGCTTGAAGTCTGTGTTGTTGACATGTTCAAAAATCAGTGCCGGTGTCCTTGATACAGGATCTTTGACAACTGCTTGGAGAGTAATTATGTTGGTCCCACCTTTAAGATTTTCTAAGATTTTAATCTCCCTTTTTATTTTCTTCTTCTTTACTGGCTAGAAATGAAAATCATATGAAAATTAAAAAAAAAACTGTACATAATCACAATTCATTCATTACAATCTAACTTATTTCTTTTGTACCTTTAAAATTTTTACAACACATTTTTCATTATTTGTGATATTAATTGCTTCAAACACTTCGCTATATTTTCCTCTGCCTAATTTTCTTACTAACTGATAATCATCTTGTTGCCTATGTAATAAGGAATCAATTATAAATAAGCGGACTAAAATATAAATACACCGATTGTTGTAAGATTAATACACTTACCCCCAATCGACAACATAAGATTCATAGTCCCAGTAATCTCTAGGTTTACGTGCATTTACATCGGTGTAAACTCGCGCTCTACTGGGTAGTGCCATTTTTTCTGATATATCACTACTGCTATTTGTTTTGTCGATTGCTATGCTTTCACTGTTGTCTATCGAAAAATTATAAAAGGTAGTTAATTTATCTCCTCCACTCACCCAGTTACGAATGCGCGAGGACAAACATACACCTAAGTCATTAAAAAAAAATTATATTAAAAGGAGAACATTAAATACATTATGATTTGTTAAGAAAACTATACAGAATTTTAAGATAATAATTCTAAGTTAATTAACTTGTGCTTCCATATTTCAAATAAGTTATGCATTAAATATCAAAGATAGCAGTATTCATTGAAACAATTCGATAGCACACATTTATTCATAATATTACAATGCATTTATAATTAATTACAATAATTTAATGTTCATGTATAAGCATTACAAGTATAACAATCGCTCAATTTTTATACATTCTTTGCTCCAAATTTTATAAAACATACATTCACACTACGACCACTATGTTCGATACATTAATGATGTATGAACATTGATCACATACAAAGATGAACCTTATTATTTAGCAATGCGATGACTATATTGAATAGAATGTACAGAATAAAAATTATTTGTACAGAGTAAAAATCAATACTAGCTATGTAATTGAAATAACAAAGCAAGGAAAGAACTTGGGTACTTCATTAACCAACAATTTCAACTTGAATTTTCATAAATATCAGCAAATATATGAGGAAAGTATATGAAATAGCTTATAAATTTTGTAGTGTACTTTTCACTGAAGGTATTTATTAACATTCAAAGGGGGATCTGATCAGAATAACCAGTTACATGGTTAGAAGAATCAAAACAACTTCAATAAGAATCATTACATGATATAAAGTAGAGTATCAGGTGAAAATATAGGTGGTAGAATGGAAAATCTAACAAATGTAAAAATACGTTGATTAGAATGAATGAACACTATTCTGTAGATGTCTATTGATTATAAGTTTTTAGAACATTACCGTTTCGTTCCAATAGATTTAGACGTGCAACTTGGTGAACGAATAGTGGTACATGTATAGGTGGAATTTCCACGTGGAAAAATTTGATATTTTCATAAAGGAAGAAAAATCGAGGGAAAAATTTATCTCCTATCGATACACGGATTAGAAACACGCACAGGCATAAAGCACGAACACACATGTACGAGATAAATCACACGCCATCGCAATCAGGAAATTAACGTTCGACTTATTTTCGACTCACCTAATGCATTCCGGACCCGAATCTTGATTAGATTGATCGCAACAGATCAGTAAATTCCTCGTGAGATCACGCAACCTGCTTCCCGAGTACGTGAGGCCGCGCGAACGCGTGAAACTCAAAGATTTTTGCGGGCGGCCGGCTTCTCAAACGAGCGAGGTCCAAGATGGCAACCAACAACCCAGCACAAACTTCAAATATATAGATTGAAAACCATCAACTTCCAAACGTTAATAATCCTCCTCAAAGGATAATTTATTATCGGTGTCGTTTCCTTAAAATATTCATTTTCGATTCCCAATTAATTGCACTTCTTATATTTTCATTTATTTTACTAAAACTGATATTTGATGGAATATAAAACATAAAACTTTTACCACGTTTTTCATGCAGATAGAGGAAACTTAAATATTAATTTTCTAATATTACGTTAGGCTATTAGACTGCATATATATACAATATATATATATATAAAATAGCAGCAAATTGCCACCGGAAACATACAAATAAATTAAATAATAACTTTGAATAGACCTCCTACAAAATAGTAAAAATTAACAACAAAATTTATAATTGTAATACAAAGATTGTAACTTCTGCTGAATAGTGAATAATATTCTTCGTTAATACAAATGAATATACATTATTAAACACATATTTTATAATGAGGAATTTAGGAAGACAACCATATTGACCAATCAGAATTGCTTTTTGTCAACCCAACGTATAAACCGCGTTCTCCATGACATTGAAGTTAGTAACTTCAGTGTATATTCGAGGTAAAACGAAATTTCATTTTTGTCTGTTACATAAAATGCATACAAGATTAAACATGAACGGTTTTATTTCAAATTTAATAATGTATAAATAATTACAGTATTTTAAATTAAGAAGTATCGTTATTTTGCGGCAACGAATGTATAGGATGCAATAACGATAAGTCGTTCTTTATTGAAAACCACTGTTTCAAAAGCTGCTCCATATTCTCAGCTGTATCCTTTCAATATATGCAAAGAAACAGTGTTAAAAATATTAGATACCAAGTAATAATATCACTGCTTGATTTCGACGTACCTCGCTAGCATTTCTATCGGCTATATTTAATTCCTTTTTCAAAGTTGTAGCGTCTAAGATCCAAATATGCGAAGATTTGTGAACAATCCACAAATTCGAACGTAATAATCCAACAATGACATTAGTATTTTTACATGTATTACTGAAAAATATTTATATTAAATGTTAAAAAAAAATGATAATTTCATAAATATATGACAAAGCGAAAATTTACTTATCGAGAAAGCTTCCAGTAACTTTCGTTAAGTTTACATCCCATGGTACAATGGTTCTCATTACCAGATTTTTGTTATTCTCAGGGTTCATGGTTTTCATTTTCTCTAACGCCTTTAAAAGTCTATTTCTATTTTTATTAACGTCCGTTACGTGTTTCCCTTTCATTTCTTGCTTTTCTTTTTCGCGTTCACTCTCCTCCTCGCGTGCTAGATCTCTATAATATCCACGTTCTTCGGATGACAATCTTTTCCAAAGATTAGTCACCGTATTTGCAATTTGTGCTGCTGTGAAATTATCGTTTTGTTTTGCAACTAAAATTGAAAGTATTATTCATACATTGAGTAAAGATGTTTGATTAATTCCTTGATAATTACCTTGGGGTCTAATGTGCTTCATAAATTTAAGAAAACCTGCACATACATTTTTATGATGCGTATCATTATCTGATGATTCGTTTGACTCGGAATAATTATAAGGTTGTACATCCGTGCCTCCCTGTAAAAATTAATTCACTTGATTATATTTCTATAACCGAATTCATGAACAAATATTTACCTTTAAATCAGATACGTGCCCTTTGCTCCATTCTTTTAATGTAACACATTTCTTTGTCCTTAATTTATTCTCTTCATGCACACTTTTTACATTTGCATTTTGCTTTTTGTTTTCTTTCTCAGTTGTGTCCACGTGAGAACAATCATCCCAGTTAAAATCTTCGCCCAAATCTACAGTTGGTAACTGACTTAACGTTTCATGATTTTGAGATAATTCAATCGGAGGGCTATCGTCGGTTTCTCCTTTTTTAGTTTTAGCACTATAAAGTGATAAGAAACAGTACTATACAAATGTTATATTACAGTATATTATACGATAATTAAAAAACTAACGCTAATTCCGGAGAACCGTATTCCTTGTAACGTAATGTAAGATTTTGTGATTCATTTGAGTCTGAGTCACTCAGATTTAAAGATGGCATTTGAAGATCCAAATGTACCATATCGTAATTTTTGTCTCTTTCAGAAACTGCAGCTTGCTCGTTATCTTTGGAATGATCAGTGATAGTACACTTTAAATTGCTTACAATTTCGGTACATTTTTTAGGAACGCATACGTCTTTCTCATTATTATCTGTTACATTTTCTTCTGTCAATAATTTTCGTTTTTTACATGCTGGCCATTCGTCTTCTACGTTCGGAACAATCACGTTTTGCGTACAGTCTTGATATTCATTGAGCGATTGATCACAAACATTTTCTTCTTGCACTTGTTTTCGAATTCCATAAAAATTTTCGAGGCAACTTTGTACTGTATTAAGAATTACGCTCTGTGTACACACACATTAGGAAACATGATGTAGGAATCTTTACATGAATTATTATTACATACTATACTCTATAAATGTAGTTACCTCTTCTTTGAAGAAAATACTAGTCTTGTTTGGTTCTAAATTAACATCGATATTTCCAGAATTTGTGAAAATGTACAAAAGAAATATTGGTTTTTTCCTACTCGACGAATCCTGTTCTAGCGCTGTTGAAATTGTTTTTGTTAACATCTGGAAATAATTTTCGAACACTTTTGTAACTATAAGTAATTTAAATAACGTTAAAATTTGTTTAACTATATACCTTTTCTAGTTCCTTGTGCTTAATAGGTCTGTTATTTACAAAAATATATTGTGCTCCAGACTGAAATGCTTCAGATACATTTTGCAATTCCTTGGAAGGAATCATTAATTTACCAGTAGTCTGAAGAATACAATTGAAGGAATTAAAATGTGCTTATGTGAGAACATATATAATTTAACAATTTCTATGGTTACCTCTGTATTTTCAATATTTATCCAACTCATATTGGAAGTTACCTTTCTACCAAGAACATAGGTAACTGCTTCTTCAAGAGTAGCTGTGCTAGGTTTTGCAAATTTAATAATATTATCTACTTTATAACTTATTCGTACATCAAATTTACACATTCCATAACTTTTAACTAATGATTCCAATGTTTTAATATCTTGATTTGCTCTTTTTGAATTAGTAATTATTTGTCTTCTTACTGGTAAATGCTTAAACAATTGCTTCACTTGTACTGTTGTCCCTAAAAACAGATATAGTAAAATAAAATAGAAGCAAAATAAGATATATATATTCTATTAGCTACCTGTAGCTCTATGACAAGGTTCAGTTTTTTTAATATGTCCATAGCGATCAATGTCATAGGAAACAGCTACTTCATCTTGTTTAGTTTTTGATATAATTCTAAGATCTGACACAACACTCAATGCGTGCAATGCTTCACCCCGAAATCCATAAGTTTCTAATGAATCTATAAAGGATATTAATATTACATTTAGAGAACAATGTTTGGTATTGTTATACAACTTAATATTCTTTTACCTAAATCAGAGAATGTTACAATTTTGGATGTGTATGATGACAAAGCCATGTAGGAAGCATCTACTTTAGAAATGCCGCAACCATCATCTTTCACTTCTATTAGGGTACATCCGTTATCTGTCTAAAGATTAAAACAGAAGCATCATGATAATTTAAACGTGAAACATATTCTTTAATGTGCAATGAATAGTGAGATACCAAGTTAATTTCAATATTTTTTGCATCAGCATCTAATGCATTTTCTATTAATTCTTTTGTTGCACTAGATACTGAAGTTATAATTTGAGTGGTTGTTATAAGTTTCGCTGTATTCGTGTCCAGAGGTAAGATGGTCATTTTTAAATAAATTTAAAACAAATCTGGCACACATGTAACTTTTTATTTCGTTTTAAATTCGTACAATCACATAACACCCTACTGTATACATGTTAACGCGCGAATACCCATTTGAAATGTCACGCATGAACTAAATAAAATAGAGACGAATTTGTTAACTTTATGGCGCTGTTAAAAGGCGCGAATTAAACAAGATTGCTCGTAGACACTGGGAAAATGGGCAAGTAATATGTGAGCAAATCAGGATGTGTGTGGGAGAGGGTTGGAAAAAGAATTTGTATGAAAATGAATGTATAGTTTTAAACTTATGATCTGTATTATAAATGAATACAAGAATTACAAAAATCGATTTAAATTTCGCAGGGCGATGGTGGAGGGGATGCCCTCCTAGGACGCCATCTTGGGCGAGGACGCCATCTTGGGTGAGGATGCCATCTTGGGCGAGAGCGCCATCTTGGGCGGGGGCGCCATCTTGGGCGAGGGCGGAGTCATAGACATAGTAAGTCTATGGGCGGGATCTTGAGCGAGGGCGCCATCTTGGGCGAGTCCGCCCAAGTAAAAGACGAATGAATGAAGATTGCCGGTATTAGAAATCGATAGTTCATGACTGAAAGGTTTTAAATCGAATCGAAACTGGAAGAGGAACGTTTAGACAAGTTGTATTTTTATTTTAAAAATCTTGCAATACAGACAGAAATACAGGCTAGTAAGCATTTTATTTGTATTTTTGCTGTAACGTGTTAACGAATTTGATATACGCTTCTTTTGCATCATCCTTCGACATATTCTCTTTCGACTTCCAGGCTTCCCACTTTGCTTTCCCCTTCAGGTCCAACGCGCCAGGCTTCGCTGTAATTATACGTAAGATCATTGTTTATCTTGTAACGGACGACACATATAGCGTATTCCTTTTAATTTTTATTATGCGTCGAAACAGCAACGTACAGGTATTAACGTTGCCCACTGTTGCTTGCTTGTACAGTGCGTAGAGTTCCAAAAATTCATTGTCCGAGGGACGTTTAGTGAGAGATTTTACAGCTTCTGCAGCTTCTTGAAATTTCTGAAAAATCACATAGCGTGTTAAACGTGTTTCCTCTTTCTACAGGTAAAATTATTATTCAAGCTTTGTTTTTCTTCCGTTATTGGGATGGTTACATTTTTTGTCACGCAATGCAACAGAATTTTACGTAATGTTCGTGACTTTGCATAAAAGCGTAATTTTATACATTCACAGGAGAGCGCAAGGTTCTTCTAGCTGAAAGTAAGACTTAACCGTTACGTTGAAAATTTACGATAATTCGAGAGAACGGACCTACCGAAGGTACAGTACGGAATTTTGATTACCTGATCGAGAGACATCTTGTGCAGTTACTACGGAAGCGTTCTCTTAATAACTTCTGACCAACGGATCTACCTGGGGATCGACTAAATACCAATGCCCCCACTTACCGACCGATTGGATTTTTAAACGACAAGCAATTATAATAAAAAACCGACAGCTGAATCTGTCGATACACAGAGGAGTTTGAACCGGTCAATGTTCAAGTTTACGCTCTTACTTCCGTCACATGACATGTAATTAATCCCTATTTTGCTAATTTCTTTTTCATTACATTCGTCATTAATAATATTTCATTTAACGAAATTTTATCCGATTCGAAATTGAATCATTAGTCATGTTCGCTGGTTGGTCTACATCGGCGGAAAGAATTGTAAGAGTGCATCATCGGTGACGCAAATCCTGCTGGTCAGCCAGGTCCAGCGGTTGGAAGTCGAGACGATGAAATGGACGAGAAGAGAATGGGGCCAAGCTGCCACATCATCGGCCGACACTCACCTGCGCAAGAATGTAGGAATTTTCGACTAGCTGATGCGTCGTTTTACCGCTCGTTCGCTTTGCGTTTATATACAGGAATCTCTGCTTTTCAGGGCCGTGTTCGAGCAAGGAGGATATTGATATATTTTGGGAAATGTTGTTGCGAGAAATGAGCGAGGAGGAAAGGACTGGTGAAATCCAGGAAGGAATGCGGAATTATTCGAAGCGATTCCGGACTGGCGAAGTCACGAGCGCAACCGTTGAAAAAAAAAAAATACGTAGTTTCGATCGTGTGCATCGAATGTATCGCGATCGCTGTAGAGAAGGAAACGGAGCTATAATTGATCCTCGTAGCAATGTACGTATCTATGTAATGGTTCGAACGTAATCGAGAAATAGATTCGTTCAGCGACAGTTGATGAACGAAGCGAAGGAAAGTACTTGCGCATTGTAGGGCGGAGGGGTGGGTAAGGAATTCCAGGGATACGGCAGTGTAGGGGATCGACGAGCGTCGGCGAAAACCGTCGAGGATGGCCGAACGGGTACGCGGGACCGTCGCCGCGGAGGCAGAGCAAAGAAAGCGCTTTAAAAATTCAACGAGTATGCGTGATTTGTCACTCGATCGGCGATCGTTTCGATCGACTCCGCTCCGCGCCGTCGCGCGAATCCAGTGTGCGTTTTGCGGGCACGTTTATCGTCGTGCACGCCTATTCGGCTGACGAATACCATTGATGCACGTGTAGATAACCGCGATCCGTGGATGACAAATCCTTAACCGTGGCCTCGTTAACGTCAAGTTCGTTGTGTCAGACGTTAAACATGTAATTCGTGATTCTTCTGTCAAACCGAAACGCGTACGAGGACCTTGGAGAATCGTTCGTTTCGAAAAGATGTTAACCGGGATGGTACGAGTTTATATGAAAAAGCGTGAAACAACGAGGCACAACGTTTACGGTTGCGACAGTGCGGAAATGAAAATATTTTCTTTAAACCGATCGCGCTTATCGTTCGCTCGGTGAGCCGCAAACGCGGAATTTCGTGCAACGTGATCAGAGTAAGAAATCATCCGCAACGGAACGGTTCGCGAGAGTCGAGCGTCGAGCAACGGTCCATAAGTTTAACTGTTCAACGAATACGCGGTACACTCGACTGAGCGGTTGAATCGCGCGTAACCGGAGGATAACAGACGCGTGTACCGCTTACGCGTCGAAAAATTGTGCGAACGGTGGCAGATGTGCGAAACGAAATACGTTCGATCGAGAAACGCGTGTACGTATTAGTGGTACTTGATAACGGAGCGACGAAACGTTTCGTTATCGCTAGTTCACCGGAACAGCGTCTCTGTGTGTAATCGTTGAAGAACCCGCGGGATGTGTTCGTTTAAAAAAAAACGTTAAGATACGCTAGGTTCGATGAAAGAGAGGAAAAGAGAGGACAGAATGAGTCTGTCGCCGATAGCGAACAGAAGCTTCCTACACGGTGATGGAAAACCGTCACCGAGTTCGGAGAAGATCGTCTATGCAACCCTCGACAGTTTGGCTTTAAAGAGAGCAACTTTACCGCTGCAGTTGTTGCCCGTCGACGATCGGAACGAGCCAAAGAGAAAAGGGGAAACTTGCAACGATACCACTGCCAGGAGATCCAGTTTCAAGGTTCGCTTCGACTGGAATAACCCCGTTTCCGTTAGAAAACGTAGCTTGGGAATTCCGATTAACTGTCGCGCGTCGAGATCGCGGGAACTATTCGAACCGCGCCTCGAGATCTCGCGGTACGAACAGACGATTCGACGCGTTCACCGCCAGCAGTCTTGCTTTCGATTATTACTTTCATACTCGTCAATTATTCTTACCGTCAGCTGCGAACGTTCACGAAACCGATGCTTGCGTTGAACGCGTTAATCGTTTTAGTTGGATGTAACGAATTAACTCGTCATTGATGAATACATCTACGACGCGTATGACGAGTTAACTCGTCGTTGAAAGATGCTTCTCGAAAGTTTTCCTTATCCTAACATTTCACATGGAAATATTCGTCCGAAACAGTTAGGTACGATTTCTATCGCGTAACTCGAGAGCAGATTTCCGCGAAACCGTTAACGAGATATGTCAACGTGTACCGGGGAACTAACGAATCGCGGGAACGTGCGAATGTTCGTTCAGGTGGACGCGGCGAGCAGCCTTTCGTCGAAGGAGCGCGCGAAATATGTGCTGGTTTTACCGTCGCCTAGCCCGGAGACGGAACCCTCGGGATCCAGCGAGCAGAGGTCGGTTTTTATCACGGATCGAAACACCGGGGAAACGAAGGTGGTTTGTTTACAACGCGCCGTGGATATAGATAACAATATCGATACTGATCCGATAAAGAATTCACCGGATACGATCGCCGATTACTGCGAAGACGATACTCGTCGACGAGATATACAACCAGTGTCGGACGACTCGTCGGCCGAGAAAAACGCGATTTTTCCGAACTCTATCAGCGAATCCGATCGTTTGATCGAGCAGGCCGACGAGGACGATTACGAGAGGATAGAATTGATAGCTTGTCGAGAAGCAAATCTTCGCGATAATAACGAAGATGAAACAACAGCTTTGTGCTCGAAAAATGTTATCGCAACATCGCTCCCCACCAATGAGTTGACGAGAAAAAGCTCCTCGGAAACGAGACTGGACGAGGAAAAGCGTCTGATCGAAAGTCTAACAAAGGAGCTGCTGCTCGATAACGAACGCGACGTTAATCGCGGTAAAAAGAAGAATCATTTCGCGAAGAACGTGTTGCATTTCGTGCCGGAGTACCTGGTGAAGGGATCGAAGAGAAGGAAGAAGAAGAAAAGCGCTCTAAGCTCGTCGTTGAACTCGTTGAAACCGTCGACTTTGGAAAAGGTGGACGTAATGGCCGACGACAGGTTCAGATCGAGGAGTCTCTCCAGAGAGGAATCCAGGTGTCTGAACATCTCGTCACCGACGAATTTCGTTCACGTCGCCTCCGCGACCAGTCCGAATCTGATCCTGAACGAAAACACGGTGAAATTTAATTTGGAGCAGGCTGTAATTACGCACGAGCAAAAGTGTGCCATCTTGCCTCTTCTCGTCGCGAGGAGCGAGAAGTTCTTCTTCGACGCCTCCTCTTCCCTCTCGCCAGGAAGGGACAACGAGAACGAAGAAACTACCCGTACGTTTCTTCCTTCGATCTTTTATTTCTTTCTTTCCATTCGAATTTCTTCTAATTCGACACTGTTCTTTATTCCAGGCAGAATCGAGGAAAGCCGGAAACGCGAATTGTTGTCCGAGCTGAGAGCGCGATCGGCAAAAGCGTTGGAGCCGAGCCAGCAGCGGGTGAAAACGAGTGAAAATCGAGCGTACGAGGGGAACGACTCGTTCCGCACAAACACCAGCTTTTTATGGAGTAATCAGAGCAAGAACCTATCGGTGCTCCTCGGTCGATCTACACTGAACGAAACCCTCGAGTACGTCGACGAGGATCAGTACGATGACGTAGGCCCTCTGAATCTTATCAATCAGGTGACTAACGTTCAACATATGCTTTCAATTTAGAAACTTACCTATACCAACTCGGACGGTTACCTCTTCACCTAGCTCGTTTCTTTTCTATAACCATTTATATTGTGGGATCGGAACTTTCAGATCCAACAATAAGAGAAACCATGGTGGTAGGGAGGAGACTCTTGATGACTTTCCGCATGAGGTTCTCGTAGACCTATGCGGAAAGTTAACAAGCAATTAGTTATCGAGATTTTATTTTATAACATCATCGTTTTAACGATTAGGATGACGACTACGATGACGTGGGTTTACCGACTACTTCCACCGATGAATCTTCTACCGTCCTTGAACCGACTCGCAGGGATTCCGAGTCTATCTACGACGACGTTGTAACTTTGCTTTCCCCGATCGACGATCCCGAAGTTACCGATTCCCGTAATGTCACCGGGAACGATAACACCGTGATCCAAAAGGATCAGACCCAGGAAAACGACGACTATCATCTGTTCGAAGGTAACAATTATTCCAGCGTGGACGATGAGGAGACCGGCGACGACGCGCTGGATAACGATCAGGATGATTACGATGACGTCGGTCTGCCTGGCGAGGAACGAGTCAACAGTTTGTACGCAGGTTCGACGGCAGGCTCGATCCTCGGATCAACCTGGACGAACGGGAAAGAATCCGAGTGGGAGGACCTGGAGGAATCGATTTTTGGTCCTGCTCGGCTTCCGAAGAAGAACAGCAATTCGTCGTATGTATTTTCTTTTCTCTCTGTCGATACTTAAAATGCTAGTCATTGTTTCTTTATTCAGTGGGATAGCAAGCGAGACGCAGGTGATCTCGAGTAAGAAGAAATTGCCTCGAAGATGGTCCCGAAAGGGGAGAAGACAACGTTCCAGATTATCTAGGAGAAGCTCGTCGAAGTCGTCTAACAAGTCAACGCGGGATTTCACGAGTCAAGGTAGGTTTCGAACTTGTTTCGTTCAGACGAAAATGGATTCCAGTATCGTTTACCTACTTTCAACCCTTTCGCTACGGCCCACAGTGGGGCGACCATATACGAATGTTCGACATTGAGGCAAAATATTAATGTTGTAATTTAAGAAGTTAAGTATATTTTTATGAATCTTTAAGTCTTCCACAATTATGTTCCACAATATTTTTACGTTTCGTACCACTATTTACCCTGAGCCATCCAAAATTAGTTACATCGATCAATTTTTCTTTTTGGTAAATCACGTTCTAATCCTTGTATTTTGTGACTTTACCAAAAGAATATATGTAATATCTAATGTTGTGGTTCTAATAATTCTAAAATAAACAGAAAGGTGACATAAATATTCAACAGAAATCTATTGCACCATTTGTTTTTAGGAAGTATGTAGATCGTAGCCATTCAATTGTTTTTTGCTTTTTCGTCAGATATTTAATTTAACTGTTTAACAGTTTAAGCTTTATATCTTTGGTTGTAAGGTATGAAAAATGTTGAAAAAAATCAGGAATATTCTGCTCCACGACCAACGTGTTTCTGAATTTTTTCAGAATTTTTCATTGCTAAATGGATTTTTAAAAAATTCGGAAAGTTTAAAAAAATTTTTTATACAGATGTATCAGATTATATATAGACGCTTATGTTTGAAGAACAATTAGTATAAAATATTTTAAACAATTAGTCCAACATTCGTATATGGTCGCCCCACGGTCTGTCAACGAGTGTACTTATACCAGGGGCCGCCACACTTTTTTGTCAAAGTGTTACCATCGCCTCGAAGTCACACGTCAACGAATAATCGTACGATTTCAACGCGAAACACCAGGAAACGCATCGTTTACTAATGCTTCGTCACTTTCACGCGGAGAAAAAGGTGACCATAGCGATTCCATTGAAAAAGGAAAATGTTCTTCTCGGGATCAGCGCGATGGAACAACTTGCACGATTGCAAGCATTCTACCGTGGTATCTCCCGTCAGGTAAAAGTTAACGCGATGTACCACTTGTACAGTATCGTGTAAGGATGCTTTTTCCTGAGGAACGATCCTCCCACCTTTAGCTTCTTCCTTAACCCTTTGCAGAGGATCGCTTCAAGGAGAGCATCTTTGCACAAACGTATGTTCCTTCCATAAAAAATCCATCGCGTTCAACGATTCTCCTCCGATTCATTTGCAAATTGGTGTAAATTCGGGGAAAATGGACCTCGCGGCTGTGTAACAATAGAGGAGAACTTGTCGCCGAGAGAGTGGGCGATGATTCGAAAGACGTGAAAATATTTAATCGACGAGTGCTCAGCCTGGAAACCGGACTCGAACGAACAGATTGCCGCGAGGTGAAAGCGCGTATTGCGCTCTCGCCAGTGTCAGTCACGGCCGAGCCTCGCTGCTCGTCGCGTCGCGTCGCCCCGCCTCGCTTTTTACCTTCTTTCAGACTTAAGTATATCCGCGTAATACGCGTACCATCCTCGATTTCTCGCGTTCCCCTTTATTCCCCTCCCGTGGTTCACTCTCGCTTTCTCGAAATGTATCGAAGTCGCCTCCGAAACGCTTGAGACCGCTCCTCTTTCGACCGTGTCTTTTTTCGCGCGAAACTCCATCGTGACGGACAAAAATGTCGTGGAAATGAAACAGACCTTGAAAACTTTTCGACGTCCGAACACGCAAGGTAAGCTGTGCGTCCTGTTACGATGCCTGTACACACCTGTCCAAGAGACCGAACTTCAGCTGCTTTTCTCGTTTCGCGAAAATCATCGTCCGCCCAAATTGCAATAAAAGAAAAAGAGAGAACGCTTTGTTCCTTCGACGCGTCCGTAGCTGATTCGAAGCATCTCTTCTTTTTTCCTCCGCTCGATTCGGTTAGCCTTCGGATCTTGGACAAACGTCGGGCAATACATACGTGGCCGTTCACGCAGACATAATCGCGATAGACGTTTGACCGTGAACAATGATTTCAAGTGGCTGTAAGCCTTGGCACCGGATCGGTTTTGCTCGTGGGCCGTGCGGAGAAAGTGGAGGAATGGAAGAGGGAAGAGCCGAAGGAAGGAACCGGGCAGGAAAATTCATGGAGAACGCAGGGTCTCGTTCAGATGAGGGTCATCGACCTGGACGAGGACTTGGACACCCAGGAGACGTCCTGCTACGTTCACGAAGGTCCTCCCGACGTTTCAGGGAATTTAATCGATAAAACCTCTCCTTCTCCTTATGATGGAAATTCGATTTGAAATCCGCCCTCCAGTTTTCCCATCGTTCACCTGTGAACCCTTTTTACAGAGAACGCATCCGACGACAGCACCTACGAGAGCTTGCAGTCCTTCCAGCAGGATGACTTCAGCACCGATTCGGAGACGGAGAAGATCGAGGAGCGGAGGAACGAAGGGGAGAACGTCGAGAGGGACAAGATCTCGAATCGATTCGTGATCGAGTACTCGGAGGCACCCACCAGACCGAATCCTCCGCCCCCGCGGGAAATCAGCCTCACTCGTACCCTAGGCAGGAGGATAAAGATGCTTCGAAGAACTTGGAGCATCACGAAAGGAAGCCTCGGTCGTATGCGAAGAAGAACCTCCGTCGACGAGGAACATGTCTGCGAGGAGAACGATCAGTCGAATTTAGAGGGTGGTAGATACTTTGGTTTCGCTAGGCATTTTAAGAAAAGCGTCACTGGATTTTCTACTTTCTATCTGAACGGTTACACCGCGAACGGTCCTGGCGATTCGACAAAAATCGCCGGCGATCATTCCTCCGTCGACGAAGAAACAGGTAAGCTCTATTCTTCTCTCGTTCCCTTCGATTTCGTAACTTTCTGTAATTCTGTACAGATCACTACAGCGTACTCGCCGAGCAGGAACCGCTGTATCAATTCTACGCTGCCGCTGCTGCCCGAGGGGCGTTCGACTCCAATTCGGATGGCTACGAGGAGGTAACACCTGAAAATAGAACCAACCCGTTTTCGGCCATTTCCGGTCAAACCGGAAAAATCTCGGCCATTCGTTCAGGTTTTGACCCAAGAATTTTTCCGATAACTCTTACCCCCTTCTCAAGATTTTCAAGGGGAACTATCCAAGTGTTACGCACACTTATTAATGAAACTTTGCCACCTTGTAGAGCTCGTCGCCCTGAACACGCCTATACCACCTTTTGGGGGCAGACGGCTAATTGTTTAAAAGATATTAACAATTAAAGTTAGTTACACCTTACATTGAGAAGCATGAGAAACTAACACATATAAATGCTTAGCTCCGCGGTAAAACGCTTGACTGACAATCTAACTGTCCACGGTTTAACTCCATGGTTTTCAAGTTTTTTTTTCTTTTTTCTTTTTAATGATAATTTGACTCTTTTTGAATAATTATTACAACTGTGCTATAATCATTGCATTTATTAATAGCTAATTAATTTTCATAGAATTTAAGTTATATTTAAGTTATCAAAATTTACTCCTTCTCAATGTAAAGAGTAACTAACTTTAATTGTTAATATCTTTTAAACAATTAGCCGTCTGCCCCCAAAAAGGTGGTATAGGCGTGTTCAGGGCGACGAGCTCTACAAGGTGGCAAAGTTTCATTAATAAGTGAGCGTAACACTTAGGTAGTTCCCTTAGATACAGGTTGGCTAATAACGTCAGGATGACTCTAGAAATATGTCTTTTCGAGATAATTGTTAAATGGTAGAAATCCCATTGTAATGACACGCTTCTAGAAGCATCCTGTTTATCCCACAAATGCAGTAACCATCGACACGTACAGGTCGAGGACATGATTCCATCGCAATCGACGACCGACTTGGCGAAACCAGGCCACAGAACGTTGTGGTGTCAAACGGTGCAAGTAGTAAACACCGGTCTTCTACGTAAGCGACCATCGTTATCCTAAAACGTTGCGACACTTCTTATTCGACGATCTAATTTTACTTTTTCCATCAGAACGTCTAACCACGGAGGAGAGAAAGATTCAAGAAGCAAAGTTTGAAATTCTAACGTCCGAAGCTTCGTACTTGAATTCCCTGCGAGTTCTAAGGAACGAGTTCATCAACGAGCCGTCTATCAACGAGATTTTAACGCCCGTCGAAAGGGACAAGCTGTTCGGTGGTATTCCTAGCGTGTTGCACGCATCGGAACAGTGTCTGGCAGAGCTGGAAAGCATTTGGAGGCAGGATCCTATGCTGCACGGACTGCCGGACGTGCTGCTCAAGTATGCCGAGAAATGTTTAGATATTTATGTAGCGTACTGCTCGAATCAAGTTAGCATCGACAGCACGCTCAAAGATTTACGGTGAGCTAGATTACTAAGCAGACACTTTCCCTTTCTTTCCACCGATTTCAAATCCGACGTCGTTTCTTTCAGGACGCGAAAGGGTCTCAAGTTTCTAGACGTGGTCTCGCAAGTTGAGGCACGTTCCGCTTGCCAAAGCTTGTCGTTACATTCGTTTTTAATGTTACCCATGCAACGGATAACCAGGTGAGACGAATGCTCCTCGAACGATCAATTCAGAAAAACTGCACGATTGCGTTTGATTCAGGCTTCCTTTGCTGGCCGATGCAGTCCTCTCGAAATTGTCCTCCGAACACGTCGACAGACATCACTGGGAGAGAGTTTTGTCGAGCTTAAGTTACGTCGTTACCGAATGTAACGAGGGTGCGCGTGCCGCGGCGAAAGAAGCGGAAATGGAAAGTTTAGCCAGGTGACGATCGTTTTTTCAAATCGTTCATTGCTATTCTTCTTTGTAAATACATCGTTTCTGTTTCATAGAAAACTCGAGTATTCCGCGAAAATTAAACCTATCGTATTGAAAGGCAAGTACCTGGTTAAAACTGGACCTGTTGTACAATTGTCGAACAAAACCGACGCGGAATACAAGCTCACATTCGGGCGAAGGTTTAACAAAACGCACCTCTACCTTTTGTTACTCACGGATTATCTTCTAGTCGCAAAATACAAGTCCAAGTATGATCTATGAAAATATTATTTAGGTAAAATAGGATATCATTCGTACGTAACGCATGCTTCTTCTTTTAGTAGTCACGATACAACGTATACTGTAATAGATACGTGTAAAAGGAGTTTGATCGCTTTAGAGTCTGTTCCTGAGGATTCGCCGTTCGCGGGTCGTAACGCGATGCTGTTAACTCTTTTGGAAAATTATTCTGGTCATCAAATCGAATATATATTAACGTGCGAGAGCGATACGGAAAGGCAAAGGTGGTTGGAAGCTGTTTCACCATCGAATCGAGGATTGGTTGAGGAAACCCTCTACGAAGTATGGGATTGTCCTCAAGTGGTAGCTTTGTATTGTTATTCTCCAAACCAACCGGACGAATTATCGTTGCATCCCGGTGAGCGATCTTTTTCTCGTTTCTTCCTTAATCAATATGCTAATTACAAATATTATTATTTTCTCTATTTTTCAGGGGACGTTATAAACGTGTTCAGAAAGATGTCAGACGGTTGGTATCACGGTGAAAAATTATTGAACCGCGAACAGGGCTGGTTTCCTGGAAATTATACGAAAGAAGTTGCATCGGAACACGTTCGCGCGAGAAATTTAAAGCAAAGACACCGTCTTCTCGCGTTGAACGGTAACGTGTTGCAAAGAAAAACGAAACAATAATCTGCTATTCGCTGAAAGACTTGAAGACGCAACTTCGAGTAAACCAAGATGATGTTATTTATACTTATCCACTCGTCGAGTATCATAAGGGCCGAATAAAATTAAAGAAGTCTATAAAAAAAGTATGTTAATCTTTATTATCCTGATATAAATGCAATTATAAACGTTCCTTAATAGTTTTATTTATCCATAAATATATAGTCCGTACATTCGTAGTAAAAAGCTGAGAATAAAAGAAAATAAATGAATGGATACCTTAAGGTGATCAATGGAATGTTTCATACGTAGATGTACGAAACACGAGACAGTCTTATGCAGTGTTTTCGCAGTTTCTTGTTAACAAAAGGAATATTATCCTATCTTTGAGAATACAGCGAATTTCTTTGATCAAAGAACAACAGGTAACTCTCCAAGAAGAGAGCATGCTACATATTTAACTTACAAATCCAACAAATCTGACGTTACTTTTTTATCGTGAAAGAAATTTCTTCTTTATATACCTGCTCTCGAATATTTAGACGGTTTCACCTCGAATAATTTCCTTACAAAATATACCTGTATCGTTGTCGTTACCAATATGACGATTATTTGCGCGATGGACCATGTTTGGACATAAGAATTGTTATCCAGTAATAAATTTAGATCTCTGGCTTCTCTACTTCTACTCAAATGTTGAGTCTGAAGTATGTCGTTAATGTTTCTCTCAACATTAGTTAGCGCCGACTATAAAGGTAAAAACATTGATATATACGTTATTCCTAACTAGAAGGACAAAGGGTACATACCGTAAAGTTCCCTACAGAAAGATTCAGTTCTTCCAGTTCTCTCGAATACCTATCCCATTCGTCGTACCTATGATAAATAATAGCGATTAACATTAATAAAACTACAAATACACTGTGTATAATTATAGATATATTACCTGATTACTGTGATGTATAAATTAACTAATTTTGATGCAAATCTAGAAAATTGGTTGTCTATACAAATACTGTAGTAACCAGCATTCTGCACTGTATCTTGGTAATCCGAATTAGAAACCCACTGGTAGGGATGAACTATTATTCCATCTGGATTTCTTATCGCAAAACCAGCTTTCCCATCTCCACCTCGTACCACCTGCACTTACAACCATTATTTAATACTTTTCTCATTCTAATTAATGAAAGTTAAGTAATAATTGGTAAAAATATGTAGAGTGAACCATATGGTCAAATATTGAGATTAATTAAATACTTATTGAGGTGTAAAAATACCCAGGTGTTTTGGAAGTCTTTTATAACGAATAAGGAAACGTATTTTTAACAAAGTAATTGTATCTTAAAAATAACTGTATACCTGAAAATTTACGTAGAAAGTTGCGCCCGAATTAACATATTGAAAGTAACAATCTTCTTTCCCAGCATCGATATGAACTTTATAGTCTAAGGCCACCGCTGGTAAGGTTTCGTACCAGAGATGAGGCATGCTGGTGTTCGCGAGACTAACAAGCACTCCGAAGACCAGACTTCGTAAAAGGTTGGACATTGTATGAATTTAAACAAACAGATCATCACAACAATCCACCCGGCCAACAATCGCTTTCACGACGACTGACAAGCGTGGCCCAAGTCTCAACGTTCACCTCCTACCGCTATCACTATCTTCAGTGTTTCTCAACTGTTTTCGCTTGATCCTTTCTCGCAACATAAATTATCTTGTAATTTATTAAACATTCCCAGCATTTACAACAATCTTCTATTAGATATTTTTAACAATAACCAAGTGCTTAATACAGTATTTTAAAACTTCCTTATATTCAAATTTAAAAAAGATCGATAGATCAAAATCGATAAAGGAAACATTTATACCAGTCAAAACTTATTCATATACATAGCTCGTTTTGAGTATGAAATCGTTACAAATTTAGTTCCAATTTAGTTCCGATCAAGCACCTACATGAAGCCACCCGGAAGGAATAATAAAATATGATTATTTTTAATTCTTCTTAGTGTATTTCGTTTGTAAACCGTTTGTGATTGATTGTGAGTCTGTTTTTAACGTTTGTGACAAATTACTTTTTTTGTAATTAGCAATTTTATTTCAGTCATGATGTGAGCCGAAACTTTTTAATAATTCCTTATAATAAACAGATTTTGTGATAACTAATAGTTGTAATTGATTGGAAATCATTTGTGATTTACAAATATATCATTCTCATTGTTTGTGAGTGAATAATTTCTTAATTATTTACAAGTTTGTTTTATAATCACTACCTCGAACAAGTGAGTTTCACGATTTGTTCGTTTTTAAGTCCTATATTTCGCTTTTTGCTACGGGGTCCCTGACACCCCGGTGGAATAATATCGGTATGCAGCGTCACCGGTACCTCGGGGTCTCAGCTACCCCGAATGCCGTAGCGTCGGCAAGCAAAGAGTGTCATCACAGTATCCCTTATATCCCTGCATTTCTTCCATCCCAGCATTCCTTACATTCCTGCAACCCTTAAATACCCATTTTTTTTTTTTTTTTTTTTTTAACGTGGTGGAAATCTTCAGAAAGACACCTTCAGCCCCCCTAGGGAGGGGCCGGAGGTAGTGTGCGATTTTTACCCACTAAAACCACCACGGTGGCCTGCACTAGGGCGGTAGGGAGGGCCCTTTGACCCTCCGCCATGTGCCAAACTCCGCCAACATCGGGGGCCACACCCGATGCCGACACTCCTCATGCCGCGTGCAGTGGAGACCGGGGCCCTAGCCCCGGACCATTTTCCTTTACATCCCCCCTCCCGTTACACCTCTGTATCACTTACATCCCTGCATTCTTTCCATCCCTACATTCTATTCATCCCTCGTTCCGTTACACCTCTGCATCCCTTACATCTCAGCATTCTTTCTATACCTTTATCACTTACATTCTTGAAAAGACGCTTTCGGCGTTCGTAACAGCGCCCTCTAGTGGCGAAAAAAAGAACTAAAGTACAAATAAATTTAGCGCCATCTGGTTTTCGAAAAAGGAACTAAATCAAGCACCGATTTTGGCCCTCTAGCGGCAAAAATGTGAACTAAAATCTCGACCTCGAATCAGCGCCATCTGGTTTTCGAAAAAGGAACTAAATCAAGCACCGATTTTGGCCCTCTAGCGGCAAAAATGTGAACTAAAATCTCGACATCGGATCAGCGCCATCTGGTTTACGAAAAAGGAACTAAATCAAGCACCGATTTTGGCCCTCTAGCGGCAAAAATGTGAACTAAAATCTCGACATCGGATCAGCGCCATCTGGTTTACGAAAAAGGAACTAAATCAAGCACCGATTTTGGCCCTCTAGCGGCAAAAATGTGAACTAAAATCTCGACATCGGATCAGCGCCATCTGGTTTACGAAAAAGGAACTAAATCAAGCCCCGATTTTGGCCCTCTAGCGGCAAAAATGTGAACTAAAATCTCGACATCGAATCAGCGCCCTCTGGTGCCGAAAAAAGGAACTAACTTACCTTTACTTACCTTTACTTACCTTTACTTAAAGCAGTCTTGTTAATATATTTATTATAAGGGATGCAGAGATATAAGGAATGTAAGGATGAAAGGAATGTAGGGATGTAAGGGATGAAAAGAATGTAGGGATGTAAGGGATGAAGAGAATGTAGGGGTGAAAAGAATGTAGGGATGTAAGGGATGAAAAGAATGTAGGGATGAAAAGAATGTAGGGATGATAATAATGTAGGGATGAAAAGAATGTAGGGATGATAATAATGTAGGGATGAAAAGAATGTAGGGATGAAAAGAATGTAGGGATGATAATAATGTAGGGATGAAAAGAATGTAGGGATGATAATAATGTAGGGATGAAAAGAATGAAGGGATGAAAAGAATGTAGGGATGTAAGGAGTGCTGGGATGAAAGGAATACAGGGATGTAAGGGATACTGTGATGGCCTTGGCCTATAATGAGTGATAAAATTATATAAATAACTGGAGAAAGTAAAATAAATGGGGTCCTCGGCCGAGACCCAGAAGAGGGATATTATCATAAATGTTAGTCCCCTCCGATGAACTTATTTAATAAGCAAAAAAAGTAAATGAAGTAAATTAAATAAATTGTGGAAAAAAATTATACTGGTTGTGCCCTCTTCATACGGACCTGATATCATCCGGGGTGTTAGCGACCCCGCTGCGTTAATGACACCTTCTGCGCACCGACCTAATATCATATTGGGGTATTAAGGACCCCTAAACGCCGATGACTATCTTTGCATACGAATAATATAACATCCGGGGTTCCGGGGACCCCGAAGCACAAGTGACACTGTTTGCATACCGACATATCTTCCTGGGGTGCCAAGGACCCCAAAGCACCGACGACGCTCTTTGCTTACCGACACTACGGCATTCGGGGTACCTGAGACCCCGAGGTACCGATAACACTGCATACCGATAGTTTGCCACAGGGGTATCAGGGACCCCAAGCAACTAGCGAAATATAAGAACGAAAAACGAACAAATCGTGAAACTCACTTGTTCGGAATAGTGATGGGTTTGACCGGATCTAGCGAAATATAAGAACGAAAAACGAACAAATCGTGAAACTTACTTGTTCGGAATAGTGATGGGTTTGACCGGATCTAGCGAAATATAAGAACGAAAAACGAACAAATCGTGAAACTCACTTGTTCGGAATAGTGATGGGTTTGACCGGATCTAGCGAAATATAAGAACGAAAAACGAACAAATCGTGAAACTTACTTGTTCGGAATAGTGATGGGTTTGACCGGATCTAGCGAAATATAAGAACGAAAAACGAACAAATCGTGAAACTCACTTGTTCGGAATAGTGATGGGTTTGACCGGATCTAGCGAAATATAAGACCGAAAAACGAACAAATCGTGAAACTCTCTTGTTCGGGATAGTGATGGGTACGACCGGATCTAGCGAAATATAAGACCTAAAACCGAACAAATCGTGAAACTCACTTGTTCGGATCCTGATATTATCCAGGGGTGTTAGGGACCCCGTTGCGTTGATGACGCCCTCTGCGTACCGACCTAATATCATATTGTGGTCTTAAGGACCCCCAAGCGCCAATGACTACCTTTCCATATGAATAATATAGCATCCGGGGTTCCAAAGACCCCGAAGCACCAGTTAGTATCTCTGCATACCGACATAATATCATCTTGGGGTGTCAGGAACCCCGAAGCACGGATGACACTCTGCTTATCGACACTAGGGCATTCGGGGTATCTGAGACCCCGAGGTACCGGTGACGCTGCATACCGATATTAATCCACCGGGATGTAAGGGACCCCAAAGCAAATAGCATAATATAAGACCTAAAAACGAACAAATCGTGAAACTCAATTGTTCGTGGTAGTGATGGGTACGACCAGATCTGTAGCGCATGCGCACTACAATTATTTATTATAAAACAAACTTGTAAATAATTAAGAAATTATTCACTCACAAATAATGAGAATGATATATTTGTAAATCACAAATGATTTCCAATCAATTACAGTTATCAGTTATTACAAAATCTGTTTATTATAAAGAATTACTAAAAAGTTTCGGCTCACATTATGATTACAATAGAATTGCTAATTACAAAAGATGTAATTGTCACAATCGTACGATTTACAAACGAAATACACTAAGAAAAATTAAAAATAATCATATTTTATTATTCCTTCCGGCTAGCTTCATGTAGGTGCCGCAGGCAGCTACCGTTGTTGGCGACATCAACGCTTCAAGTGGACTGGGAGACAAACTAAGATCCGCATCTAATTCAGAAGAGTAGAGTTTGGTGGGCCTGGTTGATATGCATTGTAAGCGTAAACGAGGAAAGCATAGAAATTTTTGTATTCAGTAGTGTTTTGGTAAGAAATGAATGTAAGGAAAAAGATTTTTATTGGTTAGTGGGAATACCTGAAGAAATAATGGATTTAAATGAATTAACACATAAGTTTATACATAATATTTATATCATGTATTTATTTAAAGAAACACTATAACCATGTAAAATTGTAATTGACTGTTGGTTTAAAAACTAATATTCTTTGAGAAATATCACTGGTGACAGCAACTGTTTCATTTTCCGTGAACTGTACCCTGCAGTTCAAACTAAATGAATGATAAAACAATCAGTTAATATGTCAATTAATTCATGGAAGAGTAAATTATAATCAGAAACAAATTACACAACCTTATGATATATGTCCTATAAAAGTTGAATTGACAAATTTATCAGACATTTCTCACATATTGTGGATTTACCATGCAGTTTAACAAATGTTGTATTCCCATTGTTATTGTGTTGCATGGTATGTGCATATGATAATATGAAGGTTATGCATTGACTGTGCATTTTATCATAGCACCAAATTGTGCTTGGATGTATTAGTATAGTGTGAACATATATCGATTGGGCAAAGCAAGCTTAGAAGCATTATTTGTGCTCTTTGTTAGAGCCTATTCATTATAGTGAAGGTGCCATGAAGTAAAATCAAAGGATGATGATGGGCGATCAGTTTCGTAGCAAAGTGGAGCAGTATTCACCAAAATCATCACCCAGGGGTGCACGTTCTCCTGTTGTTTCACGTCAGGATTCAACAGGAACACTGAAAACGACCATTTCCCTGGGTAAAAACCCATCTATCGTTCACAGTGGACCATTTTACTTAATGAAGGAACCCCCTGGTAATATTTCATTCGTATTTTAATGAATCCTCTGAAATATATGTATAATAAATCTTACTACAAATTTTATAGGAGAGAGCGAACTAACAGGGGCAACTAACTTAATGGCCTATTATGGCCTAGAACATTCTTATAGTAAATTTAGTGGAAAAAAACTTAAAGAACAACTTTCTTCATTTTTACCTAACTTACCTGGAATTATAGATAGACCTGGTCATGTGGATAATAGGTATGTTGATAATCTCTTATTTATCGTGTTTAAAATATTTTATTATTACTGTTATACCTGTATTTTTCAGTTCGTTAAGATCTGTGATCGAGAAACCTCCAATAGGTGGAAAGGAATTGTTACCTTTGACCAGCGTTCAATTGGCTGGTTTTCGTTTACATCCTGGGCCTGTAAGCAAACAAATCTTATATTAGAAAAATGTATGCATTAAAATAGATGGCATAAATTAAAATTGATTATTTTTACAGCTACCAGAACAGTATCGCTATGTTAATCAGGCTCCGCAAAGGAAACACAAAAATAAACATAAAAAGCATAAACACAAACCAGGAGAAGTACCTACTGGTCAAGAAGCAACATCAACGGACATTGGTGGTTCGGATACTCATGAGAAGAAGCATAAGAAACAAAAAAGACACGACGAAGAAAAAGAAGCTAGGAAAAAACGTAAGAAAGAGAAAAAGAGGAAAAAACAGAAACATAGTCCTGAACATACCGGAGGATTAACACCCTCTCAACATTCCAATTCGTGATCTTCAATTTCTCCATTTCTGTTTATATGTAACTTTTAATCTGGCATCAGAATTTTTATAGCCGCAATTAAGTTTTCCTTTTTCCTAACACTAATGTATGTACAGATGACCGTTATAATTACGCAAACCATGTTTTTTATTGTCTTTATTTTCACAGATATACCATTCGTACTTTTCGGTTTTATCATTGTTTGAAAATGTAAAGTTTTTCTGATAGAAGCTGTACACTATTAATATATACCATGTAATAATGTATTTATATTTCGTGTGTATCCATACAAATCTAATACGCGTTAATGGATTTTGTGAACCATCGGGAAGTAATTTTTTATAAATAAGTAACTGATCTTATTTGCTTAATTGCTAATTTTGTATTGAAATATCATAAATTAATAGGTAAGGTGTGAAAAGGTTTAATACCTTAACGAGTTATTAGGAGTTAGGCAGAGATTATTAAAATGAACATAATTATGTTACTGTCGGTGTAAATATTATATATCAAAGACAGCAACAAAAAACAAATATCACTGCATAAAGAATCATTTGTAACTCTCATGAATATTTTGTTAATTAAAATGCAGTGAAGTTTGTTTAAGACCAAAACCAAAATCATGGATTGTACTGAAAACTTAAAATAAGTGTAGTATTATGATACAAGAATAATAAAAACATAAAATTTAACAGTTTTAATTTTTGTCCTGTTATGTGTTCCTAATAAAATTCAGAATACCTGCTTCCGCCATATTGTAATTTTTCCAAAAGGACTTGTAATTATAAAAATTCACGATTTCGTGCTGACGGTTTGAATTAAAATTCCTGCGTATTACTACCTTAATCAATTGAAGGTATAAAATTGACGGTACTCGCAGCGCCATCTAAAAAATAAGACTTCCGTTCTTCGTGGTCGATATCCGGCAAGGAATCAACGCGTTCAACCATTGAACTGGAATCGTTCAGATTCGTCGTTGGAAAGTCGCACCATTCCCGCCATTACGTGCTTTTTCTACCGTGTAGCAATTTGATTACCGGAGGAAGGCACGATGACGGACAGCCGTAAGTAAAAAACACTTGAAATTTTTACGTTAAAAAATATGATACATTTTCTAATAATAGAAAATTGATTTTTATCATGCATAATGAACATTTCTTAATAAGAAGTTTCTTAGGTAATAAATATATACTATCGAGCTTCAAGTATTGCCACGTTTATAGCTTTTCTCTGCTTGCAATTAATTTCTAATTAATTATTTTATATTGTTCCCTTGAGAAATGACAGGTAAGTGTTAAATAAAATTTCATCAAGATTGATATATACTAAAATTGTAACAGTGTTCTCCGCTTCTATGGCACACACCGCGTAAACTTATTGATCAGTATTTCAAGTATCTCGTCCTATTTAATTTTTTTTTCACTTAATTTTGTATAAATTGATTTTTACATTTTGCTTTAATTTTTTATCTTCTATGCAATACTACATTATTACACATGTTATTCTGTCGTTTTTCTAAATGTAATATAGATTAGAACGTATTATAAAAGTTGTCAATTAAGGTTTAACAATATGTTTTTCTTAACTGTTTTAGAGTATTCAAATTACCAACAGCATGGGTACAATCAGTACAGCCAACCACCACCTTCTGGTGGTCAGGATACTTCGTATCCACCGCCTTCTACTGGTGGTGGTGGCAGTTACAATCAATATAGTCAACCACCACCAAACAGTGGAAGCAATTATGGAAGTTACAACAGTTACAATTCCAGCAGTGGCCCAGACTACAATCAATCACAAAATCAAAACAATTACAACCCAAACAGTTATGGTGGTGGAGGCAGTTCGGGAAGTAATAGCGGAGGTGGCGGTTATAGTGGAACCTATGGGCACGGAGGTGGAAGCAGTGGAAGCTATCGTAATAGCTCCAGTGGAGGCTATGGTGGAGGTATATTAAATACTTTTAAGTAATCTATGGAAAAGTATAGCCTTGCTAAAGCAAGCTTTTACGTATTCAGGCCAAGGAGGTGGTGGTAGATACGGAGATCGTGGGGGATACAGTGACCGCTCTGGTGGTGGATATAAGTAAGTTCATTTCTTATATTATTTACATATACATACATGATGAAGCGAAAATATTATAAGGCTAATGAAAAAAAAAAAAAAAAAGTAAAACTTCAGTCATACAATGACATTATTAATCAGTGAAGAGGTAAATATGTTTATTGAAGTAATCATGGTATGAAATGAAATTCTTGACAGTTCTGAAAACTCTTGTTGTCTGTTTCCAAATGGTTTCATGCCCATTGGGTGTTAATATGTTTAAAGTGTGCCTACAGGTTTAACACACAGGTATAACTGGTAAAGGTAAAAACAGGTTGTATACGACAAATGACGCAAAATGGTTATAACGTGTGGTATATATTCTGATTTTACATTATTACAACATGTAATAATACTATGCGCATACGTAAAGGTTTCATATTAATCATACCTGTAAAGCGGTTTATACTGCCACTGGGGCCACTGTTGTCTTAATACCACTTAGGGTTATTGAAATCGACTAGACAATTAAAAGACGTTTCAAATTTTTTATTCTGCTTATCTATGTGTGATCGAGCAATAATATTAAGTTGAATTTTCGTTGAATATATTGGTACTATTTTGTTATATTTTACCTCTTTTTTGATGTAGGATATTATTGTACCAACATGGTCATTCTTCTGGTATAATTAGTTATTTTTTTATCATGATGGATAATCTGCTCTGCCACTTATTAAATTTTTCGGACATCAAATATAAGTACAACTGATCTGAACAGAATAAAGTTTCATATAGGATTTTCTTGATCAATTTATATCTTAGTAGTTGTGCGAAGAGCATCGCATGGCTCTTATACTTTTGGTAGTACCGCTACAAAGGTACTATGTATTGTGTATATATATATGTATGTACGTAGGTAATTTCTGCATGCTGGACGCGACAGACTAACATGACGATACAAATGACTGATTTAGTATTAAGTAATATTGTGACTACAGACATTTAGACAGTAGGTACATCAAGAAGAGAGGTGGCGAGCAGCATTTGATTCGCCATGCATCGATCGATCGATCAGTCTGTCCATGAGTCAACTCATTGGTATATCTGCTTCTGTGTTTTAGCAGTGGCGGTGGCCGTGGTGGTTATAACAAAGGTAAATGCACCAGACTGTCTGTACTAGTCTGGTGCTATTCAAGCTTTCACTCTAATATTTAAAATCTAAATACTCGGTTACTTGTATTATATGAAAGGGCTGCTATGTAACATTGTTAGGGGTATTTTTTTTTTTTCTTTGATAACTAATATTCAACCAGAAAAGTATGGTGTAATTTACAAAAGAAAGAAAATGTTATCGCAGCTCTGTAGAAGCTGCTTTAATCACCAATTGCTTTTTCAATCGGTATAAGTAAAGTTTGTTTCTATTTGTTATAAAATTTATATTGAAAACAAGTAATGTTGTCTTTTAGTTTTCAAACGTATCAAGTTTATTATTCAAATAATTAACGTTCTATGAACGTTAAGTCTAATTTTGTATATATAAAACAAAACAGGAAGCTTTATAAAAAGGTATATATTGTAGCATAAAGGTTCAGTTGTTTTTTACCCACGTGAATTGAAGTATAAAAGGCAGCTGGTGAACAAAGTACATATATCCCTGATCGTTAATAAGGTTTCCCCGAAAGTACAATATAGGGAAATGGTAAGAATCAAAAATAATATCGCAGCCCTTTTGTATGTTAAGCTGCAACCTTGTGTTCTCTACATACTGTTATACGCTACTAAGAATATTAGGCCAATGAGTACTAATACTTTTGTTAATGCACGGGTCAAAGAGAGAAAAAAAAAAAGAATTATCTTTAAATAAATAATTTTATACGATAAAGGTACGATAATAGAAATGTCACGAATTCAACAAATTACAAAAATTTGAAGTAATATTAAGGAAAGGTATCACTTTTTATTAGGTGAAATAAAATTCATGTATTCAGGGAAACTAAAGCTAATGTCACGATAATTTGATGTTTCTAAACATACATGAATTAAAAGATTCTTATTGTGTACCACAAAAGAAATTATTTTAAAATGTATTTGGGAAGTGGTCATTGAAACAGTATTAGTAATTACTTCAGGACAAAAAGGGAGCAAAGTGTTTGCTCAGTATAGTATTTAAGTTTAATTATAATGTCAAAATTATTTTAAACATAAAATAAATACGACGGGGAAATAAAAGATTCCAAGTTTCAAAAAGTTTCCAAGATTTGATTCTTCTTTAAAAACATATGTTATTTAGTTGTCTTTTAACCCAATATAAATTTTCCACTTGTTAGCTTAGACTTGAGTAGGTTTAGGGACAGTAGATTTTGCAAGTATTATTCCTACGTCAAGGAATGCCATTCTGGCCAGATGTATTAATTCTTATTACATTACAGGGGGCTACGGTGACCGTGGCGGTGGCAACGATGGAATGGTTACACAAGAGGATACTATTTTTGTATCTGGTATGGATCCTTCAATTTCGGAAGAAGAAATTTGTCAACACTTTGGAGCTATTGGTATAATCAAAGTAAGTTTACTTAATACAATTTGAAAAGAAAAACAGAAAGATTCTACCAGCGTGTTTTCTAATTCCAAATATTTCTAAATGTCTAGCATGACAAACGAACCGGAAAACCTAAAGTGTGGATGTACAAAGACAAGAACACCGGTAAATCAAAGGGTGAAGCCACCGTGACTTACGACGATCAGAACGCTGCACGTTCTGCGATCGACTGGTTCGACGGCAAAGAATTTAAAGGACGTACTATAAAAGTACAAATTGCTCAACACAAGAGTAACTGGCAAGGTAGCCGTAGCGGTGGAAGTCGTGGAGGCGGTGGAGGAGGAGGAGGTCGAGGTCGAGGTGGTTTTGGAAGTCGTGGAGGTGGTGGTGACAGAGACGATCATCATCGTGGTAGTGGTGATGACCGACGCGATGGAGGAGGTCGTGGAGGAGACTGGAGGTACTATCTTATTCTTTAAAATTAAATGTGTTTTATATAAACGGTAAACAGTTTTTCATACGCCTTTAATGTTTACCTAGGTGTCCCAATCCAGAATGCGGTAACACGAACTTTGCCTGGAGAGATCAGTGTAATCTCTGCAAAAGTCTAAAACCGGAAGGTGCTGGTGGTGGCGGCGGTGGAGGTGGTGGTGGACGAGGAAATCGCGGTGGTGATCGAGGTGGCCGTGGTGGTTTCAGAAGCGACAGAGGCGGTCGTGGCGGTGACAGGGGCGGCCGAGGAAGTTTTCGTGGCGGTGATAGGGGAGGAAGAGGAGGTCGGGGTGGTCCAATGAGAGGCGGCGGCGGGTTAGTTTATATATCTTTTCCTTTATCTGTACATCCCAAAATATGTTTCTTTAGATTTTTATTACTTGCATCTTTTTTCAGCCGTGGAGATAGAGACAGGGATCGTCAGCGTCCGTATTAAATGTATTCAAAGGTGATTGATTAATCACTTATTGACGTATTGTACACATTTTGTACACAATCTCAACGTATGTACATTTTCGCAACACATTCGTGTGTTACATTTCATTATCATCGATTTGTTTTCTCATACATCTTTTATATTCACCTAAATCGATGCGTGACGTGTAATTTTTGTGTTTTATATACACATGTAAATGATGATCATACGTGTAAAGTTACATTTTAATAAATAAGATTTCAGTCCTTTAATTCCAAATCTTGTGTTGTTTTTTTTAAATTTTATTTCAGTCGTTCAAATGAAAATACTTCCGTTCGATTTAAAAACGCCCTAAACGCTGGGAAATTTTGTTTATTGAAAGATAAAAATATAGTACAATAAATTTTTCTCTATGTATGTATACATGTATATAAATCTAGTAGGTAATAGATAATTGAAAAAAGAAGTGACATCTAAGTAATTCAAAATAAATACAGTGCGTTCTTATGATCAACGCACATCTAAAAATTTCTTGATAATTGATAAGCTGTGTTATTTAAATTCATTGTATCATAGTAAATATATATGTCTTACATATGATTAGATTAGATGAAGACCTCTAGCTCATGGATTTACTTGAATGGTATGATACTTTACAATCTCCTTTACTCTCGCTTAATTCTTGCGTTTACGCTGTTCTTTTGATATTTCCTGTAACAAATTAAGTAAATAATAAACAAAATCTAAAAATATACTACTATACACTGGTGTATTTTCTTACCTTCTGTGTAAGGATTATAAGAAGGTGACGGAAAATACTAATGAAATCTATGAAAAGATCAAATGAATGCAGAATAAAATCTTTGCTGCCCATGTGGTATTTTTCAATGATCAATTGCGTGTCATAAATGACAAAACCACACATCAAGAATAATCCAATATATAAATGGGCTTGGTAAAACAAAGACCAACGGAGGAAGAGATTGAGAATTGAAAACAGAACCATAATATTTAGTAAGCTAATTAGAGTACCGCCAAGGTACAGCCAACGACCTCGTTCAGCCAAAAGAGAAGAAATACTGAATGATACAAACACAACGGTCGTTCCTGAAAAATTAATGATACAAGAAGTTAGTTGATGCTCATACATTAAACATATTGTGCAACACATTTCATAATGTGACATCACAATATGTAACAATATTTAATGGTTAAATAAACAGAAATGATTTATTAACTTACCTATAAGCGCAGTTATTACAATACTTGGATTAATACTTATGACCAAATGAAGTAAAGGACCCAATCCAAGCCCAGATAAAAATGCAAATCCCAGAAGATAGCTGAGCCGCAATTTTTGATTTTTTCCATTATCTGGTGTGCTAATTAAAGCAAAAAGAAGACCAAAAGTACCAAGAGTCGTTAATAAATTAGCCTCCAGGAGCTCTGTGTATAAATGAATATAAGCTCCTGCAGCAGCTGATAATGTTGATAAGGACAGACAACCGTAGACATTTTTTAAGTGTTGTCTAACCGGTGATTCCCTGCAACAATAAAAATTTGTTACATTTTCATTATTTCACTATTCTTGCATTCATCAGAAGAATCATGCATTGAAATCATATAAATAATCAAGATACTGAAAAAATATAAAAATATGCGGAAATTATGAAAAGACAAAGAACGTTTAGAATAATCAATTATGATTTTACAAATGTCAAAACTCTTGATTACACTCGATTCGGAACACGTCATAAGAAACTATGCTCGTAAATGAAAGTTTCATTGCATGAAATATTCAGATTAATGAAGTTCTGGAATCTACGTTTACGCTCGAAGGTCGTATTACATTCTAATAACGTAGATAAGGAAAAACGCATATCATGATAAGTAATTTTGTTTAATCGCATGTAAAAAAGAAACCATTTATCATTTTTATAAAATAAGACATTCCTGTAACGGCTTCGATGTTACATCACCACGAATCATCACGTATCAGTAACAAGGACGTAAATAAAAATAATAAACTACCGATGATTTGGGTCAGGATAAGATGAAAATAATGTATTTATGTTTAACGACGGAATTGTCATTTTAAGAAAAAAATGTTATATCGTCGTTCATAGAAATATACTTACAATCTGTTCGTGAAGGAATTTACAAAATTATTCAACACCGCCGCCATAATTACGCTGCTTAATTTCACAAATCGCACTGTAATTAACACAATTCGTCTACCAATGTTGTTTTCGTCTTGCGTGAAACGAGAATAATCATGAACCTTTGAAGTAGCTCGCCTTTCCGTGGACACGTCAGTGATATTTCTGTGCGTAAATTTCGTCGACACTTCCGATTGGTCGACGTGCCTCTTGAAATTTTACGGAACGTCAGCTTTCACGTAACAATGACAGAAGATGAGCTTCTTTATGAAACAGACGAAGACAGGGAAAAACTTTGTTTGATAACACTGACATCTGTAGAATGAAATCATAATCACCAGCGTCTTTCATGAAATTACTAGGAGGATAAGTTATTTATTTATATCGACACAAACGATTTCTTTTTGACAATAAAAATTTAATAAAACATACCTGTTTACGTTTCTTTACCTTTCCACATAATATTTTGTAATATTGAAACTTTTATTATGCAGCGTAATCGAGAAATTATAATGCACGAATAAAATTTATGTTACGGCAGCCATATTGTTTTCAAAACATAAACGAAAAGCAATGTTCTGTGCAATTTTTTTACTCCTATAAAAACATATATGAGCAATTAATTTAAAGGAAATAAAGTTCATACTGAAAAGAATGCGATAAAAGATTGTTTATCGATTAATGAAAACCTCGGTACCAAATAATTTATACGTTGTTATCGTGAAGAAAATAAGTGATCATGAAAGAAATGTTAACTAATCAAACTAGTTCAGGATATAGCAATTCCTATGTTAATAATAATGGAGATACCAATAGCAATAATACAGCTGACAGTAATGCAAGGAAATATGCTGTGCTAAGCACAGAATGGGTATCTGCAATTGGGGAAGAGCTAGGAATGCATCCTTTGCCAGATTCTTTATTGCGAAGACTTGCAGAGGATGCTTCATATCGTCTTAGAGAAGTTCTACATGTACATATGATTATTGTTACATTTATAGTAGTTAGAATTTCTATACTTCATAAAATACAATATTTCAAATCAATTTTCAGAAATGTGTAACAAGGCTGAAACACAGCAAGAGGAAACGTTTAATGTCTACAGATGTAAATGCTGTAATTACTAATCTGTGTGATGTAGATCCAGTATTAGGTGCACCAGAATCAATGCCAGAATATCATACAGAAGCAAAGGTTTTTGTTCCTAATGAACGTATTGTTAATTTAGTACAAAAAATAAATGAACCACTTAATATATCACAGAGCAATGTACCTTTTATTCAAGGTATACTCATGTCAATTTAATCACCTACAAAACTTCATTATTTAGTTATCATTATTAATACGTTTTTCTTGTAGAATCAGAAATATGCGATGTAAGACTCACAGAAGCACGTAATAATTATGCAAAGAAAGCATTGAAAACTTTATTCAATGGATCCCAAAAAACTTTTCAGGTATGTCTACCCAATCGATCTATGTAACATTTATTTGATATGAACATGTGTTCATAGGTTTTAATTAATGATTGTGCTACCAATGCATATTTGGGTGGTGAAGGAGTTATAGATAAATTAATGTCAATTGCTAGGTCCATGGTAATTTCGAATAATGCACAGTATACAAGAGTATCTACAAGAACTTGTCAACTTATCATTGCTATTGCAAGCAACAGTGAAGCTGTCTACCCCTATCATTTAACTTCGGTAATGTTCTGCAGTAAGATTGTGCAAATTTTATTGATCATTTCTATGGAGAAAGCGAGATTTCAGAATTTCAAATACTGTTGATTATAGGTGGACAAATTGACTGAATTGCTGTTAGAATTACTTCTTGGACAAAGTTTTATAAATTCAAATCTTGAAACGCTTTTTAAAGAATGCGCATTAAAACTAATGCTTCGGTGGCCGTTTGTCGCTGATAAATATATTCCAACATTAGAGAATGTGCTTTTAAAAGAAGAAAAAGAAAATACAGATGGAAGTAAAAAAAAGGCAATGGCTATGGAATTAATAGCAAGCATACAGCCATTAATATTTTTCCAACACGAACCAGAATCTCCACTTTCTGTTCATATTGTTTTAAACTTTGCCCCACCTGGTTCTGCTCTTTGGCAAAAGATAGCCGTGAGTGACTTTCATATTATACTTTCTACTAATATTTCTTTTTATTAATAATACATACTTTAATTCCAGCTTTCTGTCTGTGCCCTTCTGAAATCACAAGCACATATCTTGGACATTGAAGTTTTTATGGAACATTATGGAGATTCTTTATTACCTTATCTACCTATTCCTTATAAAAGTACAATGAACGAACATAAAAAACCGACTCCCCTCCCTATTATTATTAAAAGTAAGATAAAGTATGTAAACGTTAGACCTGTAACAAGCAGCCGACTGATATGGGATCGGCAAACAGCATTTCCCGATTCCACTTTACGAGGTCCCAGGCGAGAAATAAGGTATGAAAGTAAACAAGTATGATTTTTATTTTATCACAGATAAGTGTATCTTATACCAGTACTTTCTGTGATTTCATTTTAGATTCGCATTTGCTGGCGGACGACCTGTACCTTCGAGTAATTTAAAGCGAGTTAGTTTAAGAGCAAATTATCAAATTTTAAGAAGCGATCTACAAGCAACCCTTGCACTGGTCGCATCGCGAAGAATACTAATGCTTAAAGATAAAAAGAAAAGGACCTTCGATACATACAATCTACTGTACGGTTATTTATAAATTTGTATCACGGAACAAATTTTTAAGGATGCTCATCTCGGTATATAATGTAAACATTTTTTTTACCTTTCAGACGATTTTTATGAAAACAAAATTTTTTAAAATAACTTCGTCTTATTTCAAAACACATATAAATATATTAATTTTAATATTTCCTCGTTAAAGCGAGAAAACAGTACTCCGTATTCGTATAGTATGTATTTATCCTTTGTTATTTAAGATCCTACTCCCAGCAGCACGTTTGTTTAATAGCGTCCGCTGTAAGTATAATAAGAAATGTTTATTAAAGCAATAATAAGAAAAAGCCTGACACAGCGACTAACTTCAGCAGAACAATTAATTCAAACTCTATTAAAGACAGTCTTGTAATCCTTGTGGTAGTTCGTGATATGGTACTACATGCGAATTAATCAAACACGTAGCACGTGTATGAACCTTTACCGGCATCTACAACAAATATTGTTTTATGTTCATTGTTATTGTACAATAATATTGAAATTTTAAAATGCTTACTTTGGCTAGTCGTCGTCGACTCAAAATCCTATTTTTATAAAAAAATACAGAGGATCCTATTTCTATGATGCGAACTGTATCAGAATTCATGAAATACTTTTGTTTGTAGGTATTTACAATACATTCTCTATTTGTTACAGGAAAGTCTAATGCTGTATGTTCATTGTGTTCCCTTAATGAATTGTTATTGTTGTCGTTACAATTAATATCGGTATTGCTACTACACCTGTAAAAGGCTGAAATTTAAAAAAAATTAATCACGTAAATTATTTTCAGTGTGTATATCCTTAAATTGATACTTACGATCTATGGTAATAATATCGTGTAATTTTTCCAAAGTACATGATTCGTTCTTTGATTCTTTTGTTGTGGAAGTTTCATCTAGATTTTCTGTTGTATTTTTAGTATTGTCTTCTGGTTCATTTATTGTTACATCATTCAGATGATCTATTAAGTCATCACTGTCAGGTGAAACTGAACTAGAAATAAACACATCATCATCTTCAGAATTACTTGATTTGTTCAATTCTTGATCAAGCATAAATTTAACAGATGTAATTTCTTTATTCACTTCATATTCATCTTGTACTTGATCGCTGATTGTCAAATACTTTGAAATAACGGGTACGTTTTTGTGTCCTGTAAAAGGAATAGTTAATTAGAAAAGTATAAGTAAATGAAGCTGAAATGATACTTACTATGCTTTAACCAGAACATTTGTATTTTATTAGCGCACTTTATACGGTAATTTCTTCTGTAGAATTCCAATTTGAGAAAGACAGGCTCTGTTAAAAATATCAATTGTTTTCCAAAATGAACTAGAGCGTGTAATTTTCTTTTAGGCACAATCGACTCCAAAATCATTTCACATTTATTAGGATTCATAGTTTCTGTTGGTCTTTTAGAATATCGTTGACAGAAGTTTTGATAACACAGACGAACAGGATATTTACATTTAGCCAGTGGCAACGTATCAAAAACACCAATAGAAGCCAATTGCTTTCGAAAATCTTTTCGGTCCCATTCATTAGCATTAGCTGTTAATCGACTGTAAAAGTATTGTTAAATATAAAATTGTGCTGACTTACACGTACTTTCTATAATCATATAAAAATATACTCTACTTGGGCTTAACGCATCGCACATAATGCAAATCACATTTGCTTAGTTTTTTAATAAGCGTGTCTATATTATATTTCAATTTAGCAAGCATAGTTCTCTTCCTAGTAGACGTTTTTGCGGTATGTGAATATTGTTCCTCTTCAATATTGATCAATGAACGAAGGAACTTATTTGTACTTACGTCAAAGATCATAGATATTTCGTTTGGAACCTGCAAAGAAAAATATATTAGTAAATTATGTTAGAACTAGATTATACAATGTATTTAATACCTTATCAGTGTTTTTAGATAACAAATCATCAATGGAATATGACACAGGACCTGAATAATGTTCTACAATAAAATTCCCTTCTTTTCCATCTAAAAACTTATTTTGTTCATTATGTAAATTTGAGCATGCTAGTTGTATTATTTTAGATATGCTAGTTGGTACAGGAGATTGACAAGCCTATGATATAAAAAAATATTGAAATCAATTGTTACAAAATTGAATCCAAATTTTGTTACATACATCATTTAAAGTTAAGAATAATCCCTCTTCAATAACATATAGACGTTCTTTATATAAATTAATAGTATGCAGGGGATTAGTTTCTTTAATAAAACCTTCCTCTTCCAAATCTTTACGACTTTTTTCCAAATAGGTTTCAATGAAATATTGCTGTATCTTCTCGTTAGTGTAATTGACACATAATTGTTCTATACCATTTTTATTGAAAGATTCGAAACCAAATATATCTAATACACCTAAAATACATAAGTATATAAACAAGTTTAATAGATTTATAATAAAGAATTAAATTTAACATACCAAGCCACTGAAAGAATTCATGTTTTACGCATAAAGCGTCATTTGTATGATTCAAGACCCAGTGAAAAAGAAGATCGTACATGTGTCTAATTATGCTATGCAGTCTATTGCGACATGCATCGACGGTAACGAGATGCCGATGATATGTGGTATGTTTCCGCCATGTACTTTGTGGATTTATTAGAATGGTAGTGAGTAGTTCTGTCACCGTTTCCTCGGTTAAAGTGCTCAAAGTACATGTACTTTTTAAAGCTTCCATGGACTCTGGAAATGGAGTTCTATGAAATCCTTCGTTACTCTTTTATGTATCCAATAATTATTTACATACTTTTGTTATTAGTATCAATGATACAACTATCACCATTTTCAACAAATTTAATATTTCCCATATGAAGCAACAAGGCAAGAACTTGAAAAATATTTTTCTTTTGATCAGGTTTGAAACCTAATACATCCAACGCCTTTAAAGTATCTTGAAAACTTTCTTGAAAATAATTCCTTTTATTGTAATTTATAACACTCAGTATATCATAACATTCATCCTTAGATAAATTAAAAGATTCAAGTTCACCACATGACATTCCAAATATCATCTGAAATATATTTTTTAAGTCTTCTAATAGATACCATTTTTGTATACAAAAAGAAAATAAAATAAAAGATAAAATTCCAACCTGATAAAAAATTTGAAAATTATTTGAACCTCTTGTTACCCTACTTCTCTCCAAAAGAAATGAATTGATTGTTGCACCAGAAATGGTGTCACCTTTATAATGAAGGCATACAAGCTGTCCATGTCTTGAACTTACTTCATTCCTTTCAGTGCATGCAGTTGTAAAAGCAGATACTAAACGACAAGCATCCATGATTCTCAACACAATATTATGCGTATAATCTCCTTTAAAAGACAGTACTTCATTTTTGTTAATCTTACTAAGAAATTCTAAACACTTGCAGGCATTGAATGTCTTTCCTGTTCCAGTTGCACCGCTTATAATGATTACCTTAATTCATAATGTAATAATAAGTTAAGAAAAAAAGTTTCCTTATGCATATTGAATTTTTTTACCTGAGAATTTTGCCCCAGTTCTCGAGTAAGGCTGTAATGTGCCCTACCGGCGACAGTGTATATATGAGGTTCTGCCCCATAAGCAGCTTCAGATGAATTAAGATCCTTATCAAATTCTGAGAAATTGTACAGATGTGATGTTGATACTTCATCATTAGGATTTATTGTCAGAAGTAGTGAACCAACCCATGTGTAGATTTGACCACGTTGTAGTCTTTCCAAAAGGAAATCTATAACTGATAAAAAAAAAAAAAAATTTATATAGTATGATTCTTAAATATAATTTAAGTGTAATTAAAGGTAATTGAAACAAGGTATCTACAAAGTAATAAGTGCATACATACTAATTTCTTCATTTTCTGGTAAAGCCCCTAAATCATTTATCAAATCCCACCCAAACATTGAAGTCGATTGCTGAAATTGATACAATATTCAAGAACGTGTAATACAAATAATCTTTGATATTAATTTACAAACCTCTATTTCTTTAGTCATATCCCGTCACGTTGCACAACTGTCATCGAAATGAAACGAAGTAATGTTGTCAAACACAAATATTTACATGCTCAAGGTCAGAAAATTCACGTAGATGTTTTGACCGCATTTTTCGAAACACAAATATCTTTTCGGTGAACTAATGTAGCGATTTTTTACTATAAAAGCAATGAAGTTAGATATACAAAATCTATCTTTCAATCTGTTTTTTAAACAAACGAATTCGTATGAACTTCTTTATTCAAGATTATAAAAGTATGTTACAATCTTATTTTTATGCGAGGAAAATGTTATTTCAAGTTGTATTTTAATATTTGTAAACGAAATCATAGAGGTATTATAAAGAACATCAAAATTATTCCATTAAGGACACTTTTCTCCCATTGCCTGTAAAAATTTTCTATTATCTTCGATAAGTTTCTCCAGTCGTTCCTTAGTTGCTGACGTTTGTCTCTGTGTTAGCTTGCGTTTTGCGGATTCAATCGCCACTCGATAACCAGTGATATTACGGAAAACTTTTATATGTCTATCGCCAGCAACCAAGATGTATTCTCCCACAGCATCGAAAGTTAGGCACATAATGGGACCTATAATATAAATACAATTATAATACAAACTTGTAAGATAGACTAAAGAAAAAAAAAATACCTTGAAAAATATCTTCTATAGTATTGTCTAACAAGCCAGTAATTGTAGAATAAAAACTTAACGAGGATCCATGAGCTATTGCCAACACTTCAGTATTTGGAGATAGTGCAATATTAGCTGATGCTGTATTTTCCCATAATCCAATTTGAAGTATGCGCGGATCTTCTCCTTTCTTAAACTCAACTAAAAAAATCCAAGTCGAACATTAAAATAAAATTTAATAGGCTACTCTTATTTTATAAGAAACGGATTTTCTAATTTATCACCTTTTGTATTATACAAACGGAAAGTTCCATCTTTTGAGATAGTAGCCATTTGACTGCTATCAGCACTAAATGTAAAATCGAGTATTCCAGACGTATGTCCGCCGAGATCGAAAGCCTTGCTCACTTGTGTAAATTCTCCGGCCTTACTGAATACCGCTTCCCATACGTTTAGGTCTGGAACAAATCCTACGTAAGAAAGTTTAGTATGATTAAAGTAACTGTTATTATATCTTATGATTAGTTAAATACAAAAGATTATTACCAACCAGAAGTGCCAATAAAACGTCCACAAGGTGATATACGTGCTCGATACGTAGATCCAAGATGCAATTCTACAGTTGCAAGAACCTGACCTTTAAGGTCCCATAATACAAGATCATTTGCTTTGCTGCATGTAATAATGTACTTTCCTGTAAATGCAATATCCATTCCAACAACATCTTCGGTATGATGCTAAAATATTAATAACAATAAGTATGAAATTTATATGTTAAGAAGGTAATAAGGGAGAAAAATGAAATACGTACTTCAGGAAATTCTAGAGCTTTTGTTGCAGAAGCCAAGGTACCATCTGGTTTCTTTGCAATTTTATAGACTTCAATAGCGTTTGCCATGGCTTTATGTATGATAAAAGCTTTCCCATCAGGAGACCAACGTATTAATGTTGCATGATCAAATTCTATATTAATCCGCAGCGATCGCTTTTCCTTCACCGTAAGTTCTTTTGTACACCACAATAAAACAGTCCTATCTGAAAAAAAAAAAAAAAAAAATCAGAAAAATAATGATTCACAATTATATTGTCTTTTTACTTATAAAATTGAATACTTGGAATAATTATTATAAGAAGGGAACTTTGTAAAGGTACCTAGAATGGTAAAAAAGAATGCACGAGTTATTATAAAACTTCTTTATTGAATGAACAGTTTAAATTCTCTTATGATTTTACATCAGTGAAACTACTTTGATAAGGTACAGTAACCTAGGTACAAGTAGTTCATACTTTAAAATCATTTAACATGTCACGATAAATATACCCTTAGTTACTCCTATGGTTACTCCTTGGTGGTGGCATAAGATCAGAATCATCTTGTACGAATCTATGTCTTTTAATATAATCTAAGAGCCGTTCAGTCGTTATTGGTTTTCTGATACTTCTGCATACAGCATCAGCCGTATTTGCAGAATTAGGAAACGATTTATCTGTTCTTTCGCGCATAAAAGTCCACTGACCATTGTCAATTTTACATTCTATAATTGCATTATTTAAATCCTTTATTTGTTTTGTGACTTTCATTTTACTGTATGGCACATTTAATCCACCTACATAAAGAAGTCCGACTTTTTTTGGAAGGATACCCTCACCAGATTCTGTAACTATTTTTAATTTAAAATCAACGGAATTAAGCGATAAAGGTTTCCATTTTAGAACCTCTGGAGAAGGTCCTGTACAATATGGTTCTTTAGCAGGTTGAAAGATTAAACCATCGGGTTCGTGGCCAAGCTGTTTAGCAAATTTATCGCTTAACAAAGTATCAGCCTGTGTCACGTCCCAGAAGTGCTTTGATCGTATTGAAAACGGTTCCGTTTCCTTTCGTATTCTCCCTTCTTTCAGAGCTTTATGCCTACCACCCATAATATTTTGTTGGATAGTATAAAAACGATCAGGGTGGAATGGTAATGAACTCACATCTTCCCCATCATACAGGATCACATCATAAGCTAAATATCTTGGATACTCTTTACCATCTGCCTTGTCAATTACCATTTCCTAAAAGAATACCATTATGAAGTCTTGTTACGCAATTTCAACCGAATATGTAAATTTCTCAGTAACAGGTACTTACACCATCTAACAGTGTATCCCTAAGAGTTCTATGACTCTTTGGATGTGGAAATGTCATTCTACTAACTTGAAATACGCTATTATCTCTATCTATAAAATAAACTTCTCCATCCCCTTGTATCAACATCATATACCTGAGCAAATAGAATAAACAATATGTTTTAAACCTGTTTTCATTAATTTAAATCCATTTTCATCTAACCTTGTTCCATCTGCCTTCCATGATACCATGTATGGTTTTTCATGTAATAATCTAATGTTATTTTCATCCATTGAAACTGGTTGGGAACCTGGAAATCCGGTTGATTCCCATTTGCACATATCTTGAACACGTTTTTGTATTCCACGTAATTTTCTTTCATCTAAAACGGGAGTTACGCCGGGAACACCAGCCATGAATACTGGATTTTTATTATTATGTTCACGCTTTCTTCTTTTATTAGGTACATCTATATTGCAACTATTATCTTTTGTACTAGGGCCTTCATCAGAATCTTGTACATTGGAATCATCATATTCTAAACACCAGGCTGGTCTAGCTGGAGGATCAGGAGCATCTTCCACATCATCGTATCGTTTATATAATTCTTGAATATAATCTGCTTTATATATTCCTGGTGGTCTTGCAGTAGCAAACTCTACTAAGCCAGCATCTACGCTAGTACCATCATTTTCTACCAAGTAACTAATTATGAGGAAACCAGTTCTATTGAAACCATGCGTACAATGAATGCCAATAATTTCCAGTGGGTTATACGATATGAAATTTTTGCAAACTTGGACAAAAGTCTTTGTTTGTTCTTCCGAAGGAGTTTCGCCGTGTCCTCTGCATTGTAGTTTCAAATATTTACACCCATACGCCTCCAAGCTCTTTTTGTCATAAAATCTTGTAGTATTTGTAAGATCAATCCATAGACCTAATTTTAGCCTTTGACTTTTTAACGACGCAAATAGCATATCCACTGTAAAACGACATTCTTCTGGCACTTGGCTATCAAATGCAGACGACAGTGGGGTTTTAAACGCAAGAAATTTATTTTGAATTAATTTGATCGCTTTTCGTGGACAGTGGAGCCATCGCGGTGGAATGGGACCCCTGCTTTCGTTCCAATTTGACATCTTCCTGAATTCTTGTTTTCGAAGATTAACGAATCTTCTATTACATTAGTAAATTTTCATAAAATAGACATCATTAGCGATTAAAGATATCTTTAAAGAAACATAAAGAACGTATAACCTATATCTTTGTGAGAATTTATGGTTATTTCCTCTTCCAACATAAAAAACAAGCTTTCTTTCATTTGTAATTGCTGTTATTGATTCAATAAAGTACTTGTCCCATGAAATCAACAACGAAATGCACAAACTTCACATTTATATCCACGCTGGTGCAACAAAACAGCTGTTGCTAGCGTCTACTGATCGCCATTACGTACTTTCACGATTTCGACTTTCAGCAAGCTTCTCGATACATCGACTACTCGATTCGATACTCGATGCGATAGATTTGATTTTCAAAAATTTGAATTTTCAGATACTTGCGTTTCGACATATCATTTATTGAATGAATTTATTATATTTTGCGTCAACAAATACTAAACTGTTCGCGAAATTAAATATCATATTATTAATCCTTGAATCTATGACCTTAATTATAAAAATAATTCGTGCCTGTATTGACTTAAATCATCTAAAATATTTTGAAATATAAGTAAGGAAGCGAAGAGAAATCACGTTTGTAGAAAAGGAATGATTTGTCCTTGATGCTCCACGTATCACTGACTCCATGGTCAAATAATTTCTTGCACATTAGTCTTGTACGAAGTAACGTCCTTTAAATGACGTCAACGAAAAGTAGGTTATTTATAAAATGTTGACCTTCAAATTAAATTTTTCAGCGATTGTACCTTTTTTATCAGAGATTTTGAAAAAACTTATGAAAAACGTAAATAGTACATCGATACACAGATCGGGTATCGCTTTCTCGAAGAACTAAAATATAATTGCTGCAGATTGTACAAATGGAAAAGCAGAGCTCGGTTTAGCACTGGTCGGAGAAAGCGTGACTGGGGTGAACGAGAGTAGCACATTGCAATAAAACGATACCCAACGTTAATATACGAGTTGCTAAATATAAGTCGTTCCCTTGTGGCTCACCCACGCTGTTTGTTTTTAATACACGTAGATTTTTATCACTTCAATGGAATACTTTAAATATCAACTCGATTGATAATCAAGACAAGTGACGTCGACTTGGCAATGATAAAAAATGAACGTGCAAATATTTTTATGATATGCACGTATATTTTTTAATCTACGAACAGATAAACGTGAAAAAGCTCGGATCATCGGTTGATCGATAATATATGAGCCAGGAATTGACGTAATGTCGAAGACGGCATGTCGCAATCGGCAAACGACGTGAGCCACGTTCGTGTCTTCCGTTTGATTTCTCAATCGACAATAGCCTAACCTCCCTCCGGAATATTTAATGCATTCATGGTCTCTAACCGGCCTATCGCAAACACATTTTTTTCTATTGGTCATCAGCGAAAATTCACCGTCCTTTCGCGACTTTGTTCTCCTACATTCGCCATCGTGGCATGAAATTCAAGTAGATGGTTTCAGCCAAGACTCGTTGAAACTTAAATAAAAGTAGGACATCTATCGTAACTGTTCTGTCAACAATAAGCAATTACCTTTACCGTGTAAATCTCTAAACTTTGCTAAATACGATGAACGAAAAAATATTTTTTTCTGACTTGCAAAAGAATAAAAAGTTATAGTTCACGATTCATCTGACGCGCGATCGATCATGGATAAAAAGAGAACAGGTTCAGGTTAGTTAAAAGTTCGACGAGTTTCGACCAGAGGGAACTTCAGTTTGTCCCTTTAAACATACTTCGAAACCTCAGAAAAAACTTAACCTCGTAATTGCTAATTTATATACCAGAAAAGTAAATTCTAAAAGTAACTCGTAATTATAATACATACGATTGATTTCGTTTTCTTTTTTCTCAGTCAGACGAAGGAGAAATTTTCAAGAAAGTCGATAAAATAGCGCTAAACGATGAATCACGCGAACAGTGTTCCACGAGCTCGTCGAAGTGTATAACAGAGTTATTCAGCCAATGAGAAATAATAAGTGGCTCGGAAAATTGAACGGTGCCTAGCAATTAGAATGTTCATCAAGATGTAAGTAAGACGATCGTCTCCCCGTCGTGTAATGAGTTTGCTAAAAATCGTTGCATTTTAGTCGCGAACTGCGCGTCGCCTGCGCGCATGCGCGTTATCTCTTACAAAAGATGGCATGTTTTTTAAATCTTTCAGCGATGATTTATGCGTCATTTACAGGAAATATCGATAAAATCAATGAAAACGATAAACTAATACAGGAAACATGGATGGAAGTTACGTGAAAAATGTTTTGTTGGCCCACAAAATACCGCAAAAGATATAACTTACTCTAATCTGACCACCATTATCTCCACTCTTCGTCCTGTTATTTTCTGTTTACTTCGGATGTTCTTTTCACGGTTACGATTGTGGCTTTTATATCGTTATCAAATTGAGGCAATTGTCTTTATTCTACTAATACACAAGTTATCAGTTAATTGTTTTTTTTTTTCAGATTGAATAGTTAAGTAAATAATGTTATAGTTATTTTTACCGACACCTGTTCTAGCATTGCGATATGCATTGTGAAACATGTTTCGTTATACTTGCAAACGGAAGTTTATTGTATCATTAAGCTTTTATTTCACACCCTTGAAAGGCACGAACTAGGCACACCGTTATTCGTGTCATGGATCACTCTTTAGACTGCCAAGGAGATTCGTTGTTGTCAATGAACGGATGGAAAGTAAATCCTAAAATATTCTTTAATACTTTAATTGGATTACACATGAATTTTGATAATCATTTGTAGATAAGAAGAGAGACAGGAAACTATGGAATGAAGTCATTAATTCCTTATGATGAATGATAAAAATCTGATTCAAATCATGGAGGACAGTTTACCAAAGTATGTCCACCCTGTTCCCTATATTCTGAACCTATTTTATTCAACGTCCTGTACGCGAAAGAGCGAGTAGAAGAGGGCCACGATTTCCAAGATAGAGTTGCGAGCAACGGAGGTGGAGAAAGTTCCTGTCCTCCCTGGCGTCTCCACGCCTGGTGATCGTTTCTACCATAGGAAACACTTCCTCGAGACCCGCCAAGTACCCACGCGCCTTATCCGAAGAAAGAAAGTTGTTGCGCCGCACGAAACCTGGAGATTTTCTCCTTGGAAACATGCTCCTATCTCTTTGGCCGACATGCCCTGGTTAAAGCAGCATCCTCTCCTTTTTTCTCCTACATCAAACCTGACCATCCGGATGATCTGTGCGAGGCTATTCGTTGGTCACAGACGATCTCTATTTTAGCGAACAAGATTTTCATCAGAACCTTGAGCATCCAGTCGAATCGCTCGAAGGTGTTCCTCCTTGGACAGCTGAACGAATGGAACGACTCAGCAGTTTGTAATCGTTATTATATTTAATGTGTAGCGCTTCATCAGGGATTCGTAGAACCGTAGCTTGCACAGCAATGTATTGTCTCGGGTAGATTAAAGATACAGTATCGTTCGAAAGTTCACTAATTCGGTTTATCGAGGGTTCGCATTTTAATTATCTTGAGTAAGATTACATTAAGCTGTCGTGTTATCGCGAAAGTACGGTCATTGCGAGACACGAGCTTATGTGAAAGCAGGTATCAAAGCCAAACGCCTATAGAGCTTGTGTTTGGAATCATAAATACAAGTTAGCCGATATAACAGGCCTTAATCGAGACTCGAAGAGAATTGATCGAGCTGTACCTTTACACTGGTACGGTTGCCTCCTCGAAGCTAGAGGAAGCATCGAAAACGAAAACCTCTGTTACCATAACGGTACAGATTCAGCAATCTCCGAGTGTCCTCGGGAGACGAAAAAAGGCCAGGAATGTCTAAAAGAGTTATCTCTCATTGGTCGTTGTATAACTCGGCCTTTAAACAGTTTCTAACGTTGTTCGCGTGTTAAATCTGGCCGATCGTTCACCTCGAATAATCCGTTTCGTCGAGGTAGAATCGTCAGGTTCAACAACCCGGCTTTGTGGCTGTTAATAAAGAGAGGCAACGCCTCCGAAAAACGTCCCTGACCCGGGTAAGAACCTTCCTACTGTCCACCTCGAGAGGAACCGTTCCCCTACTTCGCGCACTTGTTATACCATAAATTTATCTGATGTTTCAGTGACATCAGTGGCTCCAAACTCAAGTTTTATTTAACCACAAGGACTTTGAATTTTCGTACGAAGTTGAGCATGATTTGGACACCGTGTAATTTAACAATCGGTGCACGAGTGGCTTCCTCCGACCACCAAGGATTAATTCACATTTCAACGGTGAGGTACCTCTTATATTACCATCAACGCATTTACGACCGAAGGATACGATTATAAAATCGTTAAACACAATTTGCAGGGATACGCTTCCGTTTATTGCCACCGGAGTGTTCGTTTGATTGTACCTGTTGTAATGGAGCAGGTAAAGGGGTAGCGATTCAGGTATCAGTTTGAAGAATTTTTTCTTGAATTTTCCTTTCTAAACGTCTACGCTAAAGTAATCCATCAGCGTACGAAGATTCATTAAAATACTTCAAGGTATTACTTCAAGATCGAATGCGAAAGGTCTTTGTCTCTGAAATGTTCTATCAATTCGAAACGAATCTCGTCGACAGCCTAACGATTTCTCTTCTGCCATCGTCCCCGGAAGTCCTTCGTTCCGGATAATTGAGCGGAATCTTAATAGGACCATCCACGACGGACCTTGAAATTTCGTTCGCACAGAACGAGTTACGGAAAGATGCGAAATGCGTGGAAGAGACGTGAAATCGAATTGGGCGAAGGGAGAGTTTACGAAGAGGATTTTACGCAACGGGATTTAATAATCGCTAGGATTGCGCAACAATTGCGTAGAGAACACGCGAGTTAGCGTGGTGGTTTTACAGTAAAATCGTTCGATAATAGGAACGACAAACACGCAGATTCTTTTTGAAAGAGCTGGTCAAGACGTTGCGGAGGGTCGCGAGGAAATTTCGTAAGAATCGTGTCCACGGACACGGCTAGGCTATCGGCGTTTTCCATGGAGATAACCAACAGGGCTCTCTTTTCTCGTGCTCTCCCAAGGATCATTCGATACGCGTGCTGTCGCGATAAGAAAAAAAGCAGGGAATAATTACCACGTTATACAACATTTCCTCGTTATTATTTCTCTAACTGATGGAGACTTCTATGGTGAGAGATGTTTCTTCCGCGCTCGACAAGAATCTGTATAGAAGACAAAGAAATTTTGTTTTCGATTCAGAAAACAAAATTTGTCTCGCACCTGTTTTCTGTCTAGCGATGAAGGAACTGGTTTCTAGTTTTATATTCAACAAACTAAAGTCATCTCTTGAATGTCACGAAACAGAAGAACGGGAATGAAAAAATATGCAAAATAATTTTATCTCAGAAAGAATACACGGGAAAGAGTTGTTTATTAAAGGTAACGGGTTGTGAAACAGCATCGAAAGTGTGAAACATTTCAATTTAGACATAAAGCTTAATAATTGAAGCTGATAATTAACGAGGTCGACGAGGAAGAAATCACGGCGGCCTTTGTGTGTTGGCTTACAAAAAGGTATTAATAGCGTCTGAACCGTCCTCGACGTTGGAAACTCATGGTCGTCGGGATAGCGTCGTAGAATTTCTTCTAAAATGTATTTTCCATCGGTGCCCGATCGATGTGGAAACGGGCCTAAAAGAACGTTCGTCGCGTTTTACGATGTTTGCCACGATATTAGGCTTCGTTATAACTTCGCAGCGTGCTTATCTTGCGATAATATTCTCTGTTGTCGCTAAGAAAAAAAAAGACGAATCTACATGTTTCGCGCTCGTAAACGAATACAGAAGATTGTAAAAGCGGACATTATTCATGATTCCACATCGATTTTATTGTTCTCCTTATCGAGCGAGGATCTTTCGTGTTGTGATAATTGATAGCGCAATATCGTGGCACCGCGAGCCTCTTGTTCGAACGTGTTAATAATTAAGAGTTAATTCATGCACCACTCGAAATAATTAGGAGTCATTATCGTTCGGTGTACTGTTTCAATATTTGAGAAACCTCGGTATACCATATAAGTTATCGAACATGACTTATCTTTCCAATGTTTGTCTCCATGAATTATCTGAAGATGGAATTCCTAATTAATTTAGCGGTGCACCTGTCGAAATGCGGAATAAAGATTGCGTCCCGAATTATAAGAATTATATACGATAACTGAAATTTATCGAGATACTCGAACGTCTCTTTATCGCATACTGGTTGTAAGGAAAATTAATTTATTAACCAATTGGTAGAATCGCTTAATGGATTTCGTGATTACTCGAAGCCGTAATGACGCGGGTACTTGTCGGAAACGCGTTTACGTATTACAAAAAGTGCCTCGATAACAGCTCGTTGCTGTACTTGTGGAAGATTATGCGTCCGTGTTCAACGAAGATCAGCACTTTCCCTTTGTAAGCAAATCCGGTTGCGATCCTTTATTTTCCTTGATACCGGTCGACTAGGAAACGAAGTTTCTTCGAGGAAAATCTGTTAAATAAACTGAAACAAGATTCGTATAAATTTTCTCGTTTAATTTCTTCTCGTACCTTATTTACATAGGAAATCGATAATTAGTTTAAAATTATTTTCCCTGGATCGAGAAGAACCGAGTCAATGTTTCCTCGTATTTCAAATATTGCTTCCTTCTAACAAGGGGAACTAGCCAAGTGTTACACTCATTTATTAATGAAACTTTGCCAGCTTGTAGAGCTCGTCGAGCTGAACACGCCTATACCCCGTTTTGTGGGCAGACGACTAATTGTTTAAAAGATATTAATAATTAAAGTTAGTTACTACTTACATTGAGAAGTATGACAGACTCGCAATTTAGAGATCCACGGTTCAAATCCTTGATTCCCAACATTTTTTTTTTTAATGATAATTTGTCTCTTTCTGAATAACTATTACATAAAAATTATCAAAAAAAAAAAAAAAAAAACTTTTTAGGAATCAAGGATTTGAACTGAGGACCTTCAGATTGCGAGTCATGTGTTTAACCACGGAGCGGATACATGACTCGCAATCTGAAGGTCCTCAGTTCAAATCCTTGATTCCCAAAAAGTTTTTTTTTTTTTTTTTTTTGATAATTTTTATGTAATAGTTATTCAAAAAGAGATAAATTATCATTAAAAAAAAAGAAATGTTGGGAACCAAGGATTTGAACCGTGGATCTCTAGATTGCGAGTTGTATGTGTAAGTTTGTCATTGTAAAGAGTAACTAACTGTAATTGTTAATATCTTTTAAACAATTAGTCGTCTGCCCCCAAAAGGGGGTATAGGTGTGTTCAGCTCGACGAGCTCTACAAGCTGGCAAAGTTTCATTAATAAGTGAGTGTAACACTTGGGTAGTTCTCCTTGTAAGATAACGTTACAATGTTAACACGGTCACTTTGACATTGAAAAACGAAAATTTCCCGCTTCTTCGATAGCCCGCACGAACAGCTGATTTCCAGATAACGAAAACAGGTGTTCGATGGAAAAGAGCGACCTAACTCTCGTCTACTTGTTAATACTTGCTCTGCTTAATTGTATATTCCCAAAGAAACAAAGACGCAGTCGATTAACAAATATTTACATTTCGATCGTTTAGTATCGCGCAACGTTTCAAAATTTCTTGCGCCTCTTAACGATCCACCGCTAATCGAACAGACGATCGCGGTGCGATTCGCGCGAAACAGACAAGAGGCGTTAATTTTCGGGGCAAGAGAAAGAAAGAGAAAGTACGAAATGGCGGAAGCAATTTCCCCGGAACGAGAAATGATGTAACGAATGACCTTTGCGTTCGGTGGGATCGCGATGATGCCGAGGTGTCGTGAAACCTATCTCCTAACCGTACGAACCATAGAGAATACGAGACTCCCGGAATGGAACTTTCTTTCGAGAGGCTTTCGCGAAACCTCCCGGAAACAACGATCGCGCTGTTATTTCTGACAATCTGTTTTACAGCCACGATATCGCACGATTCTCAATATTTGAGAAGGAAATACTCTTCTAACCCTTTGCAGTCTGAATTTGTTCACAAATATTTACTCCTCCTCCTCCTCGGGACGGAATAAAAAGCCGTTTCACTGGTTTCATTATTTCGCGATGCCTTTGTCTTTTATTTGTTAATAATTCCCGAGTGGCTGCGAAGTAACAGGGAAATCGTGCCATGGAATCTGTGATTATGTCCCCCCCCCCCCCGATTAACGAACCTTGTAATTACGATTAAACCTTACGTTTAATCTATCGCGATACGCTAATGTAGGTGTTAAGAGGCAGTACGAGAAACCTAACTTACAAGCACACGATTACTATAATCTTAAGAGAGGCAGTATAAAATATTGCTTTCTTTCATATTCCATAATTTTTTTCTTTTTTTATTATTCAATTTCAAAAGTTTAGTCATTATTTCGCAAGAGCCTGTGGTTTATACAATTCTTTGGAACTCTTGCACGGGCAGCAAATGTATTATTAATGTAGTAGGATGTTTTAATTAAGGATGGCAATATAATCTACACGATCGTTACTGTATTTTGCACACCTTTGCATGTCTGTCTACATTGTTATATTTAACGAGCCACGGTAAATAGACGCGATCCAAGCTCGTTAACGAGTCAATTCAAGAGTACAACTGCTTTTTTAATTCATTCACGAAGGCGACAGAAAAACACGTGACATTCTGGAAATCTAGGAAGATACTATGTCGTATCCCTGACTTTGACATTTAATTTTTCTTTCTAAGATATAATAAAAAGGAACCTATTATCGATATATCATTTCACGAATATCATAATCTTTTTGGCTCGAGATATCGATTTTTTTAAAAAATTTTCTGAATAAAATAAATTGTTTTTGATGATTACGATGGTGGTATTTATTTACACGACCTCTGATCACGCTATAATTATCCGGCGTCTAAGACAAAGGATTGCTGTAATTACTTGCACCAGTTACACTGGTCAATTAACCAGCCCGATGATCCTAGTCTACTTTCCTAGACTAAGTTACTTGCACCAGTTACACTGGTCAATTAGTTGGCCTGGTTAGTCTACTTTCTCAGATTCAGTACTAATTTAGTACTCGTACAAGTACTTTCCCATTCGATTTATATCTGGATTCCATAGAAGAAAGAAATATACAATCAGGGACAGTTTGGCAGAGTGTCAAACTTCCGTTCCAAGATTGGAACTTGATCCTCGATGATCGTGGAAGATTGTTAAGACAAAAGAGTATAAAAGAACGAGTACGTGACGAAGTACAAGTGTATCGACAAAACGGGTCGATGGAGTCATCGACGAAGTTAATCGATGAGTACGTTGCCATCGATCAGAAATCAATTACGATTCCAACCGCCCTTGCCTCCATCAACGACGAAACGATTCGAGAAACGATCGGTACGATTCCTACGGTCGTCTTCTATTTATCGATCATGCGAGGTTAAAACTTACGTAACCCACGAGTGCTTTCGAGCGACGGAAATAACAGAAACGTTTGGAAAGTTTACGTTTCGCCTGGCTTCGGCTTCAGAAATTTCTTTTTCATTAGACGAGCTCGGATCGGCGAATTTCTTACCGATTCTATACCTATTTATTCGTAAAAATATTCTACAGATTTTCTACGTTTTCGTTGAAACAGTAAATCATCTCTCATTGTTACCATTATTTATTGCTTTGTTTTCCTGGCTGTACTTTAGCATTTGGGACAACGCCCACCATAGCTTACGAGTAGAGAAATCTCGGTTACCGTAAGGACTAACTTATGCTGCCGAATTTTACCTAAGACTAATTTAATTCAACTGGCGCGATTATCTCGTAACAACCGGTAAACCTAATCTAACGAGTATAATCTAAGATTGAATTTAGTGGTAATTAGCAAGGCGTATCTTGAGATTCTACTAATTACCAAAGATGAGATTCGTCCTAATTATATTTTTTCATAGTTGCGCGAGCAATTTCGCCGGCTTTCGAATCAATTAGCCCGTAGCATTCGGAATTGATTAATAACGATCCGTAGACTTGAATCGGTAACTGTTGGAACAATTACAGAGCGCAAAGGGTTAATCGTCGCGTTAACACAATACGCTTTTATGTTCGATCGAAAACAAAGGTGAAAGAAATATGGAGGAGGAGACGAGACAAGAACAAGAGAGTTCATTATATGCTTCAGACTCTGTCGCAGCGTTTCCATTGTTTTATCTCAGGGACACGTCCTGGACTCACAGGGATTCGCTCGCAACGATGGCCTCTTTTATTTCTTTCTTTCTTTCTCTCTCTCTCTCTCTTTCACTCTTTATTTCGATCCATTACAACGACGTTCGTCTCTTTCTCCGTAAGTCACGGATTATAATAAAGAATAAATAATAAGGGGATGATTTCTCTTTCATGACTTCGAGAAATTCATGAATTTCATCCGGGAACGCGTACGGATTTAAACGAGATCGTTTCAAGGCTGGATGATTCATCAAGAAACCATCATTCCGACGCAATCTTTCTTAAAAAGGAACGAGATCCTCTACCGGCGATAACGTAGGAAAAATTTCTCAATAACCAAGGGAGGATCTCGTCGACTGTATTGAAATGCATAACTTGATCTTTCCGCAAGATGTACGACGATATTTTGAAAGTGACTTTGCTTGAAAACGTTCGAACTGGCAAAATAATAATATTAAAACAAAAAAAGAATCACGTTGGTATTTCTTCTCAACAACGATTCATGGATCGAATTTATACCCAAACAGTTCTGGTATCTTAAAAACGTAGATCGTATATTTTTTGGTAGCAAAAGTTTTCTGTATAAATTACATTGCTCTTCTTGGGTTTTTTTTTTTTTTTTTTTTTTTTTTTTTTAAACAAATTAAATCGTTCACCTAATTTCATCTTCATTTACATACACTTTCCCTGCTTTTCTTTTTTTTTTTTAATACTTCGTTCAATGCGAATGATTCGAAAGTATAAACAATTTTGGTTGATGAAGAAATTAATGAACGCGGTGAATTCCGAACGGGTGCCCTGCGCGAGTTCAGGCCCTTCGAGATCTCACAGCTCGAAAATTTCAAAGGAACGTTCATTCGAGAATGCCACCAGGTACTTTTCTTTTTATCTCGCGATGAAATAAATAGTGTGCTTATTTACAAAGCGATGATTTAACGCAGTAGAACGTCGGTTATTCGAACGAGTATACGCAGGTTTATGAAAAGAGTAAGCATTCGTATAATAATCATAATAAATTCTATTAACACATTGACCGGCGAAAAAGAAAAGAAAAATGTGAAAGTTGTGAATTTTTATTAAAATAATCTGAAACGACAAATGGAAGCGATAAATTATAAAAATTACTCCTTGATATACTTAATGAAATCCCAGTCAATGTATTAATTATTAAAAAAAATATATATATACATATATGTACTTTGAAAGATTGCTTCCTCACAATTTCCGAGATACTTACAATTTTCAGTCGCACTTTTACCTATTACAAAGTCAAATAACTCGCTTACACGATACGCTTAGAAACGAATTTTACAAGCCGAAGTTTATATATACTACAGCGTAGAAAAAAAAAAATTCGTGCCGAGGTCGGAAAGGTTAATGAATCAATTAGTTATAACCATTAGTTATTCCATGGTCGTCCGGTAACTAATCGGTTCGTACCGATCGAGATACCGCTGGTATTGCTTTCGTATCGAGTGAATTCTCGTGCGAATAACGCGCGTGCGTGAATTACAAATGACTTTTTGCACCTGTCGAAAAAGTCTGAACACAGGATCGTAATGAAAAAAGAAAACGTGGCATGAAAATATATGTACAAACCGGACACGCGTTCGCTGCCGTCGTGGAACACGCGATACCGCGTGAACGGATTCTTAAAACTAGGGATGGTGCACGCGGTATCGCGTGAATAAGATGCAGACAATTTGTGAGAAAAAAAAAAAAGCATAATCACGGCGGGTAAAATTAAGTAAAACTTCGAGTTGGCGAACACACGACCCTCCGAGGATTATTTTTACCACGGAAACCTAGTTCTCCAGGTCGGGAATACAAAATCTTCCGTTGCTGAATACTTATGACCGCGTGCACGGTATCGCGGTTGTGTATCGGTGTACACAGGGTGTTCAAAGTTGAAAGTTTAAGATTCAAATTAATATATCACGAGTTCTATCCAAATACTACTAGATTATACCTTTCGAAATCAGTGATTTGATACGTACATAAATTAATACAAAGAGCTTATCAGGCAAGTCTAAATTATTATTTGTAATTCTATATAGTATTTCTCTAAAAAAAATAAAGATACAGCCATTGTTTTGAACACCCTGTATATGGTAAACGGGCACACAAGGTTCGCTGCAAATGTAATAAACAGTGTATATAAAATCACGGAACATTATCTATCTGTTTAATTTTGAGCGTGAGTCGAAATCGGACACGTGGTTCTCAGGCTCGATCCGATTATGATTTACACGCGTCGACACGTACGAAACGGAAACCCGCGGCCAATTCGATACGGACATTATAATCGTTCGCCGATTATAAAATTGTCCACGCTCTTACTTCGCGCTCACGTTCGCGTTTTCATCGTGAACGAGAAAAAAGCGGAACGGAAAGAGAAGAAAAAGGAATCGATCGATAAACGGTCGAGCCAGTGAGAAACGGGCACGTACCCGTGTGTCGAACGATAAGACAAATCGTGTTCTTTCCTCTGTTTTACGAAAAATTCGACGGCGATCACGCGGCGAACGAAGGACGCACGGATTCTCGAGAAGAGGCCTCGTCGAAAATTCTGCTGTCGTCAATGGGATAAAAAAGACACGAGCAAAAAGAATAGAGAAAAAGAAACAAAACGCAATTGAAATTTTATATAAGGAAACTCGTTAAATCCGCGAGGAACATCTCGAATTCGCGGTGTCCTCGTTTTACCGACATTTTCTAGACGCGGTCGTTTATCGAGGAGAATTTAAATGCAAACCGCTCGGTGGAAGCCCGAGAGACACTTACCAGCATCAATGACGCCGCGTGTCCTCCTCTCGCTTTGTACGTGTACGAAAAAACAACGCTGAATGAAATATACATGAGACAGGTCGTAAGGTATAAAACGTGTGTGTGTTTATCCTACGCGCATAAATGTGTCTATATATACAGGGTGTTTTAAATAAAAATGTAGATCGTGAAAGCTACGAATTCTCTGTGAAAAACGGAATCGAAAAGTCCTTTACCATTTTGCGATACGATGCTCCGTTTCGGAGATACAGTCGATTAAAGATCGAGTAGTTTAAATCCTGAGACGCCATCTTGAATCCTCGCACTCCTGCGCGACCATCTGATTGGTCGCCTGATTGCGCATGCGCGCGGGGTCGGAAGTGGAGCGCCCAATCTTTGATCTATTATATCTCCGAAACGAAACGTCGGATTGAAAAATGATAAAGGACTTTTCGAATTGTTTTGTCACGGAGAATAGGATCGTACAGGTTTCATGATGTACATCTTTTTTGAAGCATCCTCTACGTATATATGAGTAATGATATCTTCATGAAAGTATGTCAAGCACGAGATACCTATTATTAACATAAGTTTACGCGTTGAGCGTTTGTCGAGGAAAACGTTTCGCAGATGGGACTTGTATCTTAATCGAAATATAAAAAAGGAAATATTCTTTTGTTTCTTTTGTTTAATCGTTTTATTAGTGTTCTCACACTTCTGTCATGTTGCTTTAAATTTAACAATTGTAACCATTGTACTTGATCGAACGTTTTAAAACAACATCAACAACGTGGCTCGTATACTGTTTGGGTGAAAGAAATGCACCGCGAACGCAATCGAACGTGAAACGCAGCATACAGGCTCGAAACGAACTCAAGGGTGTCTTGTCATACTTCAAACTCGATCATCCCAAAAAATGACATTTCATTTTCTTTTTTCTATCTCACACCAGTCTACTTTGTACTTCTGTTTCTTCAACAAAATTGAATCGATGGACGAAACAAAAAAAAAAAGAGAGAGAAAAATACGAACAGCCCTTATCGACGTTACAAGTGAGATTCATTTAAAAAAGAGGAAACAAACAGAGAAAGAATATTAAAAAAAAATTATTCTATCACTCGTGTGGTACCGAGTGGTCGCAACTGAAATCGAGCTAAACCTTTTCCTCGGCAACGACGCACCTTACAAACTGAATGTATCGCATAAATGAAATTGAACGTATGAATCGTGTGTTATGGGAGTATGGTGTGCCTATAAGACTATCTGTGCGAATGACCGAACGCGTTCCTGAACGACGAATATTTAACCTGGGAACGCGCTCATACACGTGTAGCTTTTCTTTTTTTTTATCTTTCTGTATATATGTAACATATCACAGACTTCACTTGGAACTGAACACTGACGGAAGAGTTGCTGGGGAATCAGCGTGGATCCCGTCCTGACAGATTCGATTCTCGTTAGCGCCTTTTTTTTTTCTCTGTTTCTTCGACACTAAAGAAAAAACGACAAAAAAAAGTGATATATCGACAGGACCGCGTGATCGCCCGGTAAACCTTAGGTAGACTCGACGAAACTTGCTCAGTTCTCGGGTGCCGAGGTCCATCACCTCCGACAGAGTTCCATTCACTGTACATATTTATGTATATATATTCGAGTCACCAAGATAGTATGTACAATCGCGTTATTCGTTGGTTATTTCACGATGGCTCGGAACACTCCCACGAAAGATCGTGTTGTAGTCTTCTAAGCATGAGATCTAATACGATTCTAGCGTCCTCGATGGAGTCGTGTTCCGCCACTTGGATCTCCCTTCGCAACACTGTCCTCGCGAGGGTCTTTAAGCTACTGCGAAATGGATAACCGAGGAAGTGGGGGAACGCGACACACGTGTCGATCACCGTTGCGTGCAACAATCTCAACGCTCTAAGATCGTTCTCCAGACCGTGACCTATCAATATGGTTTCGGCGTGAACGAAATTGGTCAAGTCCTTTTGAACGTCCCTCAACGTTTTCGACGCCTTCGACAAATCCGACGCGGTTATGCCGCTGAACCTTGTGTTGTAATCGATCACTTCGTCGTCGGGTTTCACCAGGGCATCGTACACTACGTTACCGTCCATACCGACCACCGTCACCTTGGCCAATTCGAGGCCACGTCGCGTGAAACACATCTCGCAGTCGAGAGCGTAAACCCCGTAGTTACCATCCTTCGGAACGATCCTGGCCGGTCTGGTGTGCACGTAACCGTCGAATGGACCGTTGTAACCGGGTGCCAGACCCGTCCACACGTGCATCCTGGCGTTGGTGCAGCCTCGAGCCGTCTCACGACCTCGACAACACTCCCACGTCTCGCTGTGAGCACCGTCCACGAGACCGCTTCGAAGTTTGCCCCAATGGTAGACGCAACGTTCCTCGTGCAGGTACTCGCCGCTCTCTCGGTTCACGTAGAAGCTCTTGTAACACCTAGCGCAACGACGCTCTACCACCACCAATTCGTAAGGTTCAGGAGTGGAATACCTTCGCGAAGATTCCTGAGAACTCGAGGCGAACGACGACGACGAGGACGACCAAGGGCAGGAGTAGTCGGTGGTGGAGGACGAGGAGGAGGACTCGCCTATGTCCGAGTATTTGTCGCTGTCCGAGGAACTTTCTTGCTCGAGATCGGAACTCTCCACTGAACTACCGCTGCAGTGTCCGCTGTCTCCTTCGCTCTCCGCCATCGTCCAGGAACTGGTACCGCTTCCAGGGATGAACTCTTGCGCGTTCACGTCTAAATGATGATAGCTACGAATCCGATGTCCTATGGGATGCTGAAGATAATTTATGATCACAGCGTAGCCCGGAAAATAGCTGCACTCGACCGGGTAACCAAGGTGAGCCAGCTGCTCCCCGGTGAGCGTGTATCTCCGAAGCAACGAGGCTACCGCCGCGTCGCTCAGATGATGCAGTTCCTTTCTCTGCAGGCTCAGGAAGATACCGTCGTTCTTCCTCTCTTCGCGACGGGAATCGCTTTGAGCTTTGTTTCTTCTGGAACCAGACTTTCTACCGTCGGTGCTATTTATTTGAACGGATACAGAATCTCGCGACGGACTGTTCGGATAGTGCTGCTGCCGGCGATGATGGTGTCGATGATGCTCCTGCTGCGTCGCGGGCTCGTCCTCGTGCTCGTCGTCGCACAACTCGCGGCGACGGTCTCGCGGTGCTCTGGTGCGGTTCTTGCGTTGCCTTCGGCTCAGGATCGCTCGGTCCTCTTTCGTCGTGGTCGAGGATGCGGTCACGGTCGCCACCGTGGACGCAGTTCCGGACGTGGACGTCGTCGAAGAGGACGTTGACACGCTCGACGACTTGCTTCGACTTCCTGGCGATGTCTTTGTCGACGGCGACGACGACGACGACGACGACGACGACGACGACGACGACTGCGTGTCACGGTTCACCTTACAGCCGGCGTACCGGTCGCTCTCCCCGTGGTCCACCAGGAGCTCCTCTCTCAGGAGCAGGCCGCAATCTTTATGTTACACACAAAAACAAATATGCGTCAGTTCATCGTCCGGCAGGCAATGAAATTTACAAATTGACAACCTACTTTATATATACTGTTAGAAACTTTTACTACACACCACGCGCATGCATCTCTGCCCTTTCAGCTACTTTCTAACACACGTTTCTTGTTAGGATAATCATTGTTTTATAATATGAACAACGAAAGTTCGCTTGTTAAATTGTCTTTGAACGATCAGAAGACGAGCATAAGATCGGTACCGTTCTTGACCCATAGATCTACCTTGAACCGATGCGATTCAACTCGCTACGATTCCAGCGAGAACCACGACGTTCTAATGAAATTTTCACGGTTTCATGACGAGAAAAAGACGCGAACGGGGAGGTAAAGGATCGTTGCAAAAATCGCGGCGAGTGGTGCGCGATTAATTGCTTCAAAAAAGAAAGAAAAAAAAAAGGTGTGAAAGTGAAAGCTTGCCACGGACGCATGAAGTAACGTATATGAATTTTTGTCTGTGCATAAGGATTCATCGTGTCGACGCTATACACGCTCGTCGATATTGGATATAAAAAAGGATCAACCCCTCGTCTTATAATTTATATTCTTCACCGATCACGTGTGTCATGCTTCAAGATATACAAAACTTAAAAAAAAGAAAAAAGAAAATCCCATTTAATTTTATAAGGCGAGGGGCGATTTGTTTTATTTTAATTAGAGATGAAACAATAATTTCTAGGCTTCCCTAGGAACATAACTTAGACATAAGGGATGTAGCTTTCTCCGAATCGTTCGGAGAAATTGTTCTAATTCTGTAGATAGAACGTATTTAACTGTTTTCTTGTCGCGTTTATAAAAAGTAAAGTTACAAGTAAATCGTTGAAAAAAAAAGCAGCGGGCAATAAAAACGGCGAACCGTTTTAATGCTTCTCGTTTATTCAGCAATACGCAACTTTCGCCAAACCCGCGTCACGGAAAGGGTCGCTTTCTTTTCTCCGCTTGGTCGCGGACGAACACGCGTTCACCAAGCGAGCCAAAACATAGAGAAACTTTTCGGATGGTCCCGTACTAGAGATGCCGAGAGGATGTTCAATCGAGATTAGAAATTTTTGAAAGTTTCGACGATCTTCGACTACTTTTCGTTATACACGAGAACCTATAGCCAATCGAAGATTTAATTAGCAAGCGATATCTCGTGAATACGCTAATTATCAAACTCGAAATTTATCCTAATTACTCTTCACACCTGTCCGACTAATTTCAAAAGCAATTATCTACCAGTGTCGAATTACTGTTGAATCGAACGATGAATCTTCGAATCCGGGAAAACGTCACGAATGGAAAGAATAAGATGACGAAGTCGATGCGGTCACCCTTCGATTACATCAGAAGTTGCGTCAGAAAAGAGCTGCAGGCAATTTTCCAAGGAAACAAACGAGCAGGAAAAACGAAATCACCTCGACCTTGCAACGGGTACGTGAATTTTTCCGACGTCTATTCCCTGAACACCATAGCCGTTCGCGATAAAACGAATCGCTCCAGTTTCTCCGGAGGGTAACACATATACACACGGTTTCGTGCGGAGAGAACAGGATCGGTGAAGAAGATATCGGTCGCGCGCACACACGCCAAGCGAAACGAAAGAAGGGACACAACACGAAGACGACGACGAAGAAGAGAAGACGAGGGAATCGGCTGTGTGACTCGGATAACGGAACACGGTATCCCCGTTCGCAAGGAATGACCGGCTTCTTCGATATGTACCGTTGCGTCATTTAATGAAATCATCCGGTTCGCATTCCATACGTCGATTCTTCGAGGAAATCCTGACCTCCGGGCAATCGGAGATAGAAAAGGAGAGAAAAGATCTATGCTGTTCAAGAAAAAACATTTTTTTTTTTTGGAGGGTTAATTTTTATATCGATTTACCCTGGAGAGAGCAAGGGATAGGGCTCGTCGAGAGTTTACCAATTAGAAAATTTTTTTTCCTAATTAAGTTGTAAGTTGTTCGCTAATTAGATTTCCCGTTCGAATCGGATAAGGCAACACTCGTGGCCCCGGCGCGGCTAATCTTGTATACCGAATTATCGGCTTATGACGACGCTTCATCGCGAGTTAGAGTAATTTTCTTGTCGCTCCGTAGTGTGGGCTTGATTTAAGGCCAGAGAATTTCCCACGTAGCGCTATTATTAGGCGGTTACAACCAGCCACTTCTGTTACGTTACGCCTCGCAAAGGTGATCATCAACCACTGGCCCCGAATTCTATATATCGTTTCTTCGAATTAAACTTGACACGGGCGATCAACCCTCGCGATGGTGCAACCGTGGGTAAAGAAAATTATTTCCTATCTGATTGATAACCTTGAAATTTTAACCCCTTCCTCTAATTCTAGAAAAAGTATCTAACGTTTTTCTAATGGGATAAATAATAAGATAACCTCGATGGTTTCAAAGTTCGAGAGACGACCGGATGAAGCAAGCGAAATAAGAAAAAGATACAAAAATTTCTGTACTCTCCAGTTGTAACACCTTGTTTCCAAGAATACACCTGGGGGGGCTACCGTTTTTAAACCGCTCTGTTACTCATGCCTCTCGGCACGCACCTATGTCGCACGCGTGGATTCGAGGTTAAACTCGTCCGGAGAAAGAAGAGAAACTCGACGAAAATCTTCCATGGCCAACGGGTCACCCACGAACAGTGACGAGATGAACCATTAAAGGACACGAGAAGACGCTCGAATATCTTAACCCTTACGCGGCCGAGATATGAATAATTTCATTAATTAGGCGATGATGGACCATCGAACAGAATTTTCCACGTCTTTCAGTTCGTCTTCCGAGTGTTAAAAAAAAATATGTATATATATATATATATATTATATTTTTCATGTACTTCTTGACGTACGAAAAGAAAAAAAAAAAAGAGACAGAGATTTTGGCTATTATTATTATCGACACAACGACACATGCAAATAAAAATAGAAAATCCGATGAAACCCGTTTGCAAACGACAGATTTTTCTCCCTCGAACGAGACTCTATCAGGGACATAAAATTTTTATCAATTTCCTCGCGCAATAGTAAGAATTGTTGCGAGCGTAAGAAATCTGCAAAATAAATCTAACCCGTTTGATTAAATGACTCGTCAGTTCTGAACAACAGGCCTTTGAACTTTATTATAACATTGTGCAACGTTTCCTGAGATAACGGAAATACTATAACAATAAACGATATTTTTGTCTTTCTTTCAACCCGATAACGACGATGAGAAGGCTTAATTTGATCCAGACGGTAGATCATTCTTTGCACATTTCGATAAGGCCACTGATAGAGAAACATTTCTCGAAGATGTAGAAAATTTGTTAATTTCGTTTCATTTTGTTTATCTGACACGTACCTTCGGCACAACTCGCGAGAAACTTGCCGTTGCTGGAGAAATTCATGTCGAGGACGGTGGCGGTATGACCCTTCAACGCGCCCACCATCCAGGAATGAGTGAACTCCTGTTGCGTTTCCCGCCGCTTTTTGTTCTTCGCGCGCTTATTGGCGGCCGCGGTACCGGAAGTCGTGCTCGTTCTAGCGGAGTCCCTCGAATCTTGGAACTTCACCTTTTCCGATTCTGTGGCATCTGTAACAGAAACGATGAACATTGCTGTGAGACAGGTTTCAAAATGAAAAAGAAATCCCTGTGAAGGGGGAAAAATGAAATTTGGTAATAGAAATTATCTGGAGATAAATGAAAATAAACGTACAGTTAGCGAAGGGTTAAAAATCCAATGACCAACGTATCATCGTTGCATGAAAGAATCGTCTACTGCTCGCGTTTTACAGACGGCTGTTTGAAAAAGAACGGAAAGGGGGGGAGAAATACGCGTCAAAGAGCCGAGTAACCTTACCAGTCCATATTGACGTAGCTTTTGTTGTTTTCGTACGGATCAAAGATTCTTTCCTGTATATATCTCGAACCTTCACAGTTTACGGCCTGTGACGCTAATCGTTCGCACTTTATCGGCGAGAACGAAAGCAAAACAAAGAGAGCGAGACGGAACGGAGCACCCACGTGAAACATCGACGAGGAAACTGGAAAATCGTCAACAGACCGCTGTTTACGTAGAACCGGTGATAATGCTTCTGCCACCGGTGTTACGCGTCCACTAAAGCCAACCGCGGTGTCGATGGCCCTTATAAATCCTTTGACCTGGACTACCGAAAGGGACGCGCTATGATTGGTCATTGGGATAGTAACTAGGATAAAACTACCCTATTAGAATTCACCTTACCCCACCTTCGGTGTTTCTCCAATTGACTACATAGAAAATGAAAATTTTGTAAATATTCGTAAACAATATTGGATAATATTAATATTTACAAATATTATAAATAGGATATTTAATTAATTCAAAGATCTTTGTTTAATCTTAAAACAGCGAAGGAAAATTACTCAAATTTTTCATGTATTATAAAAATAGTTTATGATTTAGAAAATGAAAGTGGAGAATTTAAAATAATTAATAATCATTTAAAAATTTCCTACTATTCGACAAAATCGTACTATTATGTAAACAATTTAAGAAATTTAAAAAATAAGAGATTGATGTATGTTACGGAAGATAAAGTAGCACGATCCAATTGTTACCCCGGGTCATCGTCATCGCGCAATGACTCATTTCCACGAAAATATATTCAGAAGAGGCTACGTTACTTTCTCCTCGTAATCAAGGTTTCGGGTAAAACCCCCCGTGACTTTCTGCTGCGTCTGCAAACAGCTGAGCAATAAATATCGTTAATTACAATGGATAGCTACGATCAGGTAGCCTCGGCGGGAACGTGTCAGTCGGCACGAACGAATTGGACCGTTTGAAAAGCGATCGAGTTGTATCGACGGGCGCCAGGTTCGATTACCTGGCACTCGGAAACCCTAATATATTTGTCAGCTATGACGAGTTCCTTTCTCCAAGATTACCCGTCTCGAATCCCTCTCCTCCTTCGAGTCGCGCTCCGGAAATTAAACAATAAAACGCTTGCTCCGTGAATTCACACCATCGAGCCGTTTCGTCAATCATTATTATTCCAACTTGCGGGATTCTTGAATGGTGTACCGTCTCGTTAACCCGGTCGAGTGAAACAATGCAAAGCTGAATGGTACTTGAGAGTAATTTTTAAGAAACAAACGCTAGAACTAGCAAATCGGTCAAAATGATTGGTTTCAAGTTACTTATTTGAAATTATAAATTTTATCGAGATGTTTTTGTTAAAATTTACCTAGGTTAATCCTGAGATAAAGAATGAATGAATTATCTATTTCATTTTCTAGTTTTCCTATTGTACCTATTTTCAGGGTAACTAAACATTAGCAGGTATATTACTGACAATGATTCATTATACGCTATGAAACAGCGTTATTATTCAACACTAGACAATATACGATGACCCACGCGTGTCATCGCGTGAAACAATCATTTATTTCTGCATAATAGATGTATTTTAATAGTCATCGTTATATAATATACGTACTTGAAAATCTACATGCAATTTCAATAAACCAATAAAGAAGAAGGAAAAGAAAATTGCAGACTCAGTTATCAGTGTCATATGTCCTCTTCGATGTTACTTTACGACTTTTTTTTTATAATTTTTTTTTTTCTTTTTTTGTGTAATCGGGGTATTAAAAATCATGGTGTACATATGTTCAGATAATATTTCGTTTTGTTCGAGGGAGAAAGCAAAAGCGATCGACAAATAGAAATAGTTGTCCGCGGTCAGTGCACTATTCGCAGTGCGTGTCGCGAGTTTTCAGGGACGTGTTTTACCGCACTGGCCCGGAAAATGTAGCGCACTGCGACAAATTTATGTTATCTGCCACAACGGGACAGAAATCGCGTGTTTAACCTTTCTCTCGTTACGGACAACAATTTTTTTCCCTCCCCCTCCTCTACACCGGTATCGAACAACACGTGACGCTATTAAGAATTTGCAATTAATCGCAATAATTTCAACATTATTATCTTCGTCGCAAGAAAAGAATACCGTTCAACAATTAATCCTTGAGACGATTAAACTCTAATTACGAATTATTCGAACGTCATTTATTATTCAAGTTGTTTAATGAATTAGACGTATACTAAAGTTTAGATGTAATTGTTTTGAATTCAAATAAATTCCCACTTTTTTTATTTTTTCAATATTTGTAAAAAAATTTCACCGCTTTAAAAAAGATAGTGAACAAAATATTTTCTTATATTTAAAATGTATTGTACGTATAATATAAGAAAAATCGTCTGCAGAAAATTCTAAATAAAATTTTAAAAACGATATGATACGAAAATGAAAAAAGAATTTACGAAAATTGATAACCTTTGTATAGCCATAAATCAATCTAATTCCGAATTCAATCCAGCTATCGACGAGGTAACGTGCGAACACTTCCTTCTACCATAAATATAGAAGGTCTTTCTTCCGAATCGGTCCCTATAACCCCCCTGTCGATTGTTCATTCGCCCAGCGTATCTGTCCGTACGGCCCTGAGCGTTTCTCCTCGTAAGTACACGTGTACGCACGCGAGACGCGCGTATAAATACACACGCGATGTCGGTGTTATTTATACGCAAGGGTGGCCGTCGTCATTTGCGTGTGGTTCTTTCTCCGCTAAAACGATCCACACTAGGGCGAAACGAAATTATAGGGACAGAATATTTTTTATCACGAATTTATTAAGCAAAAGAAAGAAAAAAAAATTCACCACACACGTTAGCACGCCGATCGACACGCTTCGATGAATCGGCGCGAACGCGCGTCAAGGAACGCTTCGAATCTGCTTCCCGCCGGTTTTCAAGATTACTCGACTTCAATTACGTTCTTTTTAACGACGAATTCGAATGCATCATCGCTTTATCAATTCATTGCGCTTTAAATGATCATTAATTAAACAGCTATCGTATGTATGTGATGAATTATTATAAAAAAATGTTTGTATCAGTAAATATATCCGAATTTTGCACCAGCATCCCTTCCGTCCTGAAAACGTTAAGTATGGCCGACCTAACCTACAAAAACGGGAGAACAATGTCTCGGAGATTTAGACGCGTTTTAATGCGCGCGGCGTGGTCCATTTTGTTCGTGAACGCGAATGAAGTGCATTTTCAACACGGACCATGCGTGTGCTGAAGCAGCTGCGCTTCAGCTCTCTTTGTCCTCTTTGATTCACCCCATACCGCGTTCTAACCCCTTCCACTCCTTCTATTCCCTTTTTCTACACTGAAAACCTTCCGCGGTATACTTTTATGTCGGCAAACGAAAATACCGACTCCATGGATTGACCTCGCGTTAATGCGTCTAAAACGGCGATTTCATTCCATTCGATTATTATCAACGACGGACACTTTTCTAACGTTAGAAGGAAGCGCAAAGTGCGAGGGCTTTTCTGTTAGAACGACGAAAAACACGTGCGTTTGAAAGAAGCAAGGAAAACGTAACTATTTTACATACAATATTACCGGTGTTGATATTTAGTCTGTTCGCACGGAAGTCGTTGGCGCGATTAAACAAATTATAGATAACGTATAGTCGGCGAAACTGCATTCTTCATAAATGTATTATTTCCCGCCAATTCTTTGCGCATTAACATGGGAACGAATTCAAGCGTCCAGTAATGCACGTTGTTACGCTATCGGATCGTGTTACACCTCGTTTAATTTCTTTTCGAATGATATTTATTTCAAATATTCCGCTCGTTTTAGTGCGAACTCTTTCCTCTGAACGTGAGAAACGCGAATGCGCATTCCGCGGTCGAATACCAACTATAGTTATCACGCGATAGCAATTGACAATCGCAAATATGTATTTTGTTGGTATTTCACGATTAACGTTCTCGAGTGTTTTCAGAGTAAGAAAAGAGAGAGAGAAAAAAAAAAATGTTTGTCGATATAAAATTTACGTAGAATTATGAATAAAAAACAGTAGGAGAATTCTTCACGTACGTGAAATTAGACATGCTTCATTGTCGCGTGACCTATTTAACCAACGTACTCGTCTAACGGTTCGCTTTATCTTAGAAAACGATAATCAGGATATGTACGAGTGGAATGCAGAAAAAAGAAAAGAGAATCGTGCGATCGGCAACGTGTGAGAGGGTCCATGAGCACGCAAGCGTGGTACTGTTTCCCCCTTAGATAGCGTTGAAACGTGTTCCCTAGCGAAATTGATTCATGGCAATGCTTACTTTTCGTTGAATCCGAAGATTTGTTCGTCCGTGACAACCGGCTAACGATGTAACCGATCACGAGAATGACTCCGCCGAGAAACAGCGTGCTCGCTAACACGAAGACGGATATGCTCGTTCCCGGCATCATTTTCCCCTCTGTATCCTCCATCTTCACCGCGTAATTAAATCACGACACTTTCTTTGATCGGCTCACCACACTTTCGGTACACGATTTATTCAATAAAGGTACGTTTAAAAAAAAAATCACCGCAAAAATAAGAGCACGAGACGCGAGTGGAACACACACACGACCGCGTGTTCCAAAAAACACGAGATATCATGCAACGATCGCGGGCAGTGCGTCAACTCCACGGTGATACTGAACTACGGGTTTTATAGATGGGATACTCGAACGTCGAGGAGTCTTTAACCACGAACCAGACGAATCGCAGAAGCGAAACTCGACGGGATATTTCGAACGATCTTTGACCGTTATTGCCGGCAACGATAAACGCCGCATTTGAGTCTGCCCGCTTCTTTTTCCTATTCTCTTTATCAAATATATCTGTATCGTTAATAATTTTCTTCCTTCAATTTCCTCGTTCCACTTGCTCGAATTAAAGTTTCGATATTTATTCGATCTATCGCAACGGTCGTGAGGAAAGAGGATTCTCTTCGCGGTCGAAATTTCTTACTCGTAATCGATCCACTTCAAAGATCGAATCGTGTCTTATTCGAAAGAACAACGTTCGCATTCCTTGATCCCCCACTTCGTTTTTTTCTTTCTTGGCACCGTTGCGAGATTCGTCTACTCCGATGATAAAGTTACCACCTCGAACTGTTTCTGGGTCACAGCCATGCTCATCACCAACTTCGTATTTTCATGTACGACACACTTTTGTCATTTAAATCTTGTCTCTTTAAATTCTTCTTTTTTTTTCAATTCAATAATTTAAAATCAACGTTCAATTATTGTCTTACTACTGTTCGTGGTTTACGTCGAATAACAAGCGGGTCGCATCGATCGAGCGAGCCGGCAACTTTATTTCGTGTACATGAAAATAAACGAAAAAGTGCCAAACTCTGAATCAGTTTCACTGGAACGTCGCTCCAATGAGAAGTTGTCGTCACCTGGTTGAATCTCGTTCTGTATAATACTCACAATATAGTCAACAGAGAGGCGTGCGCGGGATTTATCTCCAAAAAATTAATGTTACCGCGTAACTTATGTAAGCCATTTAGTTGAACGCGTGCTCTGGTGGTACACTTGCAAATCAAACGGTATCATCGCGAACGAGAGACACATTGGAAGTTGAACGTAACGCTCGTGAGAGCTCGAAGCGTGTGTTTGCTGGATCATACCATTAGTACCGGTATATACGCGCCGATACCCTTGCTGTCTCGCGTTTAACCGCTACAAACTTTTCCCCACCACGTTTTTCATCCCCACGAAGATCGCGCGGCTCTCCCACCGCGTTGGGCATGCGCGGTTGCGCGTTTCAAACTTTCGCGGGCGGGAGACGCCGTTTCGTCAATCAGGCCCGATCCACGCTGTCCATTCGCTCGCGCTCGATCAGATCAAATATTATTCCATTTCATTTATGTTATACATGGTGGATCGGAGCGTATTAATGTTTCATCGAATCAAGAGCGGACCGTGAACGGTTTGAATATTCATCGACCATTGCAAATTACATTTTCAATTCGATTATTCGATGCGCTGTAAATTCCGGAAATTCTATTACATCAGTCTCTGTTCCCACGGAGATGGTTAGTCATCGTGTTCTCGGAACACGGTAACAGTGTTCTCGGAAACACGATGACTGCTACATTTTCCGTGACGATAGTAATTCTCGAGAAAGCATACCGCGTCAACGTTATCGATAAGAAATCGAGATAATCGTACTCGGTGATCGAAAACAAAATCTCTGAACTTGATAACGAGACTATTACCGACGATGCTAGTTTTCTATATTATCGATACAGTCGATAATCGTCGATATGAATTTGTGGGAACAAGTGTGTTTTCTTGTTAAAGCATACATTATCAACGCACAGTCGTAAAGTTACACGATCTAACCTGACCTAAGAACTAGACTTACAAACGTGCTCTTAACGGCAAGATGCGTTAAATTCAACCCGTTACTCGCCCCGTTACTTTTCCTCATTTCGATCCTCTTCGTCCTCGATTTGACTCTCTCACGTGCATGCCTCACCACCACCGTGGCTTCGTATATAAACAGAAGCCTTCGATAAACATACAGGGTGTCCAGTATGATCAAAACAGCGCTATTTTCGTTTCACCAAAACAATGAAATTCATTTTTTTAAAATCAATAGCATAGAAAGGAAAAAACAAATCCATTGACTTCTCGTTTACGCGGTTACTGTTTACAAAATACGTAAGAGAAGTGTTTAGAAGTTCGTGACGTTGATACGTCTTAAACTTTTGATAGCGAATCGCAACGCAATAAGTGACAAATATTTTGTCACTTGTTCGACAATTAAACATATGACGGGTCTAAATCTGATTGTAGCGCCACGAAGTACGTTGTACGACGACTGGTGTTATTTTTTTAACGTTTTATCTGCGACGTTTCCTCGACTTTGCTTCCCGTGTCGATTTCACGAGACTCTTCTGCGTATGGTCGCGTGCAGTTCAGGCTTCCCTTAATTAACAGGAAGCGTAGGGGGAGTTATTGTACTGTTCGTCTCTGATAGGATAGCAGGTCCTCAAAGCTACCTTACGTTTAATCTCAGGCCAAAGGAAACCTACGGTTACACACTGGGTACAAACCCTTTACACCTCGTTCGTTTTCCTGGGCTCGAGCCAACGAACTCTGACTCAAGTTTAAAGGTCGTTTGCCCCGTAACGTTTAGTCGAGGGTCAACTTTCGTGTGCGGTACCATAGAAAGATTAGAATTAACGAGCGGTCATGCCTCCTTCTCTGTTTCTGACAGAACGTTCCCACGAGCGTTTTGCATCGTTAACGCCGAGTGATACGTCGAGAGAAGAGGAAAGCACGTCACCGGGAATCGATAAGACGTTTTCCTGCAACGAATAGACACCTAATGATTGATGGCTCTACGGGATTTCCGGGTTACTTCCGTAGCTGGTCACGTTATACGACCATCGAACAATCTCCTAGGATCGATCAGATCCTCGAGACGATGTTTACGCGACGAAAACGGATTGCTTATCGATTCGAAAAGTTCGATTTCTTCGTCTCTAGATAAACGATGCGAAGATACCGGACCGTCTGTCGCGGAATGTTTCTTATCAAAACCGGTTAATAATGAATCATTTATTCGAAGGTTTTCTCGCAAAATAACCGCGCAATATAAAGCAGACACCTTTGGAACCGGCAGCCGTCGCGTCGGGGATGATTAATCGGTACACGAACATCTGCGGTTCTGTTTTCGCGGGAATTAACTTAATCTATCCCGCGGCTCGAGAAACCAAGGCAATTATAAAATTTCATTCATCGGGGGATGATCCTGAGGTCACATAAGTTTTAGGTACACGAATTTTCAAAGCTATGCAGAAGCCAGATCTATATGCACGTATATAAAGACGCCAGTTTCGGGGCGAGGAATTAATCATGGTCTCGAAGTGGAAGCCGAAAGAGTTTAATTTAACAAATAAAAACAAAGAAATCTCAGATGGAGTTATCTAATTTGACGGATTTTCTTTGCCAGGAAGAAACATTTCACGCGATGTTCAACACCTGATCGATAAAAAACAAGTCCATTTATTAATTATTCATAATGAGTTGTGCGATGGAATTGATTCTACTTGTGTTTGCTTCATTAGGTCATCGGTGTACATATTCGGTAAATAATATTCGTTACGATAATATTATTCTAGTGAATGAAACGCTTCGTTCAATTGCCAGCTAATCGAGTGGGGGTGAAAATTAACGGCTGCCTGTTCTTTTCTACGCGTTATCTGATCGACGATAAGGATCTTATACGCGAAACACAAGATACATTTCGATCGGATGTTCGATTCCGAAGAAATTGAATTTCATGTTTATATCAGTCGGTATCGTAATAGAAATGAGTCATAGGTATTGGCGCTTCTTTAACAATGCGATGTATTCAACAATACCGAATTGATAAATTTTCGGAAATTTTTAGAACCGGTATTTCAACCTCTCTTCGATCGAGGTCAAATCGAGCCCATCTTACAAGTTACGTAACGAGTACTTCACCCTACTGCTTAAAATTCCGAGTGATTGGAATAATGTGCAAAAAAAGATTTGTTCACTTCAGGTTATAATAGAAAGTACTACCTTGAAAATTAACAGTAAACAAGATAAAAAAAAGCGTACAGAATATATTTTTCTTATAAACTAGGAATCCATTCAGGGACATCTTCAACTCTGAAAGAACACAAAAACTGTTCTCACAAACATACGAGGCCAGTTGGCCTCGTTTTCAAGTGGCCGCCATTTTTAAATCCTACCAAAGTGAACCTACATATTACGTTCGAAACGAATACCACAACGTTTACCGCTTTCATGGGTAAGATTCGTATTGAAAACTAGCGCAATGAATAAAAGAGACACCTTGTACATATGTATAGTAAGCTGCGATCTCGAGTACCTGAACTTTGAAATTGGCACAGTGCCACGAAAGAAGTGCGCAATTCCGCGACGGCATTGCCACGCGTCTATGTTACCGGGAAGAATAATTTTGGGCGGTTGCGACGCAAGGATGCTGTGAGTCAAAGAAATTTCAACGGAAGGAAAAAAGAAGCGGATGAGAGAAAATAAAATGTTTTTCTTTCTACTCTACGCTTCATCACGAAAGGCGACAGTTATAAACCTGTCTACCAACGCAACGTGACACGACACGCTAAACAACGCGTAATTTAAACTCGATTATTTTCTTCTGATCGATACTTTACTTAAATCGCTTCTTCGTTATTCCCTTGGTTGCAAACACAAATCATAAATCCCCCTTGTATTTGGTTGTATTAGAAGCGCTTGATATTACAACGCCACCATTTAATATTACATCAGTCCCTTCGTAGCAACGTTAAGACGCGTCTACTCGTCAGAGATAAACTTCGAACTGTACATAAACATCGCCCCGACGCTTCGTATAGATCAACGTTTGCGACACGCACGTGTTTGACACGACTACCAAAACAAAAACCATCACTTACCGTGTCCACGGGACGGATACTCGTCGATCCTCCGATGATCTTCTTCCAGGAGCAAACGAACGGTCATTCCTTTAGAAGTATTTTATCTCTCTGGTTAGCTCGTTTCTCTGGTTTCTTCAACGAAAATTTAAGCACGCCTTGGCGGGAGAGTGTGCCGGTGAACTGATGCATCGGTCGCGCTTCTTTGTATCCGACGCGTGTACCGCGAGCGTGTGCGTCGAACGGAAAATAAAGGTTATGCGTATGGTGTACGCGTGACGAAAACTCGGCGACGAAAACAGCCGCGTCAACAACGTGATAAAGCAAAGAAAAGGAAGAGCGTTGTGTAGTACGTGGTACGTGGTCTATCGCGGCCAATCCGTGGCATCGTGTACACTGAGTCCCGAGAAACGTGTTCCCGCCGGTTTATGAAGAGTTTCGTTCAGCTGATGTGCGCATGTGTCGGTGAATGCACCCGGCGTCGCGGCCAACGCGCGCCTATATTGACACGTGTTGCACGACGATAACAGGCCGATAACACTGCACCAGAGACAGAAGAAACGACGCAGAAACTGATCGAATCCGTCCCGTCGCGCCCCGTTCAAAATACATATGTCTCACCGTTTCAAACACCACCTTCCTTTCTCTACGATTTTGTACGCACGTTTTTTTGTATATCTCTATACTTGCACAGTGATAACATCGATGTATCGATTCTTTGTTTCGAGCAGACGATCCCTGTAAACAAATAATTTTAAATATAAGACAAGGCAATTCGAATATTGTAATAATATTAAAGAGTTGCAACAGACGAAAACCGTTCTTTTAATTTATTTCCTTTTTTATTATAAGAGAAATAAAATTCGTTTATGCGATATTAATAGCATCACGCGAAGAATCGTTTCGATTATTTTTAGATGTTAAGGTTATTCATCCTAGTCGTTTTTTGACGCCGAATTATTTTGGCGGTTGTATTCTGATACATAAACATTGCACTTGTTGCTTCGCAGGAAATTCGTCGGTGTTCTAACCCTAACATTAATCCGTATTAAATGCACGGTGCTAAAAATAGAACGACGAATTTCTCTGCAGACGTATATACGTGTTATCGTATACAACTATACACGTTAAAATTGCGTAAGTATTGACGTGGTTATTTTCTATTTATAACAATATTTTTGTTCTAAATACAGAAGTTGGTGAGCCATGCAATCTTTTGAAAATTAAAAATATTAAGTAGGGTTATTGTAGAATGAAAAAGATAAATAGAAGAAAATACCACAGAATAAACCAGTCACCACATGGGAGTGCCTGCCACATGATATGGAACACCAAAGTCCTTGTAAAACAATTAATTTAATACGGTGAAAACATACAAGCCTCATTTTTAGGTGGTTTTTAATTTTGTACTAATGCGCGCACCTTAAAAACAATGTTGCTAGCACCACCTGGTGGTAACTGGTAAGATTAACAAAATAGAAAGTTATTATAGGTGTTTCTTTCTTAAAATAAATGATTTCAATGCTTCACTGACACATGTAAAACATTTTACAATTGCAATGTAATTAATAGAATGGCTACAATGTTAATAAAAAGTAATAAGCTGCGTAGGTTACCGACCTCTTGCAACGCTGTTCGGCGATCGACTGCTAGCTGGCAATGGCGTCTCACAATTATGGCGGGCTTTTCAAAACAATGGCGGGTATTTCGAAAAGAACATGTACATATATAGCTTTCGAGTTTTGACAAAACTTTCGTTATCTACCATTGTTCTTTACAAATCATATTTACGTTTAATAATAGATTGATATTTAAGTTCTATTCTAGTTTTCATAGGAGATCTTTTACGTAATATACCTCATACAAACGCGCCAAGTTCAAGACAGCGTCTTATAATTTTTATCTAAGGAAGTCGAGGTATAAAACGTGAAAGTTTCATAAGCATCGTTAGTTTATTAACAATGTTACACGCACAATCATACATAAAACAACCTTGATTATAGATATTTTACGACCCTCGTTTATAGAAACGGGTCTCCCTATACTGTTTTAAGTCCATTTTGGGTGCCAGTACACCGTCTCGATTATACAAAACCGACAGTATATTACTTTACAAACGTAGGATAATTTAACATACAGAAGAACAGAAAAGGGAGGATAGGTGATAGATCGTTAGGAAGGCAGTAAAAAGGGATGAAAAATTATTCTAGGGTAGAAAAGAGAACGAAATGATCGGTAACGTGTCCCCCTTCACGTATCAAAATTACAAATTACATCCAGATATTTTGGACCATTTATATTATACATCTTATAAAACTGTTTCCCTTTTTTTTTCTTATGACAAGGAACAAACGGATATCTACATTTCCTTGTAGTTTTTAATATCGGTAGTCAAGTGTTTTAGAGAACCATAAATAAATTCATAAATATCGTCTATGCATCATTAAAGTTTTAATGTTTTCTCTTTTCTGTCGCAGACAGACATTAATTTTTTAAGGCTCTTCCGTCTCACTCATCTAAAAGAAAAAAAAATGAAATATTCATTCGTACTGGTAACATCAAAGGAGACGGTGATTGTTTTCTATTTTTTTCTTTTTCTACACGAGTGTATAATATAGGACAAAGGAATAGAATTTCGTGGCAGATGCATAGATGCAACGAAAAATGCATCGAATCGTAAATTTCATCGAAACACGCCTTCCTATTTATAGGAATTTATTTCTTTCATTTCTCTCCGTTGCTTTCTTGAATAATACAAAACGCAGCAGCGCTCGAACAATAAAATGAATCGTAATGTAGAGTTGTTTTATTTATATCGTTTAACACGCGAGATTCGACTATATTCCCCTTGAAAAATGCTACATCGTGGTTTATTATATATTTTTTTTGTCCTTTGCATATCCATCGACTTCTCGAATCGCTAGAAATCGATTTCTTCTTTCGCAAGACTAAGAAGACTACTTCCGTGGTGAATGATACCAACGAGGAAAAGAAAACGATCTCTATTTTGTCCTATAAACAATAAATTGTGAAATACTGTAAAATATTGTACATACTATTTATCGAATCGAACCGAAAAACAATTCGTCTTCTTTTTCTCGTTTCTACGTACTGGTTGGTCCACGAAGAAGTGCTTCCCCGTAGTTGAAAAAGATTGGGAAGTCTATTTTTCTCTCTCTATTACAATATTTTTCTCTTTTGTCACGCTTGGTCGTCAACTTGCTAATTTTTCGTCTCTTCCCAAATTATCTATCCCCTCTAATCTCAGACGAGAGAATATCAACAGTATCGGGATACGATAAATCAATGTTTTTTTATTTATAGGGGATTTTTTTTCTTTTATTTTAAGACAGTCAATCGAATCGACTAATTCTAAAGCGAATTAATCACATCAATTAACGATTTCGATCGATGGATCGACTCGATCCTAAAACGATCTCGAAGACCCTCCTGGTAAAATCAAGGAAGATCGACGAGTTTTCTTTATAATTAGCGGTTCAGAAAATTCGAAGAATCATGCTTTCAACTTCTATGTACGTCTACATATTAGAATCGAATGAAAATTAAGCTAATTACGATTAGCTACGATCTTACATGGCAGTAACAACATCAATGACAACAAAAATGAATTGAAAAAGAATATTAAAATAAAAAAGATATAGTTTCAATTTGAAGCATTACAAACCCCCGCAAGACCGTACCCTCGTAAACTTTAATTTTTTTAATGAACAAAATATAAAAACAATCTGTTTTGTTTAGAAAAAAAGGTCGATTCTCCGAGTAGATATTCAGCAGACCGTCCTCTTCTAATTTCACATCCTACGACGTTACGTTCCCTTAGAAACTGGCGAGTCTAAACAATTTCGTCGCGTTTCAATGACGATACGTCGTTCGGTATTTCATTCGTTTTGTCATCCGAATTCATGATTCGCGACGAATCAAATATCTATTGACACTAAAAAAGAAAAAAAAAAAGAAAAAGAAAATGAATCGCTTACACACGAAAAATACATTAGTCAGATTCTCACCACGCGAAGCAGCGCTCTACAGTCAGAAAAATGAGAAACGAAATTAAAACAAAAGGCACAACGAGCTTTTCTAATTCCACAAACTCTAAAGAAAAATAAATAAAATAATTACAATAAGAAAAAATCATCATCACCCATAGAGATCATTTCATTTCAATTCGCTCGAAATGAATCAATCATCTTCTTTAATATCTTTGTTTCTCATGTTTAAAGAAATAATCGTCTGCGGTATCAACCTAACAATGAACTTTTGTCTACACGCATACACATTCTATACTTTGCATGTAAGTAATGCCTATTTTCCAAAAGTATGTATGAAATATGCTCCAACCAGGGACTCTGAAGACATTATCGCTTTCGAGTAATTTCATTGATCTCATCGGCTTGTGGGACCACTCGTGTGTCATCAAACATCGTACCACTCACGCTCTTCTAGTTCTCTCTCATTCATTCCACGCGTGCCCTCTGCGACGCCTTACTTTTACAAAAAAAAGAAAAAAAAAAGAACTTTTTTGTACTATCAATATATTAAACGTTGGTCGCAATTTTACTACTCATCGTTAAACGTTGCTGTCGCATCATTAAATCACACAGTATGCATACACTATTTCATAAGTGACATTTCACTTCTTACGTTCACTTTTGACTCGCTTTTATGCGCTTGAATTCAAAGAAAGAATACGACACGCTAACATTTATGTAATTATTATTTTGAAAACAAGAGATATCGTTGGTGGACGAAATTGCGTATGCACACACAGATTCTAGGCTTTAACCGAAGAAAAATTCTCAGTGTTCGGTGATCCTTTTTCGCTCTAATTCGTCATTAAAGGAATATTTTTCTCCGTCGTTCATATAATCTATAAATTGGACGATAAAGTTCAATTTATGATTTAAGTGCATTGCTACGCAACGCGTCTATCACTTTTCCCTTTCTCTTACGTTTTACTTCGTTATTTATGAATCTTTCGCGATGTTATTCATCCCTTTCTTCTTTCTATACGTTATAAATGTCTGATCCGGTGACGTTGACGCACTTAGGCAATTGAAAAATTCAATACACACGAGTATATAGTTTCCATTGTACGAGATGTGTACCTTAGTGAAGAAAAATTCTTAACGATTAATCCTTACGCATATTTAATATATGATGCTTATGAGTTTATGAGCTACCATATTAAAGGAAAAAACATACACCACTGAAAGATTATATCGTTAGTTTAACGCGATCGCTTTCATATACATTGTTTATACTCGGATCGCCGAAAGCTACGTTTGAACTGTGCATACGCCTCGGTGGAGATACGATGTTCAAATTAAGCAAATAGGATTCGACGAGAGAGAGAAAGAGAGAAATTTTAATTTTCTTCCCTTTTAAAATACCACTTTGTTAACACGTTTTCATCGTTTTCCATCGCATTGCAATGAACATCGTTACACCGCCATTCCATATATAGATAGTGAAGCACATTAAAAACATAGCGATAAGCTAATTAATATTCAAATATTGGAAAACCTCCACTAATTCTATGCAAAGTATAGCTTGTAGAATACCATTCATTAAAACTAGGACTTATCGTATTATAATAATAATAATAATAATAATAATCCAGTTGCTTCTGTATTTTCCTTTTCCTTCTTCTTCTTCTTCTTTTCTTCTTTCTTCTTTTCTTATTTCACAAATCCTCATGGATTTTCACATGCACTATATGACTGTGGGCTCTGCTCCACTTGCTACGACAAATTTGCTTTCAATGAGTCAATCTCGACGAAAACAAATTTGTACAGAACCGTTTCTCATCTTACTACGTATTTATAGAAATGAGACTATTCGATAATTATATAGAACAAAGTAAACCTCAATGATTTCAACAAATCTTGATGGTACGTTATAAACATCAGTTCCATGAGTAATTTTTGCCATCGTATATTGTACCGTTTGAAGGTTTTTCACATATAAAATAAAAAATAAAATTCATATCGCAGAGGAAAACATTCATATTTCATAGGCAAAGTTACTCGTAACATTGACCCTTACAATATGTATCAAACCCATTGAAATCGGTTCACCCTATTCTATATAATTACAAACTATTCTTATTAACAATCATAATTTTATGTACAATTTAACAAACTGCATGCAATCGCCTCTTTCCTTCATTTCTTCACAATATTAGATAAGTTACATGATAAAATTATAATCGAGTTCAACTCACTGTGTCCTGCCATGTCACACATCAAATGATAGAAACAAGTGAAAATGATTTTTCTTTTTATTTGATCTTCTGTATAACGTGTATAAAACCATTTCAGGCAACATTTGTTTGTCTTTTTCTTTCTTTTCTGTTTTTTTTTTACGCGTGCAACTTTGCCAAAATACCAGCCGTCACTTTAATACTTACATCGATTCATGCAGACTGGTTAAAATTTATTTCAAAATGGATCAGAAATTGAAATAACTTTTACCACATCCTCTCCATGTAATTTATCAATAGTGCAGTCAAGTAAATTGGCAAATTTGCATGCAATTCGATATTCACCCTTCCACGGTTACGAAATATCGTTTAAGAATATGTATATATACATATCATCGAGTGGAAAAGAAATCATTTTTACTTGTTGAATCGTGGCGGCCTCCTCAATCGTGGTATCAATTCTGTCCTAACAGTTCTGGCGTAATTAGGAGCAGCATACTGATCAGTTACAGCAATCGGACTCTGCAAGCTCTGAATGAACATCGGTGAGTCCTGTAATTGTCCAACACTTGCTGCCTGATATTGATACTGACTGTTCGCTATATCCGCTGTCGGATAATGATTCGGTTGCACGAATTGAGGAGGATTATCGTATTGCGGATACGGGATCGAACTTTCTGCGGAAAACTGAGGGATTACTGGATTCACGTTCACCGGTGTAGTCGCAAAGCTTCCAGGATCGTACGTCTGATACTGATTCAGTTGTCCAATTTGCGTTGTACTGAACGGAGGTGACTGAGGGAACTGAGAAGTATCTGGGAATAGCACACTAGCAACGGTCGGTTGAGGAAAACTTTCTGGTCTAGGATAAGGCGACATGTTTGCTGTAACGTTGCTTAAACTTTGAACATTTGGAATTCCAGCTATTTGCGACGTACCGTAACTATGAAACGTTTGCCGGCTGTGATCCAACTCTTTCACACCACTTTGCAAAGAACACGCTACGTTCAGTTTCGATTTCGTGTTTGGACCAGCTATCTCGTTGTGCTTGGTTCTTGCTTCGGTCACGAACGGATGACGAACGTTTACGATGCTCTGGGGGGCACGTAACGGTGGGAAATTAATCGGTGCCATTTTCGATGCTGGATTCTGTTGCTCCAAAGCCTTTCTAGCTACAGCAAATGCTGTATTATCGTTCCGTGATGCCGGTCGTGAATGTTGAGTACTGGAAGAAGTCCCATGATTCTCTCTGTGTAAAGCTTGAACAGACGACTGATTTACAAACCTCGACGACAAATTGTTCATTTGTGTGCTATTCCTTGCCTTGTAGTCCTGACTGTTCACCGAAGGTTCTTTGTAATCGGATTGTATCTGATAATTCTTCATTTTAGAATCGATTTCACTGGAATACTTTTTGGTAGAATAATCTTTGGATTTCGATGCGCTCTCGTGAGGAACATTACCACCGACACAGACCGCAGTAACACCACGTACGTTACCGAAGCTCGAGCTAGATTGATTTGTGGTTGAGATTGAAGTATTATTCTTTGAATGTTGTTCGTTAGATTTCACATTCTCATTGTTTCCATTGCTCTTTTTTAGAGATGTATTTATTCTATTTGTAGAAACTGTAACGTTCGATGCTGTAGTAATTGTGTTTAGCGTAGCATCTTTATTGGATATTGTAGTATTTACTGCTCTGACCGATGACTTTGATAATCTACTCTTGTTCCCCACGTGATCTAATTTTTGACTATTTTTACCCTTATCCAATGGTTGATTGTTTACCGATAGTATTTTCGAGTCTGCATTGTTGTTCTGATTTTTGGACAGCAAATTATTATGGGATTTACAATTGATAGTGACAGCTGGCAGGAGCAAAGCGCTGGCTCACTTCTTGGTCATGATTTTCAGATATTCCAAAGCGTTTTGAGCAGCACTAGCTTGAGCATCTTTACTAGTAACACCACAACCGTAGCAAACTGCCACTGGCAATGTAGACAGTTGCACAAGGCACTGGCATTTACCTGTAACAATGGAAAAATGTTCTCCTACTCTGATCCAGATCTTATTTCAGACAAAATTGTTAAAATAAGAAAATTAGAAATAAGAAGAAAGGTATAACAAATTATTATAAAATATAATGGGAAATCAATTAACTTATGTTAAATGTACATTAGTGATTGAGATACATTAAATGTGATAAGCAATTTATGATAACTATGTCAGAGGTCACACATTACAGTTTCTCAATACAAACACGTTAGTTCTAGCTTATGTAAACCTGTTAGATGAGGTACCTTTTTTTTTAAAGGGTTGTATGGATACAGGATCATGTGTGGAATAAATTCTGCCAAACTTAACTTACGAAAAAAAATGAAAACTATCATTGCACAACTCAGTGCTGAGGAGAAACAAAGGCAATCAAGGATAGTATTTGAAAAAGTAAGTCCATGAATGAAATAAGTAATTTATCCATAATCAGAGTGTAAGAGGTTAAGTCATATTTTGTTCAGAAATTCCATTAATCTTGATCACTTTCAATTATGTACAGTTATGTTCTCTCAAACAATTTCAAGAAAGCAAAAGGGTTTCTTCATACCTAAGTACAAATGATGAAATTAATACAGTACCGATATTAAAACATATGTTCGAAATGAAGAAGGAAGTATTTATTCCTAGATATAAAGGCAAACAAATGGAAATGGTTAAATTATTTTCAATGAAAGATTACGAAAATCTACCAGTAACTAAATGGAATATCAAACAACCAAGCTTTAATGAACCCAGAGAAAATGCTTTGGAAACTGGTAAGAACTGTTAATTTTTAACAATCATACTTCATTCCATTTCACTATTATTTTCAAAATAATATTAATAAAATATAAAAAAATGATGCATGCTTTGTCATAGGTGGGTTGGATTTAATACTTTTACCAGGTGTTGCATTTTCTCCTAGTGGTAAGTTGATTTTAATTTACAAATTGCTTAAGGAAGAGAATATTTATAATCTAATAATTTTATGTTATTACTTGTCAACTAGGAAAACGTTTGGGACATGGGATGGGTTATTATGATAAATTTTTGGATTTGTGTTTAAAGAAACAACAAAAAAGACCACACTTAATTGCAGTGGCATTTAATGAACAATTACGTGAGGATATTCCAACAACCGAAAACGATGTATTACTGGATCTTATACTTACAGAAAAATAAATGTACTTTTTCAATGAATAGTAAGTTAAATAATAAAATATATTCATTAACAACTTGGTAAAACTGTAGTTACTAATATAATGTAAAAAAAATAACTTACCACTGATAGATTTTTCTTCAATATCAACATAAGTTACTTCAAATTGCTGCTCTGAAGCGATTTCTTGCAAAAACTGTACCAGATTTACATCGCCGTCATTCAAACAAGTATTCTATAACAAAAAGGATTAATAAAGAAAATATAATAATATTCAAAGGTTTAATATAGTAATTGTTTTTGCTTACTATAACTACAAACCTGTAATTCAAAAAGTTTAACACCAGTTGATGATTTCAGACTTTTATGAAATTGTGAAACCTTAAGGCTATGAATAGTTGTTAGAGTTGAAATTTTGCTACCTTTCAGATCAGCATAACGGGCATTCACATTTGCATTTCTTTGTAAAACCTATAACGGACAATTAATAATAAAAATTTAATTACATGCTCATCATTGGAGATGTTTCACCAATGACTGCACTTATATTAAGAGTATCATGAAGTGGAAATGATCCAAGCGTGTTTACTGTTGAAAATATATTGCTGTGTAAATGATTTCAGTATCAATACACATACATATTACACACATTTCTTATTTTAAAAATTATCCGTTATAGATTCAAGGTGAACAGAAAGGTAGCATATATTTCATATATATTCATAATAGGGTGCCAAATCACTTCCACTTCACTAAACATACACACACATACACAACAAAAACTATTCACAATCATAGACACAGAAGCAACCTATGTAAAGACGTGGTCGATATTACCCTACTACAACTATCCTCTGATTTATGCTCAAGATACATTCCATGTCATAATTGTTTTACACAGCAGAAAATCACAAAAATACATACCGAAAAACGTTGTACAAAATTTTATAACAAAAATACATTTAAGTTTTATTTTTTGTTACTTTCACTACTATATTCTAAAAAAGTCTCTATATACTTTATTTATAAGCTTATTGTTACATTCAAAATATTACATATGTATATAAAATAATTATTGAATGAATTTAAAAACATGTACTACACCATTAGATGAACAACCTTAATATTTAATTTTAACATTACCTTTAACAGAATAGACATAAAAACAAAAAATATTCTTACCTCATCTTCATCCACATTGGAATTTTCTGTATTCATATCATGTAAAGCTTGCCACATTTTATGAGCTGCATGCCTCTTTGCTACTTTTTTACTTCTTCCCTGACCAACTTCGCGATATTTTAAAATAGAACAAACAATGGTAAACTGTCTTTCATGCGGAAGACCTTCCTCGTTTTCCATTGTGTATTTTGGTGGGGGCCAATGACGCGACATACACATTTCTTGCAATGCTCCAATTGGATTTGTGATTATTTTCTCTTCTCCGTATCCTGATAATTCTTGTAGATTCTCAGAACTATATAAAACAAATTGTATTAATTCTCTAAAACGAGTAAGTAATGCAACTGAATATTATCAATTATTACTCTGGTATATTGTTTTGGAGCGGAGAATCTGGAGCTTCGCTATTTAATCTACACAACTTATCCAATACAGCTCTTGCAGCAGCATGTTTTGCTTCCTTTTTTGACTTTCCAGTCCCCATTGCTGAAACAATTGGATCTGCTTCAATTGTCAAATACTTATCATTTATTACTTGTATCAAATGGTCATATATATAATTTCTTTTTATATATAAAAAAAGAATAAATCAAAATTAGATACAAACCAACAATATCAGCAACAGTGACACGATAACGAAAAATAGGCTCATGGATAGCACCCTCTACTTGTATTAGTTCATACTTTGGTGTTGTACCCCTACGAGAAAGCAATTCCTGAAGAATAGAAACTGGAGTTTTGTTGGACAATGATTTCATCTCCAATTGAGCGGCCTCACTTATTGGAAGTTTCTCTACCATTAAACTATGTAATGACAATCGAAGTCTGCTACGCCGGTTAACATTATTTGAATGATTAGGAACCCCACCTACATTGGCCATCATATTAGGCCCAACCTGTTGCGGTTGATGCATTTCTTCCATTTTGGCAATCTATAAACGAACATAAATTACACTCAAACATAGATTTAATTAATTAACAAATATCTCAATTACATTTAATATATATATATATCAAGTGCAATTTAATTATTGATCTACTCAAGATCTGATCTATAAAAATACAAATTATAAATATTGTAAATATCTAAAGTTGAAACAATTGAAATTAATTTAATATCTAAATTGATCATCTGTATTGTAATAACAATAATATACAAATATGTTTTTAATGCATAAATAACATTTTAAATGATCTGTCAAATGATATTTCCAATTTATCATATATTTCAGTAATTTCTCATTTACAAAAATCTGATGTTTAAACAAACGTAAAACAGTACAAAGATAACATTATATATAAAATTATGATAATATCTTAATAATAATAGAGTCCTAATAATATTTTAGTCTGTTCTAATTACTAATTAATACAAGGTCTGTGCAGTATAAAACGGTAGGAAAACCGGCTGGCGGCCATGATTGTAATAAAATTCATTGATTAATTCTAGTATCTGATGCATAGAAAATACAACAATAAAGTATAAAGGTTAAGTTTCATTGCGATTCAAACGAGAATAAAGTCAATAATGATTTTCATCACTGTCAATGTTCTATTTCAAACGGAGACAATAGGGAGCATAAACCAACCGGTCACACTATCGTCCGCTATACGAAATCAAAAAAACCTTGCTACCTTTACTCACAATTTTCAAACGTTTTATATAAATAAGCTGGCTCCTGAACAGGCCAATTCCTATGCGAAAAGCGAATCCCGCTTTTTGTGACCGATCCAAGTCTCACAAAAAGCTTGATCCGTTTGACGACAGAAAAATGGTTTGCTGACTACCGGAGAATCTTCCTCGTTTCTAGTTCTGTCGCAGTATGCGATCTGAAGTTTTTCTAGACACAGAAGCACGCGCATCTTTCTGCGCAGATGCACTACTGGCGGTTTTATGGAAACACGTTTTCATTGTTAAATTTTTTATTCAGATTTAAATCCTACATAATTTTCCTCCCATTGCTTTAAAATTTTCGTCTAAATATGAATTGTTTATACGCTTCAGAGTAGATACTTTAAACATTGAAAATAACTTATCCTAATGTAAGGCTTCCTAATGTTCTCTTTTTAAATTCTTTTGGCATATCATTCTTGAATATAGTTTAAGTAGCTTTGAAATTTTTATAAACAAAATAGATTTGTTTTATTCTTTCATATTACTTGTTTGATAGTATACAATTAATCTGATAGAAATGATTATAAATTTAAATAAAACATTTGCCAAACCTACGATGGTGTTAAACGATGTTTCATGTTTAAATTGGCGCCGTTTTGTTAAATAGTTCGCCATTTTCAATGTTAACCATCGTTTCTTGGCAACACCGGATGTTGGCGTATTTCGCATTTGTATACCTAGAATCATCATTTCCGGTTGTTACCCGCTGAAACGGCCCAAAGATTGTACGCCATTACTACACACTGACGCTACACCGTATTATTTCAAACGTTTCATTGATTTTTACTACATTTCGTTAAATTTGTTTATATTAAAACTTCCATAATGAGTGATATCGAGGTAATTTCTATACCTTGTTTCCTAAAATAATAATTTTATGTGTAATTTTATACACATTGCAGCCATAACGATATGCGGCTAACTACAGCCATTATCGATCCGTAAACGTTCATCTGTATTTTACCCTTATATTGTGTTTTTAATAATATTATTGTCACGTTTTAACGTTGAATAATGCGTGGAATCGATTAAAAAATTATTCCTAAAGTTCAGCTTTTCACAAATTGTAGTCGTTATAGTAAATACAATGTATTAACTATGGACTGAAAGGTTAAGCTTCCATTTCTTTTGCATAAATTCAAATGTAAAATTAGATATGTTAGATTATACAAAGAAATTTAAAATTATTCTTATTGAAATTATAATATTTATATTTTCCAGAGAAGCGGTAGTCGTAGTGCAAGTCCTCGAAGACCACGAACAGCAGACGGCGGTTTAAGAGATTCACGTTCACATTCAAGATCACGTAAATCAAGAGAACGCAAAGAATCTCATCGGCCGGTGAAAGAATATTCAAGATCAAGAAGCCGTTCTGTATCCAGAGGAAGAAAATCGTATCGTAGTAGCAAATACGCTAGTGCAGGTCATCGTGGTAGTAGTCGCAGTCGTAGTCGTACTCCTTACAGGGGTGGACGATATTCCCGAAGCAGATCTCGTTCGTATTCCCGTTCCCGTTATTCTCGGGAACGCGATAGGAACATTTATCGTTCACATTCTCGAAGTCCAATGTCTTCTAGACGACGTCATGTCGGTAACAGGGACAATCCTAATCCCTCTCGTTGCTTAGGTGTGTTTGGACTTTCTATTTTCACAACCGAACAACAAATATATCACATCTTTTCCAAACACGGACCTGTTGAACGTGTACAAGTTGTATTCGATGCAAAGGTATGTAAACATTGATGTATCGTATGTTCAAGTATTTATTCATTATTTCAGCGAATTCATTGTTTAATCAAACCGTAACCCCTTTTATGAAAGGGGTATAGTAAAATGCCAGAGATTTAGAACGTTCATGCATTAAGGTTATAATGAAACGTTAAAGGCCTCTGGCCACACGTACATTTCATTTTATAAAGCGAGAAGATGGTATAGCGAAGTAATATTTATTGTACTTGTCTTACTTAATCAAAGCTAATTGAAAAATTTATATTTCAGACCGGGCGGTCCAGAGGATTTTGCTTTGTATATTTTGAATCTGCAGAAGATGCTAAAGTAGCAAGAGAACAGTGCACAGGAATGGAAATTGATGGCCGAAGAATAAGGGTAGCTTTCTCGATCACACAGCGAGCTCATACACCCACGCCCGGAATTTACATGGGAAAACCTACACATTTGCACGACCGAGGGTGGGATGGATCTAGACGTAGGGAGTAAGTTACTTAGCGCGAATACCTTAGACGATACGATTATTTTCTTTTTAGAAAATAGTAGAATTGTAATAATTTATATTTTCAAAAAGAAGTAGTTACAGAGGAAGCTACCGACGGTCACCCAGTCCATACTACAGTCGTCGACGTTCACGCTACGACAGATCCAGATCGCGCTCCTATTCTCCGCGTAAGTTTGCTTTTAGTTCTTCTATAAAATCTAATATAAGCAGTCTACATGGATATGTGTCTCCTTTGAAATAATACTTCTGTCACATGAAAATACAATTAATCTATAGATTCATGCACACAGGATACAGAAATAAAAAACTCATTGATTTGATATTGTATAATTCGCTGAAACCTCTTTTTTTCTTCCTTTTTGTGAAATTAAAAGAACAACATATTACAGTACACACACATGAATACGTATACATACAATATGAATATGTACCATATTATGTTAGACTTGTTTTCGTTATCTCTAACATTTAATAAATGCAGTAATATTAATATAAGTTATTATGTAAGAATATACTAATACAATTTTATGATCCATCGTGTAAGGTTGGTAGAAGCAAAGCAAACGAAAAATCATTAAATGCCGTGTCGCTTGTATACAATGTAAAAAAAAGTGATATACAAGTTAGTACTTCCTATAGAATTAAAATTTATAAGTGGTTTAAAAATTTGTACAACAGTCACTTATGCCAAAAACTTCTTTAATTTGGATTCATATTTTCGTAGACCGCTTATATTTAAGTTGAAGCAAAATGTTTAAGTACAAATAAGTAGTTAAATTAGCAAGAATGGAAGGCAGGAGCATCAAGGAATGCATCCAATAAGTCGTACGGTAGTAACTAAGCGTAACCCGTAAGATGGGTCAAACAATCATAGTTTTTGTTGCTTAATGAATTTCAGGTCGATATTAAGTGACACGAGTGTGATGCGAGAGGCCAGGTGTTTGGGAGACCATTTGTGTGACTTGACCCTTTGACCTCAAATTTCTTCTAACAATACTGTACCGGGTCAAAAAATGCAAACGCTACATTCTTACTACTATTCTTACCTTACCTAATTCTGCATCATATGCAATTAATATATGGCATTTAAATAACGATATTGTACAATATCAATTAATGAGAAATAATTTAATGTGCAAAGGGTGTAGCATATTCTTTGCATGAAACAGTAAGGTTAGAATGGACATAAAGAAACCTTATTTTCATAATGTTTTTATCGCTTCCTAACAAAACTTTTATGAAGATAAGGTTTACCGTATTGTAACAGTATATGACGTTAATATGTGAAGGTTGGAATATAATTTAATTTGCATCTTTCTTTGACAATTTAATTATTTGCTTAAAAGAAGTTGTATTCCAGCCGTTTGGGCAGTAAATATCACTGGCAATACGTGATATAAAATCTGGAAAGATCATGGTATTTCTAAATGTTTATATGAAAAGAAAAAGAAATGAAACACATTACACACAGAAAAGAACGAAACAAAACAAAAAATAAAATTAAAAAAATAGAAGTAAGTTCTCTAACCTGTTTGTTTGTTTATAAGGTTTTGAATCAAGAGGTATTGGATGATAGAGGGAAGTTTGAAGTTTCACTCTGAAAAAATGAAAGTTTTGAAAAGTTGAAGACAAGATATCTGAAGATGTTTGTCTTGCTCGAATTTCGAAGATCCAAAGGTTTTTCGCGCTTGTGACAAAGAATATGATCCGAAATCACATTCATTACCGGCTGAGAAGTCTCAAGCCTAGAAGAACTGCAAGACTCAAGACAGTACGAAATCGTTGATCGTCAGGCCCCCGACCTGGACAAGCCAGTGGTTGGGGGTGAAACTGGTCGAACGTTTCCGAAAAATGTTCAAGAAGCATCGAAATCTTTTATGAGTAGGGAAGAGCGTAAGGTGCTCCAAGGTTTATACCGATCATATTCTTTATCAGTTGATTTGGTTAAATGACATATCCGTAATTAGGTGTTTATAAAATAAATAAACATATAATACCTTTACCCCTATTCCCTCCACCATCCCAAAACCTCCTTATATATCCTTAACGGTGACATCCTATTGTTTTCATTTTGTATAGGTATAAGCAGCGGTCATTCATATTGAAACTACTAATAAACAGTGTTTTTGATATAAATGACTATATATCTCAGATCTATCATTACTCAACCTCTTCAGTATTAATAAATATTAATATTAAAAGTAATTTTAGTATAATCTAGCATAAATGTTTATCTACGAATGGGGAGCCACAGGTTAAAGAACTATATATATATATATGTGGTTTCCTCCCATACGTCGTCAATTCCCTCGGGACCGCCTCCGAGTGGGAGGAGGTTACCTTCCCACTGAAACGCGAAATTTCTATTCTGCCAGAGGCGTAATTAAGAGTAAGAAATATGGAACGTTTTGGTGTTGATTTGTTGTTAAGATTATGGCTGATTGTTATAATAACAGTGAGTTGCAATGCCACGGTATCAAAAAAATCGTATGACAGTCAAATACCGACCCAAGGATTGTACAATGCCAGTGATAATGTAGTTATTTTAAACGCGACTAATTTTAAGTCTTCTGTCTATGGAGATACAAAAGGTTGGTTGGTCGAATTTTATAATAGTTGGTGCGGTTTTTGTTTTCGATTTGCACCTTTATGGAAACAGTTCGCCAATGATATTTACGGTAAGTAAATTATATAAGAGTTATTATTATTATCTACATTGATATATATACATATGCTTATCTTGAATAATGTAGAAAGTGTCTATAGGAATGTTATCTTTAGATTTGACAATCGATAAATTATTCCATATTAAGATAAGCAATGAAATTAATTATATACAAAATTCATTAATTTTTTTTAAGGATGGAGAGATATTGTAGTAGTTGCTGCAATAGATTGTGCAGACGATGATAATAATCAAATCTGTCGTGAATACGAGATTATGCACTACCCATTGATTAAATACTTTTCTGTAAATGCAAATCCATCCTCATTGGGTTTAGTAATGGGAAAATATGATAATGTCGACGAGTTTAGGCATAGTTTAATTGATTTATTAGAAAAAGAACAACAAGAAGGACGAGGTACTTCGTGGCCTAATATTACACCATATAGGTATATTAATTTATATTTATTTTTAATATGTATTTTGCTTTTTATAACTGAAATTAATTATGTGTCTTTTATTATAGAAACTATGAAATAACAAATGTTTGGAAAGGTGTACAGAGTACTGTGAAATATTACTTTTTATTGTTTGAGAAGACAGATTCGCATTTAGGTGCAGAAGTAATATTAGATATGCATAAAATTACAACATTACAAATGAGAAGAGTCTTATCTGATAATGAGTTATTATGCGAAACAAATAAAGTTACCAATTTTCCAAGTTTAATAGCTTTCAGTCGTAATGAAACACAAAAGTTTCTTAAAATTAGGGTACCTACAAGAGAAGGTGTCTTTGCTACCATTAAAGAATTCATGACTTCAAGAGGAGAAAATTTACAACTAGATGAACAAAGCTCTACAAAAAGTCATTCAATAGAAAATGAAAATCATAATTTAAATACAAACAATTCAAAACATTTGCAAGTGACAGCATCACAGAATGCAGAGATAACTGATGATTATTTGTACCAATTGGATTTGGAAAATACTTTGAGATTTTCTATCAGCCATGAAGTTCCATTACATAAAGTAATCAAGGAAGAAAAAATGGATGCATTAAAAAAGTATTTCAATGTATTAGCTGAATATTTTCCTTTAAGACATAGTAACATCTATCTAGAAACAATTCGCGATATTATTAAAAACCGGGACAATATATCTGGAGAGGAATTTAGTCAGATAATAAAATCTACAGAAGAAGAAATGTCTCCAATATATTCTGGGCCACCACAGTGGATTGGGTGCAAAGGGAGTATGGAAGGATATCGTGGATATCCCTGTGGTCTTTGGACAATGTTCCATATGTTAACAGTTAATTATGCTGCTGTAAAAAAGAATACCGAACATGAACCAAGAAAGATATTAGAAGCGATGCATGGATATATAAAACACTTTTTTGGATGTGCCGATTGTTCGCAACATTTTGTACAAATGGCTGCAAAGAATAAAATGTTTGATGTTTCTAACGACAATGAGAGTATTTTATGGTTGTGGTCAGCTCATAATGAAGTAAATGCAAGATTAGCAGGTGATGCTACCGAAGATCCAAAGCATAAAAAGATTCAATATCCAACAGTAGAACATTGTCTGAATTGCAAATACGAAAATGGTACTTGGAATGAAGAAAATGTTTTACATTATCTCAAGAACAAATATAGCTACAAAGAAATAAATTATCATGGGTCAGTTGACGTGCGTAAAGATAACGATAATAAAATGAAAATAAGACAAGAAAGGCTTGTACTTAGTAAATATACAAGCACCAAAAAAATTGGATGGGATTTCACAATTTTTGATATAAGTATCTGTGTCGTGTTATATATTACATCTGCTGTCATACTAATATTAGTATGCATAAAATTTGCAGTAAAAAGAACTTACAGAAAAAGAGCCTATATCAGCTTGCTTGGTAAAGTGTAATTTTTATTTTCATTAACTAAAACTTGTGAATTTTGGAAAACATACGTACAACAGAAACGAATAAGAATGTGATCGAGATACGATTGTATTGTACATATTTTGTTCTCTTTTAATAGATTGCCTTTCTTTTATACATGACTGTAGTGTTGATAGATACATAGCTTTAATTGTTTTCTTAACTATGTTGACTATAGTTGTTCCATGTAAAACATAGTAGTGTATATTTATTTTGCTTATATTTTAATTAGTAAAGTACAAGTAATTTCTTTTTACTCAAACTTTTTTTGTAACTTAGCGTTTACTTGTAGATATAAAGTTTCAGTGCTCAATACAAACATTGTATATTTAAGATTATTGCATTCAAATGAAAAATATACAAAAAAAAACCTTTAAATTTATTGTATTATATCATACATTTATAGTGGTTTTAAACTAGTCTTATCAATGTACAATGCATTATACATAATATTTATTGAAACTATTTACAGTAATGAAATTTATATTTATATGTAATAAGAACAAATTTCACATTTTTTTATTAAATTGAGCTTTCTTTGTGAATATTAAAATTAAATTCTTTCAGTGATGTGCTAAGACATATCTTTTGTAATAATTCTTCACATTTATATGACTTATTCCATAATAAATATTAGTTAATCAATACATGTGTATTTAAATTTATATTTTTGTAAATAATAATAATAAGCTTGATGAACCTTACGAAATTTATTTTGTTTCCTCCATGCTAAAAATTGTTTTACTTCATTCATGTATTTGTGTTGTTCATTTACATGTATATATTTTTTATAAAGAAATGCATTATTTACTCTTACGATTGATATATTGCCATGAACTTGATGTATCCCATATTACACCATTATGTGGTAACTGAGATTTTACATAAGGAATTATCAGTGCTAAATACCAACGATCACCTAATACTTCCTTTATATTTTGTTTCCAACCTAAATTATATGTACATATTTTTTTATTACTTTCATTTGCTACGTTACCATTAAATATTAGACAGAAATGATAAATGCATAAAACCCCGGTGTACAACATTCCTACTGTAGATACAATGTATAAAAGTAGATAAAATTGGTCAATAGAACCATCGAACCCAAAAACAAATATAGCTAAAGGAAAAATAATTTTGATTATTGACATAGGAAATTCAAAGTGTATCCTATCCCAAATGAACAAATTGTTGAAATAAAAGCTATACACTGTTGCTATAAATAAATGCAAAAGAAACATGACAAAATATCGGTGATTGTAATGACCGATACAACACCCAGTAAAAATGCAATGATGGTCCCTCTTTAAAATGCAAACGTTACAAGTTGGGCAATGCCACGAACGTGGAGGTGCAAGAGTTTCACAAGAAGCACATAACCTCCAACCGTCTCTAGTATTTGCAGCACTTATTGGCATAATATCTCTTCTAGTGCTGGTATCACAGAAAATTGTATATGTGAAATTTCCAACAATATTTAACATTATAAAATTTCCAAAGATAAAATGTAAAATAAATAACAAAGTTGCGTATTCATGTATTGCCGGTAATACCACCCATAATTCGAACCAATATAACAGAGGCACGATGATCAATATAAAAATCATGGAAAAGAAGTCACTTAAAGTACGAGGCCAAATCCTTTTTCGAAGAATCATTTTTAACAATTTGTTTTTCACGTACCACGTGATTTTTCTCGGAATACTGACCACTTCTTATCGGTGTGAATACATATATTTACTTCATAACGTTAATCTAAAATTTAATACCACAAATTATTCCTTTTAAATTTTTATATTTTCTGTTATTGTTTTGATATTTTGCATTTTACATACCTTTGGATCATTTTATCAAATCACACGACTCAAATGATTGTTGCCGTCTCCCTTCGATTAGTGGCCGACTTCGCATGGTTTCTAATTTTTTCACGAATATTTCTATAGCACTTCGCCAACTATGGTTTTAGACAGTGCGTGTTTGTCATTGGTTGAATTCTAAATGATAGTTCATGAAATGATGTTTGGAGCGCTTAGAGTATATACGCGCCATAATGCGCGTATGGCTGATGGAGGCGGTGCTACGTTTCGCACGATTTATTTGTGAACAAATTATTTTGAATTGTTGACATAATTGTTAAATGAAAATGGACAACGACAAAAGTACTATGCTCGCAGTTTTGCAACTGCTTAGAAAATACAATTTGAAGGTACTTTACAAGTAATTTCAATGCCAAATACCTTCTAACCTATTGTTTGTATATAAACATTGATATATTATAAGTTATTCACGCGTTATTTTCACAGGGAACGGAAGAATTATTCAAAAAAGAAGCTAATTTGACTGATATATCTGCAGATGATGCTCAACAGACTGATTCTGAAGTTAACAGTGTACTTTCTGCATATAAAAGCGAAGGAGATCCTGCACTTTATGAGAAAGCATATAGCGAATTGAAGAAATTTGTAGAAGGTTCTTTAGATATATATAAAGTAAGTTATTGTATGTACAAATTAAACAAGAAGTATACAGAAATAATGAAGTATAATTTGCTATTAAACAGCATGAGTTGGGTACAATTTTATACCCAGTTTTGGTACATATGTACCTTGAATTGGTTTACAATAATCATTCTGAGGAAGCTAAACAGTTATTGGAAAAGTTTGGTGGAAATCTAGAAGAATATTACCAAAATGACTTGAAAAGATTATCTAATGTAACAAAACGCGAACAAATGGCTGGAAATGAATTAACAGATACCTTTAAGTATGTAATATCAAAGGTTTTTGGATAAATAATTATATCTGGTTCTATAAATGAAATAAAACATTTTATAGGTCCAATCAGTTTATAATCAGAATGTCAAGAGATACTCTTTCAATATTAAAAAGACATTTACAAGAAAAGAAACACAGTGTATTACTAAATATCATACAGGAGCATTTATATTTTGATATGTACGAGGGTGTGGCAAGAAACAAACAACAGATTGATGCTACATCTGGTGCAGTGGTTGGTGAGGCAACAAGACAAGGTAATACCATGGAATGCAATTCTCAAATTCAACATTAATGAGAATTCGGGTAAAGCATGTTTTTCCATTTCAGATAATAAGGCAAAAGTATATTATGGACTTTTAAAAGAGCCAGACATTCAGTGTATGCCTCCAACTGAGGAAGAGGAGGACGATACAGGTGGTGCAGATGGAGATAAACCGAAAAAGAAGAAAGCCAAGAAGGATCCTCTGTTTTCTAAGAAAACCAAATCAGATCCGAATGCACCACCTGTTGGTAGAATGCCTTTACCAAATTTGTAAGGAAATTTCTTAGTAAATGTATCATCGTTTCGTATACGGCAAAAGCAACACAATGTAATTATGTGCAGAAAAGATGCGGATAAATTGGAAAAGGTAAAAGCACTGAGAGAAGCATCGAAACGCGTTGTACTCGGTCCAGACACCTTACCATCTATATGCTTTTATACACTCTTAAACACAGTTCATACGTAAGTTCGCATGAAGATTATTTTGTCGAATTAAAGTTAAGCACGCGTCTAATATGAAACATAGTGTAACAGCGGCTGAAGTAGCTGAAGACTCGAGTTTACTAGCTATCGGATTCAGTGACTCTTGTATAAAGGTGTGGAGTTTAGTTCCACAAAAATTAAGACTTATGAAGACAGGCGAACAATTACAGGACATTGATAGAGAAGCAGGTAATATTCGTTGACTACAAGATTTTCATTACTAACATTTAAACCGTATGACGGTAATTACAGACGACGTATTGGTAAGAATGATGGATGATCGTACAGCGGAAACATCTAGATCTTTATTCGGACACAATGGTCCCGTGTACAGTTTATCGTTCAGTCCAGATAGAAATTTACTTCTTTCTTCCTCAGAAGACAGTACAGGTATAACGTGAAATTGATTACATTTTTATAGCTGTACTTGATGGGTAAATATTTCTAACGCAATGTATTACAGTAAGGCTGTGGTCTTTACACACATGGACTTGCGTGGTATGTTACAAGGGACATTTGTTCCCAGTATGGTGCGTTCGATTTTCACCTCATGGTTATTACTTTGCAACTTCCTCTCACGACAAAACTGCCAGACTATGGGCAACCGATTCCCATCAACCTCTTCGAATATTTGCCGGTCACTATTCGGACGTAGATGTAAGTTCGTCTTGATTATCCCTTTCTAACGTACAACGAAAGACCGTGAATATTTTTCAGGTAGTTCAGTTTCATCCAAATTCGAATTACGTAGCGACCGGTTCCAGCGATATGACAGTAAGATTATGGGACTGCGTAACTGGCAGCCAAGTCAGATTAATGACAGGACACAAAGCTCCGATTTATTCTCTTGCTTTTTCCGCAGAGGGTCGATTTTTAGCGTCGGCTGGAGCCGATCACCGCGTTTTAGTTTGGGATTTGGCACACGGTCATCTCGTTGCCGCCTTGTCAAGTCATTCCGGTACTATTCATTGTTTATCGTTTAGCAGAGATGGAAACTTGTTAGTCTCTGGTAAGTACTATCACCATGATTGCACTTTTTAAAAAATTCAAAGAACTTTCTTATTGAATGATATACATTTTCAGGCTCGTTAGACTCTACTATAAAATTATGGGATTTCACAAAACTCGCGGAAGAAATGAGCCTAGAAGACGTGAACGTATCCCATAATCCAGATGTTAAAACAAACGCGGAAGCGTATCTCCTTCGAACGTTCGCGACCAAAAATACTCCGGTCATGACTTTACACTTTTCACGAAGAAATTTACTATTAGGCGTTGGGATGTTCGAATCGACCTAGCAATCCTAGTCAATTTTCGTGATCGATTTTTACTGATAAAACACGGTGTGGCATTGATTCCCTATTATTGTAATATAACGTTTGTTAATACACTTTTTCACATTGATCATTCGATATGTTTAAATTATACTTACCCATTTCTTGTCGTTAAATAGCACAAGATTTGCTCCATGTTTCTTCCTCGCGTTGAAACAAGAACACCGTAGTTTCTATAACTTCCTATAATAAATGAAGGAACATACCAATCCATTTAAAAAGACAGAGTCAATTCAAAGTCAACAGCACTCTCGTCGGGAGACAAGATGGATGTAATCAATTCAAAGATCCAAGTAACGAACTTCAATTACAACTAGAATATGGATGGACCGGGTACAGGCACCACTTGGTAATCACTGGATTTCACGCATCCATATTCTATTTTCATGATTAAATCAACTTAGAACACCTATCGCAATTGAATCTATTACTTGCATCGTATTGTATTTTCATGAACATTCATCAGATTATCTATCCCATAAAACAATACCATCCACAGGAATTTCCAAGGTATGTAACCATCTGAACAATCTCGACCAAGTGAAATGAAAAATTTCAAAACAAGGTGAAACTGTTTTTCGAATAGATTCTCCCGAAGACGATCAACGGTGATCGGCACCGAGGGTTTCATTTACGAGAAGATATTTATAACTGACCGACATCGCTCTTCAAAAGCGCATCATTCAAAATAAAAAGGTGGCTGAATACTAAGACCGAATGTGCTCGTTAGTTCGAAGGTCGAGCAAGAGAAGGTTTGAATAATGAAATCTGAGCTTTCTGAAAAGGAGCGTTCTCCATTCCAGTTGATTGTATGATACTAGGTCGTTGCGTTCGAATACGAGTAGATCGTTAAAATGTGAACGAAGACGGGTCTTTCATTCATACGGCACGTGCGATCGTATGGAATTTAAGTTTTCCTTAACTGAAAGGCGTCCCATCGCTTATTTCTTCTGGAATTATGTTCTTCTTTGAATCTTCCAAGACCAAAGCCTGGGAGGCTTCGCCTCTGCCACTTAATCTCGACTAAAAAGTTGAACAGAAGTAGAAGATTTAAAGGGTCGCATACAACCAACACTTGATTCACGCGAGAAATTTATTTCCGATTGTTGATACGCTTACTTCTATCACAGCATACAGACGTAAGTTATACGCGCTTTTTTTTTTTTTACCATACGTGTGTGTACGTGGTATGTATGTATGTATGTATGTAGGTAATACCCTCTCTGCATACGTGGCTCCGTGTGTGCGTACGTGAAATGATGGCTTTTTTTTCTTTTTTTTTTTTTTTTTTAGTAATTTAACACTTTCGTAATAGGGTTACAATGTATGCGTTGTCGTTCCCGTCTTCTCTTCTTCGTTTCTTTTCGCATTCGTTTAAACTGATAATCAACTATACATCGATCTCTACATTCCCAGTCAAGCCTCGCGCATCGATATCAAACCTAGGGTTACATGTGTGATTTAACTATATGTTATATCATCTTCGTTAATGTACTTATGAAATCTGGATAGATTTACGTTCTCGCGAGTTAACGCAGGAGTATAGGCTGACCCGGCATCAAATTGAAAATCAATTGATCCGAAAGGAACTGTATCGAGCTATACTCTTACGTTAACGCATAAATGGTGGTTCCGTATTTCTTAGAAAAAACGATGGAATTATCGACGGATCGACGCAGATTACACCGATCGGTTTAATAAAAACGATTCGGAAGGATTTCGTGATAATGCGTTGGTTGATTTTGGTCGTGATCCTTAGAATAAATTGCATATGAATATCGTTTAAACCCGATAATTAATTATAAAAATTATAGAGTAAAACGGATTTAAAAAAACTGACAAATATCGGTGGAAATAATTCTCTTCACTTTTTTTGTTTGTTTTTTGGACTTTTTAAAAATGTTTTCCTCTCTTCTTCTGGCGTGTTTTCTTTCCTCTCTTTTTTCCAGTACATCACAGCGTGTTTCATTTCTTTCAGTTCCGTTTTTCCCCCCGATGTTCACATGCGATTTATGTAATATCGTTTATAGGACTTTGTACTAGGACCGGCCGTTTTCTTTCTTCATCTTCTTCTCTTCGCCAAATTCTGTTCTGCGTCGTTTCTCGTCGTGGACGTTTGTGGCACTCGTTCGGCAACCGACCGTAATAAAAAATTCTCTCCCGATGCAAATTACAAGTTTTTTCCCTACATCGTTTTAAAAGCATATACTCGTACGTATCTCGCATTCTTCTCTTCCCTTAGTTTCTACTATATAGTTCTCTCACGCTCTGTATGCTTCTCGTTTTCACGCGTTGCTTTAAACCTAGAAAAAAAAAAAAAAAAAAAAAAAAAAAAAGAAAACGTGTTCTCCTAGAGCTACTTGATACCGCAGTTTTTATCATGAGAACCATATACACGAGCGTTCGAACTTTTCATCGATTTCATTTACCATTTGTTCGATATAAGTACATGGTTATTTACGTCTCGACAAAAGGTAAATCATCGTCGGAAGATTCGAAGAACTCTGTACCCGCTCGTCCGTTAAATGCCTTCAAATTGGTCTACGGAATTTAATACGATTATTGCGTACATATTTTCACGCGCATTCACGCGCCACCAAATTGGGGAACATTCAGTCGACAGAATACGTCGTCTGGTATCCTTTTACTTTTCTTTCTTCTCTTCGCAAGGGAATTAAAGAGGCCAGCGAGGTAGGCGTATTTAAAAATCCTGTATATTCACACGGTGGTCTCGATATTGGCGATGATGGCGTATTGTCAACAAATACTATCCTTCCCGTAATTCTCCAGATACATCTCCTGCGGTGTGGCGAGGTTGTACCGTCCGCTAAGCCGGCTTCCGGTAAGACCGTTGTTGTGATGGGTGTGATTCACGTGGAGATGGTTCACGTTCAGAGCGACGTTCTTTTTTTTCTTCCGAGCCTTGTGTCGGTACAGGCAGTACTTGAGGCAGCCGGTAGCAAGTAGAAGGATCAAAAATATACCTAGAGCACCGGCGCCCACGGCCACGTAAAGCAACGTCACCCCGAAACGATAAGAACAGTTGGCCTCCTCTTCGTCGAAGCCGGAAGGACAATGACGAATACCGTCGCACCATAAAACTGAACTGATACAAGCCTGGATCTCCGGGCATCTAGGGAACGAATTGAGAAAACGTTAAGTCGAATGTATTCATTATCATACCTATACCATGGAAGATGGTCTGTCTTACCTGTAAGGACAATCTTCATGGGGTAATATCGTAAAAACGTTTGGCCCGACGCTAGGGCTAGGGGATCTCTTGGAAATGGCCATCCACGTAACAGCGTAGAAACCAGGCTCTCTTTGAAGAAATTCCACGACGAAGCTCCTGGAATGTTGCGCCATTGCCACACTGGCGTTCACAGCGCTGTAATTCCATCCCCCGGAGAAGAAGTCCACCGTTCTAGCGGTGTCGACACCACCCTCCGGACAAATTACGCTGCGATCCCTCGTGTTAGCCGCCGAGTAAACGACGATGCGATTCAACGTGGTGCATTCTTCAACGTTGTCCAGAGTGATGCTGTACCCGGTGGTCCTCAAGTACAAATAGTTGATCCTCGCGTCTTCCGGCTCGATCAGCCACGGCTCGTTCACGCACTGGGTCGCGGTTAAGTCCTCCGTGTTGGTAAGGATCTCCTCGACCGCGGCCACGCCAGGAAGAACTCGCGGAAGCGGACTTCGAAGGGATATTTCACCGCTGGTCCCGCGTAAACGGCGTTCCTCCAGTTTCGTGGAACATCCTTGCTCGCTGGTATCCGCACCTAACGGAACGAAACGGTACTCTCCCTCGAAGAAGAAGTCCTTGTAGTCTTGGGTGACGTTCATCAGCGTTACCGTGAACCGAACTTCAACCACGTTGGATGTTAGAGTCCTCAGCAGGATCCTTTCGGTGACGTTCGAACACAGACAGTCGCGGACCTTGATAAAAGAGAAAATGAAGTTAGATTGATCTGTAATCAGATGGTTATTATATTAAAACATATGTACCAGTTCAACCCCTTGCCAGGGATACTCGGCGACGACCAGCTCCGCGGTGCCTATTTTCATTGCGTCGACGACCCGTCGGTCGCAGGTCCACCTATTCACCAACGGGTCCACGTACGAGGAACATCCTTTCTCTCCGAACGAGGCTCTCGTTACAGACAGTTCTATCCTGTGATCTGGCTCGGCCTCGAAACGATACACACAGCTAACGTTTTGCGCACCACCGCGTCCATAGAAGAACACACTTTTCGGCGACGCGAATTTCCCTAACTTGGCGGACGACGAGAATGAAGAGGAGGAGGATAATGAGGACGTGGAAGACGTGGATGATGTCGACGAGGGACCGAACACGTGGTTACACGAAGCCGACTCGTGCACGAACTCGTATCGCAGTACAAAGCTTATCGGATAAAGTGCACTTCCTTGATGTAGAATATGTTCCAGGGTTAGATCCCTGCCGCTGGATACGTAGCTCTCCGCGAGACTGCAAGGCCTCGCGTGACGACTTCCGTTTCGCAGCAGGCTGTGATCGCATAAGCGAGGAGTGTCGTCCTTGCAGAATTGCCCCATCAGTGTAATATTCTGTGAATAAATAATCAATTCAAGTAAAGGAGTTTGAAGGAAATAATCAATTGGACCAGTACCTTACGCATGGAAACTAATTTATCTATCGTGTGATCACCGTCCCATATGAGAAGCTTCGCGTTACAGTCCGAAGCAACGTCGATGCTTGAGGCGGCATCAGCAGTGGCAGCATAATATTTGACAAAGGACAACCAAACGATTTCGTTCGGCTTGCCTTGGAAGTGATAACGGCAGGTCGTGTTTGGAGGTAAGGAGTGCTTAGGATTCTCCACGACACCTGATAAACTTTCTTCGCTGGATATATAAAAATCGCAATTGTTGTTCTCCTTCACGAAACTTCTCGATTTCTCGTCCACGAAGAGCACCTGTAAATCAACGTTCATTTATTGCAATAAAATGTAAGAATAATTTGGACACTGGGACTAGATAATCGGTACCTGAACCTCGAGCTCAAAGCCCGGTAGAAACGACAGAGGAACCGGATGAAAAGGATTGTCGTAGGGGGACGTGTGAAACTCTAGGAGCATCGTGTTGTGACTGCTAACGATATCCGGCACGGCGTCTCCTCCGCAAAGCCTAACCAACACCTTGTCGGTGGTCGAACCACCATCGTACACCGTCAAATAATCTTGCACCACGTTGCATTCATCCCAGACTCTGCGGTAAATAAATTAATCCCTGTATAATTGCAGCGACTCGAGGCTTGGTACATATAGCAAGATCAACGAGAATTGTACCTGAGTATCCTCTGACTGCGATCGTACTTCACGACCTGATCTTTAATGTGTATTTTATGACTGTTCCGTTGACTCACAGCCAGCAAAGGCCGGTGTCCGGGCGGTGCTCGATTCTGTTCCACCCGGTAATAACAGGTCACGTTTCTGGGATAAACACCGGGATAATTCGGCGATTGAAGTCGACAGGCTCTGATGTCGCATTTGGTGAGGACACGGTCGCAGTAGGTGCCGTTCACCAGCTCTCCTCGCCACGTGGACATGCTGCTATTCCCGTATCTGAGATGAGCCTCGCTACGTCTGAGGAACTTGTACGACAATTTGAAGTCGAAATTGTAGCCGATACCCTGTTAATAATCAAGTTGAGTATCAATTATATTCGTAGACACTGGAGGTTTCTTTAATTTATCAATGGGGGTGACCCCGATACCTTTCCATGGTTGTACAGTTTAGATGGAAAGACACGGATAGACTCAGATGGTTTAATTTAACCCTGCCAAGGAAAGAAATCGTTCCTTACCTGCTCGGACAGTCGCAGCAAATACAGCGTCAAATTGATGGAAGGCGTTTCGCTGTAGTAAACAGTGTATCCCCACGCGCTACCGCACCATTGCCCTCCGGTCGCTGGACGACCCTCCTCACGGATGGTCATGTAACCATCCGGACAGCCCTCCGACGTGAACGATGTGAATCGTCCGACGGTGAACGTGTCGAATGTTAGCTGTAATTTCAAACGTATTAAGACAATTATATATTTTTATACTTCATTAATAGAATATAATCATTTGTTTGATTTACTGACATGAAATTGATACAAGACACAAGGTTATTAGAGTGCAAGATTGAAAAACATTGAAGGATCTTCCATTGGGTTTCTATGTTTTAGAAACGGCAAAAGAGTAATCACAGTTTCGAAACTGATATCATTGCATTCCACGCACAGAGAAGCGAGCATTAAAGAAACATATCAAAAGGACAAACACTGAACTAAACAAACTTACAAAAAGAATTTCGAGAGACAATCTATTTTCGCTAAAACACCACACGTGCACGTGAGTATATGTGTATCCTAGTAGTAGACAAGTAAATTATTATCCGCCACTTAGTGTCCATCCACTGCGCCACAGGATCAGCAATTATTTTGTTCTTTTTCTTGTCTCCCACCTGAACTAGGTCTCCTAGATCAGAACCGGCGGCGGTGAAGTTCAGATGGCACAAGAACGGCAGTCGATCCTCCCTTGGCCGACGTACTTCCACTCTGTAGGTCCGGCCAACGTCACCGTACAAGGTTCTATTGCACGCTGAAAAGCCACGCGGAAGGCGTACGATCAAACTTTCTCATATCAAGTGAAAGAAGAAGGGTTGAACGAAAAACTCACGGCTACAGTATCTCGGCTCGTCGGACTTGTCGCCGCAGTCATCTTCGCCATCGCAGTACTTGTCCTGAGCGACGCAGTTCCCGGTGCCGCACAGGTACTCGGACGGCCTGCGTGAGGAACATAAAATGAAATATCTATTTTTCTAAACCAGGCCTGTCCAAGTAGGGTAATCGACTCCTGGAACACATGTTTTGGGTCCCCTTCCAACGCTGCTCCTTCAAGTAAGGTGGGACGGTTCCGACTACCGTCTCTCCGTCCCATCTTACTTGAAGGAGCAGCGTTGGAAGGGGACCCAAAACATGTGTTCCAGGAGTCGATTACCCTACTTGGACAGGCTTATTCTAAACAACCGAGACCGTCTAACGCAAACTGTACCTGCAGACGGGCACATTCTCCAGGCTGGTCGTCGGCGTGGTGGTCACACTCGACGAGGACTCGGACGACGTCAGGCTCGGATAGACCGGGTAACCAGGATATCCGGAATAGTCGGAGGATATTCCAGGATGGTAACTAGCGGAGCCAGCCTCGATCGAGGCCGTGATCGCGGCTGCGATCAGCAGCAACCGCCGACACATCAACATGCCCCCTCACCCTGGAAAACATCAAAATATAATTCTTATTAATTTTGTCCAAAAATTGAAAATAAGCAAAAATCCCTTGGTAGACTAAAGTAACATAGTCGGTTTTTAACGAAGATGAATCCTGGATCCTGTTAATTCTGTTTAACCCTTTCTATTTATCTCTGAAAGAGGGATAAGTTTCCTCATTTCCGTAACGAATAACCAGTTCCCTTAGCTTATCTCGTCCGTTTATCATTTTTCCTGCTGCCTCGGCCGTTTTCGATGACAAACGGACGGAAATGAAGTCGGGACAAAAAGGAGGGTCGAGGAAGGAGATATCCTCGTAAAAGATAAGCGGATTTAAGCGAGAAACTGCGTATGGTACGCGTGCCTCTAAATGCTTCGTATATTAAACCGAAGAAGAGAATCTGGGCCAAAGGCAGTCGAGGAATATGGTAATTTGCCTGCTACCTAACAGTGTCACCGGAACTGGACGGAACTTTCGCGCAAGGTCCAACGGTGAACGTTTAGTGGATCAAGCGATTTTCTAAATTGTCGGTAAATTATGAATGCCAGTCGCGGCGTGGCTGGTCCGACAGCGAACAAAGAGAAACGATATGGGATCGTGGTGCTCGTAGCACAACCAGCAATAACACGGTGACCAGGCACTGTACCCTGATTCCCTCTGAGACTACCGGCGGTTAATTCACAATGAATTTTCGCAAACACGCCGGTTTTCCCCTGGACAATAGAACAAACGAGGTGGACGTTGAACTATAGACCAGCCGGCATGTGAACAGTCCTAGGAATAAATACATAGAAGGTACTCGAGTAACCGTGCTCGCCGTTTCTTAACAAAATAAAAGAACAGAAAATAAAGCCACGGTTGCACGTGGACCCGTGAAGGTAAAGGAGTTAGAGAATCGGTTGCGATCGGTATTCCAGAGTGAAAAACCGGTGTCCCAGCAAGCAACCGGAAAGGAAGAAGCAGCCGTGGGTTAAATTGCCCGCACCGGCATCGAAATTGGGTCGGTGCACGAGAAAATCGACTGCAGATTGAGAGGACCTCTTCGCGGTGGATCAATCCACCCCCCGCCTGGCCTCCTTCTTTTTCTCCTGCTCGTTTCCATCGATGCGAAATTGGGGCTGGTGGCCATCGTCGGCCAAGAATAGGCAAAGGATCGTGGATCGACGATTCCTCTCTCTCTCCTCTCTTGCAGATGGTTGCGGTACCCGGTGGAGATCCACCGTCGGAAAGAATGATTTTGCGTAACAACCGAACACCCTCTCGCTCCAGTTCGGTTGTATACACCGTTACAACGCATTTAGACCAGCTGTGTACAACGGTCTCCACATAAATTGGCCGTGTGTTTTCGCCGACAGCCTCTCGAATCGATGATCGCACCAGCGAATCCTGTAATTGGACCTGCTGACTTTACTTCCTTCGAGATAGCGTACCAGAGCAGAAGATTGATACGCTGAAGATGACTATCGAGTCTTTTATAAACATACCTGGATTAGAATTTTTCAAGATATCCTCCTGAAAGTATGCGTCAAGATTTCCGCAAAAGTCAAACTTTGTCGTTATTCCTGGCAGCGGTGTGCGCCGATAAAAGCTCGTTAATTTCCATGCTGCTCGGCTGCACATTGAAATTCTTGGCCGGGGAAGCGGCAGAAGGTACGGTCGGAAAAACTAGGCAACTCCAGCCTTCTTGCTCGATTCAGTTCCATTAACAATTCCCATCGGTACCCTTTAATCTTCCCCCGAAATAAGGACGCGAAATCATTCCGGGCACGGAGGGTTCGAGCCACCTTCCGGTCGGTTGGCAAACGACGCTCCTCTTTCCGCGTTATTGATCACGCGGCACTATTTTTACGATCAATTCCTGTCGGATCAATATGGACGGTTTCGGTTGCTTGCCAGATAGATAGGATCCTCGGTTGTAATTCAACGAGACCGCGAATCGGTCATCTCGCCTCGGTATCCCTCGTAAATTCCCACGAAGAAGCTACAACCTGTTGCTTAATTATACCTTCTCGCGATCCTCCTCTTTTCATCTCGATTGGTATGCAAGCCTCGCAAATCGATCGTTGGTTGAACCTGGTGCTATCGGCCTATACGCGATCCAAAGAGTCCCGTGGTACTCTGGCTCGCTTTCAGTAGTTTCGTCCTTTGATCAGGTGGCTCGAAAAATTCACCTATGCTATCCTTGCTCGAAGTGAATTGGGATCGACTGGCTCGGGAAGCATTACATTCGATCCTCGACAATGTCTATCCAGCTTTAGGCTCGTCACTTTGTCCGCGAGTCGTGTGTACGGCTCGTTCGTTGAATGCAACCTTTCGATCGGACAGGGAAAAGTGCCAGGAAAAAGCGACGATTACCAAGGGTATATAAGTGATACAACAGGCAGATACGGTAGGAGTGTAGAAAAAGCGAGGGAAAGCTTGCGGATAAGTCACTTTCCACACGAGAGATTTCATAACGAGGTTCCTGCCGGTGTACCGCGTGGGGCAACAGCAATAACGCGATATTAAAAATTACTGGTAATAAATAAGGCGGAAATTGCTGCGCGGAAGATGGAGGATTTTCAGAATGTATTACGGATCTGCAGTGGATTAAAGAGGAGCTTCTGGAAAAAAAATAGAGAGAAGAGTAATTAGCACCTTTGATTACACCACTGGGCTCGTGTATTAAATAGAGTCGTTATTTTCGAGGATCCAAGGATCTTATATGGACCCCTATGGACGTCATATTGTACTTACTTACTGGGGTTTGATGAGGAGAATGTATCAACCAATAGTCAGACATGCAGTGTCTTCTAAATATCAGACCTTCAGTGACCATTTGATATGCAACACCTGATATATAACAAATGAAACTTTAAAGAATGAATAGATTTAATTGAATACAAACCAAAAGCGTACTCTTGAAAGAGCAGGGAGAACATAGGCAAACAGGAGGTCAGTGTCCCTTGTTGGTTTTGCAAACCGAACAACCATGTGGATTTTTTTATTGCAACCAGGCGATTTCTATAGATTCCTCGTTCCCTGCTATTCGACCATACATCCCCTCGGGTGTTACGAGACAGATGCAATGTGTCTACCTATTGGCGGAATAGGAACCTGCACATATGCGATCGAACCAAGTTGGACGTTGGCAGGGAAAAGTGCCAGGAGGTACTGAAAAGGGAAGGAAATAAGTGTTGTACGTGATGGCGGTGACGGTTGCCAAAAATCAAACTTTCTGGACCGTGGAAAAGCTCGACGGCGAAGGACTTACCGGAGGCCTCTAAATAAAACGGTAACGCGCAATTTTGCGATATTATATTCGACGGACGGTTTTCAATTGTGCATTAGTTGGTTGGCAAACGAAATATCCCCTCGGTTGATTAATATTTGCCCGAAAGCCCGGCTCGTTTTGCTGCAGCAAAAGCGAGGTATTTAATTACATCCTATGGCCTGGGTCATTAAATAAATAAAACGCCAGCAGCGGTAGCAGCACCGGCAGCCAGAACCAGATAAAATTTTCATCCTCGATACGAGAAACGATATCAAAGAGGATCAAAATTTCAATGCTTCTTTGGTTCGACCGATTATATCGTTATCCCTTTTGATAACAAAATACATGTATTTCTTGCCCAGCCTTAGCTCTTTTACCTTTTCAAATTACCAACATCCTTTTTCTCTTTCTCCGTTCACTTGGTTATTTTAAATGAAACACGTTCGCTATTCCAGAGCACCCTTACATCGGTTTCCACGGTTACATTATTTACTGCCTGTCTTACATTATTTATCCACGGTTCGTTTTTCATCGTCGAGGACTAATCGATTGGCCAGTCAAAGTACAGGCAATCTCGGTTGATCAAACATGGCCCAGTATCGTATCCTCTCTTCCTGTAGCAATAGCTGAGTAAGTAAACCGTAGCTGGCGCGACCTGGCATCATCAGGATTTTATCTGGCTGCTAATTTTCTTTCCATCGGTTCCACGGTGACGTTGGACTGTAAGAAATTAATTTATTCAACACCAGTGTATAGCACAGGAGATTCTGATGAATGTGCCTTTTCGTACCCTTTAACGTTCCCATTTTCTACACTGTAGATTCGTTTCGGATAGTTTTTTTTCTTTCCTTTGTTAAAGAAGTAGAGATCGACGTCGTTCGAGGATAACGAGAAAATGTGAAACACGATTGAAGTACGAATCATCGTCGAGAATTGAATTTTCGCCTAAAGGGCGTGCCAGAAATTGAAACTTAGAGAATTTGTCCCCTGTTATTAATCTCGTTGTCGAAGTTTCAGTTCGGAGAGGTTCCCGATAATCCGATACCGACACTCGATATCGTGTTACACCGTACAAATTGAAAAATTACTCCGGTTCGTTGGAATTTTGAAATTCCAAGGATTCCATCTTGTCTTCTATCGACCGGCCACGACGGTTCTCACGGGTCAATGAAAACGGTGTACCTGTTTCTCATCCAAATTCTTTCCAACGTTCTTCCTTAGGGGAAGCTAAATGTTATCTTATCCTCCGGTCGTATCGAACCGCAGAAGCTGGATTCCGTGATCGAAATCTAAACAAAAGTATCAGCTCAGCATGTTCTCGAGTCGATTCTGAAATTTATGCGATGGTACATTCATCACCGCGTTGATTCCACCAGCCACGGGGTTTCAACCCCTCTTTTTCAATCCTCGTTTCCCTGCAATTTATATCGAGCCACGTAAACATATCGTGATCGTACCGACAAAACAAACACATGTATTACCCGGGGCTTGTCTATCAGAAGCTGGATAAGAGCGGCTGGCGCGACCTGGCATCATCAGGATCTTATCTGTCGTTGGTAATCTCGCTCCATCGGTCTGGTATCCCGCTTCCGTACACGCGTCATACATCACCAAACCAGCCGTGGTATAGGTATACCTAAAGCCCTGACGTTTAGCTTTTTGCAGGAGCGTCAGCGGGAACACACGTACTCGCGTGGCTGCTGCTTCAATCCATGCTCGAGCCAGGAGTCTCCATTATATATTTCCTCCTTCTTCCTCTTTTCCTCCTTTTTTTTTTCTTCTCTATTCTCCACTTTTCCACTCTTCTCCCGGCTGTTTCGCCGGTACCCACGGCCTCGTCGAATTCAGAGGCCTCATCCTTTCGTGCGGAAAAGAGAGTCGGAGCCAGGGAACGGGCACGTGAACGAAGAATACCGCGCGATTGTTAGGCGTCCCCGATTAATCTACGACTTCTTTTACTCTCCCTTCGTCCCCTATCTCGTCCTACCCCCCTCGTAGTCGTCATCCTACTCCTCTGTATATCGGTGTAACGGTGCTCGTCTCTCCTCGTGATTGCGACCACACAAAGACACACAGCCTCCACCTCTTGCAAAGGACGCACTGCGAATACGGTGTGCTACCCGGTAGATATAGTTAACCGAGTGAATGTGGGTGTCATCGACAGCGGCGACTAGCCAGAGCTCCTTTTCTTCTCGCAGAGGGTAATCAAAGTACTACCACCATCACCGTAGCTCTCATCTCGAGAAATACTGGAATGGAGGATTGATTGGCCGAGTCCCGTTGATTGTCGCCGTGTCGTCGAATCAATCCGACTTTACTTCTGATATATAATTTTCTTGGCAAATTTATTTAACTTGCAACGCGCTGGCTCGACAGCTTTGCCTTAGAAAGGGTTGTACAATGACCTCGCTAAGTTCTGAGATTTGCAGGATCTAAGGAAATGTATAGAATCTAAAAATAAAATCACCGATAGGAAAGGATTAAAATATGGATTTTTGCATGGATCTTTTACCTCGCCATTAGAGGCATCTCCTGGGCAACGCATAAAGCCTCGAGCAACGGTTCCACAAATTTTCCTGCTCCTACTTACAAACCGCGTACCATGATTTACGGTGGAAAAAAAAGATAGAGGAGACCAGTGGCGAGGAACATTTTAATCAGGATGGAACAATTTTCTGGCATCCAAGTTCTACACGAGATGACGCACATACAACGTAGCTGTTTCATTTTTTCTTTCAAGCGTCCTATCTGAAAATCAGTGGCAAAGCTCGACAAATTGAGGAGTGCAAAGAATTAACGGTAGAGAGGTAAAAATTCATGCTCACCAAATATTTCAATGCTATGACGTCGACAAGTGATGCATAAAAATGAGAGTTTCAATTATAAATAAAACGTTTTCATTTGACTTCCACAAACCAGTACATTGGATATTTTCGATCCTGTTTCATCGTTAAATGTAACTCGGTAAATTTACCTGAGCTACGGTGCACTTGTCACCTGTATAGGATTAATATTCGTGCAGGAATCGTGCATTTATCCAGGAAAATTGTTTGCCAGGGTGTCGGCCAGGGCCCTAGCGGAATTTACAGCCACCCCTGTCGTTCTTCAAATAAACCCCGCCGAAAAATCAATGCGCAATCACGAAACACCGCTACAAAATCCGGTCATAGCCGACTTCATAAACGTATCACGGTACCGTGACCATCGTATGAAATGTGTTTCTATTATTTCCCAGGAAATTAATCCGAGTAATCTGGTCAAGGTCCCAGACGAATCGATAAAAATGCAAAGCTTAATTTGAAATCATAAAGAGAGAAAATATAAAGTGGAACTATTATTATCATTCCATACTGAGAATTAATTAACTTCTCTCTTTCTCGTTCGTCCTGTCTTCTTCCTCATTTCATACCTGCATACATACATATGTTCGAAATGACTAAAGGAGTACGGATATTTGATTAGTAAAAAGACAAGTGGCCTCGTTTGCCCTGTGGTACAAAAGCCTCTGTAAAATGATAATAAAAATCAGCAAACATACCTGGCAGAGTAGTTTTTCAGTATAATTCGTTTTTCATCGGCATTCCACGAACCGTTCTAACGTTGAGCGGTGAAAATTAAAATTTACCGTTACTCCTTTGTGTTTCGTCCGATTCATTCATTTCAAAACGCGCTGCTCTGCCTCGAATAGAATAGGATCCCTGTACATATATTCCTCTCTCGTCTCCGTAACCTAGAAACCGGTGTGCAGCGTGGATGCAAAAACGGGCAGACGAAGTATTCTTAGGAAAAAGGGAAATTAGCCAATCCAAGAAAAGGGTTCCGTCCCTCTCCGCGCGAGACATTATCTCGGCTACAAAGGGGTTGACAAAGCGTGTCTGTTGTTCGTAGATGAAAAATTTCTAGACCATCCCTCATAATCAAGGGCATAACTAATGGACTCACCGACAGCCTGTGCGTTGCCCTGTCCGACACAGAATGCGCATTGCACACGTGCCCCGTAGGTACGTGTCTCTTTTACCGACCGAAGTCAATAGTTTCTCGTTATTTCGAGAGCAAGAAGCGCAAGAAGGGACGAATGGAGAGTCTTGTAACTTTATCAAACTCCTCGTAAATATTACAGTTCGTATCCGTGAATATCGTGGATCAATAATACTTATTCGAGGTGCCGGTGCAGGGGATAATTAAAACGGGAACAGTGACCTGACGTCGGCCAAAGATCGTTGCCCGATAATCGGAAATTTCCATTTATTTCTGGAATAATTATAAATGCATACAAAGCGCAACGTCGATAGAGATAATTCTATTATAATTTTTTATGTTTATTACCGTTCTAACCAAGCTCATTAAAGCATCGATCCGATTATAATTGATAATTTGATCATTGAAGTAACTAAGATTTTCATCCTAGGGCACCCTAGGGGGGCGTCTGGTAACCTAGCTACGCCGGATGTAAGGAACAGGTGGAACAGGTGGAACAAGATGCAAGGAACGGGACGACGGAACGACGCCATTGTTTTTGATTCAATCGTTAAAAAATAAATCGTTTTAAATATTGTTCGTATTTGAAAACGTTTGAAGACGTGAAGGAAAAAATCTTGAAACATTGGTGCTTCTGGGGCGTCTCAAGATCGACTGAAATATGCAGCAGGTGAGTGGAAGCGAGGAATAAAGCGGAAAAAGGGACGGAGTGATAAGAGATTTTAGAAGGGTAGGAATAAGAGGCGAGAAAGAAGGAGAACAGTTAAAAGGAAGTAGAGAAGCACCGGTTGATTAACTTTTCACTTGGCGTTATTGCTTTGAAACGTTCTCAACCTTGCGAGTGGCGTTTATAAGTTGCTTTCGAAAAGTTGCGTTGAAACATCGTTCGATCAATACGCGGCCAACACGGACGGTTGATTTATCGTTTAACAGCATTATATATTTTAAACTTCCCAACGCTTTCAGTCGAAAATATCCTACATGCTTACACCGCGTACGTTTATCGCCACGCCAGCACCCTCCGCCCTCTACTTCCTGTGTAACTTATCCACGTTTATTTTAACGTTTTACTAATTCAGAGGCTCGGGTTATTGTATTAACCCGTTTTTTCCAACATTTTTCCCAGGCACGTATCTCGAAACTGTCGAAAAAATATGTTCCACTTTCATTCGTACAAATCATCGTGAATCAAGATTTTTTAATTTTTCAGCATAACCTGTACCAGTTAAAAAGGATATCATATTCTGCGGAGGTAAAAATGTTATGAAAAATAGAGGGAGCTCGAACACGAATGCCGTGAACTCGAATTTATGCAATATTCAAAATCTGTTTTACAAGTCGCTTAAAATACAGTGCGAGTACCGAACTCGTCCTGTATCATACATACATGCATACGTATACGTTTCTACATACAGTTTTTATTTTCTCAGGTAAAAAGGTAAAGAGGACGGCCGAGCGCAAGGGAAAGGTCGCCGCAGTGAAAAGTTGGAAAATTTAGGTTGACCTAATCGTGGACTAAATTATTAGAACACAACTCGTAAATACAATGAGAAGAGGATTTATTAATATTTAAAAGGTATCCATCATTCATGGATAGAACAATTCGCTATTATGCTAATGTACATATGTCTTGTAAAAAGGTGAATGCAAAGGTTTGGGGAGCATGAAAGATGAGGACAGGCGGTGCAAGCCGAGTACCCTCTTGCCCCTGTGTGTCATCCCGGTGGCTAACTTTCCAGTTCTGCAGTGTACACGTATCTTGCTGGTTGAATGCGAACGGGAGAATTCAGAAACGCGAAATAATCCCTTGTTTTATGAATCCAGCAGAGCGCGGGTACGTAGATACGCGCGTACAGGTATACGTGGACGTCGAAGTTAACGAAGAGCTTGTAGGGGAACAAAAGCCCGTTGTTATCCGGGAAAGGGTAATTGTTCGATCCGGCTAGGTAACATCAAATTTCTGTTTGCGAAAATCTATAGCCATTTAGCTGCCGAATCCCGTTGCCGCTATTATCTTTGGTTAAATATGAAATATAACAGGAGCCGAGAGAATCGCTGGGAAGAATAACGAAATGATTAATTCCTCTTGAGCGATTCCTTTCAAGCAATGCCCGCTTACCCATGGTGCACCCGGGTGACACGATACGCGCGACAGGGAGGAGGAGATCGGATGGCAGGTGACGGCTGAAATCATTTTTAAGCGATCTAATTCTTTCACGTTTTCCTTTTCGAGCGAACAATGATTTATCGCGTCGTAAATTTTTCAAGAGGATTTCATACAAAAGAGAAGTTGGCGAATCAGGAAGAATAGGAGGAAAGAAGGATAGAGTGGAGATAAAGAAAGAAAAATAGAAACTGAAACGAGAGACGGCGCAGGTTGTAGGGAACGGCGGGCGGGTGAGAGGCGTGCCGCGAGAAATGTAGAGCAGAAAATGAAAGCCGTCGATGTGGAAACTAGAAAAAAAAAAAAAAAAAAGATGTAGATAAATGAACGAATAGATAAATGGACGTAGATCGGCAACCAGATAAGCAGATGAACAACCGGATAAACCCTTCTATTTTTCGTTCGTCTCGATAACGAAAAATATATATAGACAGATACGAAACAGGGATGTAAAGAATAGTAGCGAGAGAATGAGGAAGAAATTGTCGAGAGGAGAGTACTGCTAATATCCTGGGGGCGGTCGTGGGATAGGGTGCACCTGCGCGTATGACAGATACGCCCCTGGCATAAAGGCGACATTTAGGTCACCGGCTTTTACCGCGGCAGACTACACATGCAGAGACCGGCCTTGCCAATGATCGTTTTCACTACTAACACCAACGTTCCAAAGAATTTTCAGACTCTGTATTATCCGTTACCGTTGGAAAATTAATCCTTCTGCAGAAGCGTGCGCCTAATTTTCCTCGAACCATCATCCTTGTACATCTCTCTACCTTCGTTAAAAAAACTAATCGTCGAACAACGTAAGAAGAATATCACGATGGGTAAATAAGAAGAAATTGTAACGCCAATCGATTCCATTTAACTAATGTGCACTGATGCACATATAATGTATAGCACTTTGAGCAGAGTAAACGGTGGATGGAAAACTCCCATCCATCAGAATGCATGCATATAGCTTGGTCGTTCTACGTATTTAACGATTGAATGCCATAGTTTAATTATGAAGCACTTTACCATCGAATAAATCACAAAAGGATAAATCTTATAAAGATCGTTCATCGATATACTCCTCTTCTTGACAGGCTGAATAATGTATCGCAACGAGGTACGGTAAACAAGACGTGAAAAGTAAACGGGTCAATGTGTATACACCCTTTAATATGGAAAACTGCTTCTTTCAGAGGATATTACGATTGATGGAATCAAGTGCATCGAGATGACCTAAAATAAAATTCATTCTTATCACCGACGTCAGTGGATACCGTTTCGAAACTTTTCCCTTTGCCACCGACTGTTTAATTATTATGTACCTTTATGTTATGCAAATACCCATTGTTCGTTTGCTTTTCCAGAAACGAAAGTTCTCGCCGAGGTTGAGTTGTGACCCACTCGATCCAGCGGTTTGCACCCGTTTAACATTGTCACAACTATTCTGTCATCGAGGGATGAGTTTACCAAGCGACAATAATTTGACAACCGTGCACCGAGAAGCGACGCGTAGCACATAACAAGGGGAAAATTATCGTCCTGACGCCAATTTCGATCCTGACAAGGCACCGCCACCGACGCCAGTGTACTTCGGTTCCCTAAGCCGAAGACACTTCCGCAAGGTAACGACTGTTCTGTATCTATGGGACGTAGTAACTGTTCGACATTACCATCTAAGACAACGTAACTCGTTAAATGAACATAATCTCACCTCCTTTTCCGGCAACTCGGTGACAGGATATCGGCGATTCCTTTGCTCTCAAACGAACAAGTTGAATCTTCAGAAATTTCACTACTTTATTTTGGGAATCCAAGGAGGACCGATAGAGAAGTTTGCTTCGTCGACTAAAGGAACCGAAGGAAGTCCATCCTGGGCATCGTTTAATGTTGAACACACAGCACGATACAGGAAACTGTCTCGACGGAAATACGAAACAGGTAATCGACCGATATATAGTATTATTGATTATCCGTCTATCGCGCGGCGAAGCGAATTTCGATATCTGAAACGTCTCTCTGGCGAGCATTGAAAAATGAACTCGGTCCAAGGGATGAGAATAGTTCGAGGTGCGTAAACAAAATACAGGAATGGCCATTTTGATATTAATTCTTAAAATAACTCTATGATAAATTGAAATCATCGCAATATTATTGAACGGAAGTTGAACCTTGCCGCGATTTTACTTAAATGTAAATACAGAACAGTGAGTGTTGCAACGTCAAACGTAGACTTGATTGAACGTACACGTCAAAAAGAAGTTGTAATCACCGAGGCTTTGCGAATATTCAAAGCGTCAAACGACCGAAATATTTTCCCCGAAGAGGAAATATTCCGTGGAAAGTTGAATACGACGCGGTACCGCGGGAAAGGCGTACACGCAGCCGGTGTTTAACAAGGGTAGAGGGAGGCATATCGGAAAATGTCGACACGATAGAAAAGAGAGTATCGCGGATAATGGGGTGGGTGTGTATCAGTCTTTGCGATAAGTTATTGCTGAATCAGTCGTTGTTCCATAGCGGAAGCAATCCCGCCAAAATAAAGGCAAAAGCATCGTCTGCAAAGTTCTGCTAGAGTGTCGAGTTACAATTTTTCTTCTCTTATTTTTTTTATATATACTGCTTTTTATCTCTGCTAAAAAATAGCGAGTAATTTCAATCGGTCGAAACGAACTCTTCTTTTCCCATAGTTTTTATTTTGTTTTATTACTTTCTAAACGCACCATTGAAATGCGAATAAATATCGGAATTCTCGTCGTCGCCAAATCCTCGATGTTTTGCTTCGACTGTGATCGGTTACGATCGTATATTAAAAATAAAAAATAAAATAAAATGAAGGGGAAAAAGCGCTCCTACGGGAATCGTCTCGCGGATGAAAGGCTGGTAGTGAATAAAAAATCAGGCAGGAATTCGGATGACGAATCGCGGTGGCGATCCATTATAAATAAAGAGCGAGGCAAACAAAAACCGCCGATGTATGTGTGCATGTTTTTTTTTCTCGTTGACCCTCTATAGATAGATTAACAAATTAACGAACGTTCGAAAAAAGCGAGGCAAAGCAGGTCACTTTCAATCAACAGCGTCCGCTACCCGTCTCGTTCTCTTTCCCCTTTCTTTTTGTTTCGAACGCCAGAAACAAGTGTGCCGTTCGTTTTTCCAATTTGCCATAAATTCTGAAAAAAAGGTTCGACCGTCGGAGGAGGAGGAGCGGGGAAGAAGGGACAGAATTACCCAGTCTTTTTTTTTGTCAATGCGTTCGTACGGTATTATTCAGGACCCTTTGTAAAAGGGCCAGCCGAATCGCAATGATAAATTCGAAGCGTAACGCGAATAATCGTCCGTACGAACAAAAAGCGCGTCCAGGACAAAAGAGCGCGAAACTCGAAGGGATGGGGGGTGGAAAAATAATCGCGATAGCTCCTCCTCCATCGGTTCCGGGACGTTTAATTCGCGGCGAGGATAGAGCCGGAAGGGCAGGGGAAAAACGAGAAAGCGAGGCCGGAGCGAATTAATGCGAAAATTTAATGCAGCTGTCACGTGTCCGGCCGTTACTAAATCTACCTGTAACGTCATTAAATCGGCGCTACCTGAATGTACGCGCGTTTTGTTTCCACCTACGCCGAGCGTATTGTAACGCGCCACCCGTTTCACACTCGCTAATTGTAATAATTTTCTCGCTCTCAAGCGTAACGTAGAAGTCTAAAGTATCGTAGACGAAATTTCAGGTATTGTACAGCTCGTTTCAAGGCTATGAACAGCGACTAAATCGGAGCCATAATACAGGGTGTTCGACAACAGGTGGATAAAATTTTAAGGGGTGATCCTAGGGATCAAAATAAGACGAAAATCAAGGATAACGAAATTAGCGTTTGCGGCTTTGTTTTCCAGTAATTAACGTTTAAAAATTCGAGTAAAAAGCGCCTGAAACCTGCAACCCGCCCAACACCTGACGTTCAGTCGTCGGTGCTGGGCGGGTTGCAGGTTTCAGGCGCTTTTCACCGACGCTCAGTCGTCGGTGCTGGGCGGGTTACAGATTTCAGGCGCTTTTTACTCGAATTTTTAAACGTTAATTACTGGAAAACAAAGCCGCAAACGCTATTTCGTTATTCTTGATTTTCGTCTTATTTTGATCCCTAGAATCACCCCTTAAAATTTTGCCCACCTGTTGTCGAACACCCTGTATAAAGAGCCATATCTCTAAACTATTTGAAGATAATAGCTTGTTGGGCATTATTAAAAAGTACGAAGATTATATCGGTTAATCGAGTTTATATTTGATCCAGTCGTTATAAAGTGCTCCAGAGGAAGTACGATGAAGGTAGTAGACAGAAAATTGCGAGCGGATATATCCGTATCTCCCCGGTAATTCGCGCGGCTGGGGAAACTTTGAAATTATTTAATTAGAAATTCTTGTTGCCGGAAATTTTACACGTACCCCCGGTGCATAAGTACGGAAACTAAATATGTACGTTGCGTTAAGCGGTTGCGGATTTGAACACTTCAAGTCCCGGTTCATCCAGCTCTTCCAAAGAATTCGAACCACCCTTTTCGTTGCGCGGCCGTGTTTCGTGCAATTAAAAAGTTTGCCGCATCCTGTGCAGGATCTTCGTTTTCTTTTTTGTAAAAAGATAGTTATCTTGATTCCGAAATGGTATCCGTATTATCCGTATCAATCGAGCCCGGATCTATGGAATCCGGCTTCGGCTTCCGCTCGACATTGTTCCTGATCTTCTTGGTGGCTCGGCAATTATGCGAGGAGATACATAATTTCGTACGAGGAGAAAAGCCACAGGCTCGACGCTGGTCTGCCAGCTTTCTTATTTATTATATGGCTGGTCGAGCCGAGACAGCGACGAGTTAAATTGGCCGATTTCCGGCGCAGGACAACGACCAACCGAGAAATTGTATTAGCAGATTAGCGAGAATCGCGTCCTGATATACGGCCAACGGTTTCTCTCGTTTTACTTTTACATTCCAATTTCATTCGTGATCGTGTAATTGTAATAATTCCACGCGCCAGTGTCCCCTTTCCCTTAATACTCTCGAGAGCACACGTTCCACACAGTTGCGAGGGTGTAATTATATTTTCGTTCAACAATTTCGCTGCTGCGTCCCCGCGCAGATTGAAATTCGCGTCGAAAGAAAAGCTTGCCAAAAATTTCGACCGCTATATTGGCTGGCAGAAACGAGAAAGATTTGGAAAATTAAGCTGGACTAACTCTTGTCCTCATCAATGATCGACGAGCCATGAATTTAATCGAATTAAACGATAAAAATGCGATAAAACGAAAAGCAATCTATTCGACGATCTCGTAGAAGATAACCTCGGTTCCCCGGTGGATTTTCAACGAAGCTCGCATGCGAAAAGTCGTCGCGAAACGTATTCCCTATCCAATGATCTTGCCGATACAGTCCATATGCAAACGGGACGATGAAGTTTGTTCGGATCTCTTCCATCCAAACAACACGTACACGCGTGCAACGATGCAGAGTGGATCCCTGCGGTACGTAGACGCTCGGTTTACTCTCGGTCGAGTCCCTTCAGGAAGGAGGAAAGGCAAAACATCGTGAGAGGATACATATGTTCCGTGCAAGCGGCCGGTAATCGATCATGGAAATTCCGTAAAAAGTACTAGGATGTGTCTGTGCCATCGGTCTCCGAGTGTCAAACGAGAATTAATAGTTCGCCGGAGTAATGTACAATGTGTACGGGCCTGGTACACGATGAATAAAGATGAGGCCGCGGACGAATCGCTTCATCGACGTTCGCCATAAACAAAAGAGCGAGGAGGAAGAAGGAAGAAAAAAAAGAAATGGAAGAAGAAAAGGGGTTGAGAAGACGCGTCGGCCGACAAAAGGTGGAGAAAAAGAGATTAATAATCGGGCCGGGGTCAGGCGGCGGCCTCCCGGAGGGCGGGCACGAGGGAAGGAAAATTTAGCCCGACATTTTTGAAATTCTAATTTCGTTGAAAGCACCTCCGAACCTAGCGGATTTTCATTTTTCCGCCTCTCCCTCTCTATTTCCTCCTCCAGTACTCTGATCTGCTTCCGCTTTCTTCCTCCTTTTCTTACACGGAAATAAATAAACGCTTTGACGAGTTCGTGGGACCGCTAAAAAGATTAATGAGAGAAGATCGTTTCCGGGACTTCAATTTTATTAAAGGAGCTTCAAAGGGAATCCCTCGATACGGTGTATCCCTTCCTCGGCTCGCGGTACCGACAGATACGCAGAGGGAGAGGAAAATGAGAGGGTCGGGACTGCGAAAAGATAAGCGAAAGGAAAAGAAACCGAAATTTCCTTCTGCTTCCCGTATTTCGTCATAATAATGTTTCATAATTTCCATCGTGCCACGGGGACTCGTTTCGTCATCCCTCCGCTCTACAGACGCCCCTTTACGACCCCGTAAAATAACACAAGGTGGTGGATGTCCGATACATCCTACTGTTGAAAGAGGATACATGAAATTGCGATTGTAGAGCGTGAAAGGTAAACTAGAAAGGATAGGAGGACAAACAACAAGGAATCAGAATGATAAAGGATAGGATGCTTCCTGTACGAATCGACTCGGTTCGACAATTGAAGAGAAACTTAAGAAGAGCGATACTCTGTCGATACAGAGGGCAACACTGAACGCGCTCGCGGCGAACCGTGAAGTTTCCAACAATTCCCATTTTATCCTTTTCAAATTCCACCGTGTCGCCTTTTCTTTTCCATCCGGACGCACCGTGTGTACGTAATTCCCGTACCCGCGATACATCCTTTGTTCCTGTTCCCGTATCCTGCCTGCTGAACCCGTCACAAAGCTACCTTTAGCTTTGATCGCTACAGTTCCGCCAACTTTCAACCTTTCATACTTCTTCGAACTAGAATATCGTTCCACGAGTGGATTTTGCGAAGCACTTAGAACCTATCTAAGTCCTAATTTAACTTTCAACGTTGTACATGCCATAAACAATCTTAACATTAGTATATACGTTAATCTGAACAGCTTTGATGTCGCGAAATTCCTGAATTTCCCGCCAGATGGCGGAGAGAAGCTGGCATTCTCGCAAGTACTCTAACGCTCTGCCATCCACTCGCTGGTGTTAACAACCGATAAGTGCTAATTAATCGATATACACCATGGAAACATGGAGCAGCAAGAAAGAGCGAGAATACAGCAAGGGAATTAATAAGCGATCCCGGTTCAGAAAGTTCCTAGTCCTTTAAGCACATCCTGACTGCGTGACGGGGTGCAGCCAGTATCCCGAGGACGATGCACACAGAGCCGGCGTCCATTATACAAAGCTGGTTCGAGAAGTTGAAGAAAAAGAGAGAAGAAAAGACAGAGGAAAGGGGGAAACAAAAAATAAAGAAAAAAATAAGAAAGTTTCCATCTCGCACGAACATATTCTCGCTCTCCCTTCTCCTTCTCTTGGCGAAGATTTACGCCTGGCCGTCTGTAATTTAATACAGGATACTTTGCTGGAGTTCCTTCGAGAGTTACCTGTTCCGTTCGCGAGCGTGCGCGCGCACGAACCTCGCCGAACGTGAGCGGACTTAGTGTCCCGGCATATCGTGAGAAAAGAAATAAAAAGGAAAGAGCGAAGAAGGCGTGACGGGGTGAGAAAGAGGCGAAATGCATGGAAGCAAAGCCAGCTTGTGCAGCTCGCGGTATCGTTATTCACCGGCCAGCTCGAACATCTAATTACGATGAAAGAGGCTGTCCACGTACCGCTGGCTCGATGAAAAATTCAATATGAAACTGTAATCGAGAGGGGGAGGATCCTGTGTCTCTTTTCCATGGATTATTATCAGTGACCCATTCTTACTCTCGCCCCCATTCATCCACTCCTTCCCTGTGATTTATAATCCGGGCCAGCAGTAATGCTCGTCGGCTGAATAATTTTCACCGACAGTCTCTGACGTACGATATTTTCCCGTTCTCATCGATCTCCAAGTGTCAAACTGATATTACGATTCGGGCCCGATGGCGTATCGTGGCTAATCATGATCGCAGACCTGATTCTAGGTGTTCCAGTTGTTTCGACAAACTTGATGAAAAAAAGATCCTCGACAGTCCGGTCACGGTTCAGCTGGACGCTGGTAATAATTTGTGGAGGACAGCATCGGAAACAGTCGGTACGTCTGAATCGCATATCCAGTCGAAATGGCCGGATACGAATCGGGTGTCAGTTCTGGGAATCCGAACGGTCGATTGGTCGATTATGCATGCGGTAATAGAGCGTCGCGTAGCTGTGAGAATCCGTTGTGTATCGGCCAGTTTCGAGACGTGTCCAGCAGAGGCTTCTACACAGCCACGCTTCAGGATTTGCCAGAGGACACGTGCCCGTAGCCGTGGAATTAACACCGTTCAATCGGTACACGAATGGAAATCTTCAACTTCCGCTTCTTTCGCAACAGCTCAGACTATGGTGTGTACCTTAATTAATGGTATTACTATGGATTGCTATCATCAATCATAATCTATTTTATAACATTCCATGTGTCTCCTTCGTGTAAGTCAAATGAACCAAACAAACCCGTTGATTCGTAGTTGCTCCTGAAGGTTCTGAACCGAGTGGTTAAGAATAATCGGATTGCGGGCTCCTCCTCCTTCTCCGTACGCCTTACCGATAGAACACTAGCAAGACAATCGTAGCAATCTGTGCTTAATTACGAAATTATTTCGAGTGGTACCAGCAGGCAGGTATGCGCTCACAGCTTTCCAGGTGTTCGCAATCGATTCGTCCTAAACAGTCGGTGCTTTTCAATTAAAACTTTTTACCAAGTGGACGAGCTTCCATACAGGCAAATGCATCATTCCTCCTCCGACCGAGTATTTCCTGTAATTAATTCGATGCTGCGTTTGAATTATTCCAAGATCTAGAACGATGCTACCGTTTGGAGAGTTCATTGTTTCGAAATCTTCACCATTGTTGGATTTTATGAAGTCGAAGTTAATCAGTTCTATTCAACCATCGGTTCTATTCATCTTTGAACAACATGGTGGGTCTGTAAACGAACCTGAGCAATAATCTTCGTTTCAATGCTCATCTTTTCCGAGACATTATACCATCGGAGTGGAATTCTCTTGACAGTTTTCCACTGTGGTGTAGGACGTTTCAATCTGATTCAAAATTACAGGGGATACACGTGGTACACGTGTATCCCCTTGTTGCGCGTTCACCACGAGCATTAAAGCCGCGGTTGTAACTGACCCCAGCGGAGCTTCGACGATATATTTTCCGTGGAGGCCAGTAAACGCTCTAGCCCAGCTCTCTGTAAACATTCTTGGATCTGTCGATCGATGCTTCACGCCGAGAAACGAGTCTACTCCCCAGACTCTCCTTCATATTGTATTCATAATATACTTGCTTCTTCAATTTTTAATGATCCTCTTAATAAAACTCTATCCAATTGGTATTTTCTTGAAACCTATCACTGAATTATCCTTCGTTATAAAATTTCCTAAAAAAAGAAAAACTTTGTTCAAATAAAAAGAAAATAAAATAAATTTAAAAATATCTCGCGGAGGATCTTACCTATTCGAATATTCCAATTCTTCCTAAACCAACGATTCGCAAACAAAGGAAAAATCAAAAAACAACGTTCGAAATTTCCCAAGTTCCTTCGGGAATAGCTCCGCATTCTCGATACCGTCTCGCCACCGTTCCAGTCTTGCGGTTGATAAAAATGGAACGATTGATGGACGTTTGCGAAGCCGTAGCTAGCCCTCGAGTGAAAAAGAAAAGACAGAAAAGAAAGAAGGTTGAGGGAGGTCCTCAGAGAGACGATAAGTTCGGCTAAGATTAGGATAAGAGGGTAGCCGTGAAGACATCCACTTGTTCGCGAGATAAGATTCCCCTTTGAAGCTTTCTCGCCGATGGTACAAGTTTGACCCCGGATCGGACCAACCGGTCGTCGAGCATCGCATCGAATCGCTCAATTACCGGGGCCAGGTATAAACCGTGCAACGAGCTGCGTACAAGGCGCAAAGGAAATGGGAAAATCAAGGAACCTCCGAGCTACGAGGCAGGCAATCGTTCTCTCCACGGCTCTCCGACGAATCGATCGTTTTCCCCGTCGATTCTCCTTCCTCGTTCGGCTGCGACTCTTGCGAATTCACCGTACGTAAAGCAATTCCAAGATGGAGCAACCGCCACCACCTCCACCAGTGGGGAGATTTCGAGGGATACACAACGTTTGGACCGGTGGCGAGATTAAAGAAGAGAACGTGTTTACTCGGACTGGCTCGAACGCTTCTAACATTATTGGAACGATGTTCGATCGAGATCCGTTGATCCTTGAACGAGCAGACGAAACGCGTCTCGATTAACGTTTTTGTTACAATGTTGAATTAAAAATTTATTCGAGCAGATAATGGCAATCTAGTGAAAGAGGTTCCTTGTTTAAATTACACGACAAATTTATCTATAAGAATATTTACAATTGAAGAAATTAAGTTGAACAACGACTGTCGATACTGAACGCAAACGAGGCTTTGAATAAAATTAGGCTAGTTTGCAACAGAGAGGCATGTTACACCTTTCTAAGCACATATTCCCTAATGATCGCTCGCATTTGTCGAATTTAATTCCAGATCCTTGATTCGTAAATGCCCCAGGGCGACACGAAAGCCTGGCTGGCATTGAATCGATTCGAATATATCCCTCCAGGAGGTTGGCGGCATAGTGGGATTGTTATCGGAAACGTAGCTAAAAACGACAGTGGCCATAGAAAGCGGGAATGAAATACTATCTTGACCCTGTTTACGAGCCTTCTAGATCCTCTACCAATGAATCGAACGAGCAGCTACTAAAAAACAGTCAATTCCTCAATCCGTAGACAGATATTTTGTCCAAAAGTACTCCTCTGTCAATAGAATCTTGTATTACTGTCTTAATCCTTCGCTTCTTCAACTCGCTAGATCCTGCTGAAAAATTGCAAAAACACTTATTACCGGAATTGTATTTTCAGAAGAGAAATATTATATCAGAAGAAATAGAATTCTGATCTAAATACTCAAATTAGATTTCCACTAGTTTACTACCTCTTTAGTTTTCCATGTTTTGAATAGCCTAGTAATTAGTATCTAACTGGCTAATCTAATTCCACTTCAGTGGAATCTTCATTCCTGTAGAATCCTAAGCTGAACATAGACAAAGCTACCCGAGGCATCGCTCTCGTCTAACTACGTTTGGAACGTGCCAATTAAAGAATAACGAGAATATTAGCGACACGTTCATTTGGAAGGCTGATCGATGAAAGAACGGATTCGCCCCCGAGTCACACGCCCATGAAACACAGCCAATTAACGCGTTCGCTGATAATGCTTATATTTAGTTATACTATATAAAAAAAATTCTCATTAAACTATACAATGTTTAATGTTTTATAAATGGTCCTAAAGTTGAACTCTCGAGGTAGCCTAATGAAATTTGCAACGCTGGCCACCGGTGACCCTTATATACCAGCGAACGCGTTAAATGTGCCCCGTAAAATCTCACACGCGTGTACCTTGCGAGGCTAATCCATTTTCAGATAACCGTAACAAAGCAGCGCCTCTGTTTCCTGCGTCGACCAGATAAAACGTCGCAGAAAATGGCCCTCTTGCAAATTTTACGATCAACCGTGAACGTGTCCTCGTGCACAGCAGCTCCAAACGCGGATCCTTAAATCCCTGTCCGGTATGCAGAAATTTCTACAAAAGTGAAACACACGCGTTGTCGTTAATGAAGTCCAGAGGTTTGCACACGAGATAGAGAGCAGATTAATACCGCCAGGATAAAATTACGTTCTCTGAACGCTTGCCAATGTTTATTACCTTGAAGACACGGATCTTTGGAGTCTCTAAGAGCTTGGAAGCCGGATATTAACAGGGATGCTCGGAATACTGTTTTCAAGAGATAAAAGTGACAAAGAAGTGGATAAACAATGCTTTAAAAAAGCGAACCTTGAAACGTTGGACCTAAGTATAAGAATCTAATGGCAATTCCATCTGTACAAATATGTACATGCCATTATATTTTATGTTATCACTGAACGATGCAGTAGCATCGTGTGCGAGCATAGTATCCTCGTTGATAAAGAGCGAGTCCTATGGGTAGAATTTTCAATTTGAAATATCATTTCACGGGACGTTGCACCGTCGGAAAATACACATTTCACGCGTGCACAAGTTGACGCGGTTCAACACCCAAAGGATTCTTCTCACCTCGTCTCTCCTCGTCCCTGCATCCCCAGGGTTCGCAGAGTTGCTGTCCGCGCGACGCGTATAATCGAAGCGCGAGCCCTCTCAAAGAAACCACTCATCAAAGCGTTCGGAGAAAACCGGTGATCAAAGATAATCGCGTAGGCGGACATACAACAGGATCGCTGGCCTTTATCACCTCTCTACGATCTTGCCGAATATTTTTCTCTTTTCCTTTTCTCCGACTACCCTTATCCCTCGCAGTTGCGCAATCTTCTCTGTACTTTGAACGTTCACCAGCCGCTTGTTACAGTCTCTTTTTCTCATCCACCCGCAGGCACGCTAGTTTCTATCGAGCCAGGTACATTCGATTTATCCTGTGAACACGGAGGAATGTCGAGCGATTACGTTCTCGAATATTGAAGCCGCGAAGCTATACCGAGCTAGGACACAATTCCTTTCCTCCAGTTCGGAGTGTTTACTCGCGTGGTCGAGTTCTGTCAGTATCACACGCTTTCCGCCAAACAGATCGATCGGCTGGCCGCCCCTCGCCGCCTCTTTTCACCGATTTTCGCCTGGCTTTCCGTTTAACCGATGATCCCCTGGGACGACCAGTCGATCGAACCGAAAGAAGGAACAAGGATGGATATCGGATCGTCGGTAGAGCGTAGCTGCACCTCTGAACACTTTGCTATGCAGGTGTAGATGTTTAAAGCGGACCCCTATCTCTCTTGAATCCTTTTCAAACTTCAAATTAAAGTAGAACGTCTAGAAATGATCCCTCGGGTTTGGACACTTGGTAAATACATAGATACATAAATGAAAGTAGAATAAAGGGGCAGAGTTGTACTTACATGTCCAAGGATCGGCCACGTTGAACGACCGGCCTATGTACGAAGTGTCTCGTCCGCTGCGAGGATAGCCGAGCCGGCTTGGCAACCGATGGAAAGGCGCGTGTGAACGTCCGCTGGAACAACGTGCACGCTTGGTATCCCCGGTCAGTTCCGGCGGTAGCTGAATCACAAAGGAGGCGTCGTTGTATCGTCCAGGTGGTAGTCGCGCCTCTCGATCGTCATGTTGGTTATTCTCGCACTGAAAGGTATGGTCACTTGGCACCAAGTACTCTGTTCCCGGTACACGGAGACGCGGATCTGTTTTGCCCGTGAACCGCGCGGATTGGTCGACGAGACGCGGAACCGAGGAGCCCGGGGTGCCGCGTTACGAACGAGCCCCCTCTCTGTCGTTTGCTGGTTCGTACGATCACCCCGGCCCCGTCTTAGCGATGCCAGTGAAGAGAAAACAGAGGAAAGGAGGCGAGAACGCGGCTAGACGAGACGAGAGACAGGTCAGTGTAGCGATCGTGAGAGGATTGCGTTGGCCACCGGAAACTGGCGAATACGAGGCGATTGGAATCCTGGAACAGTCGCGAGCACTAAGGACGTGACACTCCGAGAACAGGTCGAGGTTCGTAATCGCGAGGACTGGACGAGACGAACGAACAAGGCGGCTGAAAGCACCGGAGAACGAGTAGGAGTGCGAAGAACCACGGAGAAGAGGGGTGTACGAAACGGTCGCGAGTGGGGGGAAACGATTTGGATGGCCGGCGGAGGGTGGCTCGCAAACCCGGTGGTTGTGCTTGCTCTTGCTTGCCTGCTTGCCTGCCTAAAGGCTTTCCCTGCCTACCTGCTTGCTTGCTTCCTTGCTTCCTCGCACATCAGCTACCTCGCTTTTACTCGTCGCCTCTCGCCTCGCCTCGCCTCGCCTCGCCGCGCCTTCGCTTCCGCCACTCTGTCCTCCGCTTCTGACTCTGTCTCGTTGGACCGCTGCGCAGGAGCCACCGCGACCCGGCCAAACCCAGACCCAGCGTGTAGGTACCCACGAGCTCGCATTCGAGCTCCAGCCACCCCAGCTGCTCTATCCCCTCCAGCTTCAACCCCTCGATCAGTGTCGTGTCGAGGAACCTCGGAACCATGGGGGATGTAGCTGCAAATTACGTGATTCATGAGTCGAACGTATTCCTCCGGACGCGTCGATGCACGAATGATTTTTACCAGAGGGGGGGGGCTTTTGTTGAATTTCAAGCATCTTCAAGAAAACTGGATTGTGCGATGATTTCAAAAGAGCAGCTGAGGTCTTAAGACTTACCCTGAATCATCTACAAGGGACGAACGTAAGCGCAGGAAGTGGACGATTAACGGGACCAGCGACGGTTCCATCGTGTAGCTGAATTATTAGTAACATTTTATTTCGAGCACGCGAAAACCGACTATTACGTCCTCGAAGGGAAGAGAAACAGAGGAGACGGCTCGAAGATGTTGCTCGTCCTACTTTGCCTGCCTGCCTGCCTGTCTACCCCCTTCGCTTCTTGTATTTCTCGCCACCTTCGTGAATGCTTCTCTTCGAATAGCCTGCAATCAAATACACACGTAAATGGACCGTTTCCAGCCAAGAATTTTAGATCTGCTCTCGGCTCGAGAAAGACGCAAGGAGATAATTAAAAGAGACCGAATACCGATATCTGTGCCGCGAGCGCGTATTACTTTGTCTCGCATAAATTTCACAAGGGTTGGAGGGACGCGGCTTTCTTCCAGCGTCGCTAATTAATTAAGAAGAATAATCGCCCGGCTCTGCTCGCCAAAGAGAGGGGGGGGGAGGCAAGACAAGATAACAATTACCGATCTCAAAACGACGTTGATAAAGCGTCGTTAAACGATTCGAGCGGGAATTATCGATTACGACCCGCGGCTGTTCGCTTCTCTTGAATTAGTTAGACAACAAGCCGCAAAACTGGTTCTACCTTTGCTCGACGGTAAGTGATTGCTGCTGCCCCTGTAACAAAACGTTACTCGTATAAATAACCTGTTACAGAAATGGACGCAAGTACAATAACCGACACTCCTTTAGGGATACTAAAAAGCCCCGCAACTTGCCACGTACCTACGTTAGAGGCGAAAAGCGTTTGATCACCTGAGAACCGTATGATCGAACAGGGAATCAAACAGGATAAGAATAGAACAGAATAGATACCAGAGAGCCTAAGAAACTTGTACTTACGCAGAGATATTCTTTATAATTGAAAGCGAAGAGAAGCATTTCGCTGGAGACAATACAGCACGATTGTCGAAGAGTACATAATGATACTAAATTTCCCGCGACAAACGATGCCTGCTGCCGCTTGAAGCGCGACAGTGTTTTTCGAGGCCTCCATTAAAAGTATCCGCCTCGCGTAGCCAAATGTCTCTCCTCGTCGCGTCGGTGGAACAAGCCGTCGCAGTCTATTTCCTAATTGCACCACCGATGCTTTAATACGGAGGATCCAGGCTGGAAAAATCATCCACAAATTAGTTGTTTGAAAGTTCCGGACGTCCTGAACCATCCGACGAATTTACCGGTGGACTTGTAAAAGGGGTTGAATTCCAAACCGATAGATCTGACAGTCATTTAAAGTGGTCCTAGGCTCTTGAATGCCGACTTACGGCACTAACGACAACGCCAACCCCTTCCAAACAGCGATTGCCACCACTTCGCCATCCTCCCCTCTCCAGGTCAAGCTCCGCGATCAGCATCGAGCCGCACCATGGTACACCTATTTCAGCGTGCTGTGCGCACTCCACGAGCCTAGATGAAACTCCGATACCACCGGCTACCTTTCTTCAATGAACATCACATCTGATCCTTGTTTCAGTGGGACGTGGAATCCTAAAAAGGGACTCGTTAATCTCAAGAAGTTATCATAGCTTGCCTCGTCGCTATTGAAAAGAGACATTTCTTGATCTCCTGTTAATGCTTTTCTTGACTCTATGGTAAAGCTGGCTGCAATATTAATGTTATCATAGCAGTATCAGTGTACTTATCCTTCAGAACATAGCTCACACTAGCTGTACAAAGATTTGTTCGCTCAGTTACCTTCTAGTGAAAGTCCTCCAGTAACTTGTTCTTTTTCCATAAGTAGCTGCCTTCTTCTCTAGTGTTACGAACACGAGGCTCGGTAAGAGCAAAAAGAGAAAAGAAAAGGAGCAGGCTGAAAGGACGAAGCCAGCAGTTTTCCAATCAATCGAACTCAGGAACGAAGAGCTCGTTGATACACAAAGCAGATGAGATACAATAGTGAGCTGGTAGCCTGATAATTAGCCGAGGATCGAAGTTCCTGTGAACTATCGTGGAACAAGTTCCTTAGTCACGCATCAACTTCGTAAAAGACGCGGGAGATCTCTTTCAAACTGGTGAGAGCACCGATCGATCGCGTTGCAACTGTGCAAAAAGTACGTGAAAATGATCGAACGATATTTGATATCCAAATGTGTCGGACGAAATTTTCAGGACAACTTTCTTTCCATTGCTCCTCGAATTTCACGATTCAACGCTTAAAGGGCTCAAGCTTATTTCGAAACGAACTTGTGCATGGCTCAGAGAACCCTGTCCTTGCCACGGTTTCTCTTATTCGCGATCTTGATGCTATTTTCAGCGCAACCCTGAATCTTAATGAGCATTAGAATCATGCTTCCAACGGGAACCAAGTTGCACAACTTCCGTCGAGTGTCAAGAATCATCTTAAAAATCTCTTCACGCGTTGTATCGCGTAGCGAATAATTTATTTGCTGAAAAATAAAGGTACACGCTAAATTACTTCTGGGCCAATCTGATAGAAGTCTATTCTAAGGACGATCAAACGTGAATTTGTTTTTTAAATTAAGAAACAAATTGCCAAGGTACCTCTTTGACGGTGTAACCACTTATTTCTTAATTTATTTATCTTCGCCGCTTTGATTTCCTCCTCATCGAACAGCCGGCAACTTTGTTTCTCTCGGCAATCGTGTTCCCAATTTAGAGAGCCTTGCGAAAGGATTTACTTCTCCGGTGTAGATCGATGCTCGGGCAAATACTCTGTCAAAAGTGTGCGCCGCGACGAACATTCGTATTCATCTATTCAAACGTTTATTGCGCGTTACGCAGGAACGAGGAGAAATATCATCGGTTTTGTAAGGGAGATTTTTGACTGACTCCGAGTACCTGGGCTCCAGTCCCAACGATACATCATTTAACACGCATACACGGTGTTCCTCATGAAACTATGTATTCTCATTCTATACTCTCCCTGAAAAAGTAAGAAAAAAAAAAAAAAAAATGAAATGTCACGCAGTGTTCAGGGTTTGCTTATTATAAACTAGGTGATTCCCTTGGCGAATGGTTGAAGAGTAGATTAGCAATGGCAGAGTTAACGTTAGCACGAAGATTAGATACACCGGGAAAGATGTAGTTAACCCTGGGTGTAGCAGTGCCGATATACTAATTGAATTAGTTATTTCGAAGCGGAAAGTTAAGGGCATGTCTGCGCCAAGTTTTCAAGCTGAAATAACTCAGAGAATCGACGTGCTAGCGCTACACCCAAGGAAGTTCTTATTAAGCCGAAAGTTTCGTTTGATGTCGAGCACGGAGTATTATTTAATTATCAATTCAGAGGCCTGCTGCGGTTCCTCTTGTAAAACACATCGATCTCTTGGAAAATTCTACGTGAAATAAGGATCTTCCGATGTAGATATATAACGCATAGTAACCGAGTAGTGGATAGATTTTTCGAAAATCGTCGATACACCATTGTGTCGACGGGTTACACTTTATTGTCTGCTTGTTTTTCCTGGCGCACAATAAATCCACCCTCGTTCGAGTGCACCCATCCTGTTAAAATAGTTGAATGCTTTGCATGAGAGAAACTGCGAACTTGTGAAATACAAATTACCAGAGAATCCAATTTTTTGTTTTCCTTTTTTTCCTATACGTCTATGTATGTTTCATCTGAATTCCCCACCTGGGTGCACATAGGAGAGAGAAATTCGTGCGTGTCAACGTCAATTGGATCTGATTTCAGTATGAATGTGACGATCAGTTCAGCTTGAAATTATCATCGCCTAATCAGAAATTCCTTTGCAGCATACGATATGAGATATTATTGACGTTACACGCTTGAATAATAAGTGAAATGTTTGCTTCAAATTATAGCAATCATTAATTAGTACGTATGAACTTGTTGCTGCTACCTTTACACGCTCATATTCGTAGCTTTTTTAAATAGTTCAAAGCAATTAAAATCCTCTCATAAATTCTACATGTGGTGATGGATATTCAGACGAGCACTAGCGAGAATTTTAACTTCCTGTGCTCCATCTAGTAGTAAATGCGAAAAACTTTCTATTACAGCAATCTCAAAATATCATTCCACATTCTGTTAAATTTTGTATGTAACATAAAATTTGTCCTCTCCTTTTTTCCATTAATTATACATATCCGGCAACGTGTTAAGATTAATGAAGTAAATGAAAAATTCTGCTAGCTAAAAAAAGAAGTAAAATTAAGAAAAATAGATGGAAACGAAGGTTAGATATAATGAATTAGAGGAACTTATACCTGGTGGCGGAGCGAGAGAGACAACGGTGATAGAGTGAGAAAAATGGAGAGGGAGTTAATGGTATGCTGGACCAGTGTTGGGTTATTCCACTTGCAGGGATTGGACATACAGGTTTGTACCACTGACACTACGACGATTTCAACGGTTTCTGCTTCGCTTTCCTTCAAAGGCACGATACATGTAAGCAGCCTCGCCCTTTCCATTTGCAACTGTAACATTAACGTATTTCTCGTTAACATAATGCAAATTGATTAATGACCCTCCAAAATTACAATTTCTTTCGCTCGCTAATCGAATGTGTTTAACATCGTTTCCTCGTCTAATTTCATTAAATTACAATCAACTAGAACGGAAATTGTTGCTCAAATTGAAGCACAGAGAAATTGAAGGATAGAAGTGGCACGCTTCGACAAAAGTTATATAATATTTCCTGCAGGGAGGACAATTAAAACGCGACGAAACATTTCATTACCGTGACATTAATGACGACGAAATTATGAACTGAAAACTGTTCTACTTTTCCGTAAGCTTGGATGTCGGAATAATCGGAGTAGGATTACAGTTTCAAGAATAAACTGAAATATAATTTCAATTGTTACTTCGAAGAAAATTTACTGCACGTGAGGTGAAACGTAAGAACCACCCCTACGTCTTGTGTTGCGTCTCAGTGGTGCTCACTTCAAAATTCGAGGTCCTTGTATACGCAGGATGATTCCATAGAAGATTCAACAAGATTAATAAACTTAATAATTAATGTACACCGTGTTGGAGTGTGTAGATTCCTCTCTGAAGTATTTGTCATGCATCTATGGATCACCCTGTATCTCTTCCTTACCGTGTGTCTGAAAGTAAACAGGTTTCCATCAAAGTTAAGCTGAATTAATTCATAAAATAATATATACTTTATTTCTGAATGATTTATATGGCTATTTGAAAGTGTTAAATAATTTCTATGATAACAAAGATCGACGAAATCAGTGAGCATCACTGGGACAGAAAATAACAGCATTGCATGTTTGGACTCTGGATATGTTTTCGTCGACGTGATGCTTGAACGATCGCGTGCTGATTGGGCGGTATTTGTCAGACCACTGTCAGACGTTGTTCCACTTGTACGATCAAGCACAGACATACGGTGATTGCGTCGAATACACCCAGGCACGTTCGTCGGCCACCATGAAGAAACTTATCATTTCGTAGATGAATTTTCTATAACTGTTTCGTACACGTAACAGAGAATGATCGAGATTAGACGAGCCAGGGCTAGATAACAATTTACGACCAGCCAAGCTCACGGTGACTCGACCGATTTGTGACCTAGACTTTTACAACTTATTTTTGAAGATTCCTTATGTTGATACAACTCACGAGAGATTGTAATTTATTATGAATTTTGAAAGAAAAAAGAATAACAACGGAGCATGAAAGGGATTATCGCATGAGGTACAAATATTCTTATCGAAACATCCATTGTTTATTTATCAATAATTTAAAGTTGTTTGTAACAAAATGTAAATTGAAATTACCTAGGCTTCGACGTCACGAGCATTTTGAAACGCCGAAACAAGAGCATTTAATTGCACCGGCTCGCTGCAACCAATAGATACTCTCTTCTCTATTTCCGCCAGCTTAATTACCAGATCAATAAGTATCGAATCTGGAAACTCAACTGAAAAGAAATAATTACACATCTGGCATTCCTTCTAATATAATAATAAACATAAAACATACTTTTATTTACAAATAAATGGAGTTCTGTTAGTATATCTTGTAATGCCAGCCCTTTCTTCACTTTTATGTCTTGAATTTCTATGGATACACGTGTTAAAGAAAACATAATTTACAGATTGATAATCAGTGTATGTATATAAAACAAAAAAAGGATACTGCAATAACAGGATTCATATGATTCATTTAATAACCAGTTCATAATGTTCTTTATATCAACTGGAAGAGGATGACCAACACAGGAATATACAGTTTCTTCTGTGACTGAACCAAAAGCAAGCCATGTACTCTGAAGAACATTTAAAACTTTTCTCATATCTCCTCCACTTAGTGCCATTAATGCCTCTTTTCCATCTTCATTTACACTTAAACTATAACACATATGTATAGATAGTTGTTACAGCATTGTACACAAGAAATCATATACACTTACTTTTCTTCTTTAATAATAGTTTCTAATCTTGGTAAAATTTGATCTGGAGACAATGGTCCAAATCTAAACTTGGTACATCTAGATTGAAGAGCAGGGATAATTTTACCAAGATAATTACATATGATACAAAACCTTACATTTTCTGTATACTTCTCAATTACTAAAATACAATCTCTGGTTAATACTTATATTTATACTTAAACTACTAATGAAAACTTACTTCTCCTAAGAGCATTTTGTGCATCATTGGTCATAGCATCAGCTTCATCCAGAATAATTAATTTAAAACCAGATTTATACAGTGTACCAGTACTTGCAAAACTAAGAATCTGTCCTCTCACTATACCAATACCTCTGTCATCTGAAGCATTCATTTCCAATACCTACATTTGCAGATATTTAAATACGGTATTATGATTTCTTTAAAATAGAAATAGTATATAATTAAAGGTAAAACCATTGAATTAAACTGAGCTGGTGTGTACAACTTATGAGCACAAGCAAGTATAGTGCTAGTTTTTCCGGTACCGGGAGGTCCGTAAAACAGTAGATGAGGAAGTTGATTTTCATCGATAAATTTATTTACTATAACAGAAGAAATATTTAATTAATAAATATCTAAAGAATTTATACCTTTTATAACATTATTAGATACTAACTCGTTTTGATGATTTCTTCGTGAGATATTAAATCGTCCAAATTTTTCGGTCGATATTTTTCGACCCTGTAAGAAAGTAAAAGTAATATTTAACGCATATAAAAAATAAATATAACTCCTTACCATGGTAAATTGTTACTTGTCATAGGCTTTGCTGACATCGTTTAATATTCAATGTTTATTATACGTTTCTTAAAAAACGGCCAGTAAGGTTAAGAATTAGTTTGGCGCCTTAAAAGCCGTTACAAGTGGCAGTACAAGCGCGCTACTTGGTTTTCAAATTGGACGCAAATGATTGGTATAAATCATTTGCCGAAATGCACATTGATGCATTAATGATTACATTTGGAGAATCATATGTATGTACTGTAAAAAATATTATAAGCTACAAAATTATAATTTGATTTTGTAAAAAAAACTAACTTGCAACACGATACTAAATATGTTTAAGTGTACTTATTCCTAACCTTATTCGAAAACTATTTTACAGTCCGGAATATTCCGTATCACTTTCATCAACAATGGCTTATAGACTGATTAAAAAATATCCTCGATCCATTTACAAAGGAAATAAAGAAGTTAAGCAGCACTTTAATTATTTACTTGTAATTGATTTCGAAAGCACATGTAAGAAATATGAAAAAATGGAACCTCAAGAAATTATAGAATTTCCTTGTGCAGCGGTGTCAACGAAAACCTGGAATACAGAAAATGTTTTTCATGAATACATTAAGCCAAAAGTTCATCCAGAGCTTACTTCATTTTGCACAGAACTTACTGGGATCATACAAGATATGGTAAAAAATCAGCCTCATTTTCCAGAAGTGTTCGACAAGTTTTGCAAATGGTTAGAAGAACACAATTATTTTAAAGAAGGAAACGATTGTGCGTTTGTAACATGTGGTGATTGGGACTTGAAATCCATGTTGCCTGCACAATGTGAACTAGACAATATACCTTTACCCGAACACTTTCAGAAGTGGATAAATATAAAGGATACCTTTTGTGAAGCAACTCAATATTATCCACGTAGTTTGAAAGACATGCTTACATTTCTTAAAATTCCTTTACACGGAAGATTGCACTGTGGCATAAATGATGTAGAAAATATAGTTAAGATAATTCAAACTCTTCAATCACAACATAACACAGAGTTCAAAATAAATACTGCACCTAATCTTCTAAAGAAAAAAATAGTTAATGTCTGACTGTAACAAAAAAAGAACATGTTTATTGAAAACTAATTTATTAATAATGAAATATTGCCCATATAAAAATGCAAAATTACAGTATATTTTATATAATAAATATCTTTTAAAATTAACGTATCAATTTACAATCGTTTAACATTGACCCTTATCTGTACATCAAACTTGTTGTTCTCTGTATAAATTTCAAGAACTGCATCAAAGTTGCGTTCGACTTTTCGTTTGCATTGTATTTTTAATTGAAAATCTCTTCTCGTGGGTATCATTCCCTCGGCAGGGACAACACTTAAGTATTCTGTATTTGATAAAGAAGTTTCAAACGGTTGTGCTACAGTACAAGAACTTCTTATTGTTACAATTGCTTCTGTTTTTGTCGGCGGAGATAAAATTACGATGGATGGATTAATCATGAAATTACCGGTATTCATATCATTTTGAAGCGTATTATTTCCTATAAACGTTCTGAAAATTTTTTAATTATATATAAATATTCATTCCAGTTTGATCATTCAAATATTAACTAGAACTCACTCAGAGGGTAGAAAACTTTCTCCGTGTCCTTCGTATATATGACTATTGTCGCTACAAAGAGAATAAAACATTTGTGATTCGTCAGCGTTGTCCTGAAGAACAGATAGAGTCTCATCAGCGTATGCTTCCATCGTTAACATTATCTCGTGTTGACGAATGCCACGGCAAAGGTCTCCAAGATTTTGCTAAGTAACGTGTAAATAAATTACTTAATACTATGTAAAATTAAATAAAAAGTATCGAACTGCTTACCACTGAATCTCGGATAGAGCTAACATCTGACATTAATCGTTCTCCAGGAAAAGCTTTACATATTGGATGAACTATATTTCTAAATGCTTCGTTTTCGTTTCCACTCAATTCACCGGTTTCTTTCATTTTGTTATACAGTCTAGAAATTTCATTCAAAATTAGCGTTTAGTAGTTGCTTTTCGAATGAACTATCGCTTACCTACGAATTCGCCAACGCGATGGTTCGTCACCGTGTGTAATTAATATTGTTCCTACATGAGATACATCAGATCGTTGTAACAACGCTAAGTCTTCTTTTCGCGGATAAAATTCTAAAGTCACCCATTGGATTTCCTTTGGATTCAGTAATAATTCCTTTGGGTTTACTTGCCAACTTGAAACCATAGTAGGATACACAGCTAAATGTGTTGAAATATACATAAGAAAACAATACCTTTAATTACTATCATTTTGATTTATAAAAGAATAACCTTTTGGTGTTAATTTTATTTTTATGTATGAACACAAGTCTCCGGTGTTTTGTAATTTTATCTTTGCCTTTAAAGAACCTCCTGAATTTAAAGTACCTAGTGACAACCACATCTTTCCACTTGTGTCTTTAAATGCTTCAGAAATTTCAACTTTACTATAGCCACCATAGCCATACAGAAATAGCTGTAAATGGTATATTGTAAATTAAAATTATTCATTGATATGGAAAGAGGGATTGAATAAATTTATTCACCACTTTCGAAGGACGCGATTCATCTTCTTTCCTAGGTTCGTAATGTCTAAATACTATTTTTCCACTAGCTGCACCCAAATGATGGGGGCTAAATACAACGGACAATGTCCTACTTTCCAAACCTTGTAAAAGCAGCACAGTGGTTGTGCCTACAGCTTGTCGTTCTCGAAGAAACTGAAAGAATTAATGTTTTCAAAAATTCACATTATACATATTTTGTAGTGATTTATATATGTTACCCGGAAATTTTTCTCGCTATCCGATATAACAGCTTGAATCCTAATCTTATTATTGCTTGTATTACGAATAGTAAATTCCTTGATATCTGATTTTCCTGTTTTTATGCTGTTCCATACTAGAGCAGCATGAGTTGTTCTTATAGGAATTTTATCTCCGGCAACAGTTGAACCTGATACTGTACTAATAGGCGAATTTCTGCCACAGGTTCCGGATCTATTATCACAATAAAACATTAATACATAATCTTTTATAAAAATATAGTCGTAAGGTATATATTAAACTTACTTATTTGAAATCACACTGTGCGGAGACGACGGAGAACCAGCAGATGACAAATACTGTGGTGTTTCACAACGAAGATGATCGTTTTCTGTTTCGGTACACGTACTTGATTCACCGATTACAGAATAGTAATAGACGTTATTGGCTGCGGTTAATTTAATCTTTGTATGTCTACAAGAATATTGTACAATTAATACAGATCCATTTATAATACTATATTAAATATCCAAAATGTTGATTTACATTTTTGAACTGCCTGAGTTCTGTTGTTTATAGGTAACATAGAAACAACCGGTTTCATTGGGTTGTACAAGTAAATTTTCAGGCTGTATCGAAAAGTATTTCGAGCTCTTTGTTGAATCGTTATCTTGTACAAACGAGGCGGATATTAATACTGGTGTGGTTCCAAGATTTATTATAGTTAGCGGTTTGCTTTGTTTGTAAGAGACTATCAAAGGCAGCTCTGTATCGATTACTTGTATTTTGCAAGTTCCTACTTGTACAACAAGTGGAATGGTAGTAACTGTAATAGCATTTTCCGAGTTGATCCCTGCTTGAATTATTAGCGTTGCACAGTATCGTTGCAAAGATCGTTGTTTCGTTTCCGCATTGTTTTGCAAAATACCTTTACACTTAATATTTGCAGTAAATAATTCTTGAGGTTTAAGCATCACATGTTGTGATTCGTTAAGATTTTCCAAATTAAACACCACTGGTTCATCCTAAAATCAATACAAACATAAAAATCGTATAATTAATTTTGTTGCAAAATGATTTGGATAACATTGTCACCTGTAATAAAGAAAACTTGATAGGAACATCAACGTTGTTCTTATTTTTTATTGTAACAGGTAAAACTGTAATACTGTTTTCAATAACACACTGAAAATCTAATTCTTTCTTTTCAGGAAGATTTATAATGCTTATATCAATTTCTTCCGGTTTAAAACAAATGATGTGTTTCATAATCCACTCGTATCTTGTTACCATATCCGATACTGTTATGTTCAAGACGGCTATAATTGGTTTACTCATTTTTACTATCGTCACTGCAATCTAAAATACATAAATATGGCGATGCTTTCACATTCCTGTAATATTGTAATATATTTTTACCTTGGCATGTTGCTTCGAATTTGGTTTTATAAGGATCACATCCTTCGGTAACGTAAGCCGAACATTGTGTTTGTCTCCTTGAACTTGATTTACACTTAATAAACAAATGACCCACCTATCGCTTTTATTTAAAAGCTCGATATCAGTTTCTCTAGACATATTAACAACACAATTACATAGTTCTTCCGTATTTTTTCCAATGATAACATCTACGAAAAAAAATTAGCATTAAAAAGAAAAAAATTAAATAAATTCCAAACTGTCACAATTATATATTACTATATCATACTATTTAAAGAAGTCTGAGTTCCCGACGAACTTGAAAGATCTTGCGTAGAATTTTCTGATTTCTCTTTATATGAAACATTTTCCTCTTTTATATCTTCTTTTCTTCCTGTTTCTTCATTTTGCAAGTCAATGGTTTTTCCCTCTTGATTAAGTAACGTGTTGATCTTTGGAGTACGAGGTGATGCCCTTTTTTCTATGGTGTATTGCTGAAGAGATAGATTAGGATCCTCCAAGAATGAATTAAAATCTGAAATCAATAATCTCGTTCTTGAATTAATTCAAATAAAAAAATTTGTAATTTTTAATGTAGATAGTACCTTTATTATAAGAAGATAGTGAACTTCCGCTATTTATTTCCTTTTTAAGTTCCTGACACGCGGTTTCAAAATTTACCTTTGCACCCGAATTAGAACTAAACGATAGTGTTCTAGGAACTGAATGTTTAACATTTACCATTTCGTTGGCAACTTTACTATCCAGAGACAATTTCGGTGAAAAATTCAACGACTTCACATCTTTACTAAAATTTTCAGTCTTTCTACTTGGAGTAACAGGCATAGATTTTCGACCTAAAGGCAACAACGTGTAGGTATCTCTAGGCACATTCTCGTCTTGCATCTGCATAGGTTTTCTCTTTTTCTTTGCCATTATAAGTTGATCTACTAGTCTTCTTGGTGTACCATTATCTATATCCTGCAGTACTTGGGCAATACTAGTCAAACTCATAATACTTTGTTCTTCCATATCTTTCGTAGTATTCGGAATATTTTGTTGAGTTTTATCTTTAACAGCATACGATCCAACTGAAGATTCTGTAAAAATAGACTTCTTCGCATATACTGGAATGGTTTTTTAAATAAAGTAAAATGAATAATACCTTCTGTCATCATAGTAGAATCAACTAATGGTACCAGCTGACCTTTCTTGTTTGGACTAGTTATAGATAAACCGAAACTTGGTCTCGCCATGGCATCATCCGATAATTCGCCGAAATTCCCACATTTTCTTCTGAAAAATTCATCTACAGATACCTTGCGCCCAGCACAAGATCTGAAATTTTGGTCACATTATGCAGAGGAAATAAACTTATAAAATAAGAACTTCAGAAACTTACTCTACTGATAAATCCAGTTCACCGATGATACCAGAGAAGCAAGATAAATTTAAATATTCTTTTTCAGTAGAAGTTGTTGCAGGAAGCGCATAGGGGTAATTTTGCTGCCAAGATAGCTCATCAGCTAGTAACTGACTGGCCATTTCAGAAGCAGGACGAAATTCTTCGTTATTAAATTGAGCCATTAATTCAGCAGTGGTTGCGTCAAATGTTATTGCATTTGCATTCTTGCTTGACGTGGATGACCGACATTTTTCCGAACTTCTACTTAGTTCTGACGAGCGTGCACTTATCTCATTTGGTTCAAAAACGACCTAAACGTAAAAATATATGTAAAATCATTCTGATACATTGTTTCTCTGGTAAGTAAAACTTACACTGCTTGTTTTATCCACTGATGCATGCAAAGTACTTTCACCCTGAGAACTTGTTTGATTAAAACTTGAAGCTCGCCCCTGATCAGGAACAATTGAAGGTATAGCAGATAAGTTTTGGATATTGGCATTATTTTCTTTGTTTGTGTCTACAAAATTCATGAAATATAAGTAATATAAATGAAGGTATGTTATCATAAAAGTACATTTGTAAAAGTAAGGGTTTACCATATGCAACAGATGTAGCTTTTATGTCACTACACCTCTGCAGCAACCTCCTAGCAAATTCACGTTCTACATCCACTGTATTGTCACTTTGCTTTTCTAGGTCTCCTACTTCGCTTACATCAGCTAATACTGTGAACATTAGCTATTAGATAAATCAGTATAATTTACAAGAATGCAAAACACTTACAAGATGATATATTGTTAATTATACCAAGAGAAGATTCATCAGATTTCCTTGCTGCGTCATTTTTATGTGTGACTAATTGTTTGTATGCCGCTTCATTAACATTTTTATTAATAAATTTACTTTCTAATCTGAAAAAAGAAAGATACTTAGTTTCAAAAGGATCCTTTGTCATCAGTTAAACCACATTACATGCATTGAGCAATGGCAAACATAAAGTTTAGAGAACTGGAAAACTCACGTGCTTTTTCTTTGAACAGTGGAAGTTGCTTGTGGCTGGGGTGTACTTAATACAGTCATATCGACAAAATCTGTCCCCGTTAATTTTGATGGTGTAAACATTGTTAATTCTTTGTTTACTTATCGCTAAATTATATGAAATAAAAATCGCTTAAAGAAATTGCGTGTACGTATAAGATATTCTCAGCGATTTATCAATCGCTAAAGTAATGAAACTAAGGGAAAATTGCACCATATTACTACTAACGTATTGTCTGACAGTTGATCGATTTTAGCGTTCAAATTTGAAACCACCTGAGGTCATCAATCCTCAAACATAAACTTGGATTTATGTTAGATTAACAACTTGAATGCGACGGGTGTAATGAAACTGCCATCTAGACCAAATGACATCGGTGATTACTGATTCAACAAAACGGAACGTGCCTGTCTTTTCGATGGTTTTCGAAGAGCCTTAATTGCTTATTTTTATATTTTACATTTGGTTTTCAAATTAAAATGTGAATTACAATTTAATTGCAAAATTAAATCTCCCGCCAAATTCTAGCAGAGGGACCACTAGCGCCATCTATACGAAAGTGGCGGAAACTACTCGACAAGTAGTTTCCGCCACTTTCGGATAGATGGCGCTAGTCAACTCCTCAACTAGTTATCGACTTATCGAAATTTACAAACTTACTGTAAATTTGACTTTTACAAATTTACTGTAAAGATATGTAACATTTATTGCAGTACCGAATCTATGAGCTCGTATGGAGCTTACGATCCTTTTCTCAATAAATAAAATAAAATATCGATATTTTTAAGGCCATTAGCGCCATCTATACGAAAGTGGCGGAAACTACTCGACAACTAGTTTCCGCCACTTTCGGATAGATGGCGCTAGTCAACTCCTCAACTAGTTACCGACTTATCGACATTTACAAATTTACTGTAAATTTGACTTTTACAAATTTACTGTAAAGACATGTAACATTTATTGCTGTAACGGATCTATGAGCTCGTATGGAGCTTATGATCCTTTTCTCAATAAATAAAATACAATATCGATATTTTTTAGACCACTAGCGCCATCTATACGAAAGTGGCGGAAACTAGTTGTCGAGTAGTTTCCGCCACTTTCGGATAGGTGGCGCCAGTGTTCTTCTTGTGGATGTCGGTTAGTTGGTAACTCGTTGAGTAGTTTGAGCCGTTCTCGTATAGATGGCGCTACGATCGAATTTTTATCCCCACCTCCTTCTCTATGGCGGTCTTTTTAAAGTACAAGTTTGTCAAACAATTATTTTAATAATAATTTCTTGGTCTGGTGTTGATTTTGATTGACTTCTAAAAAAAGTAGAATCAAAGGGAGTCAAAATTGTGGCTTTTCAGTTGTGATTACGAGTAGGAGGGGTTGAAAACAGGTATTATATACTAACTGTGCTCTGTAATGTATACCTATCCTCACTGGGGGTATGTTAGACCCCTTTAGTCTTCTTGAATCTGTAGTTATTCGTTGAGCTATACAGTTTTGGTTCTGTAGAAGTATCCGAATTGAACTGAGTCTGAAGTAATTCGGCAGTTTAATTACATTATAATTAAATAAAAGTCATTTCTTCAAAATAAAACAATAGAAATGTCTGCGTGGAGACAAGCAGGATTAAAGTAAATATTCTCTCAAAAATATTTCTATCAATATTACACATTAATATTAAAGAAAGGAATATTATGTAACCTGTAAACTATGTTATTGGAGATATTTCCCGAACTATAAAAGATTATATTCATATTTCAGTTATATCAATTACTCGCAAATAGCTGCCAAGCTTGTAAGACAAGCTTTGAAATCTGATTTAAAGGTTGAAGCTTTAAAACGTGATGAAACAAGTATAAAATTCACACAGTGGAAAGATGGTAAACCTGCTAGTAAGTATAGTTAGGGCAAATGGCTAAGTAGTAAAGTGTAAATTAAGATTCTGCTGTCTACTATTTTTTTTTATGCAATAAGTAGTAAACAATCATTACATACAAATATTTGTATTACAGCGGAAAGGGAATAGTAATGGGAGTTTGTAAGTTTATAGTAATGTGTGAAGTTGCATATTTGAAGTTTGTGTGATATTAATTATTTTTTTAAGGATGTGTGATTACATTTTGTATGTGGATAAAACAGATATGGATTGTGTTATTTAGTCTGAAATTACATTTATATTTATAGAAATACTTTATTGACAAAGTACTGTAATAGCCTGATATATGCAAGGGGAAAAAATATATTTAACATAATTTCCTAAATCATAAAGATCTAACAATTTTATTGCATGATGAAATAGAAAAGTTTGAACATACTATCAAACAACTATTTTTATGAAGTTTCATGACACTATGCAATTTACAAAAGTTATATGATGTTAATAATACCTGCTTTTGTTACAGAAAAACTATAAGTTATGGTATCACAGATGAGCAAAGGAGTTATTCTCTTTCAAACATACTTATGCCCAAGCATTTGAATTGTATGTAACAAAAGAAAAGAAAGTCAAATAAATTAGTAATTTATGTATTGAAATAGGGAATAAATGTATCTCTTACAATACTTATGTTCTTTTTTAATTTGGTCCATTTTTCACGTTTGTGCATCACCTTATTGTAGGGCAGTGTGCTTTACAATGTACTAAAACATTATCAAATTTAAATATTAAATATAATTCTTGTTTAAAACATCCTATGAACTTACTTATAAATTCTGAAACGAGATCGTTATCGCTATCACCTCGCATCGAACCCGTAATTTCTTCATCTTCTACCATAGGTAAAAATAAATGTACAAATTCAGCAGTATATGGTGGAGCAATTGCTTCCAAAACCTAGCAATATAAATACATTATTAATATATAAGTACATTAAACATTATGGTGCTATCAATAAACAAAATAATTTCACTATACCTCTGTAACGAAATATCTAATTAGAGAAACATCGGTATCTCCGCGTTGCCAACACTGTTTAATATAACATACTACAGGTACTACACAACCTTTACTCAATAAATTAACCATTCTATCGATCAACATTTTTTTCATTTCCAACTGTACATTATAATATACGAGCAATTAGTTCTTATTGATTTTTTAATTAATTAATAAATATTTTGTATCGTTTACCTGTACAAGTATCTCTAGTTCATCTTGTTTACTTTCAAATAACTGTACAAGAAGTTGTAATACTTTCAGATGTAATAGTGGATGACAAACTACAACTTCATCAAGCAATGCAAGGTGTACAGGACAATGTTCTGTACATAATTTAAAGTACGATGGTTCTGTCACAGTACATTCTACCCATCTAATTATACCAACACTCACAACAGGAAATCTAAACAAGATTGTTCAATTATAAATTTGTCGTAATAATACAGCAGTATTATAAATAGGAATAAATAAATTGTACCTTATACATTGATACAATGTATGTAATTCAGCTATCAATTCGGTCGATCCTTTATTAATGTTACAAATATTATGAACTTTCTCTATAGCTTGAATAGTTGTTTTTAGTTCGTCTTTGTTTAGTTTACGCAAATGTCCCTTTTTAGCTGGAATATCACATACACTAGCTGCATAAGCTAATAAATATATATATTTCGATTTATGTTCAGGATTAATTTTGACACCTGGTTTAAAAAGTGCATCGACCAATAGTTCTGTAATTAATTAAGAAACTGTAAGTTTGTATATATTATAAATTGGAGAATAATAAGTAAAACAATTGCATGATTACCCAAAAATTGAGGATTACGTAGCAATTCTATAGGTGGTGGTTCGGCAGTGGAATAATTTCTGAATAATACACTGATGTCAGCAGGATTTAAAGTATTCCGTGATAACATAGACGCTAGTGCTTGACATGCAGTCGGACTATTCGAAGCTCCGTTAAGTGCCATTGTTATTGGCGTAACGTCATGATGACTATAAATATAAATATTAAAAATTTATATATAAAATCAATCAAAATATTCAGGTATGTTTTCTTACTTCTGTTGGGCACATTTAGTAATTTCCTGCGAAAGTCTCTTCATCATAAATCCACCACGAGATTCTTGAGCAAGAATTTGTAGTAATACTTGACTATAGACATATGTGTGCTGTCCATGACATACCATTTTCTATTAATAAAAAATATATGAATCTTACAAAATGCTTATTTGTCCTAAATGATTAAAATATTTTCGCTATTAATACTACGAACCGCACATTCTTGTATACTTGACTGCCAATCTTCTGTATTTTGCAGAAAACCAGCAATGGCAGTTTTTAAAACTCGTGAAAATACTTCAATCTGCTGTGCAGCTGTTGAAATACTTGTAATTTCCCCTTGAAATCCAGCATCAGATATAAGCTGTAAAAAGATTTGATTATTTAATATTCATACTTTCACAGTCTGATAAAAAGTATACCAAGAAACATCATGGATTTAAAACATGTTTTTACCTTTATTGTGAAATTCAACATCAAACAATCAGGATATTCTTCTGCAAGTCTATAAATAAGAGATCTCCAAGTGGGATGCTGAATCATTTCTGTTAACCAAGCTGGAGTCTAACATGAAAAGTATTACGCTTTAAACATAAATTGAATTGTAATTTTTAATCTAATGTGTATAGAAATTTTAAATACACACTTCACCCTCCTCTGTAAAAATTTTATCTGCTTTCTTAGGATCAAATGTTTTCAATATCATGTCTTTCAAGTTATTTTCTACCATTGCTTGAACATCTGAAACTTTAACTCCAGCTAGAATAAGCCATTCTGCAAGAAGGTTTGCCAATTGAGCACAAGCTGTATAATTTTTTGATAATAGTTCTATGACCTGCTCAGGATTTCCACCAGCTTGAAAATATCTACATAAGGAAAAATATTAATTACTCATAACTATGAAACTTCTTATCATCTTTAAAAATATGAACTTACTGGTCAAGGACAAAAGATGTATTTATAAAATATACCTTTTGAGCTGTGTAAAAATACCAGGTTCCATAATATAATCCGGTGTCTTAAATTTATTTAAACATTCATTTAATATTTCTTGAGGATTATCAAAACTATCTTCTCCACCACCATCTTCAGTTGTTCTTGTTATTTCATCTGCCCAACCACTACGGTCATCATTATAACCAGGCTCCATTATTTCTATTTATTGTTGATATTTAACCCCTAATATAAATCATGAAATTAGGTTAGTATAGGTTAGGTTAGAAATGTAAAAAATATTATATCATTACAGAATTAAATTAAGTACTTCGGTTATTATATTCAAATTTTGTTTAATTACTACGTACCTTTATATTCTTAAAAAGTTAAATATATATTTGATATATTTTGTAAACAACGTATTTATATTTATACGTTTATCGTATGTGCCTATTATAACACTATATAAATGAGTAAAAAATAAAAGGCTGAAGTATATTGTTTAATGTTCAATTATTTTGTACAGCTTAGCACTACTTATTTTATATCAAGAATAAAGATCAGGATAGAAACAAAATTAAAAACCATCGTTGCCAGACTAAACAAATAAATAACCCCAACATGAAAAAGTTGCCTGAAGTCTGGCCTGCAGGGCTAGCCTTATCTAGGGGAAAAAGATAATTTATATTTGGAGACAAAACAATGCTTTTATTGAATTTTTCCATGTAAAGATCCATACAATTACATTATTAGTACAGTCATTCCTTTTTGCATTATCGAAAGGTTTTGTACAAAATATCCAGGCGATTGTTATCAATTATTAGTATTAAGTAATTGGAGTGAACACAGATATCGAATTATATGTCGAATATTTCAAAATTTATTTTAATTTAATTACTCATAATAGGAATGCAATAGAGCAGACTCAAAACAGATTGTATAATGATTAATTTACGACATAAAAATGTGTAAAAAGTATCCTAACATTCCACACATCTTAATTAGTTATTGGACATTTCTGTACATACAACTGTAATTTGTAGTATTGTATACTTGTGCAATAGTGGAACACAGAATGAATGGTTGAAAGTTTTTGTTGTTATGAGCAATCAAATTAAGTATGTGACATACCACTCATGCAATAACTACTTAACATAATGTAATTTAAAGCGTTTAGTTATCAGTGATTCTGATGTGTGTAATCAATTTGGTATATCCTGAAAAACTCTTCAAGGCTCCACCTTCAATAATTCCACATCAAAGATAAGAACTGCATTTGGAGGAATAGTGTGTCTTTGTCAAGGATAATATATTATAATAGTCATATTATTAAATATTTCATAGTGGCTAAACTTTAAATGCATATTTCACTTGCTAATTCAAATGTTAATTACTTTGTAACATAGTTTTTATAACTAAAGAAAAAAAACATTTGTAAACAAACATTAATACATTCTGTCTGTACATTTAAAATATATGTAATATATTTTTAGAGTTTAGCCTATAGTCTAGAGCTTAACATAATAAGTAATTATGAACTTTGTATTAAAGGATATACTCCAGGATGACCTCGACTACCATAGGCAAAATCTGGTGAACAAGTTAACCTAGCACGCTCTCCGACACACATTTGAGCAACTCCTTGGTCCCAACCTTTAATAACTTCTCCTTTACCTATTTTGAACTTAAATGGCACTCCACGGTCCCTGCTGGAGTCAAATTTTTTCCCATTGTGAAGAGTACCTGTTGAACATTTTTAAGATTGTAGCTTGAATTCAGAACTATTTTTCTATTTCTAAATATATAAAATAAAAATATATCCATAATGGAAATCAATTATTCTGTTCTCAACACACAATATCTCACTCATAAAAAATTTATCTCAAGCGATAACACTGTAGATATATTAGAAAAAATTTGTAGTTTAAATATTGCAACACAAGTGATGTAATAATAAAAATAATTACAAAGATATTTACCTGTATAATGAACAACTACGGTTTGTCCAGTTTTCGGATAAGTCTGACCTGTACACATATAGCAAACACTATTTAAAAAAAAATGTTGCATTATAAATGAAAAGTGTTGAATATTGAAATTTTAAATATTCATTGAAAGTATCAAGTATCAATCGAAATTGCCTTCTTTGGAAGAAGGCACAGACTAAGCATGCTTTCCATCGATTTAAGGTTGTAAATAAATTTTGTTAAGAAAAACTTTTAGTCACATTTTTATAGAAATATGGCTATTAAAGTTTATTCAAAATCGAGACAGAATGGAATCGGTAAGGTATAAATTAAGAAAAAAGAAACAGCAATCGAGAAATAAAAGTGAAAGATCGTAGAATACTATGTACAGAATACTTACCATCCCCAGGAGAAAGAACTTCCACATCCACGCCCATGATTACGTATTTTCTGTTGTACAAAATTAGATTCTTGACAAAGAAATAATTAAATTTTATGATATGAAGTTAAACGGTCTATACCGGTAAGCAGAATTCACATAAACGTGACTGTTGGAGCTGCAAAAAACGATGGCAGTCCAATACCATTCGCTGAATACGTGTATATATAACAAGGTATCTGAAGATACCCTTGGGGAAAGAAGTTTTAACTGGAAAAGCCGCCGTTAGGTTCGCTGCTATCTCAAATCTTCCGGTTAACACTTAACGATCGATGCGAACATTTCCGATCCCGGCAAATTTAAAGTATAAATTATTATTTTTATAGCTAACAAGAAATGTAAAGATTTCCATAGAAAATGTAAAAATTAAACATCACAAAATGATATTACACTGTTAAATAATTTTTATTTAAAGTAACAAGTATAGATTTTCAAATTTGATTACTGCTTGCACATACAATTACTAAGTAAAATAATACATGGAATTACTGATAAATCACAATAGTACCATAAAAACTTACACCGTAAAACGTATTTACAAATGACTTACATTAACAATATTTCATGTTAACGCTTTACCTACCAAAAGCCTCCTAGTAGAGGTACTAATCTGTTTTATTTGTGGGCTGTAGGTAATGTGTTAAGACCTATAATGCTTACAAGATAAACCATTTATATAAAGATATAAATATGAAAATGTATATATTATTCAATAAGATTCATATAAAAAAAAATATATCAAAATTGGAACAGATCTATTAATTCACTATCTTGTAGTATCAGTAAATTAAGATAAAACTCATCAAAAATCGACGTAACAAATTAATTAAGTAATTAAATAATTCATAATACTTAAAGAGCAAATAATAATGTTTTCTTCTTTATACTACCCTCGTTTTAATTCAATACCACCTCATTAGTGTTTAACACGTTCGTTACCAGTGTCACATTAAAACATAGACTGTCATATAATCTAAAAAATAGTATAATATATAAATGGCGTGCATAGTTTTAAGTTATAATATTTTATTTTGTTAAAAGAATACTCCATTGTGGACGCATTTCTAACTGAGTGCTGGTAACAGACGTATTAGTATAAAACAATGAGTAGCATATATTAAAGTATAAATTTTGGAAATATACCAACATTTAAGTTTTTGTAACATTCAAAATAAATGTTGGAAGTTATGATTTTTTTCTGTCCATATCATATATTCTTTCCAATAAAGCTGATGATATACTTCCGGGTATTCTCTGGTGCTGATTTATTAAATCTCTGAGTGCATCTGCAACCTTAAAATAACAATTTCCATCTCGCTTATTCTGTTGAAATTTTAATAAAATCCACGAAATTTTTATTCGTATTATTCTTACCTTTGCCTGTAACTCTTCAGGAGTAAGATTTCCGTCATACGGAATTGGTTTACCAACATATGTTGTTAACTTTACTGGAAACCCTCCATAAATAGGTACAAAAGGAAATCTAGTTGCAGCATATATTCTCAACCATATTCTTCTACCCCAACTTACTGTTCTAAATGCTTCTCTAACATTTTTTGTAAACAAAGGTATTATGCACTGTTACAAAAACATTAATGTTTCAAACTGATTTGAACATAAAAAAAAACACAGCTTACAATAAAATAACATACCACTTTAGCATCCAATGCAGCCTTTGCAAAACCTACTCTTTTTTTCCACAATAATTGATAATAAGAATCTCCAAATTGAGCTTCATAGACACCACCAGGTGAAATAGCAAGCATGTTTCCATCTTTTAAAATAGTAGAACATGTTTGTACAGTACCAGGTATGACATTTAATACATCAGAAATTATAGACCATCCAGGACATTTAAAGAGAAATCTATCTGCTACTGTATGAATCAATTTTGAATGCAGAAGTAATACTTTAGATATAAAATAATAAAGATCTATGGGAATAGCTCCATGATAATACACAAAGAGTACCGGTTCATTTTCTGGTATATTTTCTAGTCCAACTACTTCATATCCTATAAGAAACAGAAAGATTGAAAGTTTTAAATATTTTTCATTTGCAAGAACATTCGAAATAATATTAATATTGTTTAACATACCATACCAAATCCACCCATGTGCATCCCACACAGCAGCTACTACATTGCGAGCTGCATTCCTCCAATCAGTTCCATATGCATTTCTTAGTCTAGCTCTGTTAAGGTAAAATATAATATAAAAGATACAAAGCTTATTCTTCAATGATATTCAAATTAATAAACACATACCTGTGTAACTTATATACATATAATATTAATGCAGTTAAGTACAACAATACCACAATTAAAAGTGGAAGTAAGAATGTTATTAACAATGGCATTAAAAGCCATGATAACCAAAGGGTGAAATCCACGTCGATGTAATCAACTTAAAAGAAAATTATATGAGTTAGCTATTATTATATATGTTGCAAAGTATAAAATAAATAATAAATAAGAGATAAATTTGATAGAGAAGGATGTATAACTTCTCACAAACAGGAATTCTAATACTTAAAACATATTTATAACATTATAATATTTCATTTATAAGTAATTAAATATAAAATAATATTGCGCATATAGTATATAAATACCTGTAGCATCTTCTAAAATTTTTCGAAGATTTAATATCACCGAAAACATGTTTGAATTACAAAAAATGGAAACAGAATAAATGAATTATTGCAATCATAAAAATGCTGATATTGCCTTATTAAACATCCTCGTGGTGGTATAAACGCAAATATGAATTTGCGGATATCTGATTCCCTTTATTTCATATCTTTCATTTATATTTCGGAGTAAATTTATCTAGGATATATATTATATCTTCTAACACTTTATAAAACTTTGTATAGTTCTAAAATAATTGATATCCATTCGTCAATTACATATTAATCATGCATGAAATGGATGTTTTTTTAAACTGCACCGGCTAACTTTGATGTAAACAATTACGTGCAATTCCATAAATTATCAGACAAGAATGTATTTATTTACATACAGTGTGTCGCTATAATGAAAATAATTGTACGCCGATATACCTAATTTCGGATTCAACAATTTCAACAATACAGGTTTGTAACACCCATGGAGGGGTTAATTAACCCATCTGACGACAATGATTGCAAATCCAACAAGACTGAACATGTCCTTTTTTTCCAAAGGTCTTGAATTTATGCATCCAGAATAAGCACCTTCGGCTTTATTAGTATAAAAATGTGAAACACTTTGCACTGCAACTGTTTAACGCATGTTGACACAAATAAATTGCTTCAATACCAACAACTATACTCCATCACTCAGCGTTTCGAGCTCAGCTAGTCACTATGAACAGCTTATTAAAACTAACATTACCTTCTCAATAATATCGCTAGGTAAAAATGCTTATTTTTACATTTTACATTTGGTTTACAAGTTAAAATGTGAATTATAATTTAATTGCAAAATTAAATCTCCCGCCAAATTCTGGAAGAGGGACCACTAGCGCCATCTATCCGAAAGTGGCGGAAACTATTCGACAAGTAGTTTCCGCCACTTTCGGATAGATGGCGCTAGTCAACTCCTCAACTAGTTATCGACTTATCGACATTTACAAATTTACTGTAAATTTGACTTTTACAAATTTGCTGTAAAGACATGTAACATTTATTGCTGTAACGGATCTATGAGCTCGTATGGAGCTTACGATCCTTTTCTCAATAAATAAAATACAATATCGATATTTTCGAGACCACTAGCGCCATCTATACGAAAGTGGCGGAAAGTACTTGACGACTAGTTTCCGCCACTTTCGGATAGGTGGCGCCAGTGTTCTTCTTGTGGATGTCGGTAAGTCGGTAACTCGTTGAGTAGTTTGAACCGTTCTCGTATAGATAGCGCTACGATCGAATTTTTAACCCCACCTCCTTCTCTATGGCGGTCTTTTTAAAGTACAAGTTTGTCAAACAATTATTTTAATAATAATTTCTTGGTCTGGCATTGATTTTAATTGACTTCTAAAAAAAGTAGAATCAAAGGGAGTCAAAATTGTGGCTTTTCAGTTGTGATTACGAGTAAGAGGGGCTGAAAACAGATATTATATACTAACTGTGCTGTGTAATGCAGACCTATCTTTACCTCGGGGTGTCTGAGATCCCCTAAAATCGTAACCCTTCGAGAACAAAAACATGTTCTGTCGTTTTATATCTGTAGTCATTGCGTTCAACGATAGAACAGGAAGCTTGATTTCATTGCGGGTGCTGACCGCAACAGTGGTTCTCAGTGTAATGTTTCAGAGGAGAGACTCTGATAATCATTCTTTCAATGAAAGACACCTGGATCAACCTGGATACATTTGGATCGAGCGTAAGTGGTGATTTTGGAGCTCGATCCAGAATTTCTCAAATTGTCTGTTTCAAAACAAATTCCATTAATTAAAAGCAAAAGTTATCGTCATAAAAATGGCTGATTTCTTAGACTCAGAAGCAGAGGAGAGTGAGGTATTTGCATCTTTTAATTTAATTTCATCACGTTTACGATGCCTTGAAATTCCTTCTTAATTATCTATGATACTTTTATCGTTAATTCAATGATTTTTATAATTTAGGAGGAAGAGGAGTTAAACGATAACGAGAAAAAAAAACTCAAAAAAATAAAGGCTGTGGAAGAAAGTGAGGAAGAAGAAGAGGAAGGTGAGGATAAAGTAATACGTATCAAGGTTGTATCATAATTTTTTGCAAATATTCTTTTGCATTATTTTGGATCAATTCTTTCTTCTACAGTTGTTATACAGCGGTATAACGTTTTCAATTATTCATTTACAGATGACGAAGACCGCTTGAGAGAGGAACTTAAAGACCTGATAGATGACAATCCAATAGAAGAGAGCGAAGGGGAAGATAGCGACGCTTCTGGTGGATCTAAGAAGCGGAAAAAGAGCGACGATGAAGATTTCGACGATCGTTTAGAAGACGAAGATTATGACCTGATTGAAGAAAATTTAGGATTTAAAGTTGAAAGGGTAAGTTTTGGCAAACCTTTGTTTTTTAAAAAAATCTTAAATTAAACAGGTATAGTGATATGATCCTTTACTTTAGAAACGTTTCAAACGCCTCCGCAGGATTCAAGATGAGGAATCCGAGGAGGAACAGGAAAAAGAGGTGGATGATGATAGAGATGCGATCGCGAACGAGCTTTTCGAAGGCTCTGGAGATGTAAGTTATCCTTTTAACGTGTCCTCTATTAGTGCACATTTAACTTACTAACATATGCTTAATACTTACATTTATTTTCGCACATCTATCAGGAAAGAGAAGTCACTATGGTATGTAAAAATACTTTAATAGATAATAATTTAATTTAATTTAATAGATAATAGATAAATAATAGATGTACAGAGAAGTATGGGATTATTATTTACTTGTTCTCTTTGTTTTTCTAATCTGTTTTGTTTTAATCGTCCGTTAGGAGGATGAGAGGAGAAGCGAGCGCAGTCACAGACCCGAATTGGATACATTCGACGAAGAAGGAAGCGAAGGGGAATACACGGATGAGGATGATTTTATCGTTGACGATGACGGTAGACCGATTGCTGAGAAACGTAAAAAGAAAAAGCCAATATTCTCCGATGCGGCTTTACAAGAAGCCCAAGATATCTTCGGTGTCGATTTTGATTACGATGAGTTTGGTAAATACGGTGAGGAGGATTATGAGGAGGAGGAGGAAGAAGAAGAAGAAGAGGAAGATGAATATATGGACGACGAGGACGCCGAAAGGCCAAGAAGACCCAAAAAACAATTAAAGAAGAAAACTACGAGGAAAAGCATTTTCGAAATTTATGAACCTAGTGAGCTTAAACGCGGTCATTTCACTGACATGGATAATGAAATACGTAATACCGATATACCAGAAAGAATGCAGCTCCGTTCGGTTCCTGTTACACCAGTTGCCGAAGGTTCCGACGAGTTAGATCTCGAAGCAGAATGGATCTATAAACAAGCGTTTTGTCGGCCAAATATATCGATTCAGGACGCGCATTTAAATGCCGAAGCCAAGGAAAGAGCTCGAAAAGGGCCTCAAACGATCGGCAAAATCAAGAAAGCTTTAGACTTTATGCGAAATCAACATTTCGAGGTACCTTTTATATCGTTTTATAGAAAAGAATACGTTCTACCTGAATTAAATATCAACGATCTTTGGAAAGTGTATAAATTCGATGCGAAATGGTGTCAGCTTCGTCAGAGAAAAGGAAATTTATTAAAATTATTTGAGAAAATGAGAAACTATCAGCTGGACGAGATTATGAAAAATCCTGATGAACCTTTAGCTGATAACGTGCGAGTAATTAAAGACGACGATATAGAACGGCTGAAGAACGTGCAAACCAGCGAAGAACTGAACGATGTTTATCATCATTTCATGTTGTACTACAGTCATGAAGTTCCAGCTATGCAGGAAGCTACTCGAAAAAAGGAGAAAGAAGCTCGAAAAGAGGCGAGGATTCAAAAACGAAAGCAAGAAATTCTAGACGCGGAAGAGAACGGCGAGCCTCCACCAGAGGAGGAAGTGGAAGTTGAAGAAGAAGACGAAGGAGACGATACGTTGAAACAGGCGGTACGAAGTGGTCCATATTCCATCTGCAGGCGAGCTGGTCTCGATAGTCTCGCAAAGAAATTTGGTCTTACTCCCGAACAGTTTGCTGAAAATTTACGAGACAATTACCAGCGACACGAAGTAGATCAAGAACCTACGGAACCTTTGACCATCGCCAACGAATACTGTAGTCAGATTCTCCCCACACCGGAGGAAGTACTAAAAGCAGCACAATTAATGGTAGCAATTCAATTAGCGCGTGAACCTTTGGTAAGAAAATGTGTCAGAGAGATGTACATGGAAAGAGCAAAAATATCTGTGAAGCCAACGAGAAAAGGGATCAAAGAAATCGACGAGAATCATCCGATTTATGGAATGAAATATTTGAAAGACAAACCTGTGCGGGATTTGGTCGGCGATCAATTTCTAAACTTGATCATAGCTGAAGAGGATAAATTGATAACGATCACGTTGAGCGACAGCATCGAGGGGAATACAAGCAACAATTACGTGGACGAAACGAAGCAGCTCTATTACAGAGACGAGTTTAGTAAAAACGTTCAAGATTGGAATGCTTTGCGAGTTGGAAGCGTCGAGACAGCGCTAACTCGCATGGTTATACCGAGCTTGAAGAAGGAACTTAGAACGAATCTTACAGCAGAAGCTAAGGAATGCGTGATGAGAGCCTGTTGCCGCAAGATGTACAATTGGATCAAAGTCGCCCCGTACACCTGCGAATTTCCCGAGGAGGAGGACGAGGAATGGGACACCGGGAAAGGGTTGCGGGTTATGGGTTTAGCATACGTTCCGGATTACTCTCAAGCAGCGTTCACCTGTCTAATCGCCCCGGACGGAGAGTGCACGGATCACTTGAGATTGCCCCATTTAATGAAACGGAAGAACAGTCACCGGGAGGACGAGAAAACGATGAAGGAGGCAGATCTGTTGGCGATTCGAAATTTCATAGCGACGAAAAAGCCACACGTTGTGGTGATAGGCGGTGAGTCGCGAGAAGCGATGATGATCGCCGCCGACGTTAAAGAATGTATCGCGAATCTGGCGGAGGAGGAGCAGTTCCCTTCGATCCAGGTGGAGATCTGCGACAACGAGCTCGCTAAAATCTATTCGAACAGCAACAAGGGTGTATCAGAATTTCGGGATTATCCAGAATTATTGCGGCAGGCTATCTCGCTGGCCAGAAGAATGCAAGATCCTCTGGTGGAATTTTCTCAATTATGCACAGCGGACGAGGAGATCTTGTGTCTCAAGTATCACGGTTTGCAGGATCAATTACCGAAGGAGGAGCTTCTGGATAATATATATTTGGAATTCGTGAACCGCGTGAACGAAGTTGGCGTGGACGTAAACAAAGCGGTGCAACAAGCCTATTCCGGTAACTTGGTACAATTTGTCTGCGGATTAGGTCCGAGGAAGGGGCAAGCGTTGGTCAAGATGCTGAAGCAAACTAATCAGAGGTTAGAGAATAGAACGCAACTTGTCACCGCTTGTCACATGGGGCCTAAGGTGTTTATTAACTGCGCGGGTTTTATCAAGATAGATACGAACAGCTTAGGGGACAGTACCGAGGCGTACGTAGAGGTGCTAGACGGTTCCAGGGTGCATCCGGAGACGTACGAATGGGCGAGGAAAATGGCAGTCGATGCTTTGGAATACGACGACGAGGACGCTAATCCCGCAGGTGCCCTCGAGGAGATTCTCGAGTCCCCTGAACGATTGAAGGATCTCGATTTGGACGCGTTCGCGGAGGAGCTCGAGAGGCAAGGTTTCGGGAATAAATGCGTCACATTGTACGACATCAGGGCGGAATTGAATTGTAGATACAAGGATCTGCGCGTACCGTATCAGTCGCTCACCGCGGAGAGATTGTTCGACATTCTAACGAAAGAAACGCCGGAAACGTTTTACGTTGGCAAACTGGTGTTGGCGACGGTAGTAGGAATAAGTCACAGGAAGCCACAGGGCGACCAACTGGACCAAGCTAATCCTGTGAGGAACGACGAAACGGGTTTGTGGCAATGCCCGTTTTGTCTGAAGAACGATTTCCCTGAATTGTCGGAAGTGTGGAATCATTTCGACGCCGGTGCTTGTCCTGGCAAAGCTACCGGCGTTAGGCTCAGATTGGACAACGGTATATCCGGTTATATTCATATAAAGAATTTGTCCGACAGACACGTTGCGAATCCTGAGGAGAGAGTGAGCATAGGGCAAATAATACATTGTCGGATAATTAAAATCGAAGTAGAACGATTCAGCGTCGAATGTACGAGTAAAAGCAGCGATCTCGCTGACAAGAATCACGAATGGAGGTACGTTCTTCTCACTTTTTCTCTTCTAGCATTTTGAATAAAGATTGAAACTACTTAAATTTGTTTTCAGACCCCAGAGAGATCCGTTCTACGATACGGATGCGGAACAGAAAGATGTTAAAGTCGAGGAAGACGCGAAGAAAGCGAAACAACGTCAGACGTACGTGAAACGAGTTATCGTTCATCCTTCTTTCCACAATATCAGTTTCGCCGAAGCTGAGAAATTGATGCAGAGTATGAAACAGGGAGAGGCGATAGTTCGACCAAGTAGCAAGGGTGCGGATCATTTGACGGTCACGTGGAAAGTGACCGATCAAATCTATCAGCATATTGATGTAAGGGAGGAAGGTAAAGAGAATGCCTTCTCCCTGGGACAAAGTCTCTGGATCGGAAACGAGGAGTTCGAGGACTTGGATGAAATAATCGCGAGACACGTCAATCCGATGGCTGCGTACGCCTCGGAATTATTGGACTTTAAATATTACAAGTCCACGGTTGAAGGTATCAAAGATAAAGCAGAGGAAATACTGAAGGAACAGAAGAAAGAAAATCCTGGAGGAATACCGTATATAATATCTGCCGCTAAGGTTTGTTTCAACATCGACGCTTATGTCGGGTTAATAATAATACTTCCAATATTCGGACGCCCGCCTGATATATAACTGTATCGTTTCAGAATTATCCTGGAAAATTTCTTTTGTCTTATCTTCCCCGAACTCGATGTCGACACGAGTACGTAACAGTGTCTCCGGAAGGATTCCGGTTCAGGGGGCAAATGTTTGGACGAGTAAACGACCTGTTTCGGTGGTTCAAGGAACATTTTCGCGATCCCGTACCTGGACAATCTACTCCAAGTACTCCGCGTGGTGCAATCACTTCCAGAACTCCTTACCATACCACTCCAGGTGCAGTAAGCGGTAAGCGTTTGATTTATCCTTCTCAGTCTTTAAACGTTCCTTCAATTTTTTATATCAATATTGCAGGAATGAACCAAGAAGCTATACAAAGAGTCGCACAAAATCTTCCTCATCACATGTTGCATTCTTTATCGCAAGTAGCGAATCAGACTCCCCATCACTATCCTCCGCATACACCAGGAACTGCGAGCGCGACTGGATACGGTGGAGTTCATACTTATCCCAATACACCTTACACACCTTCTGGTCAAACACCTTTCATGACTCCGTACCAGACACCGCATCATACACCGCATCATGGTCAACCAACTCCTAGATACGGTCAGCAAACGCCAAATCATCAGCAAGGTCCATTCGTTCATCCGCCTCCTCCTGCAGGGGTAACCACTCCAGGTCATCACAGATCTACTCCGTCTCACAGACCTACTCCTCCTATGTCGGCAGCCGGAGATTCTACGGACTGGAAAAAAGCAGCGGAAGCATGGGCACGATTAAAAAGCGGTCCCCGAGTCACGTGAGTATACCCTCGACTTTATCAATCGATAAAAATATTTATCGTTACCTTTGTTTTGTAATTTTTCATTAGTGGCTCTACTCCAAGATACGACGATTGTAGAAAGACTCCACGAAACTACGAGGAATCGATTGGTAAAACAACCCCACGCAATAGAACTTCAACGCGAACTCCATCTTACAAGTCTCCTCGGGGTACACCGCATACCAATTCTAGTCCACGGAGTATGTCTCTCAGCGGAGATGGTACTCCTTTATATGATGAAAGCTAACGAATTCGTTTTCACCATAATATATCATGTTTTTTTTCTTTTTTTTTTTTCTATTATATCAAACGATATAATAATAAGAAAAATACCAGAGGAATCTAGAAGAGAATCGAGAATTACATTGCTCTGAAAAAAGTGCTCTTATTTTTCAGCACTAATCGAATTGTATAAAAAATCAAAAATGCCGACCCCATTTATCAAAAAATCGTAATAATACACAGATTCCTACATGATTTTCAACCTCTTACACGTTTATATATTTCGATAAACAATAAAATAACATATTCTTGCATACATGCAATTATGTCACTACATACCCTCGATTCTCTTTAAAAGATGTGCATTAAGTACGATTTGAAAAATCGTCTTTGAAATTGACTTATATATTTATTTTTTGCAATAACAATGTATACTAATTCATGCCTTGGTATATATATATATATATATATGTATAACATATTTTTCTTCCATTTTAATTTTATCGATATTAAGTTGTTGTACAGTTCTTATGTTACTGACTTAGGAATGCAACGTGTTTCTTATATGCTTTATACAACTGTTAAATTACACGATGAAATAATAAAACAATTTTATCTTATAATTTTGTTTTATTATCCAAACTTTGAAGCGAACAGCAAATGCACACATTTTAATCTCTTTTATTAAAAACTATAATAGGATTACTTTAATTATCAAATATACGATGAAGCATACAAATATAATGTATAAATGAAAATTATTTTAGGGAATGTTATTTTATACACGTGATTCCAAATCGTCGGATAATACATCGTCTTTAGATGAAATACCTTTATAATATGTACATATTACGTCACGTTTTCCAGATGAGACCTTAGGTCTCTGAAACCTAAATAAGTATATTATATTACTGTCGAATATATTGTTAAATTGATACTAATAATGTTCTCGAAAATTACATTTGTTTTGAGATGTCCAAGTTGGCTTTCGTCGACGTTTTGGTCAATTTCGATTCATCGAGCCTCGGATGTGGTTCACGCTTTGAAATTAATGTCAATTTACAAGATCTCTCTTTCAATCTATACATAATTAATAACTTACCGAATTTTCTATACTTGTTGAATGTGCAGCCTGTTTATTATTTATATTTACAGAATTAGATGGTGTTTGTTTAATCAATCTTTCTATCTAGTAAGATAAATGAAATATAATAAAAGCATGAAAAAAAGAATAAAAATAAGAAAAACAATATTACCTTGCGAGGAGAAACGTTTTCACTATCACTAGAGTGATCCGATTCTTGCGTTCGTACATCTTTCCCTTTTTTATGTTTCGTTACAAATTTTTTAGATACTTTACTGTCAATTCGTTTTTTATCACTTGTATTTTCATCAACTAATTTTTCTTGAAAACTCTGCAACATGGAATATTGTATTTTCTATGAAATATTACACAATATAAATGAATAAAAGGAATTGCATACTGACTGTATACGGACAGTATACTGGATTGTCATCTTTAAACGTAACGCGTTCTCCTGTAAAACATGACAAAAATAAAGAAATATGAAGACTTATTCAATATATGAAAATAAAAAAGTTTTTAATTCATTACCAGTCCAATAATTTAATGGGCGCATAATTCTCCTGCCTTTCGAACTTACACCGACATTTACAACATTCGTGGACGAATTATTCATATCAAGTGTACTATCTGAACTATCATCATCTGAAATATTTTGTAATGATTTCCAGGTTTTGCAAAATTGATCTATTCTGGATGGACAACCATAACGACAATGATTTATCAACTGTTTAGGTATAACTGTACAAAATATAGTAAAATTCAATTAATCAATGAAATATAACTATCAGTATATAAGTATCATATTTTAATGGTCTACCATGTTTTGTATCATTTAAATCGCCAATTAACTCATAGAATTCATGATCCACTGTTTCTATCAGTTTTGCTGTTACTCGACGAACAACAGTTTTCGTTTGAAAGTTTTTGTGCAGAACGTGACCAGCATCGCTATACGATAAAAATTACAATGAAGTTTAGGTTGCATTAATAAGATATAAAATGTATTTAATCGCTTACTTTAACAATGTGCCCTTGAAAATTAAGGATAATTTTGGCTTGTATAATACTTTCGGTATCCAAGCAGTTAGTGACTTCGGTTTAGAATACCTTGTATCTTGATGATTATCTTTTAAAGTTTTCAGATTAGACTGAGGCGACACGTTTAAAGTAGTAGAGTCTCCATTAGCTAGCTGACCTTCAACATGTTTTTCTAAATCTTTCTTGCTATTGTTTAACAAAGTTGCATCAGCCTGTCTGGTAGCATGAAAATTTGTAGGAGACTTTTTCTGTATCCAATTGCTAGTTTCATTTTCTTTATTTAAATCTTTAGTATCCTTATCTTCATTCTTAGCTGCAACTGTTTTTTGTTTTCGTAAAGAATAGCCTGTTTTAAAACCTCTCATTTCTATGTTAGTAGGTACCGAGCTAATTATTGTAGGTTTTGCAATTTTACTAGTGCTATGATACAAGGATTCTGTAGATGATTTGCAATATGTATAATTGTGATGTTGATCATTCTTTTCATTAATAATTTTCATAGCAGAATTTGTTTCTCTTATATTAAGATCTACTCCTCCGCTCATTTCTCTTATATTAAAATTTGTTTCGTTTCCTGTATTTGTACAGTTTCCAGTTAATGTACTCCTAGATTTTTCATTTTTCATTTCATCAAAAGAATTGCAAAAATTGTTAATAGATTTGTGTATAGGTGTTGAATTTTTTCGTTTGAAACATTTTTGTACTTCGTGCATATTTTTACTTTTATTGAAATTATTCAGTCTGTTCGACTGTTCTACTTCAGTAATATCGAAATCGATAGGTTTGATCATTTTACTTTGAATATTTGAATTACTATCTCTTCTTTTTGCGCTTTGAAAACATCTTTTATATTTTTTAGTATCAATACTAGAATCGTCAAAATGTATGTTATTCATCTGTGTAGAGTTTGATCCATCGACATAATGTTCAGCTAAGGATATATTTGAAACACGTGGCTTATACGTAACATCATATTTTTCATGTGCCCTCTTTTTTATTTTACGTTTATGAGGTTTTAACGCTTCCCTCTTTCGTAATAGTTGCTCCACTGGTATTCTAGGAACTCCTGCATAAACTTCATTTTTATTCTCAAAACTATCATCATTATCATTATCCTTACTCATTTCTGTAAAAGTCCGTTTTTTTGATAACAGTTCGTCGTGATTTATAATTTTATCTTCTTTTGAAATGCATTTATGATTAATTATTGAATTACTGGGCGTGTTTTTATTATGTATTACATCGTTTATCATCGAAATCGATTCTGATTTTCCAGATTTATTAGTTGTTTCTTTATTGTGCTCATTTCTGTAATTCTTTAGTTTTAAATCTTCTGTACTGAATTCATTATCTTCATCTGATACAAGATAATTGAAAAATTTGGCTATCTCAATAATTTCATTAATGCACTCTGTAGGAGAGCTTTTATCCAACAAATTGTTTAAAATAATATTTAATTTTTCCTTTAATTTATCTTTATTTTTGGTATGAAAATACTTAACATTTGCATTTTCCTGGTTTTTATTACATTCTCCATTGTACATATAATGATTCAATGGAGTATCAGTGTCAACATGATAAAACGAATTTTCAGTTACACCAATAAGTGATGTTTGTGTAAATGAATCTTTTTTCTTGCAATTATTCAAAATAAAAGTTCCATCATTTACCCACTGTGAAGCACTTAATGAAAAATCGGAATAAGGTTCAGACAACTGTGATTTTTTAGAAGATTCTAAATTTGACACTTCTTGTTTAGAATCTTCAAAATGTTGATATGTAAGATCTGTTAATTCACTTTTCAAATCATCATCACTGTCTGTAATAGGAGTAGGCCAACGAAAGGATGCTCTACATCCTTGTTGTACAAATATTCTCCAAATCTGATGAACATTTTCCCAGTCATCAGGAAATCCATTATAAAATTTGCCCTTGACATATTCTGGTAATTCTAAATATAACAAATAAAATTAAAAACAGTATATATATAAAGATAAGTATATGTATAATCACATATTAGATATTTTACCATGTTCATCGTCAACAATATTTCCCTGTATATAGTACAAGTCTTTGCCAACAGATTCAACACTGATACTTGATAATTTTCTCACAATAGGTTTACTTTGACAAATTTTATTACTGAAATCATGAACAAAACGAATAAATATTAAACTAGATAAATATTAAATAAAATATGTATACATAATTAAAAGTAATTACCATGGTGACATTCCTTTAATAACTAACTGACCATGTTCAGTTAACATAACTTTCCATTTTATGAAAATTTTAACATTCTTTATTTGTGAATCATCAGCACTAATTTGTGAAAAATTAACAGAATTAGTGTATTGTTTAGTAGTATTAGAAAGTTCAAAATTTTGTTTCTTCCTATTAAATTCCAGGTAGGAAGGAATACGGTTGTTCTGTGACATTGGAGAAACTTTTGCATTGTATATTAATGTATCATTCCTTTTTTTAGAAGTACGAGGAATTACATGACTGTTAGGTGGCTGCATGATAAGATAATTTTTCTGAGTATCGCTTTGTGTACTAAATCCTTTCCTTGAAAATATATTTTTCAAATTTTTGCTCGAAGAAACAATATCATTATCATTAGCAGCACAGTTGGATGAATCTACATAATTATTAGATGTATGAGATAACAAAGATGGTAACGATTCATTCGTGGTACTTTTCTGTCTAAGAGAAGCCAGTTTTAATTCTCGTTCTAATTCTTTATACCGTTTTTGTACCTGAAAGTCTCCAAACTTTACCTTAAAAATGTAAACAAATTCGAGATTAATTAAAAAATTATTCACTAACAAAAGAAAATAATTGTAAATCTGATTACCTCAGTTATGCGTGCCATTCGACCTTAATCGTTCACTTATACATAAAATAAAATACTTAATAATAGCGCGCAATTTTCCGTTGAAATGGCGTTCACCATTTTAAAAATTCAGTGGTTCTCCCTTCTCGTCTGTGTCTTCAGTGCTTCGTGACCATTGGCAAAGGATGCACGCGTAAGAGAAAGCCGCAATATTCAAAATTTCTCTTAGAAAAGCTTGCCATACTCAGTATGTACTGTTATAAATTTTGAATAAAATAAGTAGAGTTAAATAAGAGAGAGAAAAGTGAATGAATGGAAAACAGAAAGGTACGTTTAATAGCTTTTTACAATTACAATAAATAATACTTAAATATAATTATATGGAAAGTTATGTTTTCTGTTCATAACTCACGCTTGTCATATGAAACACAGTGTATACGTAGTTAGATGATTACTTAAACTCAATAAAAAATATAAAAAAATACACATGCTATATACACTTGATCTGAACAGTTCCTCAATATGTTGCCTTTTTTTTTAAAACAGAACTGCACCAAATTATTGTATAAACAACATTTAATCGGTATGGCTAATTATTCGATATTCTGAAAGGAAAAGTGTAAAACACGTACATACATACATACACAATATCGAAACATACATGCATATTAAGCTTAAGCTTCGGTCATTTTAAGTTTGAGAAACAAGCATCGTATAAATATTGGTCATATCTCTATTATTTTTGTTGTCTAATATTACTACTGTTACCACTGTTGTTATTATCATCATGATCATTATTCTTATCATAACTGTCATCATAAATACCATTACCATACTTGACATAATTTATTTTATCAAGAAGGAAGATACTTGTTTATTATGTGCTCCTTTTGATAAAAATGGAATAATCACATATTTTCGTTTGTCTTGCAGAAGCACAAGTAACTGTATAATTGATATTAATTGATAAAGCATGAAACCTCTACTTGTATACTAAGACATCTATACGAGTAAAATTGGACTAGATTTTTACACTGAAAATTGTATAATCTCAACCCGATGTTATGACTAATCTACAGCAAGTTATATGTAGTTAGCTGACGATATCTATCTTATTAAAGCGAATACAAGAAAACGTAGATCATTTCTTATTAATTAATACAGCACTGCCAGAGTCTTTTTTAATAATACTTAGTCATTTGTAATTTCCTGTAAGTAGAGAACAGAAAATCTGCTATTTGTCTAGGATGCAGTTAGCAGATTGCTTCTACTTTATGATTTACTACCGGTAGAATTATCAGCTTCCGTCGATCCTTCCGTTGAGTCTGCAAGTTCTTTTTGATGAACCTTCGAACTTCTATCCTTAAAATCTCGTCGATGATGATAGTTATCGCTATCTCTACGATCTTTTTGAGAACTTTGACCCCTATATTTTCGATTGCTCTCATCGCGGTAATAATTACGATATCCTCGAGACCGATAAAATGGAGACTCGAAAATCATTGTGTCCGATTTCATGTTTCCGTTTAGAAGTTGCGGTAATACGGTAGAATCTACTTCTGACTGATGATCTTGTTTATCGTGTCGATTCCTTCCATTCCTACGATAATTAAAATTAAGATAAAATATTACTACATGTAATAAAACACAAAATATATATTTTAAACATTACCTAAGTGCTCTACGATGCCAGTAACTTTGGCTCTGTAATGGTGGAAATTTATTAGGAGCTTGTTCTTGCGCGGTACTAGTAGGTGATCCGCGGCTACGATGGCTACGATGACTGTCCCGAGATCGGGCTCCTTTATTACCGCTTGTATTTGCCGATGATTCCTGTAACGTTCCAATTTCTTTCCGCTGATCCTGATTCCGTTTACGCAACCGTTTTACAAGCGCTTCTGTAACTTCTAAACGCGAAACTAATTCAGCTCGAGCTGGGTCAACTTTGTTTTCCACTTGTATTCCTATGTCTATCATCGATGATTGTTTATTTACCGTTTCTTCTTCAATGGATTGTAATTTTCTGTAATAAACAGAAGTCTTTATTTAATTCTATACTAATTAAATATTTCTTAACAACCTCTGCAATTACTAACTTATTTTGTTGTTCAATGATCTCAGATAAATATTGGTTCTGATTTTTAGCCTCTTGTAACGATGTCTTAGTATCTTGTAGATCTTTCTCTAAAAGTTCCACCTGTAATGATGAAATGTTTACACACACTGGGCTACCCTGCAAAAGGAAACACGACGAGAAAATTTTTATGTAATATCAAAACATATTTAATCTATAAAGATTACCTTTGCTTTCATGAACCCAGTTCCATTATCTTCAGGGGAAGAAGGAGTACTAGCTACGCAAGTTGATCCTTTTGAAAATACTAATTGAAACTGTAGATCTATATAGCAATTACAGAATATTAGAATTTACTTATAATAAATATGTTACTAATTTACTACTGTAACATTCTACCTCTATTCTTTTGACGTAATGAATCTACTTCTTGGTGTAAAGCAACTAGCGTCGCTTGATGTTGCTCTTGTAGAAATTTCATATTTTGCTCAAGCTGAGCAACTCTATCAACATTAATGCTTTGATGTCTTACAGTTTGATTTAAATTCTCATTTCTTTCCGGTAATGTTACTATGTCTGATGGTGGCTTTTTATCCTAAAAATATTATTTATGTTTTAATATTTTAGATCTTATATTTTAAAAAGTTACATACAATACTTACTTGTGGAAAAGACACTGTCGGTAATTTAACTAATACTTTAGATGCCATTTTGAGAAGTTTTATGTTTAAATAAAAGATTAAGACATAAACTGTTCACAACAAATCTAATGATTAGCAAAATTTCTTAACAGCATACAGATGAATAAAATAATTCACAAACCCATTGTCACAAAGAGGCTTCCCCTCAAAAGCAGATCATATTTTCAATCTGAAAAAACAAAATTGCAAAATCATAAATTAAAATAATAATGGTAACAAGGAAATGATTACTAGTTTATTTTGAATATTTAATGGAATGAAAAAGTAATTGTGTAATCGTGCAACGATATAGTGTTAATTGACTGTTAATAAGATAATATAATGTTTTTTATCGGAATTAAGATCATCCCGCGCTGTTACATCGTTATTCCGTGTATTTTAATATTACTGTGAAAAAATAAGTAATATGAAATGATCAAAAATGTAATTAAGAAAATATATAATATCGTGAAGCGAATTGAATTTCTGTAAAGTATTGCTAAAGTTCTCTTTTTATACCTTACCGAATTACGCTCGAATTTCTAGACGTTTTGCGAAATATAAGCCGCAAAATCGAGACGGTACGTAAGTAATCGGGAGCTTGGTGGAGCGTGATTCTGCGCCTGAATTTTCTGACGTCACATCGCGCCAACCGAAGGATTGAATAACAGGCTAACAATAATTTCATGATCCTGTACGACAAGCTATTAAATGATTTTAATCATTTCTCAGAATAATTAAATGCGAAATACATTAATTAGTTACAAATTATCATGTACGCGTATGAAACTTTCATAATTGTTATAATAAAGAAATAAAAATTTGCAATCATCAAACTAGTTACTTGGACGATTTTAAAAGTAAGCGCGCAAAGGTATAGATCGTCAGGTAGACCATTTCAGATACGCAGGACAAAACTTGTTCACAACAATCTATGTTTTCTACATCCTTGCGCGCGGGAGTATTGATCCAACGATATTTAACAAATGACAGCACACCCTTAACCGCACCCATGCTTTTGTAGATTTTTATCTACCGTTTACTTCCATAGACTTTTGTGCAAAACAATTGTAACTTATTTCTCAATGTTCCTTCAGACATCTTTAACGAAGAGAGATTTAATTGTTTCATTTTCTTTTTTTGAAAAAAATCGAAATGAAACAATATTGAAATTTTATAACATATAAATAAATAAATGTATAATAATTCAATGATTATTTGCATAAAACAAATCTAATCTTTATACTTAAGAAAATTATACATTATACATATTTATTTATATTGTTTAATACAGGCCTAATTTCAATTTGAAAGAATATCTTGAAGTATTTTCGTTAAAATATCGACTCAAGATGTCAATTTAACTCCTGTTCAAGACCGAATAGAAAGTAATTTATTAACTTTCGTATTATTATTCAAAGAAAAATAGAAATACGTTCGATTTTTTTTCAGAGTTCATGCAGCCTTTGATATATTTTATTAATTATATTCTTGTATGAACGTGAAAAATTCAACAAATACTTTTGCAAAACTTTCATCTAACCAAAAGAAAATGCCTTCTATTATAGAAAATAGACAAATCAATGAGATGAGTAACAAAGACAAAGAACAATTTCTTTCTTTTGAAATGAAGGAGGATTATAGCTTTAAGGTATTTTTATGCATAAATATGAGTAAACATATGTACAGATGTGTACAGGTATGTTGGATAAGGCAAAAAAGGAAAAAAACATTTTTTCTTGTTACAGTATATACCTGAAAGTCATTTTAAGCACATAGTGAAAAATGTTCAAAGACAAAGACGTAAAGAAGATGAGGAGCGTATCTGGACCTCATTTGTAAAAGAACAGGAGTTAAATGATTTGGATTTTTATAAAACAGATGATCATCAATCTATGCAAAGCATCAAAGGTCTCTTGCAAGAAAACATACTAGATGTAGATAGAGAACTTAAGAGACTCCAAGAAGATGCTCTCCCTGAACGAAACAAAGGAATTCATAAATCTGGTATTAAGAGAGAAAAGATTTATATAGAAGTAAGTATCTTTAAATGTTTAGTCAGATTATATCTGTTGTATAAAAAAAAAAAAATAAAGTTTATATCATTTGACTTTAGGCAAATCAAACAAAGATTAGTTCTCCAAAAGAGAAGTTGTTAGTAAAGGATAAAGGTAATAAAAGTACTAATGTTTTAATCCCAATTTTACAAGAAGATGTTTCTAACTGTAAAGAGTCTGAAAGATTGAAAAAAGTTGCTAAATCAAAAACTAAAAAATCTCTGTCTGATTCTTTAATTATGCAAAAAAAGTGTTACACAAATGAACTTCTTCGTGCAACTAATCAGTTTGAAAACAATTCTAATTCAGATTCTAGTAATAATAGAGATGGTATTATTTATATACAACCAGAGCCACTTACAATACACAAAATTCTGTCTATGCAAAAGAAAATTGCAGAGTTATTAAATGAAATTTCATTTAGATTATCCAGAATTCCTTTACCAGATGGTGATAATGATTTAAAAAGAAGACAACAACAAACAATAGAGTTTGCAATATGGTTTTCAAGAAATTATCTATACAATCTTAACAGATTAGTTGCAAGCATTCAAAAACACATCAGAATTGTGTCCTCCAGGATGGGACTAAAACAATATCATAAGAATATTGTATTTCATCAAGACATAATCAAACAAAAATTGATTGCTGCTCATCAATTACTAGTTCAAGCTTTAAATGCTTACTGTAAACATATTCCTAACTCTATTCTCGAAGGTCATAGTACAAAACTTCAAGAGGTATTACAGATAGTTTACAATCTAAAAGATATTTGTGATAAAGTTGAGATCTCTGCCAATTCTTTTTGTTCAGGAGATGCCACTATTATGTCTTTGGTAATACATATTAAAGAGATTTAATATATATTAAAATTTCACTACTTTACATTAAAATGTATTAAGAAATTATTTTTCTTTCCTTGCAGGGGAAGGATCTTCAAGAAAAATGTGATACTATTTTGTCTAAACTAAAATTATATTTAGAAAATAAACATCGACTAGCACGATGTAAAAATAGTGAATCCACTGTGAGTTTGGTACCGGTATCTTCGCCACACAAAGGACACTTTAATCGAAAACATTTGTCCAGTCGACTAAGCATGTACAATATGGATATTAAAATATCTTCTAAAAATAATCAAAGGAAAAAGAATAATTTCAGGAGAAAAAGTATATGAAATCTAAGATTTTACTTTGCGTAAAATACATTACTTTAAATATGTTATTAATTTAAGAATGTGGTTTTCAGGCTTCAGTCATCCAAAGAAAATAGAAAATAATGTTGTAGGATCGAAAAATATGTATGCTCAACGTTGTTCAGTACCAGAATTGTTATACCCTAGTCCCATATCATGTACATCATCTTCTAAAGACGTTCCTCAAACTGGTTCCATGAAAAATATGAATTGCTTAAAGGAAGAAAATATTAAAACCATGATGGATGGAGTATCAATAGATACTGAAAATGTGAGACATATTAATAATAAATTTTTTAAATATTCTAGAAGCAATTTAAAAAATAGATAATCTTACAAAATAGGATAGTAATTTGAATGTTCAAGTTAAATATAAGAGTATGGAACAACAGTCCGCTGTATTAAAGAAGAAATCATCTGGAGAGATGTGCCAGTCAAAGCATACAGAAAACGATGAAATATACACGAAAGTCAAAAACGTTGCTAACAACGATGACTTAATAAAAAAATTAACAGCTATCACCAAAGAACATTTGGCTACTCTAGCTCCTGTGATAAGCGATTTAATCACTTTTGTGTCGAAAAAGGTAACAGTGGTAATGATAGAATATAGATCTGATTTTTAAAAAAATTGCAGTTTAAGCATTACTCTGATAATAAATAATTTTAATAGCAAAATGAATCAGAAGTAAAACCAGTATCAGAAACTTCAATGGAAACATTAATGGAGTTTTTGCAAAAATACCAATCTCCTAAAGATTCTGACACTAAAGCACTTTTGAGAGATGAAGATTGTGAGCAATCACGCTCGAAATTAAATGGGTAAAAAGGACATAACAATATAAAATAATCTGGTTAATGAGCATAGTAGAATTAAATATTTTTGTACAATGACAGCTCATCTGGAGATCATAAACACGGTGGGAATGTACGATTGATTTGCATGTCATCTATGGATAAAATTTCCAAAACAACACAATGTAATGTTTCATGTCAGGCAGATGAGATTACATTAAGGGTAAGCAATTTGGACGATGTAATCAAACAACAATACTAAGAATATTTTTATAATAAATTTCTAGGCTAGTGATGATAAAAAAACTGTAAATTTAAATACCAAAGAAAAAGTGAAATTAGTTGTTCCAAAAGAGATTGAGTTACAATTTTTAGCATACAGATTGGAATATAAAAAACAATGTCAATCGAGGCCGATGTATTCTAGTAATACTCAAAATAAACCATGGAACATTGTAGCATGGTAAGAACATCAAATTATATTTATTCCATAAACTTTAAATAATGAAAATATTCTTAAATAGGATCTCTGATAAATTGATAGAGGAACTGATCATTGAGATAGCAAAAGAATTACAAATGAATGGTGTAGAAATTATTCAGAAATTATTTGAGATGGAATTTCAAGAATTTTAAGAACAACGCTTGTTTGTGCGTCGAATTAGAACCAAACATCATATTTACAAAACAATTTCTCAACTATTTTTTACTGAAACTATAGCTTTTTAAATAAATTATTTATATACTGATATTTAATTTATCTACTTTTGAATTTTAATTTAATTTATGAATAAGAATATTGCTATTAATACAATATTTTAATAAAGTTATTATGTAAAATTACGTTAAATAATTGATTAGCATATAGTATCAGTAAGAGCAGAGCGCTAGTAGCGGCAGGTTAGGATATTCAGTTTCCAATAATTTATTTACACGTTTGGGTAATGTAAATTACATAACAAAGTTTAAGAACGTATTTTAATTTCGTTATAAAAGTACAAAATGAGACAAGCAATTTTGAGATTATACAAAGACTTATTACGCTACAGTTACAATGTAAAATACACAGACCCATTATATTTTCGGTACAGAATTCGTAAAGGTTTTAAAGAAAATAAAGATATTACTGATCAAAAACAAATTGAATTTCTATTACAGGTAAAAATAAAAAACTTGTAAATATTATTAAACTGTGATCTATTAAATTTAACCTAAAATTTGTCTACAAATTTTTTTTTCCAGAAAGGACAAAAGCTACTTCAAGAACAACGAGTGGTATAAGTACTTTTCTGTACTTGAATTGTATGTATGTGATCTCATAATGTTTACCACAACGTTAAAGTTATCACCAAATGTAAAATATTTTCAACATTTTCTTTGGCAGATTTTTTTCAACAAAAATCATTTGTCATTCTGTTGTCAAAATACTAGTTTCATCAGTGCTTTAAGTACTAATAGTCAAATTCGATACAAATCTTATAAACGCTTTTTAGACTATTCCAAGGTACCTAAGCTTGAAGAACATGACTTGAAAGAACAATTTGTAAGAGGAAGCGGACCTGGTGGTCAAGCAACTAACAAAACATGTAATGCTGTAGTTTTAAAACATATACCCACAGGATTAACTGTGAAATGTCATGAGACTAGAAGTTGTTCAGAAAATAGAAAAATTGCTAGAGAACTATTATTAACAAAATTGGATAATATGATTAACAAGGAGGAATCCCTTGAAAGTCAAGAACAGAAATTGCAAAAAAGAGATTCTCTGAAGAGAAGACAAAAACAGAAGAAACTCGCTAGTTTAAAGGAAGAGTTTGAAAAACGTGAAAACATCAAGTAACATTATTAAAATAACATATTTAAAAAAAAAATTCTTTTACTTCAAGTATCACATAATGTATATTTTCAAATAATATTTAAATTAAACGTGGTATCATTTAGCACCATCTTTGTGAAACATGGGTCGGGAGTGTGTACAATACCTTCTTCATTTTTTTAATGGAAAATTCATATCTTTAATAGTCATCTCTTTTTTGAAATCATAAAAGGCTTACATACATTATTTTTCTTTGAAATAAAGTATTTAGTAGGTGTACTCCCTGCGAGGGAATTCAATACATAATGTTACATTCAATGATGTATTTTGTAACAGAGAAAATAATCGTTATGCTACAATAAAGCTTTTTCATACAGCCTTGCATGTATTCCACGATATGTTCTTAACGAATGAAAAAGTAGTTTTATACGTACTTATTTGGCACGTATACGGAGTAAAGTAAAATTAAAGGAAAGGAAAGCACTTTATAAACGCAGAATTACACGCATACCAAAGATTTCTCGTTCAAGTATGCAAAGGCTGTATGGTAAAGAATGTACAACGTTCTGAACAGAATCATTATCAGAAACAGACATTAAGGAAAATTATTAATAAAACTCTATCAATGGTGCCGATAATGTTAAATACTATTCTACATACACAAATAATATTTTATACACAATGTACAGTCGACGAACGATATAGATTAAATTTCAACAAAGAGATCTCAAAAAAAAAAAGCGTATCTCGATTTTGAAAGTTAATCTATAACAGAAAGTTTATCGAGGATTTCAGCTATTTTTCAACCACCTACCGAACTGACCACGGCTGGTCTTCAAACGTTTTTTTGGTGGTTGAGCGTTTGATCTCGAAGAACTGGAACTTCTTAACCGTCTGTTACTCGCGATCGTTACCGATAAAATACTGTGGTCCGTTTCGACTTGATCGTCGATCTTCATCATTCTAACAACCGGCTGAAATTCAATACTCGACCGTCTTTGTTTCAGCTCCGAACTCGTTATAATCGTAGGACTAACTCGGCTGGATAACGTACACTCGACGTCGGAATCCCTGGCTTCCGACGACACGACGGTATCTGTTTGCCGTTTCACGCTTTTCAGACTCTGTTTTTTACACGTAATACTTAAATAAGAATCCTTTTTACAGTTCTCATCGTCGAACACCGCGCCCGAAGACACATTGTTCTTTTTCGCGCGCTTCTTCGAGTATATCCGTTTCCGCGACGTAACTCTACCCTTTTTGTACACGTTATTGCGATGCACGATCTCGGTGTCGGAGATTTCCGAATGATTCTTCGGCTGACGTTTCCTTGGTAACTCGTCCTTTCTGCATAAAATTTCATGTTTCTCGAGGTCCACGCGAGAATCGCAAGTTTCGGATGATGTATTGTCACGCTGTCGTTTCTTTATAGCCGCTTTTGATATAAAGCGTCGCTCGGATATGGAATTAACATCCTTTCGAAACACATTCTCGTGATTCTCATCGTTCCCCGGATCGTTCTCCGATATCTCTTCAACCTCCGTCAGATCTTTTCTGAACGTGTAATTTTCGTTGAGCACGAAATCCCTGTCGGTCTCGTTACAAATATCAGACGCAATTGAATCTATACGAGCTTCCGCGTTTATATGTAAAACAGAGTTATCGAGTATCTCTATACTTTGATCTTTCTTCTCGTTCGGTTCGTTAACAGAGGTGGTGTACATTTCGAATAAACATCCATCGGTTTTTCTTTCGTCAAAACTTAAGATCTGTTCAGTATCTTGCCCTATACTTCCGACCGATCTGGCTATTCTCGTATCAGCTACTTCCGTCAATCCGTTCGAGCTATTCGTCGTGACCCGCACGTTGCAATTTTTCTGATTCTCATCGCTACCTTTTCCCAATAAATTTCTCCTCTCGCAGTTCGTGTAAGCTAGAGGTTTACTTTGAAGCTTTTTCTTCATTTTATTACCAGGCCATCCTGTTCTGTTTTTCCTCTTTTTCCTTCGTTTCAACGGCGACTCGACGTTGCCTTCGCCGCACTCGGAACTCGCGCACGAGGAGTTTTCTAAACAATTAGCAATCTCGTGACAAGTGTCCAGTAATTCAAGCAAATTAGGAGGTGGTCCCTTGGGAATTGTTGCCTCGTTGGGATTCAATTCCATCTGTGTAGCGTCCGGCTCGAACGAGTCAGCCAATTCCAAATGATCGTCGTTTGCATTCAGCATCTCGTCGATGGTCTTCACCATTTCTTTCAATTCCTCGTCAATGTCTGATTTCAATTCAGCCTTTTGATCCGGTTTAGAAGAGTTCGTCTGTAACCTAACAGTAGGCTGACACTCTTCCATCCTGCACGAATTCGGAGGTCGATGTTGCTGTTCTCTTTTCCTAATTATGGTCGACATGATGGCTAACGTGGATGCATGGCAACGGGGGCTTTTCCTTGGTGATCGTCCGATACAACCCGCGCTTCGTCCCCGTCCTTTTTTCTTGTTCTCGTTTCTGCTTTGATTTTTCAATAAAATTTCGTGAAAATTTTCGATCTCGTACGGTAGAAGAAACGGCTTTTGCGTGTCTCCTTCGCTAAAGTAATGCCAAAATTCAGCACCATTGTCCTGCCGTTGGTACGTTTGATACCATGGCTCGGATTTTGGTATAGCCTCAAAGGAGAATTGCATTTTTTCAACCTCTGGCGAGGGTTTGGACGGATACATTTTCTCCACATCTTTCTGTACCGTTTCCGTATTAATTCCATCTTCGATCTTCTCCGTTTGATCTAGCGCCGAAGATTCCTTAATACCGGTCAAAGGTGCCTGATACCTTAATCTACTTCCAGGGGTTTCGAATTTGTAGTAATCAACGTTGTCTTTGATAAGAGCCTCGGCCTGCGTCCGTCTTCTCTTCCTAGCTCGACCCAAGTTCACCGAATCTTGCGAATCCTCCTCAACGGTTTCCGATTTTATAAAAGAACTAGAGTTGAGCGACGAACTAGGGCATATCGAGTTTTCAGTACCGTTGCATTCACTTTCGGTATCTCTCGGCAAAAAACTGCTCTGATCTCCGTCGCTTATCTCACTCGAATCGTCCCGTTTAAGTTCGCCGAACATAAAAGACTCCGCTTCGTCGCTTAACAACGACAATTCGGATTTTCTTACACGCTTAAATCGTACAACTACTGGTTTTTCACTAGATGGCACTTCCTTCTTTTCCTCGCTATTCCCCTCTTTCTGTACAGTACATTGCGAATTATTATTCGACAATACACTTGACCTTAATTTACTTCCTAAAACTTCCACTTTATAATAAGCACGATTATCCTCGATCAGACGTTCCTCCACGGACAACCTGTGCCGTCCCCTGGTACTCCTACCGCCTCTTCTGGCTGTTTTCAAATACCTCGATTTATCATCCTTCGTTTCGTTCTTCTCTGTATCGTTCAACGCTTTCTCAACCTTCTGTTCCTCCTTTATGGTGTGACCATTACAAATAATACTCTTCCCATTGATCTCACACGTTTCCGATAATTTTTTCGTACCGGATTCATTATTCTCAAGTTGTACCTTGCAATTTAATTCTTTCGAAGTTTCACTCCTACACACCCTGCAAGACTCAAAACCATTGTGATCATTTGTACTTAAAGTATTTGCACTACAATTATTTTTTATACTTCCATTTATATGCTCGTAATTCCTGTTCTTTATAGGACTTCGTTCTTGTTTGATGCATTCCGTATTCCCGACACCGTCCTCTTCACCACCGCAGGTAACTACCGCCCTTTGTATAACCTGATTACCCGGATCCTTCCGTTTATTACACACAATATTACAATTCCTTTCGTCGTTACACTTCTCATCCAATTCCGCTGTAAACGTTTTTATCTTGTACTCATTGTGCTTCGAGTCTTTCAATTCGTCTTCTTGCGCGAAGTTGTCACCTGGCTCGTCCTCCTCGATCCATATTGTTCCCTTTGCTCGTTTCTTAATAGTAAAACCTTCGAATTTGTCGTAAAACTTTTCCGCCTTGTCGACCTCGTGCCAGGGGCTACCTTTCGACCTCAATAAATGTCCACTTTCGTGTTTCGCGCGGGTACGTAAATTATGAGGCGAGCTTAGCTTCAAATTGAGATTCCTACGATTTCCATTACACTGGCCCATCTTTACATCTTCTACATCAAAATCTCCTAAACTTTTCGAATTTCTAGTAACTTTTCCTTCTGGCAGTACTGGATCATGAAGATTACGATCTCCATTGGAAAACAAATTGCAGTCTTTTCTGCCAAAAAAAAAGAAAAAGGTACATTTATTATTTAATGTTTGACAAAAAGGAACGACATCAGTAAATACAATGTATTTAACGTACTCTATATCTTTTGTTCTATTTAGCTTTAAAAACGCTTCTACGTTGGCTCCTGCGTTAATTAACGTATCCAAGGACAAGAAATTGTCATCGTTTTGAACGAAGCTTAGATGTTGATCGCTTTGTACATGTTTTGATAAATCTCGGTAACTAATACGACAGATTTCACAATAACCGGACACTAGTTGTTCTGTTCTACGTGTACGAGCAGTTGTACGTGGCCGCCGAGTCATTTCTTTATCCTGTTTATAATACAATGCATTATCGTACGTTTAATATCAATAAAACTTTACGAAACATATGAAATGTAAAATTCACGTTACCTCCTCTCGGTTGATACGCTGAATACCTTCCCTATTTTCTTTTACTTCTTTTCGTAATTTTTCCAGCTTTTCTCGTCTTTTCGTATTGAAAGGACACGAGCCTGGATCCCCGTGAAAATTCAGTGTTGGCCACACGGGTAGTTCAACGAACACAGGTCTAGTATTCCTAAATAAAGAGAAACAATTATACAATTGTATAACTTAATATAGTTATACAGATTCTATATTGAACAACATACCTTTGAAAGGATTCAAATTTTAAATAAGGACCCTTAAGATGCCTGACCTTCAATTCTTTAGTCGAACTCTGCTGATTTGAGCGCTTTAATCGTTTTAAGTGATTAGTATCTTCGATAGACGCATAGATTTTGTCAAGCCAAACCTGAAGTTTGTCAATTGCCCAAATAGGAATTCCCCAACTTTGGGCGTTGTAAAGCGGATCCACGGAACACTGTTGTGGCTGTGTCAGAGCACGTTCCAACATTGCATCCACTCGCGATTTCTGTAAAATGTTATATTTGAAATTACGTGTTCATCGAAACGACGATTTATCCAAACATAGTACTTACAGATCTTTGGGTAGTTTGACCCCGTATATTGGTTGTATTAGACAAGGGGCACTCGGGACTAAAAAATGGTGTCGGAGGAGTTGGCATGGGGGTTGGAGTTTCTAAACTCCTCAGCGAGGGAGGTCCCCCGCTGCCTCCACTGGCACAACCCCATTTATGTTTTTCAAAATTTATGTAACCACTTTTATCTACCCTGTCGCTAATTACCAGATGAACGCTTCGTACTAAAAATAATTCTATTACCTAGAAAAAACAAAATGAATCATATTTAGACAAGCTTTTATCTAGATGTTAGATGAATTTCCAATTACCGTAGTAGAAAAGGTCTATGGAATATCTAAAAATGAAATGATTACCTTGGTGAAATGAAGCGTAGCAAAGAAATAAAGGGAGAAAATGAAAATGAAGGAAACAACAACAACAAGATGAGCTGAGAACAAAAGCTGCCAAGTCTTTGATCATTTAACTGAGAAGAATAAGATTGGAGGCTGCACCAAGGAAATACCATTGAATGTAGACGCTCGGTGATAAGTGATCCGTTAACGGACTTACAAACACACGTTTACATCGCGGTATGCTGACGTCAAAGAATTTCGTTTTCTTCTCAAGCACAACGGAACGCGCTATCAAACGAATTTCCAGAAATGCTCGCCATCCGTACGTAGATGGAAATCTTCATGTAGTTGACAATGGTTGCCGCATTGTTACACACCGTTCTAATAATACGTTAGAAACCGCAAAACCAGGACAATAACGAAGCACGTGGGATCAAACGAAACGAAACGATTTTTAAGTGTTTTGAACGAAATGTTCGTGTAAAAATGTAAATCCACGGAAACTGGAATAATCAGTGAATTTACACTCGATTACTGCTGTCAAGCGGTCTCGAAACGCACGAAAGCTTCACAGAAAACAACTTCCTCGAACAGTTCTGTTTATCAGTTTGCAATTTTCCAAATATTTTCCCTTTCGCGTTTAGGACCGTTTTACTAGGGAATTCACGATAATATATTTCTGGAGGTAAATTCATCGAGATATACGTTGAATGATCAAAAGGAAAGGATCGAGGGAAAGCAAAAGAGCGCTGGGACGCGCAACGAGATCGTTACTCGCGGGGGAGAACTGTCACGCACAAAATGGCCATTCGCCGTTAACAGCTTGGCAGACGAGCCTGGTGGCGGCGCTTTACGTTCTTGCTCGCTCTCCTTCGCCGAATACTGCGACAAAGCGGATACTCTAGTCTCGTTGAATACGTGAAAATCGCTTTTTCCTGTATTTTCGCGTCCATACTTTTTGTTTTTTCAAACCACAACACAACAGTTGAAAGCGACGAATCTGCCCCACTTCGTCGTACTTCACGGATTACCCTAAAGATGGCGCGACGCGACCCGGTTTTTTTAGCGGTTGTTTGTCAACAGAAATATTTTACGATAATTTATACCTTCAAATTATATCATCTCTATCGTTGATTAGTAAGTACATGTAATTACGATATTATCTTTCGTTGCATTGAAAGCGAACGATGTAAAATTAGAATCATCTCCAATAACCTTATTCTGTCTCACTGCTGTTATCCTAAGCTTATTTCTGTCTCGATCTTGATTATAGATCTTGTTGATATCGGATTAATAAATTTCATATTTACACAACTGTATCCAAGATATATATTTTTCCGAAGATTTTAGAATCTATCCTTGAATTTTTTTTGTTACGATCGTACACAAGTTGACGTTAATACGATATACAAATGGTAGTTATAAGTGAGACAGGCGAGAAGCGAGACAGACGAAAGAAGCGTACAAAAGTAAGCAAGAAAGTGATGAATCTCGAGAAAAATAGAGGGGAGAAGTACTGAAACAAGTTATGAATGGACTAAGTTATTATAATGAACCAACGATAGGAAAATTTTACAAGGATAAAATCTGAATGTTTGACCAATATTATCCAAGTACAATTAAACGCTTACCCCTCCCAAATCTTTGATTTTTGATTCTATTTTGGTTGTAGTAGCATGATTCTTTATATCCAAATAAAATGATTTTCCTTCCAATGGTTTCAAATCTTTCTGTGTGTGACCATCTGAAATGTCACAGAAATATATTAATGTTACTACGATTGATAGGGTATAATTTTTAAATATTCCAAAACAAAGATGTAATAGTTTGTGTAAATCAGAGAATAACAATATTTACAATTCTATCCATTCCATATATTTCGATGACACGATTACACGTTCGCGTCACTTCAGTGACGTCAGTGAAGAGGTAAAAAAAAATATAATGACAAAGAGTCGAAATAAAATATTGTTAAAAGAAATTAAACAACACAACATTTTATCGGTTAAATGTACAAAGTTATTGCACATATTGAAATTACCCTACAAGTACCAAAACGGTTATAATAACGTAACTGCGCGGAAAAGGGAGGGGAGATTTTCTACCTAAATACATGTTTTGTGAAGTAGGTAAGAGAAAACCGTTTACAGGTTATTTTCATACATCAGATATTAATCATTAGTTTCTATAGAATATATGTGCATATATTAAACATACGTGAATGCTTGCTTAATTTCTTTTCTCTCGGTGACTGCTTGTGTTCTTGATGCTGAATTTTGGACGGCGATACCATTCCTATGCTATACACCGCACAGACAGCAACGATATTTTTCTTTCACTGTATTTTAGTATGTTTAAAACACTTCCCATTCTCACAAATGTACCACATATCGTCACAGATATTTCTCTGCATATTCACCAATTAGATGCATTTGTTTAAGAAACCGTTATTAATTAAGAACAACTTTCATCTTGGTAAAAGCACCCAAATTGCTCTCACTGTCTCGACAAACTGAAGTTATTCACAACCTAGAATGGATGTTTCAAAAATATATAGAACATATTTGTAAGGGTAGGCACTACAAGAGAAAGAAATGTCCCTAGACTCGTCGAATTTTTTAAAAATAAATACCTTGGAAATTTACACTTCACTATCTGTTTACATCTATGAATTTGTTGAAATTATAATCAAATTATAATATTTATTTCACACAGTGTTACCATATGTTTGTTTATATACGTATGTATCTATTGTGATAGATCTTAAGTGAATACATTTAATTGAATTGATATAGATCTGTAGCATTTTATGAAATGTGCTGCATATTTCATCATTACACAAGTACTTTCTGTTATAAAACAGGAAAATTACTCATTACATTAGCATAGCTTTGTTTTTAAAGTTGGTAAGGAAATACTGAAGTTTTTTTACCTTATTATTACATACAAGGTTTCATCTATTATCTGATTTAGATTTATTATTTCATATGATGCTCTTATCTAGTAGCTTATCTAAAATTCAATAAGAAACCAAGATAAATAATAGTATTTCATTTAACTGTTAGTAAAGATTATAGTTCTATAATTTTGTTGGAGGTATTATTTATGTGAACTTTACTTAAATTATTGAACTTCTTATTTAATTTACTGTTTTGTTAGAATAAATTTTGCATATAGTGCAAGAACATGGATACATTTCCTACGCAAAGGTACGAACCAAAGATTGAAAGTTTTGATACATGCATGATTGATGCTACAAATCAACAGCGAGAGATATCTCAAGCAGTAAGCAGACAAGTATCCTCTCAAGCAATTGAAGTTGAAAATCAAGAAAATCATGAGACTTCAAATTTACATCAACATCAACAACAACAACAACAACAGCAGCAGCAGCAGCAGCAGCAGCAGCAGCAAAATCAACAGGATCAGCCTAATGAAATGACACAGATACAATCAAATACTCAACAAAGTATGACTCTTACTCCAATTCGATTACCAGCCATTCTTGATGGAGAATTCTTTACAGTAATTAGAGTAGAAGATACTAATGTAACAGTCCGTTGTTTACAGTGCCAAAAGCACTTAAATGGAAATTTAAAATCTACAGGAAACTTTCTAAGTCATATTAAAGTAAGATGTATTTGCTTTTGAAGTATTTTAATGTTAACATAATTATTTTGTGTTCATTAATTAAAGTATTCTGCAGAGAGTACATCCTTTTATGGTTGAGAAAATTAAATGTAAGTCAAATCAAAGAAAACCTGCCATGGTATACATTGATTTATCAGCTGCTAAATATCCAAAAATAGTAAGAACAAAAAGAGGATATAGGAAATGTTATAAGACAGTAAGTGCACTATTTATGATCTTAATTTTTAAAAAACAAATGTAATTTTATTCTAATCTAAACATTTATATTTATCTAGGACGAATGTCAACTAGGAAATGAAGAAACATTTGATCAGTCTAATGAATGGACTGAATCTCCATTAAATCATAAACATAAGTCAGACATTGAATCTCCTGATCTCTTGAAAATATCACATAATAATTCATTTGTAGTGGAAGATGAATTTGATGCAATTGGACGAAATGTTGCTGCAAAACTTAGAAATATGAGATTAGACCAAAGAATTATAGCTGAAAAGTTATTAAATGATATCTTGTTTGAAGCACAATTAGGAAATCTTCATAGAGATTCTAATATACATGTGTGAGAATTACATTCTCTTAACTAAAGAAGACATATGTGTGTAAGTAAGCAATGTGAATATAACTGAATAGGTGTATGATAAGGCTCATGTTATTTACCAAATCAAATTTATTAATACATCTCTATTAATGATATTATATCACTTTAATCATAGTGATTTTAAAGTGTTTTTAAAATTAAGCAGTCAGATATAAATAATGTGATATATTTTACATATATATTTTTTAGTTTATATTCTGTATATCGTACGTAAGTAATTTTTAATAAATTCCTACTCAAAATTATCTTCAGAGATGAAAACATAGATAAAAAGATAAACATATTTTAATACTTGTAAGTATTTAAATAAGTATTTACAAATATTTTAGTATGTATATATATTACATACTGTAATATGTATATTTATATAATATATATATATGTATATAATACTGTAAATATTATATAAGTATAAAATTTATAAATAAGGAAAAATGCTGCCGAATATAATTATTGTTTGGAACATTTTCTATAAATATTTAATACAAATAGCTACCTGTAATATATAACATTGTATGAAAAATACATTTTTAATATTAAGATTTAATAATTAATATCAGTCCTTAATGTTTCGTGTAACATTTAAAAATTGTAATTATAATTTGTCATTACACGAATTATTTTATTTCTTATTACCATGCAATAAGAGTAATAATTAGTCTTATTACCATGTAATATTTCTCTGTTATATCTACTTTTACTTTCTATATAACATGATAATGAAAACAATTCACATAAATATGCAAAAAAATAGTATCAATACATGATATAGAAACAGATTAAAGCATTTTTATAATCACAACTCAATGAACTTATTACCACGAAAAAATTTTATGCGTTTGTCAACTGGTATATACCCTATGTTTCTTTGGTTTTAATAAAGTACAATAAATAATGGTTGATGAAACACATAGCGACATACTTCCGAAAATTACGTAAAATATATAAGTATACCAAAATCCATCCCAATCTGCATTGAAATACCAAGTTAATGTCAGACACGTGTTTTGTACTAATACAAAGATATAATATGGCAATACCCATTTGTCTGCATATTTAAATTTGATTCTATATTCAATTAAACTAATTATATAAACTAATCCCAACCACAAATTAACGAAAAAGGTAATAATGTCATAATATTTTACATAATAAAAGAGATATATCAACATTACAATATAATGTACACCAAGAACAATGGCTAAGTATAATGGATAAAATTCATTAAATACAGCAATAGCGAGTATACGAGCTAGAATGAAAAAGAACCACCATAGAAAGCATAAAAATTTGCCAACAGGATCATCTTCTTCTAAACCTTTTTTCGAATATCTTCGTTGCGGAACTCTTAAATTTTGTGTGCTATCTTTTTCATTGATTTCTGTACCAGACAATGATTTAATAAATGTTTCGGATTCCTGATGTTCTGTAACTGTACAAATAGAGTCTGGTCTTGGTGGAGCTGGTACATCTGGTACAAGCAAAGGTGCAACTGTAGTAATTCCACGTAAAGGAGTCGGAGGTGGTATAATTTGTACATTTTTTGGTGGTAAAGGAGGTGTTACAGACACTTGACGATCTAAAGGAACGTGAGAACCTGATTGTTCTTTTTCTTCATTTTCAATTTTTATAGATTCATTTTGATTTTCAGAATCTTGTATTGCTTCATTTACATGCACAGTAGTTTCTTCTTTTACATTGCATGATTTTAGAGGAGTCTTTTCTTCAAGGTCACAAATTTCCTATTTATAAGAGTTAAATTAATATTTGAACAAATAACATATAATCATATAATGTCTTATACTCAAGTACCTGAACACAATATTTTTTTAACCACATTGCCCATGGTAATTTTCTACCATTAATACGTTGACTTTCAAATCTTTGAAAAGAGGTAGTTTGAACAGCAAGTATCACAACAGACATAAGAATAGAAATCACCTTTACAACAACTGTAAAAACGTTTTTGGTATTTTTATATTTATAGTTCAATTACAATTAGGTTCTGTGTAACATGATAAAGTACCTGATTGATGACTTTGGTGGAAAGATCCTTCACGAAAAAGCAAATGTATTTGAAAAATAGCTTGAGGAGCAGCCTGAAACCATGCTTGTAAAAAAAAATATAATTCTATAGCTGCAGGAGCAGCTGCTAGGTTTAGAGTCTTTGTTCTCTCTGTCCCTGTTAAAATAATAGCATCTATACATAGTACCATGAGACCTGCATACCTAGTAAAGAATTGCAAATCATATTAATAATGATTTTTAATATTAGTGTTAATTCTAAGCATTAAGTAATAATACCTGTAAAGACAAAAGAAAACAAAGCCAATCAGCTGGCAAAATTGAAGGCAAAACCAACCAAATATGCCCTTTGTCAATTTATCATCATCTGTCATCCACCAATCTGGTCTTGAAACAGTTAACATAAAGTATGCAATTGCAGGTGCATATATGAAACCAATAGTACAACATCCCCATACTGGATTATTTTCTCTAAAATGTTGCTCGGCAACTACTAAGTCAGCAGAGAAATGAATTATATATATCATACAAGAGATTAATGTTGGGATCAAGAAAACCAGATAAATCTGTTCAGTTGATTTCAAAGGAATTTGCAAAAAACGAGTTGATTTTTTTTCACAAACTGAATCTAAATTGTTTGCCATCTTTTGAGACTAGACAAATTTTGTCTATCTTTTCATTTTTCTTTCTTTTATTTTTTTCAGTAATAATACTGTCTAAAATATCCTGAAATTATCTTGTAATTGCCTGAAAAATAAAATTTTTGTATCAAAATACATATTAAGTTCAAAGGATAACTTTTCTTTTTTTTTTTTTTTTTGTAAAGAAAAACAGACGGAAATTTATATTCAAATATAAACATTTCAATATTTAAATGAATTAAATAAATTATTTATTACAAACTTAAATACATTACCTAAACAGTGTTGAAAACTAATCGTCCTTTCATTCACAAGAAAATTAAATAATTTTTTAAAAGAATTCTTTATCACTGGATCATATTATTCTAAATTACTGTATGAAGAATTACTTTTTATCAGATAAATCACGAATAAAATGCAAAACTGTTGACACAAATGATCCAAAAATGGTAAGGATAAATTATCCTTATCACGTTCTATTTAATACACGATATCAAGAATCAGATATAAACCAAATTCAATGAAGAAAGAATAAGTACGTATGTATTCGAATGATTAGTCAGCGTTTGAAATGAAATTGATAATTCGATAAGATTCCATTTTGCTTGTCAGTGATAAAGCGTCTTCCGATATGGACGCTGCCTCAGTGGCGAATGCTTCAGACAAGTGCGTTAAATACAAATGAAGTAAAAAACACGGGTGGGAGGGAGGTGTTCATCCGTAGGAATATTAATTATGAAATACGTTGTATATCAATTTGATATCATTATATAATAACCTGTATAATACTCATTTTATTATCATTTAAGATATTTATAGTTTATTAAGTAAACAAAGTTTTGTTTTTGTAATACTTCTGATCCTTATTTTGATAAAGATCATTAAAATATAAAACAAATAATTCTGCAAAGTTAAAAACACTCATCCATTTGTTACTATTTATTTAGTTTTTACAATAAAATGGTACTATAATGTATAATGTTTACATAATTGTTATGAACTTTGAACTTGTACAGCTTCATTTTGTTCATCATTTTCAAGAGGTTCCAAATCAGACAGGAATGCATTGTATTGTTCCATAATATCTTCAGATGCGCTTTTACACTTATCATCATAATCAGGACCAACTGACCACAGTGTTTCTAAATCATATAATGGTCTAGCAGATTTAGAAAAAATATGCAATGCTATATTTCCTAAACAATGGAAGCAATAAATGATAACATTATTTTAAAAACAGTATTAATATTATGAGATATAATAAGAAACATACCTAGATCTAAGGCTATCCAATGATTTGAATCTTTTCCTTCAATCTTTGGTATCAAATCTGTCTTATGTCTTTTTAATTTATATACTTTACGAACAAATTCAGCAAGTGCTTGCATATGCTTATTTGATTTACCTGTAACTACAACCATATAGTCAACATATGATAATTCAGGAGGTACTGAAGCCACAAAGATATTTTTAGCATTTTCCTTTTGTAGTAATAATACAAGATCCTCTATTTTAAATACTCCATTTGTGCCACCTTTAAGTTCATTAATATCTTGTTAAATATTATACATAATTGTTTTCCAATACAATAACATCAACATGTCTTAACTTACGTTCTAAATTGATACCCTCATAAGGATCATGATCTTCCTTCTCAATTCTTAAGTCTTCTAAATTAATTGTTTCTTGTGTTTCACTAACGTCGTAGATAATTTCTGCATTTTTGTCTTCAAAAATTTCATGAGTGATATTAATTGAACCGGGTAGGTTATGCGACTGGTTTTGATCATCATGCTTAATACATTTTTGGTTATTCGTTGAAAAATTCTTAACTTGTTTTAATAAAGAATACGTTATAATTTTATTTGTACGAGGTTTAGAATATTCACATAATAACTTCTTTGATCGCGATAAAGTTTGTATTAGACGCATTCGCATGGTGCAGTATGTAGGAAACAAGGTTATGTTTATATTGATTGGCAACAAATACGTACAATTCATACATAACCTATATTTATATTACATAAAGTTGGCAACAATGAATTAATCCTTAATAATTACAATGCAGAAAGGGTTAAGAATAAGGTTTTATATAATTTAAAAGATCAATTTATTAAATTGTACAAGAAGCATACATTAATAAAATGCTCTCTGTACTAGAAATATTCGCATTAAGTGTCAAGTTGTTGGAGTAACAATGTGCAGCCTGATGTGGTTGGTGTTATTTCTAGTGCTGAAATGTTATAAAATTAATATATAAAAATCTTTGTATTGAAACTGTTGAAGTGTTTGCAATTTTTATGATTCATAATATACTTACAGAGATTGTGAATTAAGATTCACTTAGACCTCGCACGCATCTTCCTCCTTTTACGCTTTAGCCTACGCATCCTCTTTTTTCGCCACTGAAAGTTTAAAGTAACCTTAATTAATTTCTAATATTCTATGTTCAAAACGATATATCACTTTCTGTATTGAAACACTCGAAATTAAATTACTGTTAACTTTGAAAGATAATGTTCAAATAAACGAAGTATAATACACATGTGGTAACTGAAAGTTCTGAAGGAAAATGACTACTGAAACAATTATTAAGTATTTAAACATTTCATATCTGATACTGTATAAAAATAATAACATTTATACGAAGTATTAATATTATCTTACCTTCGCTCTCATTTTAAGTCTGTGAGGTTTTTAGATTATTCTAGAATATCTTGATTACTTTCAGATTTATTTCTTCAACTTCTTCCACCGTTCAATGCCAAAATGGTAGAGAAACAGCGTCGTTAGAGGTAGGGTATAACTCGAATTATAGAAATCACTACCAGAGGGCAGAATAAAAAAGCGATTCCTGTGCCATCTGTTTAAAGACGGTGGAAACTATGTGCTTCCGCGTTTTCCCGCGTTCAAAGTGTATTCCCGCGAAAAACCGCGCCATACAGCATGTGATACGCAATGCAGTTGCACGAATAAGAAATAAGTGTATTTTATATATTAAAACTTAGTAAGCAATATTAATAAACGCGACAATTAAAGTGTGTTTAAAAAAATATTTTGTGTAATCGTTTTGCGAACAAAGCGTTGTAGGTTAAAAAATAACAGAATAAGAATGTCAGAAAATTGACGTATGTATTTAACATATATTACTCTGTTTGTAAAGGACAAATTTTTCCAAAAAGTAAAGTTTGTGTATGTTAATACCGTAAGTGCCTTAAAACATACGTAAAAATGTCAGGTATTCAAACAACAATTCCGTTTAATGTACGAAAGAAATGTTCATTTTACGGAAGCAAACGTAATGCAATAATACAAGATTTTACCGATGCGACTGCTAGAGATTCTTCTTACAAATATACACCAACTGTAAAGAAAGTAATTACTTTAAGTAGCAGTGAATCAGATTCAGATTCAGAAAATGTTTTGGTGGAGAGTAATATAAAATCTTGTGATAAGAGTACAATCATCCACACTCCGCGACGTACTCGGAAGTCTGACGGATCTGATGGTTTGTAAATTGAATTTTCTGTAGTTTTAAACTCTTTTCTATATGTATTATTAAGAAAAATATTAAAATATTTGTTTCAGAAGAACATACTCCAACACCTCCAAAACAAAAAAGAATGGGCAATACATTGCCACTATCATCTCCATCAACACCCTCTACCCTTTTTGATAAGCTGAATATAATGTCACCCCCTGGCAAAGAAGAAAAATTAGTCCCTAAAAAATTATTTAGTTCTGAAAAGTATCGAAATGCCCGTAAAGCTTTACATAGTTCAGTACCTGAGAATTTGCCTGGCAGAGAAATGGAACTAAATCAATTACAAGAATTCATGGAAGGGCATTTAAAGAATGAAACATCAGGCTCTTTATACGTATCAGGACCTCCTGGTACTGGAAAAACAGCATGCCTTTCAAAATTAATGTTAAAGCCTGAATTTAAATCACAGTTTAAAGTTATCTATGTTAATTGTACCACTATGAAATCTGCAACTACAATTTATGCGAAAATTATTCAAGAATTGGGTTTATCTACATCAAAAACTGTAAAAGACAAAAAAGCAGCTATTGAAAAATACTTAATTTCTAAACATAAAATGTTATTAATGATTTTGGATGAAATAGATCAATTAGAAAGCAAAAATCAATCTGTATTATATTCTATTTTCGAATGGCCATCAATGCATAATTCAAAACTGATTCTGGTTGGCATTGCTAATGCTTTGGATTTGACAGATAGGATATTGCCAAGGTTACAGGCTAGATGTGAACTAAAACCAAAGTTGATGCACTTTTCATCATACACAAAACAGCAAATATCTAATATAATATCTGATAGATTAAGTGAAGCAAAGGTATCTGATTTATTCACTGGACCTGCAATACAGATGTTATCTGGAAAAGTTGCTGCTATTTCTGGAGATATTAGAAGAGCATTGGATATCAGTAGAAGAGTAATTGAGTTTGCAGAGTCCCATAAATTGGAACAAGTGTTACAACCAATGAATAACACAGGTATGTTATGTTATTTATTGAGAAAATGATTTTAAATTAAGGTAGCACATAATCATGTTTAATAAAAGATCATTTCTGTAATAGAAATAGATACAAGTAGTCCTAAAAAGCAACCTACAGGAGAGAAACCTGTAGATTTAAAAGAAATCATTGCAGTTTTAAATGATGTTTATGGAGGATCTCAAAATATTGAAAAAGAAGAAAGCACATTTCCTTTACAACAAAAGTTGTTATTGTGTTCTCTTCTACTTATTTTAAACAAAGGAAGAATTAAAGATGTGACAGTGAGAAAAGTAAGTTTATAATGGTATAAATATATTTGTTGATGAAAATTAATTTTAATTTGTATCATTGTAAATATTTTAGTTACATGAAGTGTATAAAAAAGTTTGCAAAAAACGGAATATTCATGCCGTTGACGCTTCAGAGTTCTTTAATTTATGTTCCTTGATAGAAACTAGAGGTATTTTAAAATTAGTAAGAAAAAAGGAACCTCGGTTATCAAAAGTTAATTTGGAATGGGACCAAGAAGAATTGGATGCAGCTTTACAAGACAAAAATATGATGGCAGAAATCATCAATGACATAAGTTGTTTGTAGTACTTATTATTATTTGTTAGGTTGTATATTGTGTTTATTAAGCAGCATAGAACATTATATTTTTATAACGCTATATGACAATTGTTTTACAGTATATAACTTATAAATTAGCATGTTCTATTAAATTATTGTGTTTTTAAAGTTATCATATAATTAGTTGATTGCAATATCTAATATGTATATAGTGTATGTCATAAATTCTCAGCCTTTAAAAAGTTTTGTTTAAAAATTGTATGTATAAGATGTTACACCATATTTTTTCGAACGTTTGTAACAAGTAGATAGCGCACGGCTTTATTTAAAATTATGTTTTACCATCGCTCGGTTTTCTTTAAGTTTTAATAAATTTATTATATTTTTAATGATTTTCGTTACTCATTGTTTCTGTCAGATGCTATGTAAAAATGCATGTGGCAATTTTCTGACCGCCCTATATACAAGCATTGCCGTTCGGTAATTCTCCTATAATTGTATAGAGGGCTATTTCGTTTGACATTCGTTTCACATTGTACAAAATGTTTATGTGTAATACATGTCCTGAAAGTTTTATAAATCTTTTATAACATGTGAATAACATGAACGTTTATATTCTTAATATAATAATTTCTTTCTATACATGAACTTCTTAATAGTTCTGTAAAAATTCAGCAAAGTATTCCAAAAGTATTGTGAAGCAGTATATTTAACCTCTAAATTTAATAGAGCACAATAAACATAAGAAAAAATTAGAAGAGTTTAATGTATTCTTTATAAGATAAAACTAAAAATATTTTTAGAATTGATGTACAAATCTTCAAAATGAGAAGCCGCCGTAATTCTGGTGTTCGTTTGGATTATTACCAAAGAATTGTTCATAAGATTATTATGAAACATCAAAATGCAGTTACAGGACTTTTCCCTGCTAGCCCTGATAATGATCACGCATGGATCCGTGACAATATATACTGCATTCTTGCTGTATGGGGCCTTTCAATGGCATATAAGAAGATAGCAGATGCGGATGAAGATAGAGCTAAAACGTATGAACTTGAACAAAGTTGTGTGAAATTAATGAGAGGTCTATTAATGGCAATGATGCAACAGAAAGAAAAAGTTGAACAATTTAAAATCACTCAAAATCCACATGATGCTTTACATGCCAAATATAGTTCTGTTAATGGACAAACTGTTGTAGGTGATACAGAATGGGGTCATCTTCAAATAGATGCAATTTCTTTGTATTTATTGATTCTAGCACAAATGACAGCATCTGGTTTACAGATTGTCTTCAATTTAGATGAGGTAACTATACATAGATCGCGCATTAAGTATAAAATAATCTTCAAAATCATCACTTAATTTATCTAATTTAACTTCAGGTTGCATTCATTCAGAACTTAGTATTTTATATTGAGTCAGCCTATTGTACTCCTGATTATGGAATTTGGGAGAGAGGTGATAAAACAAATCATGGATTACCAGAATTAAATGCTAGCAGTATTGGAATGGCAAAAGCTGCAATGGAAGCAATGAATGAGCTAGATTTATTTGGCGCAAGAGGTGGACCTACCTCTGTGATTCATGTATTAGCAGATGAAGCACAAAAGTGCCAGGCAGTTTTACAGTCCATGCTGCCACGTGAATCTAACTCTAAGGAATTAGATAGCGGATTATTATCCGTTATAAGCTTTCCGGCATTTGCCGTAGATGAACCTAGTTTAATTCAATTAACTAGAGATGCTATTACTAAAAAATTACAAGGTCGTTATGGATGTAAAAGATTTCTGAGGGATGGATATAAAACACCAAAAGAAGATCCTAACAGGTAAAAGATAAAATAAAATAAGAATTGTTACAGAATGTGATATCAACATTTACTAATAAATTTATTATATTTTCAATAGACTTTATTACGAACCGTGGGAATTACGAATGTTTGAAAACATAGAATGCGAATGGCCTTTGTTCTTTTGTTATTTGATCGTGGATTACTGTTTCCAAGGCAATAAAGAAGTAGTAGCAGAATATTCGAAACAATTAGAAGAAATAATGATCAAAACGGAGGACGGAATGAAATTAATACCTGAATTATATTCTGTAGAAGCTGTAAATGTATCAGCAGAATATGCTGAACCAGGTAGTCAAAAACGAGTTGCATTAGGTAGATGTCCATTTATGTGGGCTCAATCTCTGTATATATTAGGAAAATTATTGCAAGAAGTAAGCATGTAAATACATATAAGAAAAATACTATAAATAGCAATTACAAGTTACAATATACTATTTTAATAATAGGGTTTTCTTGCTGTGGGAGAATTAGATCCATTGAATAGACGATTGTGTAGTGAAAAGAAACCAGATGTCGTGGTACAAGTTGTTATACTAGCAGAAGATTCTGAAATAAGAGAAAAAATAGCTCAGCATGATATTCATGTTCAAACAATCGCAGAAGTTTCCCCGATAGAAGTGCAACCTGCAAAAGTACTTAGTCATTTGTATACCTATTTGGGTAGGTTTAAAAGAACTTCAGTTATTATATTAATTTATTATATATTCTTTAAATGTTTCCACCTAAATTGAAGTATTTATTTTCAGGTCGAAACAAAAAATTAGGATTGACTGGACGTAAATCAAGAGATGTAGGAATCTTGAGCACCAGTAAATTATATTCCCTACACGATAAAATATTTGCATTCACTCCACAGGTAAGTATTTTTTTTCTTTTATATACTGATCGTACCGTTCCGCTCTCTGTACTTTTATTTCTTTTCTTATGTTGCCTCTTCTTGCATCAAACATTAGTTGACAGACATGACCCGCTTCTACATCGCATCGGACTATGAGCTCATGATTGACATATTCAAAGGCGAAATTAATTTCTTGAAGTCTAGCTGGCAGAACATGTTAGGCCGGCCTCTTGTGCTCATGCCCCTCAAGAACATTCATCTAGGTACAGTAATTTAACATTTAGAAACCATAGTTTTCATCTGTGTTACTTTTTTTTCTGATGCATGAGAAATTATAAAGATCAAATTTCTTTTTTCATTATAAAATTCAGAGTAACAGAGATAAAATATATGGTTTTTAAATAATGAAATTTTCTGTTTGAGTTCTGTTTTTTATTGAGATTTTATAAGCACATAATCCAAAACAAAACCATCTAACATGTCTGCCTGCATGCGTGCATTTGTTTTTGCTATCAATTTTACTTAGTGGCTTTGGAAGGTCTCGATTAATTAACTAAATAAAGTTAATATTTCGCTAGTTATTTTTTATTACGTAATGCAAAGGGTTGCTATTATTTATATTCATCATGAGCAAAATCGATTAATGTTGAGAAATTTCAATGAAAATAAATAAAATCAATGTATTTTCACTTCAAATAATTTAATATCCTAAGGAGACAGCTTATGTGTGTGGTGGTATGCACGTTTGTTGCATGTCTTAGAACTTTGATGCGGAGGAGTACTACACGACAAACGATGCAGCCCTCCTTGCCAACACTTTTACAACCAACTTGGCCTTCCTCACCATCAACTGGAAGCAAATGCTCGGCAGGCCAACTATAACACTTGTTGCCACTCATAATCACCTAGGTATGCCATAGGCAGCTTTAGATTCATCATTTAGCATAGAAGCATAATAGGATCAAATTTTCCTCATAAGTGTTATGTTAAAAGAACAATATAGAAAATAGTTGTTTTAATTACTTTTACACAAATATTAAAATGTTACATATGTAATCATTATTTTTAGATCAAGGAAAGATACCATTAGCCATGATAACTACTATGAAGAAATTAAAAAGTGGTTATATCAATGGTACACGAGTCTCATTGGGAAATTTAAGTGATTTCTTGAGCACTTCCTGCATCACAAATTTAAGTTTCCTAGGAAGCTCTGAAGACGGTAGGCCGGATAAACTAAACCCTCAGGTACATAAAATTCATATTCCTAAATATGATACACGTTATTACACCTTATTACATATATTTTTATATAATTGTTAAGGTTCAACAGTATTTAGAAGAACATTTGATGCGCGCATTTCCTCATCGCACAGGTCTTCTTAACAGACCGGTAATTCGAAGTGCAAAGAATTTGAAACGTAGAATGTCTGTAAAAGGTGCCATTAAGAAAACGAGATCAATTGCTGTAGAACGTAAGTTTTATGTATCTCGTATATTAGTATTATAAATGATTTAAATTCCTAACATTCTGATTGCATGCTACCTAAAGCGGATCCTTAAATATATTCCATAGCTGTGGTTTCTCCCGTTTCACAAGAATGTAAGTTTACTAACAAGTAATGACTAATTTTTAAATTTTAATAAGTACATACAAAAAAAAAAGAGCAAAACATTAACATGTCCGTTTTGTTAATAAATTTGAAAAATTTCAATAAACTTAATAAAAAGAAATTGATTTGCATTGGTTATATAAATTTGTAGCTGAGATTCTTGGAATGGCAGGAGAGGATAGAAGACCTTCTGCTATTTTAAATACAAATCCATTTATTGAAGTGACAGATACAACGCTAACTTCAAATCCTCCACCACCAGCTACAGATCGCACGCCGTCTCCTACAGATGATATATTGTCATGGCCAAATTCTCCAAAGTTGCATAGACCCAGGGGCATGGGGGAAACTCAGTATGCAGATACCGAAGTTGAAGAACTATTATCAATGCTTCGAGAAACTGAAAGTTTAGAAGAGCAAGGAGATATTTTACAATATCTTGTAAGTTATCAAAAATATACATCAATTATGATAAGTTATATAATTTAAACTTGAAAATAATGTTCCAAATTAGGTTGATTCACAAGGTCTATATTTCAATACCGGCATGGTGGAAGAGGGCCATCCTGTTTTAATAAAAGATTTATTGAAAGATCTTTACGAAAAAGCCTGTCAACAAAAAATGTGGGGAATCGTACGTCATACTGCTGGTATGCTAGGGAAACGTGTCGAGGATCTAGCCAAAGCGGTCACTGATTTATTAGTTCGTCAGAAACAAGTTACGGTTGGAATGCCACCAACCAACGAACATACTATTGTTGCTCCATTACCAGAAAACGAATTGCGAGCATTAATTCATCAAGCTTATGGAGACGATGAATCTACCGCTATGTTAACTCAAGAGTTGCTTGTTTATTTAGCAATGTTCATTAGAACAGAACCACAGTTGTTTCACGAGATGCTGAGACTTAGAGTAGGATTAATCATACAAGTAATGGCTACGGAATTATCAAGAACTTTAATATGTACCGGAGAAGAGGCATCTGAACATTTGCTTAATTTATCACCATTCGAGATGAAGAATCTTTTACATCATATTATGAGCGGAAAAGAATTTGCAATTAGCAGCGGTATGTTTATTATGAATAGAAATTATTTGATTAAATGCATTGGTACCTGAAGAATAATTTATTGCTGTTTTTAGTTGGTCGAGGTAACTTCTCCGTTATCAGTTGTAAATCCAGCAAAGTTAGTAAGGTAATGCACTTGTTTATACGACAGTTATTTTTTAACAGTTTCATTATAGTTCGAACGTTTCACTTTTAGAAATCACAAATTGGAGGTTTCTTAACTGCTGATCAAGTTGATGGTGGTGAAACAGAACCAGATCGTCAAGGTCAGTGGTTACGGCGACGAAGATTGGATGGCGCGTTAAATAGAGTGCCGCGTGATTTTTATCCTCGAGTATGGCAAGTGCTCGAACGGGTATGTATTATAAACGCACGTATAGTTTTTGCTCAATTAAAATCTTAATTTTTATATAATTAAATATTATAGTGCCAGGGTTTAGCCATTGAGGGTAGGGTCCTACCTCAAAATCTTACACAGGAAATGACACCAGGGGAATTAAAATTTGCACTAGCAGTAGAAACTGTTTTGAATACTATACCACAACCAGAATATCGTCAGTTAATCGTCGAAGCTTTAATGGTGTTAACTTTAGTAACTGAATATAATGTAGTAGCTTCCCTGGGTGGACTTATTGCTGTTGAACAGTTAGTTCATAAGGCCAATGCTATCTTTTTAGATGACCAGGTAAATTTTTATTGCATAATATAATATAGATAAAATGCATTTACAATAATTATTTTGAAATATCTAGATGAAAATTGATGGCGATGCTACCCTATGCTGCGCTAAACCGAAAGAACAACGAGAAACCACTGCAATGGGAAATCTTCTTTGCGGTGGGGCAGCATATGTGTGCCAACACTTTTATGATAGTGCCCCAAGCGGTAGTTTCGGAACGATGACATACATTACAAGAGCCATTGCCTCTTTGTTAAACTGTTTACCAAACGATGGTGATATAGAATGTTCAATATCATAATTATTTATTTTCTTAGACATCAATTTTAATTATATTTAGAAGTGTTCTTTTAAATCATACCATTATTAACAATTGTTTGGTATATTAAACAATAAAAGATTGTGACAAATGTATAAAAAAATTTCGTTTTTTTATATTGCAGTTACACCAGTGTTTGAGATGTAGTAAATATGAGAAAAATGAATTTGTCTTATATCCTATTTATTTATTATATGCAGCCACATTACACATGTATTACTCAGATTTTCTACTGCTAAAAGGATTCCATTTTACGTTCCAACTTATCGAAGATCTGAAAGAAACAAGTTGCTACATTAGTATATTTTGTTCACCACGTACATGGAAAGCGAATTAAGGTAAAGTTGCGCTACTGGGTGGAGGAACTTTATGAGCTCAGTCTAGCTGCGCGGAATGATACTATTCTCTCGTAGAAGAAACAATACATATGTAAAGATACATACTTCTCTAATTGTTCTTCAGCTTTTTTAACTTCTTCTTCTTTAAGTTTTGCAATCAATTCAGACCTATATTTGAGTTTTAAAGGTTGTATTTGTTGCATTTGTTCATTTAGTTTCGTCCACTTTTTACAAGCTTCTGTAAATGTTAAACCATACCATTCAATTTCCTCTCGCGTGTACTAAAATGAAAAGTATAATTTTTTTTACGTAAAAATTAATATTAATTCAATAAAGTATTGAAGTAACATTAAAATGATACTTTACTGCTGTTAAATATTCCTTGTATTTATTATAAATTTCTTCCTTTTTAACAGGATCATTTGGATATAAAGTTTTATCAGCCAATGCTATAAGTATTTCACGTTTTAATTTAAGTGCAAGCTCAGATTTCAAATCACAAGCAGGAGTCTATAAACAGTTGAATGATATTAGAAGATATGCTTAAGAATATTTTTCTTTTCAACATACCTTCAATAGATAGTGGTCAAAACCATAATGTTCATGAATTAAATTAATAGTTCTATTGGTAACAACTGCATTCATATGTTTATCCAAAATTTCGCTATAAACTACAGACTTTCTAAGGGTAGGAAACCAAAAGTGAGGAGCTCTGCGAGCATATCTATGTTTTTTTTTGAAACCTTGGACAACAGCTTCACCACCCCATAAACCCTCATGAAATTCTTTAGGAAAATGCAATCGTAGTGGTACATTTTGAACTGGACGTCTGAAAACCAAATTCATTTAACATTAAATTAACAAAGATCTTATGAAGAAAATAATTATAGAACTTTATTAAGCCCTTACACTTCTTCTGTCTCTTCATTTCTTATGTAAGTACCTTCTTCTTTAATGTAATGAACAGCAGCCGGTTGTTGTAATTTCCACTCTTTCCAGAACTTTTTATATTCTGCCGGTAATTCAGCACCAATTCCTTTTGACCATCGCGTTATTTTTGGTATGTAATATAAACGCTAAAATATCCATTTTTATAAATTTTTGTTTGTTTGTGTTTTTTCATATAATGCATAATAACTTATGTTTTAATAACGTATATTATTTATTTAGGTTAGTTTTGACAAAGTATCTTTTTCTGATAGAATATAAATATTACCTGACCAGCTTGTTTCATTGACATATTTATATACTTCTAAAATTAATAATAAATTTATAGATATTATTTCTTTTTTTTTTTGTTCAATTTAGGAGCTATGCAAGCTTAAAATGACAACAAAACCATGTTAATGGAAAGATAACAATTTTGCACTGGTTTCAACTGCATACCAAGTGATACCAAAATACCAACTAGTGAAAAGTGGTGAATAGAAATTCCATGAATTAAACCTATTATATAAATATCCACTACACTCATTATCAATAAACAATTAATGTTTTTAACAAATATTTTTTATAAGTTAAATATAATATAATATTGACAATATACTTTAATAAGGATATTAAAGATTGTTTTATATGATCACATAAATGCTTTTTATATTAAATACAATTGTAAATATTATTAATTCATTATGAAAATAAGTAGAATTATTTATCATGTATGGCATTCTCAAAGAAATTTGAACTTCTTACAAACAATTGAAAGGTTAGTATTAAATATATATTAAAACTGTTTAAAATGAAACAAATTTTTTACATGATGTATTTTATTTTAGACAGCACTTGCTAATTTATAGTAGATACTATTCTACAGAACCAGAGAAGAATAAAGAATATGAAGTACCAATAGAAAATATTCGTAACTTTAGTATCATAGCACATGTTGATCATGGCAAAAGCACTCTTGCTGATAGACTGTTGGAATTAACAGGTGCAATTAAAGCAAATTCTGGAAAACAAATTTTAGATAAGTTACAAGTTGAAAAAGAGCGTGGAATTACAGTTAAAGCTCAAACAGCTTCTCTTAATTATACATACAATGGAATCAAATATCTTCTTAATTTAATAGATACACCTGGTCATGTAGATTTCTCTGCTGAAGTACATCGTTCATTAGCTCCTTGTCAAGGAGTTGTTCTAGTAATAGATGCAAATGATGGTGTACAAGCACAAACTGTAGCTAATTTTCATTTAGCTATTAAACAAAATCTAGTTATAATACCAGTGATTAACAAAATAGACTTAAAATATGCTAATCCTGAAAGAGTAATGGAACAGTTAAAGATATTATTTGACATAGAAAAGTCGAAAGTTTTAAAAATATCTGCCAAATTAGGTACTGGTGTACCTCAAGTCTTGGATGCTATTGTTGAAAGAATTCCACCACCTGATGTATGTAGAGACAAGCCATTCAGGGCCTTGATATTTGATAGCTGGTATGATAAATACAAAGGAGCAATTTTATTAATATATGTTAAAGAAGGACTTTTATCTGTAAAGCAATATGTTACTGCAATGTACACTAAAAAATCTTATGAAATTAGACATCTTTCACTATTAAGACCTTCTGAAGAACATGTAAATAAATTGTAAATATTATTCTTGAATATTTTATCATTTTTTATAGTTTTGTCATAATACTCAGTAATATATATTCTAGATTTGCAGGTCAAATAGGATGTATTTCTTGTAATATGAGATCTTCCAAAGAAGCATTGATTGGTGATACATTACATTTAAAAAATGCTGTTGCTGAACCTCTAATAGGATTTAAATCACCAAAACCAATGGTTTTCTCAGGTGTTTATCCAAATGATCAGTCAAAGTTTGATGATATGCGAACTGCCATTGAAAAATTAACATTAAATGATAGCAGTGTTTCTGTCACACTAGAGTCTAGGTATACTTTTAAATATTTTAATTTCAAGTGTACTTCATTTATTTAATTAATTTTTCATATCTTTTTATTTTAGTGTAGCTCTTGGGCAAGGTTTTAGAATTGGATTTTTGGGTTTATTACACATGGAAGTTTTCATGCAACGTCTTGAACAGGAATATGATGCATTAGCAGTTGTTACAGCACCTAGTGTTACATATAAAGCAAAAATTGTTGGCAAGAAAAATATAAAGCAACATAATAATAACGAGATAATCACATTTAATAATCCTGCAGAGTTTCCTGATCCACAAATTGTGGCAGAGTTTTATGAACCCTTCATACTAGGAACTATCATAGCACCAAGTATATTTAATAGTCCGATATTATACAACATAAATATACTTAATACAAAACTAATAAATCATTTGTAATTATTTAATCAGCTGAATATACGGGTACTGTGCTATCTCTATGCCTTGAGAAACGAGGGGTACAACTATTAACAAAAGATGTTGGCCATAGTAGAACATTATACCAATTCCTGTTGCCACTAAATGAAGTTATTATCGATCTTCACGATACACTAAAACGTGTTACATCAGGATATGCTAGTTTCGATTATGAAGAATCTGATTATGAGGTTTCGGATATAGTGAAGGTCATTTTCTGAATTTATAGTAATTACATATTAAAATGATATATAATCTATTTGTTTAATATATTGATATCTGCATGATACAGTTAAGTATTGTTTTAAATGGAACTCCAGTTGAAGAACTTAGTACTATTGTACATCTTAGCAAAGCTCGTCAAAAAGGAAGAGAGTTATGTGAAAAATTAGTAAATAATCTTCCACGCCAATTATTTGAGATAGTAATTCAAGCTGTTGTTAATTCAAAAGTCATTGCAAGAGAAACATTAAAGGCATATAGGAAGGATGTAACTGCAAAACTGGTAAGTTTTTCATTGCATTGTGCCTGTATATTTTCCTGTTATTATCTTATTTTTAGTATGGTGGTGATATTACCAGAAGAAAGAAATTATTAGCACAACAAGCAGAAGGAAAGAAAAACATGAAATTAATTGGAAGAATTTGTATACCTCGTGAAACATTTATAAGTCTCTATAAAAGATAATACAAAAATTTTCTCTTGTATTTAATACATTACTTTTAGTACATACATACATACATGCTTAATAAAAATCATTTTCTTGCAAACTTTAACAAAAATATATTACTGATTAACAGAACTTGGCGAAGGATCTGACAACTGATGTGGATTACTTGAAGATACAGTATTTACAGAGTTTATGTTATCTTGTTTGAAAGCTGAATTAGTATTAAGATTAATATTGATTACAGATGTAGATGCTGGATCTTGCATATCTAATTGACTTTGAGCAATATCTTGCAAAGCAGCTTGGATCCTTTGCAAAAGTGCTTCTCCTTGTTTTACAACTTCCTCCAACTGTTCACCAGCTTCCTGGTTTTCTTGTTCAAGACGACTAAGACTTGCAACTTGTAATTCTTGCGACGATTCTTCGCTTGGTAAACTTTCTATTAGAGTATCAATATCTTTTGCACATCTTGCTATTAGAGTTGCAAATAAGGCTGCATAATCTAAAATACAGATGTGATTATATATATAAACAATAATGGAAAACGATTAAACTAAAAGGAAATGAGTAATGAATAAAAAATACCTTCTTGAGGTTGGTGTGGTTGTGGGGTTCCAACACGATCGAAACCGGGAAATTTACTAGGTGTTGAATATTGTTGTAATATACCTACGCTATTACAAAAATGTTCAGCTTGCTAGAACAACGAATATAATTATTAGAAAAACATTTTAACATAAACTTGATTTCAAAAACATAATATTACGTTACCTGATTTATTGTATCTTGTAATTGTGTTAGACGATCTGCCATATTTTTTAATTACAACCTATGTAACTATATTATGTTTTTAATAAACATGGATAATATTATTCTAAATGTTCTGTAAATAACCTTACCGTAATCAAATTCGATTGAGATATTTGTAATGACAAAACTTTGTTACATTTTGCAGCGACTACAGAACAAGACTAAATGAAAAAGGGGTACACTAGCGCCACCTATACGAAAGTGGCGGAAACTACTTGCCGAATAGTTTCCGCCACTTTCGGATAGATGGCGCTAGTCAACTCCTCAACTAGTTACCGACTTATCGACATTTACAAACTTACTGTAAATTTGACTTTTACAAATTTACTGTAAAGATATGTAACATTTATTGCTGTACCGAATCTATGAGCTCGTATGGAGCTTACGATCCTTTTCTCAATAAATAAAATAAAATATCGATATTTTTGGGACCACTAGCGCCATCTATCCGAAAGTGGCGGAAACTACTCGACAACTAGTTTCCGCCACTTTCGTATAGATGGCGCTAGTGGTCTTAAAAATATCGATATTTTATTTTATTTATTGAGAAAAGGATCGTAAGCTCCATACGAGCTCATAGATTCGGTACAGCAATAAATGTTACATATCTTTACAGTAAATTTGTAAAAGTTAAATTTACAGTAAGTTTATAAATGTCGATAAGTCGGTAACTAGTTGAGGAGTTGACTAGCGCCACCTATTGCAAAGTCGCGGAAACTACTCGACAACTAGTTTCCGCCACTTTCGTATAGATGGCGCTAGTGGTCTTAAAAATATCGATATTTTATTTTATTTATTGAGAAAAGGATCGTAAGCTCCATACGAGCTCATAGATTCGGTACAGAAATAAATGTTACATATCTTTACAGTAAATTTGTAAAAGTTAAATTTACAGTAAGTTTATAAATGTCGATAAGTCGGTAACTAGTTGAGGAGTTGACTAGCGCCACCTATTGCAAAGTCGCGGAAACTATTCGGCAAGTAGTTTCCGCCACTTTCGTATAGATGGCGCTACAGTCCAAAGCGAAGCGGCGCGCGCGGTAAACTACATTTATTTGAATAAGTACATTTAAAATAAACCCCAAACAAAATTATTAAAAAATGATAAAATAAATGTAAAAAGTTTATTGTTATAGCTTTATTTCCAAATATTTATATTTTAATTTGAATGATCGTTATGAAGTGGAAATTTTCTTTATATCGACTAAGTGTTGTCTTTTAACAAATGATCATTTTATTTTTAACAGAAACATAATAGGAATAAAGTCTTTAAATTACGTATGTACAAAAACAATGATAAAATATAAATATTATAACGCTGTTCGAGTTCACTCTTGAATATTTCAACGTACCATATTAATGGGAAGGATATTAGAAAAAAGAAAAGGAGTACATATTAACATAATTTAGCATTTTTCCATTGCATTTTATAAAATGTTTACATGGGGAAATATTTACAAAAATATGAGTGGAGTGTGATGAAATGTAGAAGACAGGAAAAAAGGATGAACAATATAGTTTCATGAACGATTCAATTAAGAGTACCCCGACATTGTGGTGCTCCACATAAGCATGGGATTTTATCATCCTCCAATGGAAATTTATAATCGTATGTAATTTCCTCGTTAACTCCTATCGGTTGTTTACTATAGATTACAATTTTCTTTTGACTTTCGATTGTAATTACTTTTGCGTAACAATTCGGCTGAAAAAAAAAAAAACAAGACAGAATTTACAAGTTGATCAGAGAAGATGATTGTAGAGAATAAAATTGCATTTGAAATATAGATACTTGTTATAAATACTCACATTGCAGCTATGATTAATAAATCGTGCTAAGTTTCCACATTTCGTTGCATCAATAATTGTATCTAAATCGATGCGGAAAAGATAAGAACTTCCAATACCAGTAGCTTCATATTGAGACTCTCTTAAGTCAGCAACAACTGGCCTAACCATTTGACCAACATATTCAATGACCATTTCATCAGCTGCTATTGGTTCCATGGCGAATAAACCCCAATCGTGTATGCCAGATTTCGCGAATTTCAATTGTTTTTTCCTAAACTGTAATATATAAAACGAACGTGATAAAATGTGCTTTATAAAAATTAATACTAATAACGAATTTAGAAAAATCTTACCTTCAACTGATTAAACTTAAGAAGATCACTATCGGTATCAATACCGAAGGCCGTTAATAACCGACGTTGATTACTTCGAGCTTCTCGAGACAAAGCTTGCATTTTACCGGTTAAAGTTTTATTATTATTCTTTGGACCATTCATTGTTCCATCACCTCCAGCATAAGGGCCATTACTATCCTCAACATCGTTACTGCGTTGTATGCTTTGCGCATAGTGATGCTACAAAAAGAAAAAGTTTTTTAAAATTTCATGCTTAAATATTGAGAATCAATTGAGAAGTTAATCAAATATTGATACATATGCGGAATCATACCTTATGTTTAGCTTTCTCTCGTACATCAACTTTATAATATCCTTCCGTTCTTGCACTTCCACTTGTATGTAATCTAAGTTCATCTCGTTTTCTTCGTTTAGCAGGACTTGGAAGATCGGTTGGAGGATGATCAACCCAATGCGTATCGTTTAACCAATAACCTTGAGTATCATCGGCTAACAAAGCTTCGTAACTTCGTCTTAAATATTCCACATCTTCCGCGTCTATTCCTCTAGTTAGAAATTCATACAAAATAGCCATTTCCGACATTAGATCACGTTCTTTATACGTTACTGTTGGTTCCTCTACTTTTTTCGGATATTTTTGATAAACAAATTCATTTTCAATATTCTCTTTTTCTCCTTCATGATTTTGATGAGTATGAATTTTGGTATATTTATTATATTTTCGCTTTTCTACTTTGTGAGTTTTGTCTTTACCCTTAGCTAATTTCATTATTTTTGAAGGTTTTATTTTTATAGGTTTTATCGGTGCCGGAGGTGCACGAAGTACAGTTTTCGCTATTTCTGATTGTGCCGGTGGCAATGAGTATGAATGTTCCATGAATACTTGAGAAGCTTGTGAATTTGGACTCTGCTGACCATTCAATCGAAGTTCGGCTTCAGCTTGATACCTAATCAATGCAAAATAATTTAAATTTTTACACTGATTCGTTTAATACATAATAATAATGATCATATGTATGTTAAATAATTTTACAAACCTTAACCTTCTAATTTCTAAGCTTTCTTCCTCCGAATCGGTAGTAGGTATCTCACTAAACATCTCGATCTTTTCTGATTCTTTTAATATGGGTTCATCGTTAATATATTTTTCAGACATAGTTTGAAGAGCTCTAATAATATTTGGTTGTACAGGTCCCGGACTTCTATGTCTTATAATATTATCTTGGCCAGCTAACGTTATCAAAGCTTCTGCTGCAGAATTTTCCATTTTTTGCATATCACACGGTTCTTGTTTGCTTGTTACCATTAAAATACCAATATGTGCAATCGGTACTTCATTTTCAGTTTCATCCTCAATATCCTTTGCTTCTACGTCTTCTTTTACCGTTACATGTTTCTCAAGAATTTCCTCGTCAACAGATTTTTCAATCATCTCTTCACTTTCTTCTTTATCGTTTTCGTATCTTAGCGGAGATGGTATTGGGGTAGCATCGTTATCACATTGCGGAAACTCGTTCAAGATTCCATCTTTTATTTTAATATCAGGTATTGGTGTTTCTCTGCCAAACGGTGTTGGACAATCTAACGAGCGTTGAATAGCAAATTCCATTAAAATATCAGGATCTTCGCTATTGCAAGCAAGGGGACGATGATCCGATATACGGCTGTCCGTGTCTTGCTGAAAATAAAAAATAATTATATGAAAGTATCACATTAGAGTATTAATAAAAACAATTGTAATTATATAATACCTCGTCTTCATAGTTCGCAGAACATACTTCTTCGTCTGAACTATCACTCGAACTACTAGAAGATTCACTGCAACTAATTTCTTCGCTGCTGCTCTCGCTTGATGTCGACGACGACGACGACGACGACGACGAAGAAACACTTGGAAGAGAGGTAATTGGCCTTTCAATTTTTTGTACAGATTCTAGATCAAGATCGCTATCGCTTTCTATAATTTCAGTATCACCATGATCAGACTGACGACTATCTTCATCTTGCGGTAACGGGCTTGGAGCTTTAATCTTGCGCTGAAAAGTAAGGTAAGGTAATTATAATTATATTAATTTAACTATATAGAAATTCATATATAATGGAAATAAGAAATTTACCCTGAAAGAAGGCATCTTTGGCATGCTAGCTCTAATGCCCAAACCAAATCCATCATAATTAAATCCAAGTGGAGTTCCTTGTTCTAACAGTAGCGATAATCCCTGAGGTTTTGAGCCCTCTTCTTTATTACTGCTAATAACAGTAGTATTATCACCTCCTTGATTTTGACTTTTCTCTGATTTCTTTTCATCCCACCATACTTCAAATAATTTAAACGCGGTATTTTCAATCATTTTCTTATTAAAATCCTTTTTTAAAATTTGTTTTAGTTCATTTACAACTCTGTTTAATACCCCATTGATAGTAGGACCCTGGATTTTCGATAATCACATTTTTATTAACATTTTAAATAACAAAAATGTGTTATTATATCTAGAGTATATAAGTATATACCTGTGGATTATCTTTCGTAATGCTGTGATTTGCCATAGCATGCAATCTTGACTGAAAAGATGGATAATAATTTGTTCCTTGATGATTTCCTACTGTTCCAGAGAATGATGTAGTATTTGGTTGGTAATGACTTTGTAAATATGTTGTTCCATAAGGGTATGGATACTGTGCCGGTCGAGGCCAATGATACATATCATTGGGAGGATAATGGGTTATATGACCAGAATAACCAGCTCCAGGATACAACTGGCTTGCAGGTTCTGTTTGAGCTATAACCTGAATATTTAAATAATTATTATATATTTCATTTGCGATTTATAATATACGTACCTCTTCAATTTTCTCATCTCCTGAACTTAACGGACTTAACGACATTCTATCATCATCTGGCGGAGGTGGAGGTGGTGGCTCTTTTGGTGGTTCAGGCTCGATTTCATCCGGTGCAGGGCTGTAACTTCCCAATAATGCTTCATCTTCGCTCGAACTTATCACACTTCCTAGCTCTTCGTCGATAGAAAATTGATTAATGCTATTCTCATGCACTTTCCATTGTTCTTTATTTCTCTCCCTCATTTTTTCAAAACACGATTTGTATATCTCATGAGATAAAAACGGACTCGGTGGGTCTGAAAGTATCTCATTATCCGCGTTAACAGATTTTTTCTCGTCTTCCGAATCGCTACCAAATTGCAGGAACGGAGGTGCCATTCCCCCTGCCTTGTCTTTTAATAACATAGCGATTCTGGTATCCAAATCTAACGTTTTACGAGTCTCCACCGGTGAATCCCGAGATGAATTTTTCGTTACGTTCTGATTTTCTTTCTCTTTTTTCGGGGTCTGATGCATTTTTATATTAGAAGCCTTGGAAATTGGAACTACGTTAGAATTAGAATTATCTAAATTTGTCCCATGCTGAACAGGCCACATAGATGATGATGCGTAAGTTGCAGTTCCTGTACTATTTCCCCACCACATACTAGAATTTTGTTGGATCGGAAGATTCTGAGATACACCTTGAGGCATACTTGGTAAATAATTATTCGGAGGTTGATGGTGGTAACCGCTATAGTAAAAATCATAATTCGTAGCTGGAGTTGAATTTTGAGAATAATTACTAGAATAATTTAGTTCGCTAGGCGCAGTACCATAGCCTAAATCGCTTCCAGTACTACCACTAGGAGTAGGATAATCTCGATATTTACTATATCTTGAATTCTCCGCATACGTATCCCTCACCTTTTCTATACTCGATACCATCTTTTTATTACTTTTAAAATCATCCCTTTCTTCGGGAATAATTTTTTCAATCGGTGTTTGTTTCTCCTGTTCAATTTCAGGCTTGATTTCTTTTTCTATTTTCTTTTCTGGCTTCTTTTCAGCAGTTAATTCATCATAAATTTTTTTACATTCATCCCCAAATGCATCAAGAAATACTCTTAAAACTTTACCCATCACAGATGTATTATTTAATTTTTCTACACAAGCTTTAGAAGCCTTCGTACTTTCAAACACCACCCTTGCAATTCCAAGATGCTTATTCGTTAATGGATGATAATAAACAATTAGCTCTTCCACAGCGCCGAATTTTTGAACCATATCCGATAAAAAAGTTTTATCAATATTGTCATTTAAATGGCAAAATGTTACTTCGAGCGGAGGCGGTTCACCACAATAATTCGAGTCAATTTTAAACCTAGGTACAGGTAAATCGAGCTGTTCTAAACGAGTCCAAATTCGTGTTAATTGGGATCTCGGGTCTCGAGGTTGAACTTCCGGATAAGTTGGATCTCCTGGAACCATACCATCGTATCTATATAATTTTGTAGCACCTTTCACCAAAAATGGATCAACTAATAATTTATAATTTCTTGGCTTCTGAGCTGGTTGGGCAACAGATGTATCTTTTTGCGAATGCGGTGTATGAGCGTGGCTATGTTTCGACGATTGACTGGAATTTTGTGATGTATTTTGTATAGTTCCATGTGAATGCCGATGACGGTGTGAATGTGCATGCGAATGTCCATGTCCATGCCCATGTCTCTCCATTCCGTTCATTGCCTCCAAGCATTATCCACTCGCGTAACTTGCTAAACATAAAATCAGAATTACATTATAATTATATAATAAACCTTTTAAGTATTTAAAGATACTAAAATACTAAATAGTATATATGTATAATAGCACTGCAAGGAAAAACAGTACAAAAAATATTAGCATAAGATAAGATCTAATTATCACTTGTAAAGTTATATTTGTCTTTATAATTCCAAAGTTCCTACTACATAATTATAATATATGGAATGTTGAAACTATTGTATAGTTAAAAAATAAAAATTTCAAATAAACAAACTAATAAAAGAAGATTAAATGGTATATTTAAGATTAAATGCTTCAAATTTATACTAATACAAGAAATATTATTGCTTAACATAATATATGATAGAAATGTTGTTCAACTTACGACCAGAATGATTTCGTGTCTCCAATGAATTGCTTTGCTTATGAATACAAGAAATTCATGTTTCAATAATACATAACCTTAAATGTTTCAAAAACTTTAGGTTGTACTTTCGTATGAATAAACAATGTGACAACCATTTCGTAAAAAGAATTCCGTGAATCACGTCTTTTAAAGTTATATCCTTGTATAAATTCCAGTGAAGCAATGCCTCTTTCTATGGGAAACACAATCCTTAAGTTTTATACAAATACGTCCCGGTTTTTTCAAAAGTGTAATTTTTCAACTTGCTTGTATAATATTGTATTTACTATGTGGACGTCATTTAAGTGTTAGCTTCAATATCTCATTCCGTTTTATTCTTCGTTGATATCGTTCTTCATAAAAAATATAGGTTTATTGATACTACCTTTCCGACACACCAGCGCAAAACTACTTCAATGTTTGACTGTTAGTACAACGCACTGCACCCTGGCATTTTCCTAATTTTTATTGAGTTATAATCAGTATTGCAAACGATGGTGTGTCAACTAAATAATTTACCGATACTTATTTCACTTTAATTCAATGTATGGAATACGTTTACTGTACGTTAACAAATTCATAGCTTTGATAAAACTACGTGAACAGTTTCGGATGACGCCATCCTTGTTGTAAAGAGCATGACGGTTCTTTTAATCATTTTTACTAAACAAATGATATGAACATTTTCAGTGAAAGTAAGATATTTTTCATAATCATAAAGACGATGTTTAGACTATTTTATCAATAAATTAATAGGCTAAAGTACCCCAAAGAAACATCCAAGCGTGCAACTGAGCCAAATATGTAACATTTTTTTTCGTGTCCTATTCTGTCTTGATTCACAGATTTTAGTTGCGTCGAGAAAATAGTTGAAAATTTCGCCTGCTACTGGCATTCTGTTATATTTACCAATAATTTACTAATTAACGCTTAATAACGGTATTGCAAAATAATTGTTGAAATTCTTCTCATACAATGAGTAGCATTTAATACACGTATTGGTCAGTCTTGATCTAAGAGAATTTTCATGAAACCTATTGGCAAATGAACTTTCTGCTTCTAAAGAAAATTGCGCATTATCGTGCGCATACGTAATACGTATATAAGCGCCATACTTTGTATCAAAATAACATTAAAATACATTTTAAAATATATTCATGAAAGTAAAATTATATTACAGCTTAATACTTATGAAAATATCGAAGAAAAGTAAAATACAAATTCTCCCAAAAAAATCAGTTTTACTTTTGTAGTTTGCTTTTGATAAGAAAAAAATCTTCTTCATTTCATTTACATCTGAGAAGAAAGTAATTGATTACTTTTTGATAATTCTAAATAAATAAATAATCAATCAATTTTTTATTATCTACAAGCTGTAATATTTATTTGTTACCGATGAAGGGTTAATATATTTACTGTTTCTTTATAATTCGAAAGAGGGCGTAAATGCTACAATTACAACCTAACCTATGGTTCATCTATGAAATGGTCAACTAAAGTCAGTATTTTGTGCCTATTAAATTTTGCATTTCCATCTTAGTAATTTGTTGTACATTTTAAGTCAATTTAAAATAACTACCTTAAAGTAAAAGAAAAGTTGTTTTTAAAAATGTCTTTTCTACAAAGTTTCTTTAAACGTAATATCCCAACCGTAAAGGCTGAAGAGGAAGACGGAGAATTAGTTGATCCTCAAAAACAGCTTCGGGTAAGTCAAAATTATTATATAATGCTTATATTATAATAACAATGAAACTTTTCTGTTAACAATTCAAAATCTGTTACTTATTCAAAATAGTAGAAGTTTTTAATTATTGCATTTATAACAAATGATTTTATTTTTTCCAGGAAAAATGTGCAAAAAGAGCTAAATGTGCTACTATGCAAGAGAAACTAACTACATGTAATGATCGTGTTAATTCAACTCCTGAGACAGAAGAAACTTGTCTTGAGGAATTAATCGATTATGTAGAATGTGTAGATCATTGTGTAGCAGAGAAACTGTTCAGTTTACTTAAGTAAGACCGTGAATCAATTGAAATGTGTAATCATTGTTAAAGAATCTTGTAAATCGATACATTGTAGACATATAACATTAGGAATAAATGGTTATTTATAAGTAAGTATTAATTTATGTTGATATTCCTTTATCTGTATTTAAAATTTAAGAGCTATAAATTTAACAAAATTTCAACAAGAGGAATTATATAATACAATGAGTTACAATATGCTTGATATAGAATTATATAAAAACATTTGGTATAGCCTTCATAAGAAATGTATATGGAATGACATTTATTTTATTTACATCCGAATGTTTCTTTTATTTGAAGTCTTATATTATTCAGCACCTACTTGTAATACATCAAAACATACTGCACAAACACGCACTGGTTTATTTAATCCGAATTTTACAATTGGAACATCTTGACCAGAACATTTATTGCACAAAACTCGACCACAGTGACGGCTAAAAAAAGTAAAAAAAAAAAATTAGTTTTATATAAATGTAAATTATATATATATATATATATATAATATATGTTACAGTTTTTGTACCAGTGATGTTTTCGCATTGTGAGAGAGAATTTTGTACCACATTCCAAACAGAGATCTTTATCAGCCCATGGTGCTTCTTGCGTCAACGAGTCTAATAATCTATACAGTAACTGTTTCGTTGCTACTTGATAATTAAAAATTGTAATTCCTTCTTTATTCATCGATGCTAAACATGCACCCGATTTTACTAACGTACGACAAAGTTGACCATTGCCTTTCATATAAGCTATCAGTAATGGAGTATTACCATCCAAGTCTTAAACAAAATATCTTTATTAGAATTCATTTATATTTATATTTAGTTTAATATATTTTTATATATTTTTACCTGCATTATTTACTGGATAGTGTGACATACATTCTAAGAAAAGTTCGCATATAGTTGCTGCATTATCTTTTCCACATCTGGCTAATTCATGTAAAGCATTTCTTCCTTTAAGATTGACCGCCTCTGCATCTAGTGTACATTCAGTTAAAAGTGTTCTTACTACTCCTACATGACCTTCTCTTACAGCTACATGTAATGCATTGTCGCCGTCTGCATTTACAGCATCAAAATTAATATTGTTCTAAGAAAAAGAAGAAGAAAACGGATGTTAATAATGATGTTTACTAAATAAATATTTATGATACTGTGTATTACCTGCAATAAGGCAGAGGCAACTGCAGCATGTCCTGCTTTTGCAACAGCGTGTAATGCGGTATTTCTATTTGCATCCGTATCATTAACGCGCGCACCAGCCAAAATTAAACTTCGCACTAACATTTCATTTCCAGATATTGCAGCAAGATGTAAAGGCGGAGTTTGTGTAACATCGTGAACTCTGGAATTTACATCTACCTACAAAATTAGTTGTTTTATTGAAAAATTCCAACTAAATTGAAATATGCATTTTCATACCTACCTGTATAGATAATAGAAACAAAATACTTTCCATATCATTCTTTTGAATAGCAGTATGTAAAAAGTTTCTACCTTTGTTGTCATACTGTTCAGCAGCTTTAGGTAATCGTTCTAATATCGCTTGTGCCGCCTTATTGTTTCGGAATGTCAAAGCTGTTGCAAATGGTGTTAAACCTTTTTTATCTCGTTTGTTTAAATCTATGTTAGGATGACAAAGCAACAGAGAAATAATTTGTGAATGTTGATTTTGTATGGCTACATGAACTGGAGTTTTCCCTTCTATATCTCGAGCATTTATATCGGCATCGTGTTCAATAAGCGTTTGCACAACTTGCTCTAAACCCCACTGACAACTTATGTGCAATGGAGTACATTCATCTCTAGCTTCATCACCTCCCGAGCCATCTGGACCAAGTTTTTTTGGAGCATTCAAATCGCAACCACTAAAATAGAAATATTACTTAAAAGCTATACTACAACTTTTTATAACAATCTTCCAATGCATTAGACACCTTCTTATAAGAAATTGTGCAATGTCTTCTTTATTCTCATCAATTGCTCTATGCAATAATGTTTGTAGGCAACCATCTGGACCAGGTCCCCAACAATCAGTATCAGCTCCATATTTAACTAAAATAGATGCTATATCTTCTTGATCCGAATCCAATGCATCCCATAACGGACATCCTACAGAAGTATCCACACCTCTTTTACAAAGAGCTTCAACAACTTCACCTAGTCTACAGTGCACAGAAAGTTGTAAAGGGGCCTCTCCATTTGCAGTCCTAAGTTAAAATTTTTAAGTATCACATGGTGGGTTAAATAATGCTAAATTTAAATATTAAATAAATTAAAGATACCTCGCGTTCATGTCTGCACCATTTTCTAATAAAAAGATTGCCGTTGCTGAATCCTCTTTTAATATTGCTTGATGTAATAACGTTAAGCCTTCTTTATTATATTCGTTGATATTTGCTCCAGCTTTTATCAAAGCCAAAACAATATCTTTACCTTTTTTAAATGGAGCTTTAATAGCTATGCTCAAAGGTGTTTCGTTTGCATTATTTTTCAAATTTAACTGAGAATTCGAATTAGGTGCATCTAATAATTCTACTACAATATCAAAGTATAAATTTGATACAGCAATATGTATCGGCGCATCACCGGTAGAAAATGCAACTTCGTCCACTGGAAGACCATTTTTTAATAAAGCTTGCGTCAAGTTTCTTGAACCAACTTTACAAGCTTCGTGTAAAACTGAATATCCTTCATTATTTTTTTTCATCAAATTATCTTTACAATGTTCGATTAAAAACAGTGCTGCTTCTTCTTTACATTCTCTTATTAAAACATGTAGCAAAGTGTCTTCTGTATTTTTATATATAGGATTAGAAGTTACACCTTTATCTAAAAGTTGTTTAGCAAAAAATTGACCAAACGGATCTAATTTCATTGCGATGCACAATGGAGTATCATCCTCGTTAGTAGTTTTGTTCAAGTTTAAATCTGTACATTCTATCAAAATATCAAACAGCGGTTCGTTTCTTTCCTGTATGCACTTGTGTAAAGCAGTCCTACAAGAACAAATACGACAATAAATTAATATATTATTTTTAATGAAAATTGAATAATATAGGAACAATTAAATTACCATCCTTTATGATTTTGTAAATTAGGATCAATCCCAGCTTGTAACAAACGGGACGCGATCGATAACATATTTTCTGAACTATGTTTTGTTATCAAATGTAAAACAGTACATCCTTCTAGTTCTTCAGGATTCTTTATGTCTTTTGTATTTCCAGTAAGTTTCAGAGGGTTGCATAGCTGTTGTACGTTACCACTATTTTGCAACTGTTCTATTATAAATTCTGCTGAATAAGAATCTCCTTTAATAATAGCAGCTTGGAGTAAAGTAAGTCCTTTTGAATCTTTTGCATTTAAATCAGCCCCATGCTTAACTAAGGTACGTGCTAATGATGGTTGACATGTTTTTAAAGCAACTTCCAATGGTAATTCTCCTTTGTGATCTAGTGCATTAACGGCTTTAGTTAACTAAAAAGAATAAAAATAAAAAAATGATTAATTAAATATATATTATAAAGTTTCTGGTTTAGATAAAATTTTTCAAGTGTTCTTTGAGAACCACTGCTTCGCATTTTATGCGTAATGAGATGCGCGTAGAAGTGGGTAGCGGATGCTTATACGTGCACGTATTAGTGATTTCTACATACTACATTTATTATTAAGGACTACATAACGGCGTTAAAACGCAAACGGAAAGAAATATGATGATTACATTCTGATAAAACAGAACGGGCAGTTTATAAAGGATAGAAAAATCATGACGTGGCGTAGAAAACGGTCGCCTAACCACAGTCAGCTTTCGGTCAAACGGACGCATTTCGTCGCAGAACAAAGAGAACAGTTAACAAACACTCTGTCATCGCAATGTGACATTTGGTGAATGTTAATAAATTAATGTTATTAGGAATAAGTGAAAGTGTTTAATTAAATTATGTTCTACTTAGTAAATTTATGACACTTTATATAATATAAGAGAAATTTAATTATGAATTCAACAGTCCTTGATATATTTACCAATTGATATTTGTTTAGATCTGTAAGTTTTTTTTTCTTTTTTCATTAAAAACCAATTTTATAATTGTAGTATGTATAAATAACTGTTACAAGTAATAATATTTAATAAATTTAATGTTTAATTAATTAAAATTATTTCAGGTTTGTAAAATGACAATGATCAATTAAATTTTAGTAATAAACATAAATTGTTACGAAAATTGTAAATAATATTTAAAAAATATATTCTTAAAAATATACATAAATACTCTGCTAATAATTGACTGTATTTTGGACATAAATAAGATGGCTTTTCAAACAAAATCAAATAAGGTTTTACTAATTACTGCATTTTTTCTATGTATGTACCTACTCAAAATATTTGTTAATGTTATTTAATTAACAAAATTAGTATTTAATATATCTGAATATTTTTAATTATATTCTTTAAACACTGAATAGTTTTAGACACAATAATAAAACCCATAACTGCAGATGGTATTTCATGTTTCAAATGTTTACCATCACAACCAGGAAATGAAGAAACTGATTTATTATGTTCACAATTTGATGGAAGTTCTAGATTTCAAGTTTACTGTCCATCATCAACACTTTGTAAGAAGAAAACTATTTACTATAAATTTAAATGTAAGTAAATATTTATCATATTTAAAAATATATATATTTTTATACTAATTACTTTGTCATTTTTTACAGCATCTGTAATAACAACTGTAGAGAGGGATTGTGCACTTCAAAAAAACACAGTTCCCATTTACAATGATGTAGATAATAATTGGAATGATAACGAAGAAATTGTGAAAACAGCTTATGAAGAAGGTTGTTTTATTGGTGAAGATAGAGGAGCCCCAGTAGGTCCACCAGAGTATTGTTTTTGTAGTTTCCATTTATGCAATTCATCAGAATCAATGAAAACTATGAATGTATATCATATTGCTTTGCTCACAGTAACATTATTATTTACAAAATCGTTATGAATTTTTCTGTTTATGTACTTACTAGGATAAAAAAGAAAACATTGAAATATATATATGTTTGAAAAGTTTTTAAAAAGTAATATAAAAAGTATTAACATTTTTTACGAAATAATCTTTCTTCTTCTAATACCTTGTTTGTATCATTCTTTTTAGTACTTTCAAATGCAGAAAATAAAATATAATCAATGTTTCAAAATGATACATCATGCTTATAAGCAATATTTATATTAACAAATTTTTAACTTACCCCTGTATTGTTTTCCACCAAATACAAAAACACTACATCTTCTCTCATCAATCTAACAGCAGCATGTAATGGGTATTTACTCTTTGTTTGCAATAATTTGTACAATAAAGATCCAGGCATTTCTTTAAAATCTTCTCCACTCAAATCTTCCTAAACATATCAATTTTGAATAAACTGATGTTATAATACTGATCAATATTCAAAGTAATGAACATAATACATAATAAATATCTTACCCAATGTGCTGAAATCAAAGAGCTACAATGCTCTTTTAATTGTCGAGTTCCTAATTCTTCAGCAATAGCATACAATTGTACACAATCTTTCAGTCCCACAGTTCCAATTAAATATTTCTCGCAAAGTTCAACTAATTCTGTCAATTGAAAACTGGAAGCTGCTTTCATTAAATCTACTGTTAAATTTTCTTGACCAACTTTTCCCATATATATCCATTTTAATAACACCAATCCAACATTAGGATCTAAATGAGTCCAATCTACAAACATATTCTATATTATACATATGAGTTTTTTTTTACATATGTTTCTATTAAACCTTTAACTAATTACCTAATGTAGTTGCTTCAGCAATCATTGGATCACTGAAAAAATCTGTTCTAGCAGATAAGATAAACTTATGTGCTGGTATTTCTTGATCCTTTAATTTAATAGTTACATCACTATAACATAATATTTGTTAATGAAAATGCTAATGTATAAAGTTATAAACTTAAAAGATTACACACCTATATCGACGTTGATTGTATAGTGATGCTATAATTGTTAAAAGTCTTCCAATAAATCCAGAATCTTGTTTACTTGCAGTAACAATAGCATATTCACGTTGCAGTTCTGTGTTTGTATTATATAAATTAATGTATTGTTCTCGCAACAAAGATAAATGTTGTTGCCATTTCTGTGCTTCCATAGCATCCTCTAAAACGTAAGCATATGATTGGAAACAATTGATTAATTTACAAGTAAGTGTTTTTAACTTACCCATGATTACACTAGCAATTATATTAATTCTTTTATGAAGTACAAAAAATTATTGCATGTTCACGTTTTCACACTGGTTTATATTTGTTCTGCACAATCCATTCCCTACAAAAACAATAAAAAAAGAATGATTAAAATTTGTAGGAGGAAACTTCCAAAAAAGAAGGCCGACGTATCGCTTACACTTAAATAATCTACAAATGAAATTCTATCATATATGATACGCTCGCATACAGTCTTCATTGTATTTGTCATATAAGCACATACATATTTTCATTCTAAACTCAGAAAATTGTAAGTCACCGTTTTTTGAAAGATACAAAAACTTCTATTTAGACTTCTAAAAGAAACAAAAAAACGTTTAACCTTTGATTCTAATAGCAGTGACTACAGATACACCAAGACTGGATATATTTTTGGTCTAGAGCGTCATGATTTTATGGGGTCTCAAATACCCCCAGATAAGGTTTGGCCTCCATGGGGAGAGTATTTATATATATATGTATGTAAACACTGAACATTTTGTTGTATGGAACAATTGTGGTATGTTTAAATAAAATATTGTAAAATAATTAATCTATAATTAGTCTTAGTAAGGATTAACAGTATTATACTTAATATAACTTTGAATAATTATTAATCAACATGCAAGCTACTGAAGAATTTCCTTTTCCTTTTTCTCCATATTCCATTCAAGTTCAATTTATGAAAGAATTGTATAATTGTTTGGAAAATGCTAAGTTGGGAATCTTTGAAAGTCCAACTGGTACTGGTAAATCCATGTCAATTATCTGTGGTGCTTTAAAGTGGCTTTTGGATCATGAAGAACTACAGAAGAACCAATTGACCGCAGCAATTTCTAATCTTGATGAAAAAATAAAAAATTGTACCAATTTATCTAATAATTGGTTCTCTGTACAAACTGAACAAATACAGTTAAATAAGGAGAAACAATTGCTTCAAGCAAAGTTAAATAGTATTCTTCAATATGAGCATAAGAAGAATAATCTAAAAGAAGCAACTAAAAATGTAAACAGAAAGAAGAAATTACATAGTCAGAGTAATATAAATCGTATAAAAAATGAAATTGATATAGAAAAGAAGGAGTCAGCTGATGAACTTAATGATAAAGAAACCAATATAGAAGAAGAGATACTTTTGGATGATATAACGCAGCATTCAGAAAGTTCTGAGGATGAAGACAAAGAGGAAGAAGAAATTTTTGAGAATACTAAAATCTTTTTTTGTTCTAGAACTCATTCACAATTATCACAATTTATAAGAGAAATCAAGAAAAGTCCTTATTCAAAAAATGTATCTGTTGTTCCATTGGCATCTAGGTAGCTCATTATTTGTTTTTGAATAAAGTTCAAATATTTTGAAGAGACTAATTTCTCTACAAGGTTTTACTAATAATTTTAGGCAAAATTATTGTATTAATAAAAATATAAGAAGACTAAAGCATCAAAGTTTAATTAATGAACAATGTTTACAATTACAAAAGAAGAAAGCTACTGTTAAAGAGGAGAAAGATGTTAAAAGAAAGAAAGTAGCAACTAGTTGTCCCTTTATGCCAGGAAATCAGGATTTACTGATAGGGGAAACAGTAATAGAAATTCAGGATATTGAAGAGATTGTACAAAAGGGAGAAGATCTGAAAACTTGTCCATACTATGCATCAAGAAAAGCTATTCCATGTGGTCAGTTAATATTAGTGCCATATAATTCTGTATTGCATAAAAATACTAGAATTAGTTCAGGAATTAATTTAAAAAGAAATATATTGATAATTGATGAAGCCCATAATTTACTTGAGGCTATTGAAAAAATGCACAGTGTTATGATTACAGGCAGAAATTTATTGCACTGTTATAGTCAACTTTCACAATATTTAAAGAGGTAATAAATTATTTTGATGATTATTATTACAATTATTATCTATTACTAAAATTAATAATATAAATTTTAGGTATCAAACTTTATTTTCTGCAAAAAATTTTCTATACCTTAATCAGTTAAGCTTTTGTTTAAAAAAGCTTTTAACTATTTTTGGAGCTACTACAAAATCAAATCCTGATGACGTTATAAGTGCAGAAACAACGTCAAAGTCTTACAAAATAGAAGAATTTGAAATAAAAACAGAAATTGATACAATAAATATATTCGAGTTGTTAAAATTTATTAAAAATTCTCGGTTAAGTCATAAATTACAAAGCTTTGTAGAACAATATGAGAATAATGTAAAAATCCATAGTCATGATGTAAAAAAATCTGGTATAAAGCAGTTTTTAAATTCTATTAAAGCTAAACCTGCAGAATGCAGTACATCTGATACAGTCACAGCATCAGTGAATGAAGAACAATCAAATAACCCTTTAATATTAATAATAAGTTTCTTAGAGTGTTTACAAAATAGATGCACTGATGGACGCATATTTCTTGCTCCTTGCTCAACTATTGGACAAAGTATTATAAAATTCCAGTTATTAAATCCAGCAGCACATTTCCATGACATTAGTAAGCACACAAATTTAAAAATATCGGTATTATTAATCAATCATTTTATGTGAAATTGATTTTTAATTGATAATTATTGATAGTTCAAGATTCTAGAGCTGTAATATTAGCTGGTGGAACAATGGCACCAATGAATGAATTTACAGAGCAGTTATTTATAGCAGCAGGTGCTGAATCTGAAAGAATTGTTACATTTTCATGTGATCATGTAGTTCCTCAAGAAAATATAATATGCTCAGTTGTAACTCATGGTCCTACAGGTGTTGAATTTGAATTTAATTTTCAAAATCGACAGAATACAAAATTGGTAAAGACTACTTTATAGCATTGCAACATAAATAGTGCTAATAAATCAGGTAACAAGAAGTAATGATAATAATGTGTTTCAGTTAGATGAGTTAGGGAGAGCTTTATTAAATTTATGTAATATTGTACCCGCTGGCATTGTAGTATTTTTACCCTCTTATAATTTCGAGGAATTAGTGTACAAGCACTTAGAAAAATCTGGTATTATAGCAAAAATTTCGGTAAAAAAATGTGTTCTTCGAGAACCGAAATCATCTTCTCAGGTATTGTCTTCATTTACTTATAAGCTTCAATATAAAATATTTGTAGAAGTTGTACATGTTTAATGAATTATAAATTCTAGGTCAATGAAATTTTGGAACGATACGCAGTTCATATAGAAAGACCGAAAAGTCCACAAAATGGTTCATTATTATTTAGTGTAGTAGGTGGGAAACTAAGCGAAGGATTGAATTTTTCTGATAATTTGGGAAGATGTATTATAGTTGTAGGAATGCCTTATCCAAATATTAAATCATTAGAACTACAAGAGAAAATGAGATATTTAAATGAAAATGTTGTATGTATATGTTTTCTTTCTTATTACAACAAATTGAGTTACCCAATACAATACACATTGTACTATATTTATATATTTTTTGTTTTTTTATTAGAAACCAAATGCTGGTCAAAGTTTATATGAAAATTCATGTATGAAAGCAGTCAATCAGTGTATTGGACGAGCAATTCGACATATCAATGATTATTCGACGGTAATATTATTAGATAAACGTTATTGTCATAAAACGAAAGCTCTTCCACAATGGATTCAACGTACTTTAATGATTCATAATAGTTTTGGTAGCATGATTGGTGCTATGGCTAAATTTTTTAATAAAAAGAAGCAAGTAAAAGTAACAAACAATAGTATTTAGTAATATATTAACCGCACAACGACGCATTATATTCAAGGTATTTATGTATTTTACGTAACAATATATAATTATAATCGATAACAATTTAACAGATAAGCATGCATACAAAATTGAAGACATGTTACATATAATTTCTAAGACATACTTCAAATTTGTATGTTAAGTCATGACAATAAATTTGACCAGGGTACAGTATAGAACATGGAAAATGTGACTGAAAGCAATTAATTTTGTGTATTAATTAAATAGTATCTCATTTTACAAGTTTTATATGTTACTTTTTATATACTTACATGATGTATCGCATTAGGGTAATTTTGTGGTTGAATGCTAAAAGCACAGAACTTTTTATATTGACTTCCTCGTTTTCCTAAAAGAAATTCCAACTTTTTTGGTATTGCTATTATTTTTTTATATTGTCTTTTTGATTCTTCTTCATCATCTTCATCACTTTTATAACTTTCAACATATTCATTTTCATTGCTCTATAATAAAATATATATTACAAATCTAGATATAACTTATTCAAGATATAACAAATATTTACATCTTCTAACAAATCATAGTTCTCCGAATATTCTGAAATAATTTGAGGTGGTAAGTGTCCTCCAGTATAAAACTGTAATCCACGTTGATCTGAATATACTTCTAAGACACTAAAATATAGTATTCGAAAATATAGTATTATTTAATAAAGATTGATGCATATAATGTATATTCATGTATACCGTCCACTTTTTACATGCCAAACTTTAGCAACAAATAAACTGCCAGATTGTTCATTTTTTGTAACACAAAGATTGTGGTCATAGCCTTCACCAGGAGGTACCTATGAATTAAATAAATACTTTACTGTTTTAAATTTTATTAAAGATACCGTAATATTTAGTAATTTGATACTTTTTCCATATAATCTCCTAAAACTCTCGGTATTCGAAAGTCCATAACTGTTCCAGCTACACCACGTATAGCACCTGTAGGAACTGGGTCGGTATAGTCTGCAAATGTCCAACGATCACAGTTTAATAATACTTTATGATTTTTTAGTTCTGTTTCTCCAGCATCCTGTTAAATTTTACATGCTTATTTAAATACACATTTTAAAATATGTTATTACTTACATGTCCAGCTAAATTGAACATAGAACCATGTGATAAGTTCACTATTGTTGGTTTAGAAGTTGTTGCTCTCATACAAATATTTAATTTATTGTCTGAAGTTAATTTAAATCTTATTGTAGTTAACACTGCACCTGGATAGCCTTCTTCCCCATCTGGACTTAAGTAACTCATAACAACTGAGCATCCAGCAATGTATGAATCCCATACTTTACGGCCAAATCCATTTGTCTAATAAAATAACATAGAAATGGTTTACTATTTATATACATATGGATAATACAAGTAATGAGTTTACTCCTCCATGCAAATGATGTTTCTTATTAAAATCGTTTTTTGTTAATTCATAATCTTTGCCTCTAATAGTAATCTGTCCATCTTTAATACGATTTGCACATCTGCCTAATATACAACCAATAAATGGATTTGTTATTGGATTTATATATGCTATAAAATTGAATTATATTATAAACATTTACTTAGTTTATAATGGTATGAGTATAAAATTATACCTTGTAGATCATCAAAACCGAGAACAATATCAGAAGAGTACCCATATTTGTCTGGACATTTTAAAGATACAATTGTAGCACCCCAAGTGATAAGAATAACTTCCATGCGATTGGAATTTGCCATGGTATAAGATTTTACTGGTTTTGGTACAGAATCAATAAATACTTGATCCTCTTTGTTTTCTAATTATTATAATTCATTATTAGTTTCAATGTAATGTTACTTTTAGGAAAGAAAATAATTTATGTGGTTACCATTCCATATTTCTCCAAATATTCCTTCTGTAATAGTAATATTTTTGCAATTACAGCTATGAAAATCCATATTTGTCACATCATTCTGCTTAATACAATAAGATTTAAATGTTTCATAAAATGAAATGTTAATTATGATATTATTAACACAATAATTTTCACTTCTTGAAGATGAAAAGTAATGTAAAATGCATTCTTTTTTTTTTCATTTAGGCTTTAGACAGTAGAAAATCATTTGATTTTCAAATATATAATATATGTATAAAGGCAAATACGTGAAAATGTAATAAGAAAAAAAAATTGATTTATTTTTTATGTTATTTGAAATGATTTATTAATAATAATAAGGCATCACCTACAATTTGTGATGCTTCAATGTTACAGTGATTGTAGTAATTAATATAATATATACTCCGGTTACTATTTATAATTTATATAATTAATATTTATAGAGTAATGTACAATGCTTGGAAAAATACATGAATTTTTCGTGTAAATCAGACACCACATTGATACAGTTCCCATTCAATTTTTTGGGTATGCACTGTTACATTTAAACCTGTTAAGTAAAAAATTGAAGACATTTGTTATTGCATTTTTTTAATGAAATAACTTCTTCTAATTTTGTATAACAAAATGAATAATTGTTATTCCTTTTTTCATATTAGATCATCCTGTTTCTTCTTCTGTTTATACATGTTAATGGTCATGCAGTACCTAATATCTTTGTTTGGCAAACTATATTTACCACAGAAAACTTTGAAGTTTCTATAACTCCTTATAATTGTTGTTAGAATTATATTACATAAAAGATTTCTTTTTTTAAGCTTTGGGTTCTGCATTTCATTATTTTCAAGGCGCACACCAAAGCAGTCACTTTTTACTTAAATACACGTGGAACACATTGCACTTAGCTTATTAGTAGTATTCTTACAACTATGGAGTAATTTAAAATTTAAATAAATTGCTAGTAATTACGAATTTACGGGTTGCAGTACATTCTACGTCCTCTAAGTTCATATATTACAAAGAAATACTGACAAAGAATTAATTTCACATATGAATATCAAATAATAAATGAACTGTGATAACTCCTCAATATCGGTTACATTTAAATGTGATTAGGAATAACAAAATTGTTTAGTATATTTTACATGAAATAAACATATAAAGAATAGAGGAGATAACACAGTAAATATAATTTGTGTACAGTAAAAGCACACTTCATAATTATCTTCTTGGTCATAAGTGTCATTGTACAAATTACTAATTTATAAGCTGCATGCAGTTTTAGTGTAACTTGAATGAGAAGATATTTACAATTTAAATTTATATTGAAAGAAACACATTCAGAACAACAATATTTGGTCGCATTAATTAGCTTAAAAAAGAAGAAAACAATCCTAAATTTAATAAAAGATAACTTAAGTTTTGTTGCATATGAATTAGAGAGTGGATTTAATGTTATTAGTATATGTGCTAAATTACTTTTTACATAGTTGTTCTGAACACTGTTTCCTTATACATTTTTTCTACTAGATAAACATATAGTCTATAAATGGTCTTTAATGAAATACAAAACTGAGTTCTTCTTCTTACTTTTAGCTAAAGAGTTATAATATATAAAAAATAAATATAGCTTAGACTAGCACTGTTGGCGATCATACGCCATTACATAATTAATAGTTGATAGCTGCCTAATATTATGTTTTGTATAAGTTATTGTTACTATCAACAATTATTGATATTAGTTAGCATTCTAAGACTTCATTAAATATTTCTCAATTACCTTGGAAGCATTTTCAATTTTTTTGTTGCTCTTAACGTATTAAGTACATGATACTAGCACCGCAAAATATCTTTGTACAACATAGAAAGGCATATCCATGAAATATTTACTCTATGTCTTTAATAACATCATAAATATTTCAGTCAACTGATTAATTATCCTTACTTATGAAAGATTTCACAAATTGAACTTTGAATTGAACATTCAACATTGTATGTAATCAATTTTTATATAATATTAGTTCCAATTAAATAGAGTATTTTAAGAAAGACTCAATTGTCTTTGCAGTATATTCAATTAATTGTTCTTTGGAAAATTCTGAGTAAAGTATTTCAAATATTACATAACAAAAGAAACTATTAGAGATCAAAATTGATACTGCACACTGAGAAAAGATTACATTGTACATATCAAATAAATATTAGAAATTACCAAAAAAATACTTTTTCAAAGTTTATCTCTTTTTTCTTTTTGTAACTCTACTGTATTTTATGTACATTGAGACATATCCTACAATACTGATTATCATTCAGGAAATCATTATAAAAAACATATAGTTTTTGAAACAAAACTATCGCTTTTTCATTTTACATGATGTTAATGAGATAAATGAGTTATTTTGATACCGTATAACGGCGTAGAATATACGCAACAAGTAAATAAATTTGTTGTTTTGATTAGTTTACATAAGTTTAATTCAAATAGTTTGTTAGCTGTTATTCTTTGCTGAACCAATAAATTAAACATATTCACAAATAAGAAATTAAGTTTAGCTCATTTTGTTTTCATATTTGTGAAAATACAGAATATAACTCAGAATAGAGGGTTTACAAGAATTGATTTTTTTCCCTTTTTTATGATTAAATGAAAAAAGGAAAAAAAATTTACACTTTTTCAAGACCCGGTATCCTGATTATATATTAGTATCTTAAGTAAGTAAAAAATAATTTCTGGGACATTCTCGTGCACTTAGAAATCTGAGAAATATTTTAAGTATACTTTACACAACGTGACCGATATAAAGGAATGTATGAACTATTCTTACATCATTAAGCAAACAATAACTGTTCTCGATACTTGTATGTACAATGATGATTATGTATATGGAGTGTTTTTGTTTTAAAATAATTTTGAAAGTATATCACACCTTAGACAGCTACATATGTATGTAGTTCTTTATAGGTAGACTAAACATGTTAGACACTTTTCTACAGGTACGCCAATCACTTGAATGCATACTTGTTTTTACATATAAAAGAAGTGTTACTTTTAATCATCATAGCGTATTAAATATAGTCTATCACGTTGCTAACTCACAAATGCATTAAAATTTCTACTGTACAAATTTTTCACACGTGTATCTAGTGCCATGGTATTTGTATAAAAATTGAAGAATAATAAAACTGTACATGAAACATGACAATTTAATGGCAACAGAAAAATGTAATTCATTGTAGATCTCATAGGATCTCATTATAAAACTTAGGAAAATATTGTGATTTAAAAAGAAGTTACTATATTGTCTATCGTTTACAATATAAAATTTGTGTAATCATAAGGAAAATTATAAACAGTTTTGTTGAACTATCATCAATGTTTTCCTAATTATGTTTCATTGTACAATTATTCAACATTCAATTAATTTATCAGTCACAAAAAAGTTTGGTGGAATGTAAATTTGCTGTTAACATTAATAATGATATAATCAAAGGAATAATAATGTTTCATTTCTCTGAAGTAGCATTAGATGAACAAGTCAATGAAATATAATTCAATTCTTAATATTTAAAAAAAGGGGATTAATATCGTTTTCAACTGTTTAATATAACAATTACGTATATATTATCTTATATACGATTTCTCTGAGAACATTTGAATTAAAATATTTATTTTTTTTCTCAAATGTTTTAGATGATCATGAGAATGATAGAAATATATAGTATTTACATGTTCAATGCTAACAGCAGATGCATAATGTGCGGAATGTATGAATAAAATATTTGTAATACATAAAGTAGAATTTAAATAACGTTTTATAATGTTGCATATTACCATGTAATTCTGGCATTCATACTATTCCTACAAAACGTACATGAGACATACCAGTTCTTCACCAAAATTAAAAACAGTCTAATTGAATATAAGAGTCTTTTATAAGGATATCTCAGTATTATATATATAATATATATATATATATATGGAATGTTAAACTCTTACTGTACTCAATGACCTGCATTAATACATGATAAAATCTTTTGCAGGAGGCAGTGCTTTGACAACGTGCATCGCTGTATCTTCTATAGTTACAATGATTTAATAAATTTCTGCTGCGTTATGTACTCTTCAATTTCGTATCGTTTGTAATTGAATATTACTTTCAAGATTGACAAATTCTTTAGAGCGTTATTTTTTATTATGTTCACGATTTTAAATAAGCCAATGCTATGACAAAAATTCTCTTTCTAATTCAGAAATACTTGGTTTTCTACCTCTATTTATTCGTCGATTAGCTTGCAACGGAACAGTAGCGTCTTGAGTTTGTCCATGTACAGGAATATCAAGTAATGTTTCTCTGTGCTCACGCGATACTCCATCTCTATCAAATGTCACCGGAGAAAATCGAACCCTACTTATAGAAATTTGACTATCTTTAGCCGAAACGTAACTAGAGTCCTCGGATGTCAGAGAATCTGGTGGAGTAGGATTTGTTGGTGTACCCGAACCTGAATTATTTTTGCTAACACTTTTATTCGGAGAATTATACGAATAATTTGATCGTTTCAAGCTTGATCGTAATCGGTTAACTACTTCTAAATTACTCGGTCTATCTCCTGAATTTGAATTTGAATCATGAGAATTCTGACGCGTTAATAATTGTGAACCATAATCGTGATTAAGCATACTGGGGCTATACGTTCCTACGTTGGAAATAATAGCTGAAGATCGTTGATAATAATGTCCAGGTGAATACAAAGAATAATCGTCCTCGTCTTCCAAGCGAAACGTTGGATTAATGTTACTTTGACTCGATGTGCTCGCGTTTGAGACATTTGATGAAGTACGATGGTGGGTGTACGAAGGAAGCCTCGACACTGGTCGAGCTGGACTGTTTATACTGCTCGGATTATCATAAGCATGTGGAAATTCAGGGCATTCAAGCATTCTATCACTGAGGAAGAGAAAAAGAGGTATTTAATATGGCTATCAATTTTCATTTTTATTATACTACTAATTTACTTACTGATAATCTGTAGGTACAAAATACGTTGGTTCTGGTGGTCTATAATATTCTGGTGGAACAACGGTGTATACAGGAGGTCCATAGTCTGGAAAAGGTGCAACATTACCCATGTATATTGTTGGTACTCTTTCCATCCTATCAACCCTTCCTGTCTCGTGAGTGTACACATCTTCATTACTCGTACTACTACTCTTTCTCCTAGGACTTGGCGTTGGTGCATTCGAACTTGTACTGCTTGCATAATGTTGAGGTGAATCAGTAAATCTTAAGGGTTTGTCAGGCATAACACTGGGTGGAAGGCCAGGTGCTATACCACCCATGTTACTCAAAAATGGCCTATAATTACAATAAGTGTTTTTATAATTTAACAAATACATCAAGAATATTATGATTTCGTACCTGTAATGTCTTGCTGGTCCATGATACGTGTTATGAGGATATCCACTACTGGAACTAAATTCGTAATCAGGTCCAAGATGACCCGAATTACGATTTGATCCGGTGTCTGCTTGGAACCACCATCGTGGTGGTTCATCTTCACATTCACCAAGCCTTGGATACAGTCTTGGATGAATTGGAGATATGTTTGACATTCTTACATCGTATCCAGTTGCTACTCCAGCTAACATAGCCGCAATATTGTATAAAACCAGCTCTATTATGCTTAACTTTGGTTTCTTCATTTCTCCATTATAAAGAGTTGGCATTGGTACAGGCATTGGCATGATGTAAGGTCCGGTTAATCCAGGTTTCAAAGGATAATCTGATGTTACCCAGTCAGTTGACAGATCAGGTGGTAGAGCCGGATAATCTACAAAAACAGATTTCTGAAATAATAATTTTGGTACTGCTGCATATTTATAGAAAAAGAAAGAAAAAAAAAAATAGATTTAGAATTATAGAATACAATTTCAATTTCTATTTTCCTATATTTCACAATACAAAATAGATTCAAAATATGATGATTACTATTACTTTTTATCTCTTCTTACCTTTATATATAATTTTTAAAAACCTTGCATTACAAGTATTACAATAACTTTTAAATAAACAGTTTAGTATAGTTACTACATGCTTATTTGTTAAATTATTTATAACTATTTGTGTATATAAGCGCAATGTGTCACATGCATCATATTAAAACACTACATGCCACATTCTTATTTCAACTAATCTTATTACTAGTGGTTCTTAGAAAGCTTTTATATTATTTTCTAAAAACACTACTAATCATAAAGCATAAAACCCATATTTTAAAAGTAACTAAATTTATTAAAAAATAATGGAACTTTGAAAATAAGATAGAGTGTAAAAAAGGGAAGAAATATTTAAAACAATAAGCATTCGCTATAACTAACTTTGGAGAATGATTCCTCTTTTTTTATTTTAAACTTTGTTTTTTCTCTTGATTTTAATTATTTATTTCTTCAATACAAGTATGCGAATATACAAAATTTGTATTGGAACTGCTTTACACCAATGGTTCTTCATAAATTATGTACAAAATAGGAATATGAAACAATTAATGGAATACTTTTATAAATGACATTGGAATCTTAGGGCAAGAATAGGACCAAACCCAATCTTGATAGTTAGGATCCTACTGGAAGCATGCAAAAGGATTCTTTTACGCTCGATTATATTGGCAAAGAAAACAATATAAAAACACTAATACGCATAACAAACTATCATCTATTGTTTATTGCATCTTTAGTTAGTCAATTAATTGAAACAAATATAAAAAAATGAATTCATTTTCTTATAAAATGTTGGAAATGTGTTTGAAATACAAGTACAAATATAAAGTGCACAAGATATATAAGTTTTTTTTCTTTTAAATTGACTAAACATTACCATAAACCGAGCGTAAAAATTCAGAAAACGAAAAAACAAAATTCAACGTGTCCAACTGAAAAGGTTTTATTGAAAAAATTTCTATTTCTAAATACAAGTGTGCGTGTCGCTCCATGTGTTGTATGTGACGTGCGCGAAATTTTTGAATCTAAAAAATGTCGAAAATCTATCATAATACAAAAAAATTGGACAGAATAATTAACAAAATATGAAATTAATTTAAAATGTGTGTTTAAAGCAACAAAGGAAAAAAATACAACTCTACTTTCACACTTAAAACGTAATGCTCTCTACAATAATTTTGTAATTTTGATCATGTTGTACAAAAAAATACAATTTTTGGGAAACGCTCCTAAATAAAAAAGAAAAAAAAAAATCAATTTTAATCCAGAACTTTTGGTTGTAATGGCAGAAGCACATGATTTCTTTTCACATAGTAAAGGACTGTTAGCTCTGCTTTGTTAGAATGTTATATACTTTAGATAACATCAGAAAAGAACCAACACCAGAAAGATTGCATTTACATTTCATGTACTCATTAAATTACAGTTCAAAATATGAAATTCTTATAAATTTAAATTAAATTATAAATAGTTTTTAGATTATTGCAGGGTACAGATATTACCCTTTATTAAAATATTCTAAAATAATATATATTCGCTATGTAATTTGATAGACATTTGTATCGTATTAAAATTAATCAACAGAACCACCAATTTATGTGGAAATGAATTTTGTTTATATGTTGAGAACTGATTTCATTGATAAATCATCTAATCTCTGATAAAATTTCAAATCCTATAAGATGGTATACACCGATAACTTATACCGCTCCAAACAATTCAACCAAATAAAATAATCTTAAACACAAATACTATCAATATAAAAATGTGGGAACATAGTTTGTCTTTAAATGTTTGCAACTGTACATGTGTCGTTCAAATATATGCATATAATGGGGATACTTTTTTCTTTCTCTCTAAACATCAATAAACATATGAAATCTAGCTAATTCATGCACTCCTATGAAAATAATTTTAAGCACAATCTATTCAGATACAATTTGTCAAAAGGAAAAGAAACAAAAAAAATTAAAAACAAACAAAACGAAATATAATATTTAAACGTGAACATGAAGAGGCATTGCCCATTTGAGATCTTTTACTTTGATTACAATGGAAAGAAGTTAAAAATATCATTTGCTGAGACCAGCTGTGATATAGAAGAAAAATAAATAGGTCTCTTATGAAGTGTGAAACAGTTGCGCAACAATATAAAGAGACTTACGAGTGGGATAGATGCTTTCCTCAGAAACGCCTGCAGTAAAGAAAATATAAGATTGTTACTAAAACATATAAAACAGAAAGAGGATATATTCGTAAAATGCTTTTGCAAATTGTACGTTCTATATGCAGATCTCTTTGTCTTTGAGAAATTACATCATTTATCACTTTTCTTCAAAGGTTTCTCGGTAATTTTAGGTGAGGCGTAAATAATACTATTCACATCTTCGGAACTTCGATGCGAAGGAGCATCCCTTAGCGATTCAATTAGATTTCTCTTTTGTCCATAGTTCATTTGTGAAGTGTAACGCTCGCAATCCTGACTGTAACCAGGCGTCTGCACCATCGAATTGACATTATCAATGTCTTTATCACAGCTACGCAAATATTCGTTGCTTTTTGATTTATGATTTAAGGAGGAATTTAAATTGAAACTTTGATCTAATGGTGGAAGGGGTTGTTGCAAACGCGGCTCCGATACGCCGCTAACGGAATCAAAAGAGGTGGGAGATTTTTTACACTTGTTCTCTGGAAAGAAACTTAAGGAATTTTTTGAAACAGAACTGTCGTTCGAATGTTCCGAATCAAAGTTACAAAGTTCTGACTCGAGACTCTCGAAATCTATCCCCTCCCGCGAGTTAGCAGTCAAAAATTTCGGCATTCCACTATTTTGTTCAGAATCACGTTGACTAAATTGCGACATAGATATCGTATTATCTAACACGCTATATTCTACTTTAACAGCGGTGGTTTTATCGTCAAGTGCATCTCGACTTCCCCATGCTTTCATTTTATTGAATACTCTTAAAGGACTTTTAGAAATTCTTGACTTGTGCTGAGATTTTTTACCAACTGAATTCTCGGGACTCGACTCTAAACCATCTGTATCGTTAATCTTAATGGTAACAGAATTCTTTCGTTCTCCACTCTGCGGAGAATTTAACGAGCTTTTCCTTGATCCAGAGGGGGAGCGAAAAAAATCAGCAAAAGCAGCTAATCGTGATTCCGAGCTATCTCTACGTTTCGATTCTTTCGACTTACTTCTTTCACGTTTCTTCTTCTTTACACGTTTCGCAGTGCCAACCAAACTATTTGCTACGCTCTGTACAAAATTTGAAGAATGCGAGTGCTCCCAGTCACCGACTATATGCTTTTGACGTCTAGCTGACGAGGTTTTTAAAGTGTTCCTAGTATTAGATTTAGCAAAACTATCCATGGCAAAATGGTCCTCCGAAAAGTGAGTTTTATAATTATTCGTCGGTTTATTGTGCAAAACCACAGACTCGTAAATATCGTTATCGACGATAACCGAATCTTCACCTATATTGCAAGGTGGGCAGCTTTGACTTTTCAGAATGTTGTTAGAATTTTCTGGAATGTTGTTACAACTATATCCTGGCTGATTGTCTATCAAATTATTTGCTGAGGAGTACAACTTTCTGGAGGAGGGGTTACCTATTTCTTGAAGAAGCGGGGAGCGATGTGCCAACAGGGCGGTACGCAGAGGTGTCTTTTCAAGATCTGGAGCAGAACGAGACCACCGCTTGCCACCTGGAGATGCAGGATTTGGTGGCTGTGTGATAATAGCCCCGCGCTCGCGTTGGTGGAGTGTTGACGGTCCCCAAGTCTTACCCTTCACTCCATCTGCTGGTACTAAAGGAGGAAGACAAAAAACAAAACGCTACTCACTACGATACTTGTTTTCCCTCCTTACCCTAGACACTTTTTTTTTCTCAATTTTATATACGTTTTAAAATAACAAAGCTGTTTTATATGGTTTGTAACAATATTTTTACGTATCAGAAAATTTGGAGCATCGAATAGATAAGAAAATTTATAAAATGATTTTACTATTAAATGATATTAAATGTTTGAATTCTGAATTTCTATAATTTCTTTTTTACAAAAAGAAAGAAAACATAACATAAATTATGTACATGTATTTATGTGTTTTTTTAACAAAAAAAGAAAAAAAAGAAAATTATCAAAATATATTTAATTATTCACACCATGCCAATAAATATCAAGATTAAATTAAAACAACGTGTCTACAAAGCGCAAACATTGTGATTCAAATTTCTCGAAAATACTGAAAAATATCTCAGGGCAAAATCATTCATACTGAACAACACGTAATCATAATTGTGAACTACTAACAAGTTTTTAAAATAAATTACTTACACGCAATTGCACGTAATCTTGGAATACTAGGCGAGCCTGGTGGGCTATTCGGTCGTGATGGATTTCGCACTTTTCCCCGATCCAATGCTGTATGTTGAACCGTTATCGTGTGACGAAAATCTATGAAAATAAAAATACATTTACATTAATTAATTGGTTCATCATTGTGATGCTTATAATTTTTTAATATGCTCACCAGACGGAGCACTTATATTACTCCCAGGTTCTTTTTTATTGAACTTTAATCTCGACTTCTTGAATTTTCCACGCCTCTTGTTTGGTGTTGGAGTATTTTGTTGTTGAATTATCATTACTGTAAGTTCCCGCTCTAATAAGTCTATCTCACGAGCAGCTAGTTCTTGTTCTCGCTGTCTCAAGTTTTCTTCGTGTTGTCGTTGTTGTACTTGTGCTTTTGTCAATTCTTCTTCTCTACAGCGCAATTCCTAATTGATAAAAATATAAAGGAATTGAATAAAAAAAAAGTTTATGAATTAAGGAGTCATGATTTGTTGCTAAATTTATTTCAAAAGTTAAAAATAAGAAGCGGTCAAGCTATGCTTTGCTATTAGAATTAAAGACAGTCATTAACTTCAACAGTAGCTATACATTATCTTACCTCTTCTAACGATCTGCATGCCTTTGTATAGCATTTAAAAGAATGATGATATATGTATATATATATATATATATATATATTATTATGTACTAGTTTATTTCTATAAAATAAAAAAATTTAGATCGTGTACCTTTTCCTTCATGCGCAATCCATGAAGAACTTGTTCAATTTCAAGCCTCCAATCTTCTTGCATCGTATGAAATGATTCATGCGGTGTTGCTGCAAATGCACTACGTACTTCATCTAGTGCTACTAGAATCTCAGCAAATCCAGGCCTCGAATGACTATCAGATGCCCAACATGCTAAATAAATACATATTTGTCGTTTCAGTTTTAAAATATTTATATTTTTGAATGTTAATATTTTTGTGTAACAATATACCTTCCATCAAAAACCTCCAAGGTTGAGGACAAGTTGATGGAATGGGCAATGTAAGTTTATTTACAGCAACGCCATACGCTACAGCTAAAGCATCTATTCCTTTATAAGGAGTTTCACCAGTTAAAAGTTCCCATAAAAGCACGCCGTAACTACAAATATAAAAATGTATTAGAAGAGAAGAAACAATTGTATTAGCGAAGAAAATTTCGGAGGATAAGTATTATTATAATTGAAGTGATATAGGAGGTACATCAAACTGACCTCCAAACATCACTGGCTTTACTGAAAGTACTCTTTTTAATAACCTCTGGTGCCATCCAAGCATATGTGCCTGCTGCTGACATGCGAGTTGTCTTATAAACTTCCCTTGCTAATCCAAAGTCAGTTATTTTCAATGTTTTATACTGTAGATCATCATTTTCTATAGGTTCACTCAATAACACTGTTATGAAGAAAAGTAATATATTATTAAAAATACAAATATGTAATTAAAAATCTTCGATATACTAATATTTAATACATACCATTAGAACTTTTTAGGTCCCTGTGAATAAGACTTATAGGAGCTTTATTGTGAAGGTAGTCCATGCCACGGGCAATTTGTATTGCCCAATCAACAAGTACATCAGGCCTGATTTTTCTACCACTAAGAACCCTGTTCAAACTACCACCTCGTGCGTATTCCATTACAAGACACATATTTGGCATTTTTAAACAAACCCCCTCTAATTGCACAATGTTCTCATGTTTCAGTAACCAAAATAATTTTGCTTCTTGTCGAACATTTTCTAATGTCACACTTGGCTCTTCGTCTGGATCCTGGCGAGCTGCTTTAACAGCTACTTCGTGTTTCTGCCAGAATCCTCTAAAATATTATACAGAATTATGAATGTTAATTTTTATAGCTTATCAATATCTGTTGTATTTAAAACATTATGAAATGAGATTAAATACCTATAAACTTTCCCAAATCCACCAACCCCTATTACTTCTTCTAATTGTAACTCTTCAAAATCGATTTCAACCGGTTGAACTTTGTCAATCACCGATGAAACTCGATCGATGCTATCTGCTTCTGCAACAAAATTGGCTGGAAAAATACCAACTTTTCCATGAATTTTTCCAGTCCACCATCCTTCATCACCTGAGATTTTTGAATCCTTAGATAGAACCTAATGTGTCAAATAAAGCACATATGTACTTGGCTATTCTTATGTAAAATTATCACTTTACAGATACCTATGAAGAAAGTTACCTCGACTGTTTCACCTCTTTGTAAAGATAACTCATCTTCGCCTTGGGCAACGTAATCGAATAATGCAGTGAAAATTGTTGAACTATTGTCTTGTCTTGATTGAGAAGAGGAATGTGTACCATGAGATGGACTAGTCTGTTGAGAAACAGTTCTTGCAGTACCACCACTATGCGTATCAGAAACACTGCTATCAGACATATTGTTGCTGGATGCGCGTCCATACAAATATCCGTAACTAGAATACAAAGTTTTGATCTATGGTATCAGATTTTTTTACCAGTACAAATTATGCAATATATTTTATATACCTTGTGGAATGATTATTTGTTCTACTATTATGTTGATATCGTGGAGATGAATTGGCTGTGCTAGTACTATGGGAATTAGAGGAGCCATTCTCTGGATGAAGTAGAAACCGCTCGCTCCGATGACGAGCATCCGGTTGTCCGTGGTCCATCAAGGTAGACAAGCCTCTTGCCGATAGCCCGGCTGGCGGCATATGGCCTTACACTCTTCTTAATCTTTTCCTTTCTGGAAATTACACCTTTTTGTCTTATAACCTTCGTGCAATATTTATCAGTCAAAGCACAAATAATATAGAACACTTCTGATGTATTATTAGTTCTTCCAAAGAGAAACTGAACAAACATGTATAAGAAGTCTATATCCACCTTGTATTATTTTTCCACCACTATACACATCCTTACACATTTCACATTTCTTTTCTACATATTTGTCAAAATCATAAATGATACACGAATGTGAAACAGTTCTTTCATGTTTCGGTAATAATTTAAATATACACAGAGAATTTACAAGAAAAATGTGGGGTGAGAGGAGGTGATCACCACCACTAACACCCCATGCATAAAAACACTTTAACGATGACCGGCATTTTGATTCGCGAGTCCGACAACAACGCGGTGAAGAATTTGTGATTTTTCCACGCAAATCACACTTCTACTAGGTGCATTATAGATAAAATTTCAAAATAGTAGAAAAATGCTCGATATGCCATAAAACCACTCGGGAGTCTCGCGTCGGGGTGTGTATACCCACAAGCCACTGTTGACGAGACCGATTCTTTTCATTGAATCGGCACTAGGAGCAATGTACGCGGGTTGTGTAGAGTTTAAAGCGACGCGTTTGCCTCCCCGAGGACACGACGCTTCGCGTCAGCCCGCACAACGCACGATGATTCCACATTTAACGATAGAAAACCAGGCAGCACTCATAGCAATAACCTAATGGTCGCCATGTTTCGTTTGACGGCCCCACCGTTGACGTGATATATTCGATCACGATTCATAGAGAGAATGTTTGAAAGGTTGCTTCATGTTGTTTCAACCACTTAAGGTTCATTCACAATCACGTGATTGCCAAGTTACTTAAGAAAATATTCTCTTAGAGACTAAAATTTATTAATTGAACTACACATTTGGATAAAGGATCAAATATTTTAACGTTACTATATGGCTTTTTGTTATATTATTTACTTTTTCGATGATTTTAATCGATACCGATAAACCCTTTATTTCAAGGTAGATCATAAGTGTTCGTATCTTATGGGAAATTATATACTTCGTGTCTGAAATCATCTGAGATGTGAAGATGGCTGCGAAGTCAGTAAGTCGTGTGCGCCAAATTCATTGATTAATAAGGCCGAGATAAAATGTATCGCCTTATTGTTTGCCACGCGATTTTTCGAATGAAAAAGATAGACTACGCATAAAGCTGTAAATCAGCAAGTGATGGGAAGATGGTGAGGGAGCAATTTTACAACTGGTATGGGTTCTCAAACGCTGGAAATTTTGAGACAAGGCGTCTGGGCGAGCCTGACAGGAGGCTGGTTTTACGATCCGCATCTCGATGTTTTTTCAAATACTTTTCACCTTTACATTTGGCTCTTCCTGCTCTGCTTACCATTTACCATATATCTTGTAAGTATACTTACATCTGCATTCATTTTGGTCCTGACTTATTTACTTTAGGTAAATAATATTCTATATAAGTTGTATATATTTAAGTACATTACATATAAATGCATAATTATTATCCACATACTATGGATTACATTTTTTTATTCTTTTGATTTTAATACATATATGCATATAGTCTATATAATTATATTCTTAATGGATTAATATTAAACATCAATCTTTTATTTTATAGTATTTTCCACCAACATTGTATGTTTGGCTGGCATATTGTTCTTCAATTGGAGCAATCTTTGGTACAATAAAGTGTGTCAATCATGCATTGCATTGCGTGTATGATACAACTGAGTGTTTAGAAGAATGTGGTCAAACCATTAGTCAGCAAAGATCAGAAAGTGAAAAAAGACGTATAGTGCATAACAAATGCAGGGAACAATCGCAGAATCAAGTAGATCATGGAATAGAGCTTCAAGTTTTAAGTGGTATAATAGTCTTTTCATATGTTTAAAGTATAAAGTATATTAAGGTTATTAAAAACTAATTTGTGAGATATTTTTTGTTGTACAGGAAAAACAGATACACCACCTGTTGAATGCTCATCACGCAACTCTTTTATCGAATCAAATGTGCAAAATGCAGACGCGGATAGTATAACATCAGAGTACAATCGAGATAAACCTAGTTCAACTATAGATTTGAAGGTAGAAATTCATAGGAAAAATAGTTCAGAAAGTTCAGAAGAAGCACAATTAACTAAACCAATGGTACCTAGTATAAATGTGCACGAAGCAGAATTAGCTTCTGCTCAGTATTATGAACCACGTTTTCGAAATATAATGAATGGTATTCATTTTAAAATTTTTATATGAAAATCTGATACAATTGTTCCTTATCGTATTAATATTTATTTGGGGTAATTTTAAAAACATACAGAAAGAAGGTTAAAACGACATAAATGTGTTGTTATCGCTGAAGAAGATCGACCAAGAAAATTATGCAGGCATGCATCGGAAGATTCACGAAATCGTCACTCTAAACAGGGTAGTCTTGGTAAAACAGGTTCTGAAAGTCAAATAAAACAAACGAGTTCGTTAGAACTGGAAGACCATGCAGATGATTATCCTTATTGGAAGTCCAATCAAAGTGTTCGACGTCTTAATTCTAATTCAATTCCGATGGAAACTCATTTAATGAACGATCATCCGCAGAGTTTAGAAATTATATCGAAAAAGGAAGATACGGAGAAAAATAAAATTTCATCCCATCCACAATCTTTAGAGGTAAAAAGAAAGAAATAACATAACATATAATATTATTCAAAATACATTAATTTTATATTATTTTTTCTGAAGGTTATTACAAAGAAACCACATCAACAACTTATTCATCCGCAAAGTCTCGAAACAATTGGTGCTACTAACAAAAATATGAACTCTACAGATGACAATAATTTACCTCTTCATCCACAGAGTCTTGAAACTATTAATACTAAAAAGGTGTGTGATTATAACATTGATAGATGTATGTATAGTATTACGTAGAAAATTATATTTAAAGAAAAAAAAAAAAAAAAAACACAAAAATATGTATGTCTCAAAGGTATTGCCTCAGAATACGTTAAAAAAAAACCAACTGCAGTTATTACCATATCTTAGTTATGGATCAGAAATAGTACATCCTATAGCAGAGCAAAGCGATGAACAGTTTGCTAATGAAAGTACAGGAGGATTTAGTCTTCGCGATTCCTGTAGTCCATTACTTACTCGAAAGAGTTGTGAAACTAATACTACCTCTAATCGAGACAGAAGTCTTAGCACTAGCCGATTTGAAGATAGATTCTCGAGGTAATTCGATGGTAATAGAAATGATTATTAAATTATCGATATTAATTTATTCAATTTTAATCGTAGATTTAACGGAGATGGTGGTATAGATAATGATTCTGCGAATTCTCGTGATGCGTTAATCGAAGAATCAAAGCCTGGCGCCAAAAGGAGATACAGTAATGCGAGTCAAAGCAGTCGTGAATTCTCAGATGGAGAGAGGTCCAAAGACAAACAAGATAAATTGAAAAACATAGATGATCCATTAAATGTTGGAAGTGTTCTTGGAATAGATCGATTATTCGAAGGCAATGATTGTACAATAGAATCACGAACGAACAAAGGCAAGTTTAACTTATTAAACGTCATTCACACTACTAACACTAATTGAATTGTACTTTATACGAAGATAAAAAAAAAAAAAAAAAATAATAATACATCATGAAAAAGTGAAATTCGTATGAAAAGTACTTTATCATACTTTTAAAAGTACAAAATGGGTTAACAACGACAATATAGTTTATAAATTCTCATTCTGTAGGATTACATGATAAGGAACCAGATTCTGGTTCGTCTAGTACGATTCTGAGCATGGAAAACGAGGTGAAACGAAAGTTACTTCCGCAATTAGAAACAGATAACAAACGACATCAAGGTGCGATACCTAAACAAAGCCGTCCAAAGCCTGCAGTAGAAGCTATAGATGATAATATTACAACTGTTGAACAAACCCGGCCAAAACTTAAACGAACATTAGAAGTCAGAAGAGACAAAGATAGAAGAAGAGACGGAAGATTTGAGCAAACTAGCGGTTCGAACAACGAGTTAAGTACACTTAGCCTTGCATCCTCATTGTTAGCTACGTTATTGACCTCTGGCCGAGAATTACCTGGCCAATCTAGTACTGTGTCCGATTTAAGATTAAGCCGTAGTTCAGAGAATCGAAATTCACGAAAAAGGCGAGGTCCTTTGAAGTGCTCGATTAGGCCGTATCGAGGTAGAAATCGAGACGATAACGTTGTACCGTTCACCGCTTTGCTCGGATTGATATCAAACGAGGAATGTCATTTAGTCGCTAATCATAACGACGCTATAGAAGCGACTGTACCATATTTTCACGATGAAAACGAACGCTGGTTAGCTTACACATTCGATGAGAAAGCATCTGGTGTTGCTGCAGCTGCGCAAGTTCCTTCTAGCAATAACGATAAATTGTTAAATACCTTGCTACGTCAACAACTTAATCAAAATTTACACTACGATAGAAACTGGGAATTAACGGATACGTTGAGTATCAGTTCTAGCAGTCCTTCATTAAATTCTCTTGATTTAAGCATACATATAGACACGCCACCTGTTTTGTCAAGCCCAAAAAGCAATCAAACGAAGGCACAAAATTCATTTTCGTCAAATTTAGTTTCCTCGAATACTGGAAGTACCAATCACTCGACGGGAGAAACGTCGGAACGAGATCAATTTCATCAAAATACTGGAAATTCGAATCAATGCGAACTCGAGACATTAGAGCTCGAAACGTTAGAACGAGATCAATTTCATCAAGATATAATGTCACGTATCGAATTAATGACGGATAGAAATCGAAGATTACGAAATTTATTAGGATATTTTAATTTGAACCTTTATCCAGCTGATTCTAATCGTCGTGTGCCTGTTTTAACATTGCCAACGCATCAAGAGGCCGATATGAACCCAAATTTATCTTGGAATCGATTTATGTGCGGCTTAGATGGATCCGATTCTAAGCCTAAACAATCAAGACATTATTATAAATGGAAAATTGGAAAATTACCGCATATCAAAGTGCGATTCGATCGTTTATTTTTATTGGCATTGTTAGACAGAAATTTAACAATTTTCGAGACGATCGTTTCAACGTTTCTAGCGATTGCCGTCGCCGGGTTAGGTCTTCTGTTACTTCAACAAGGATTTTACCGGGACATATTTGCCTTCATGTTTTGTTTTGTAACCGCTGGATGCCAGTATTCATTGTTAAAGTCGGTTCAACCTGACGCCGCTTCACCGACACACGGATTCAATCGTATAATAGTCTTCTCTCGTCCCGTTTATTATATATTGTGTTCAGGATTCATATTAATTTTCAACGAATCCTTAAGAAACTTTAAAACATCTGAATTTCGAATATACGGTTTGCGATGCGCCGATTACGATGTTATATTGCAAATTCGGAATATCTTACTAATATTCCTTTTGTGCTTTCCAATTGTCTTCTCTTTGGGTTTGCTCCCTCAGATTAATACTTTTTTAATGTACCTCTGCGAACACATTGACATTCATTTATTCGGCGGTAATGCAACTACTAGTCTACTCTCATCAATATATTGTCTCTGTCGCAGCATCGTCACCGTTGTTATATTGTACGGTTTCGCTTACGGAGCGCTCACCGAACCAAAATCTTCACAGCACATTTTATTCTCAATTTTTGCGGGTTTATTAGTTGCTGTATCATATCATTTAAGTAGATCATCGTCGGATCCCAGCGTGATGTGGGA